TAAGGCAGCACACTTCAACAACACATATTACTGCTCTCTACTGCTCTTCGAGACAGCATACTGCAACGGCGGCGCCGAAGATGGCTGATTCGATGGCGATTTCGAGAGATATCGATTTCGGTTCGGCACCGGAGGCAGTGGTTAACTCGTCGAGGTGAGACTGGCACAGTTGGCGGAACAGTGGGTACTTCTCGATGACAGAACCGTTGCAACCGATGGCGAGCTTTCCAGCTTGCGCTGGGGTCAGGCCTTCGGAGGTGGTACGTAGTGTCCAGAGGGCGTGGATACCGGCGGCAAGGAAAGCAGCTGCGCGGTGGGACACGAGCTGAGAGATGTGACGAATGAAGTACATGTCGTTGTAGGTGGGTGGTTTACTAAGCGGGTGTTTTGACTGGAAGAGTGCAGCAGCGTTGGTCAGGTTCTTCGACTCGTCCATCTCCATAGCCGCAATGGTTCCGGTCTCGAGGGAGTAGGGCTCGCTCAGCTTGTCGGGCATCTCGCCACTGAATAAACCTGCGGTCCGCACTGCCTCCACAATAATGAGTCGCACAAGCTCCCCGAGATATCGTCCGCTGATCATATGCTCGAAGGGCTGGAAGTCGGGGCGGACATGGGCTTCGTTGAGTTGATCGTCCCACCGCGTAGTAGGAAAGACGTTCTTGCCAAACATGCTGAGCTCAGTGTTGACGAGAACGTGGCTGGCTTCGTCTATCCACTTTTGGGGGTAACCCTTATACTTGGAAGTGGCAAGTGCTGAAGTCGGAAGGTGCACGGCGATGTTAAAGCCGGTTCCGAGGATCACGGCGAAGCGTGTCGACGGGTCCTCATACGCACGTGACAGGAGGGTGGCAGAAGAGTCGTTTACTATTGACTCTAAACGGACGGGCAGGTTCTGGAATCACGTAAGTGTCACGCGTGAAGGTGGTGGACTAGAACTGGTGCTCACCCTCTTCCTGCAGGGGCCCATGATCAGCTCGCTGAGGTCCTGCCCCAAAGTGCCTTCGGTTGCACGAAAGCCTTTGCCCATCGCAAGCAGATTCCCACTGCGTATTGAAGTTTGCCTGGAGGCGGAGTCAATGATAGGAGCTGAGCGCTCAATGCCGGCTGCACATACTCAACTGGGAAGGACCACGCCAGGCCCATGGGGAAGCTGTGGGTGCCATTGATCTTCTTCACTTGGGGATCCTTGATTGCCGTCTCGATCTTCTCGGCCATCCAGTCGAAGAAGGCATTGCCCCGGAGGTATCGAACATGATTGTCGATCTTGTAACTTTTCATGTTTACGATGCGCATGCTCTTGGCGCCGGGCTGGTGGCCGCTCAATTCCACGACAGCAACACGGAAGGTGGATCCGCCGACGTCCAATGCGAGATAGGTGCCTTGCTCGAGTCCGGTGGGCAGCTTGTGGTTGTAGGAAGGCAGCATGCAGATGTCGCTCGCCTGGAGCTTTGGTGCGAACTGCTCCTGCAGCTTCCCGGACATTTGCAGGAGCTTTGCAGGCTCGAGTGGAGCTTCCAGCAGGCGCCGGATCTCCCGCAACAAGTCGTCCATGGACCGGTCGTACGTCCGCACTGCATCTCGTACGCGCTTTCGAGAGGGGAGTGATGGGAGCACGGAGTGGATGAGCGAGGGCAGCATGACGATGCGTTCCAGAGCCGCGAGCAGGCTCTGCCAAAAGTCGAACATGGGTTTTATATACCAGCAGCGGGTGCGGTCGGTGGCGGGAGAGTCACTGGCGGCGCGGGCGCAGTCAGAGTCCGGAGTGAGGGTCATGCGGCGGCTTTTGAAGCGTTTCAGCAGCAGCGCGGGCATGGGGTGGCAGATGATGGTTTTAATGACGGTGGCAGCGGGGCCAGGTTCTGCGCGGACGGTCGTTTGCAAGCGTATATCAAGCCCGCAGCGGCCAGCAAGAGGATCTCCGGGACGCAGGGACCGCAATGCACAGAGATTTCAGGCGGACCGGTGGCATTTGTTGAGCGATGTCGCAAACGGCTCTTGGGCATGGTTGTACGGCTTATGGGGATATAGGAGAGGGTTGTATCCGCTAAGAGAGCGTACCTAGGGAAAATGCTCCGGCGAGTGGAGGGCAATGCGCGGTGCTGAGGCACGGCAGCGAGCAACGTAAGGGTGGCTGCGGGGGTCTGGGTGGGAGCGCGCCGGGGGAGGGGGGGGCTTGGGGAGCGGGCGTGTGGCCGCGAGCAGCGCTGGACAGGACCGCCGGCCGTCGAGCCAGGCACGCCTGCGAAGGGACGAATTGCGAACTGCGCAGGGCGCGGTGATGGCGAATGGGCGTGGCAGTTTCTTGGGGGATGTTTCGCGACCGCCATTGCTACCGTTACCTTCGTTTCGCGCGCTAGCCCGCATTGGGCGCGCCGCCCTAGCCGGAAGCGGCGCGATAGGAGCGCATCAGCGGGCTTTGCCGCGCGCGCGATTCACCCAGATTGTGGCCGGGTGTGCGGCGGCGCCTCTCGACCGTCTGGCAGCATTGGGCCAGCAGGCCAGGTGCAACGGCAATCAGAGAGTCGCACCGACGAGATTGGCCGTTCTGAGAGCTGCGCGGGGCGGGCTGGCGGGAACGGAGAGCACGTGCCTCGCCGCCGGCCCCGGGGATCGGCCAAGCCAGATCGCGCTTGGCCAGATTGGGCCGGCCGTCTGCACGCCGCAGCCGGCTGGCTTCCACCCCCGTCACCCGCTGCAAAGTGCTCCTGCAAGCCGCCTGGCCATCGAGCGCACGCCTCGCCGCCTCGCGCTCAGCAGAGACGTCCCGCCCGCATGCGGAGACGCTGCTGCCCCGCGCCGTACTGGTACCACGCCAGTGTAACCGCCAAGCTCTCCCACCCCCTCGGGGACAATGCTTGATCTGGGGGCGAGATCTGCCATGTCCCGTGAGGTGGTGAGTGGCCAGAATGCGCTGAAACATTGTGTTTCGCTGCCGTGCGTGGGCACTCGAGAACGAGCAAGCTGTCATTTTGGACACGCGCGCGCCAGGTAGCAGTCGCCCTCGCTCAGCTCGGCAGCCCGCTGCATGTTGCAGTTGCGCCCTCGATACGGCCGGCCAGTCTCACATGTCAGAGGTCTAGGCGGGGCTGCTCGGTGGACTGGAATGCTGCCATGGCATTTACTATCGCGCAGGAATACGAAGACGAAGGGACAATGGAGCGCTATCTATCAGTCTACGATAAATCGACCGGAATGTGCTGGGTTTCTGGTAGGTGCGTGGACTATCGAATCCGCATGGCGCTTTGTTGACGCTCGTTCTACTACCAGCACTCAATTTGCCGTCTGACACAATACCAGGGGTATGAAACCCGCGCCGTCAGTGTGGCACCCAAGCTTCCTGTGCCACCTTCCATCGCGGAATGCGAGCGAATCAAGAATGCGCCCGTACTATGGTAGAATGACTGGCACTTCCCGTCAGACAAACATTATCATTCGACTACTTAAGGCTCCTGGGCAGTGGCAATGGCGAGTTGCCGCAGCGTACCAGATCACCAAACTCCGCGTCGTGGCTATGCAAGAGATTAATGAAAGGGATATCGAGCAGAGACCTGCAAACGGATCTCAGCGTCAGACCGTCCTGCTAAGCCAGGCGACATAACTCTGCCGAAACATTTACAGGAAGAAGAGAGCAGGAAAAAAGGTATCCATAAAGAAGCATGTACCGTGCAGCACCTCTCTTCACGTCGACATCTCCACGATCCACTCAAACCTTCTCCGAAACGTCCACGCTGCCGCCGCGGGCGACGTGTGTCTTCGCAGCGACTTCATCGATGGTCTCGTCGGTGAACTTGATATCCTTCTCCAGCGACACGCTGTCCTCGACCTTCCAAAGGATCACTGGCAGGCCAACGAGGAGACTTCCGGCCAGGAGACCCCAGTTGGAGGCAAACATGTTCATGTACGAAATCTTGTTGTCGTCCAAAGCCCAGGTGATGGCACCACCGGCCGACTGGATTCCCTTGTAGAAACCAGCAAAGTTGGCAAGCTTGCGTCCGTTGTTTGTCAAGGCACCCATGAACCTACTAATAGTTAGTACTTTCGCAAGGATTCTGCTTGAGCTTCGCTACGTACCAGTAGACGCAGGTTTGCCATGCGGCATCGGCGAAGCCATAGAACATGTAGAGAACGAATGGCCCGGCAAATCCGGGATCCGACCAGTCTTTCTTGACGTTGGCCTCGTCCTCCGCCCAGGCGCGGTCATAGGTCCTCTGGAATTTGAGACCACAGCCCCAAACGATCATGATGAGAGCCAGGAGCGCGACCCAGGCAGCCTTGGCACGCGTGGTTCGGCGGACGCCCTTGAAGTCGAGGGCAAAGCCGAAGACATAAGCGCCCACGATCTGCATCGAGTAGTAGACTACGCTGTTCAGGGCGCGGGTACGGAGGTTGAAGTAAGCGCCGTTGATCTCGGTGAAATGGTAGGCGTAAAACCAGTTGGACGCGAGGAACATGGGGAACAGGGCGATGATGTAAGGGTCCGTGAAGAAAGTCTCCCAAAGACCCAAGATCTCCGACTTCCACGACGGGTGCTTCATCACAATCACTTTGGAGCCATCGTCACGGATGACGGCCTTGGCGTCGACGAGTGTCCACGCAAGCGCGGCACCGATGAGAGTGAGGACCAGAAATCCGACGTAGGTGCCATCGGTGACGGGCTTCGGCGTAGTGGTGTGGATGTTCTGGCCCAGCGGAATCTGGAAGATGTGGTTAGCCGAGTGTTTGAAACGGGCGGCGCATTGTAGCACAAGCTTTTTGCGCGCGTGACTTACCAGACCGCCAATGACAGCACCCAGGTTGAAAATCATCCAGAACCATGAAATGTAGCGGCCTTTGGACGCCTCAGGGGGATAGGACATCATAATGGCGCCCTGGGCGCACCACAGCAGACCGGCGCACACACCAAGAAGCGCGCCAGCGAAGGTAGTGAAGCCGAGATTGTGGGTGTGATTGTAGCAGAGGAACGAGGCTACGTAGACGGAGTAGCCGATGCCGCCAAAGGACAAAGCGGTGCGGATACCGAGCTTGTTGGTGAAGGTTCCGGCGAAGAAGCCGACGACGGAGAAGGTCGAATACAGGGCCGTGTTCGCGTGGTTGTTGGCGGTGGCGTCCATCTGGCCGCCTCCGCCCATGCCATTGAGTGCGTTGAACATGCCCGGGCACATGAAGCAGACGAAGGAGACGATGACCAGCTGGGTGGGCGGCGAGGCATACCAGGGGAACGTGTAGCCGAAGAGGCTGACGCGCCTGTACTTCCACGAGTTGGGGAGCTCCAGGGCGCCGTTGGGGTCTGCGACCGAGTGCTCGGGGGTGTTGACCTCGTGCGAGGCGTCCTTGGACTCGTGCGTTGCCATTGTGGGCGTCGTCTGCGATGGGCACAGTCGGGGCCTGTGGTGGGGGGGCTGGGGGTTTATCAAGCGGAAGAGAGCGCCCACTCCACGGCGATGGTAAATGCTTGCAGATCGCGTTTGCGAGTAGTTAGTGGAGGTGAAGGAGGCGGGCGAGCCGGAGTGGGTCGAGGGCCATTTTAAGCATCTGTCGGCCAGGGTCCAGCATTCACTTCACCCTCCTGGGAGCTATCCGTATCGGGCTATAACGCGGCGCTCTAGCTCGCACACGCGACAGCCGGGGGCCACGGTGATATGGGCCCACCAGCCTCGAAATAGCGGGCGTCGAGGAGTCGTTGGCTCCGGGTCGACGCCGCCAACGCACGGCGGCCTGCAACCCACCGCGCCCGCGCCCGAACGGGGTGCGCTGCTGCAGCTGGCCGGGAGGCGCTCGCGGTTTTCGGGTGGATTGCTCGAGGGCAGCCAACGAGCGCGGTGGAGCGCGGTGGAGCGCGAGGGTGTGCCGCTGCTGGGGCTGCGATAAGCTCCTTAGCTCGACGGCCACGCCTGTAACGCTCTGCCGGGAATGTAACATCAACCTCGAGTCTGTATCTATCCTCGCATCGCCGCCGGCTTGTCAGCGCCTTGCGCAGCGTGATTGCTCCAGCTCCGCATCGCTATCCCCCCCGGTCGGCTCTACCCAGCCTCGACCCCCTCTCGTGACATCTCATGTCGCCGTAGCATGGCAGCGCGCCGTGGCCGTGGAAAGCCGGCAGGCGTATCACAGATTGGCGTCTTGTGCTACCACCTTCACCTACCACCGCACCGCATCAGAGCTTCGTCTGACCTGTGGCCGTGGAGCGCCGTGCCGCCGTGACCCGACGGCTGGCTATCGACGTGCGCTTGGGGAGAACATGTCGCATTTGGCGTCCGCCATTCGCCGCCGCGCCCATTCTGACAAAGGGACCCTGACTGAGAACGAGCATGCGACCGGCCCCGCAAAATGACGTGAACGTGAAGCATCTGGTGCCTCTTGAATAAATGCTCGTGCCTGGCCTGCGCCGAGCCTTCAAAGCCTCTCCGACTCCCTACCCAGACACCCGAACACTGCACCCGATACTCGAAACATGTATGCACCTTCGCTGGCCCGGCTCCCGACATCACGCTTACCGCTTGCAGGCGTCTAATCATCAGAGACGATCCGCAGACCGCGTCCAAGTACATCGCGGACTACATTATTGGTGCATATGCAGCCCCCTTGCACTCCTCCCTCCTCACCGACCTCAGCTAACGGCGAGACCCAGAACGCATAAAAGCCTTCAATCCCACGCCGGAGAGACCCTTCGTGCTGGGCTTGCCCACCGGCAGCAGCCCCGTCCTGGTATACCAGAACCTGGTCCAGCGGCACAGAGCTGGCGACATCTCTTTCCGCAATGTGGTTACCTTCAATATGGTAAGATGCATTGGCCTGCAGGAATCGCGGCTCCCTTGCTTGGCCGTGTGGCACAGCAGCATGGCTTTGAACCAGTGGCTGACCAGCTGTAGGACGAGTACGTCGGGATCCCGCGTGAACACCCCGAAAGCTACCATAGCTTCATGTACAAGCATTTCTTCTCCCACGTAGACGTCCGGCCCGAGAACATCAACATCCTCAACGGCAATGCGCCCGACCTGGAGGCCGAATGCCAGGAATACGAGGAGAAGATCAAGCGAGTTGGCGGCATCGAGCTGTTCCTGGGCGGCGTTGGCCCCGACGGACACCTCGCCTTCAACGAGCCGGGGTCTAGTCTCAAGTCGCGCACTCGCGTCAAGACCCTTGCCTACGATACCATTCTCGCCAACTCGAGGTTCTTCGGGAATAATCTGGATCAAGTGCCCCGGATGGCGCTGACCGTTGGGGTCCAAACGGTGTTGGATGTAAGTGTCTCCTGCAGAGGCAGGCATCATTGTCTGACCAGCGCCAGGCACGGGAAGTGGTGATTATCATCACCGGGGCGCACAAAGCCCTTGCCCTGCAGAAGTGCATCGAAGAGGGCATCAATCACATGTGGACCCTCTCGAGCCTTCAACTGCATCCGCATCCCATGTTAGTCGTCGACGAGGACGCTACACTTGAGCTAAGAGTCAAGAATGTGAAGGTTCGTTCATCCCTTCCCCTTCTCTTCAAGGCTCTGGCTGACTCACATGCAGTACTTCAAGAGCATTGAGAAGGTCGCAAACGAGCTCGGCTTCCGCCAGATGCTTCCCCGAAAGCGCGATTCGGTCGTCGGCGATGAAATCCTTCCTGCACCACTTCCTCAAAGAAACGGTCTTCAGCTCGCTGTGCCGCAACAGGACATGTCGCGTTCCGCGAGCCCGGTTCTCGAGCCCATGAGTGCACGAATCTCCGACGAGGAGGCCAACTTGCAGGCTATGGACGCCCTCGATGACCCGAAGCCGATTCCCATGAGCGCCCGCGTTGTCGGTTGAAGTAGGTGGTGGTTAGATCACCGTGGACATTTCAGTTGGACAAACGGACTTTCGTTTCGAATCCCCAGAGGGCACGACTCTCGTTTCCATAGACATTGACACCGTCGTTGGCGAAATTGCGTTAAGTGGAGCAGATTGTCGGTAGAGGAACGTTGCAGGCTCCGGTAGCACTGATAATATTCAACGTAGATATTGCCGTTTCCTGGTATGGGCTGGGGTGTACGAAGATATGATGGAACGTCTGCATCGATATTTGGCATGATTAGAGATACCCTGTTTGTATGTAGCGTCTGTATTGCGTACCTGTATGGATATGTGTATACTTTGTATGATGTATAGTTCGATTCAACTGTCCGTACACTGTCCGTGTTTGTTATGCGAGCCGTACACTCGTCGTCCCAAGAGAACAACGCTCTATATGATGTAGCTCGCCGCGTAAAACCTAACTCAAGAGCGGACGTGACCTTGGGGCGTGCATGTCGAACAGTGGCAGCGCACGTGCGGTTTCCGTGGAGCGCAGAGTTACCGAGGCACGTCATGGCCAGCTCCATGGATCATGGTTGTCACTGGCCTTCTCCCAATGTCGTGACCACAACAACAGCACGCAACAGCATGGTCGTGGGCGCGATAAGTCAACCGAACCATCATGTCGTCCTCGAGCGCCTCCGAGCCATCCCCCTCTGGTAGGCCTGAACGAATTGACCCCGTCCTGCGCAACGCACTCCGCTACACGATAAGCCCACGAGAGTACAAGCTCCTCCATCAGTACCTCCTTTCCCGCGCTCCTGCTGTGCGCAAGCGCACACTGGCGCCTCGACGATACGATGCGATTGCGAAAGGATCGGATGACTACAATGCCGCTGCCATCCGCGATTCGTTGCGGCTGGCCGTCTTGACCTTCTCTGGGCTCAAGGCATGGGACTTAGTCGCTGAAAAGCTGCTGGCCCGAGGAACTACTAAAAGGTGCAACAATTGCGCTGCGATTACTATGCCATGCTAATACTGTTGCAGGCCTCAGCACCGACTCCCCGTTTGGAAGTCCCCCAACGTCCGCTTGACGTGTTCTCTGTCCTTCATCCTCCTCTTCCACCGACTCCTGCGCCGCTTCTTCACCCGCCTTCGCGAGAGCCTCCTTACCCCGGATGCAAAGCCCTTCCGACGGCGGAATCCCCGCATATCGCGGTCGTTGACCTCAAGGCTTGCTCCCGCGATCGGGTCAAGCATCGCAGGCTTCCTGCTGGCGGTATGCCCTGGCGATCAGCTGCGCATCACCATCGCGATATACGTCTTCACGAGGGCATTGGAGTTTTGCTACAACTATCTTGAAGAACAAGGGTATTTCCGCAATAGGCCGTCTTGGTTCGGATCGTGGATGCTGATGCCCGTGGCCTGCGGACAGCTTCTCCATGCGTTTGTGTTCGATCGCGATTGCTTCCCAGCCGCCTACGGCAACTTCATCCTGGATAATTCGCCAGAGTATATTCAGAAGCGACCCGTCAATTATCCCGGACGCCTGCCATGGCCGGGTACTTTCGACATTGTGGACAGCCTTGCACAGATCTCCAAGTCGCGCTGGCCGCCATTCACGTCTCCCATACTCTTTCCTGCATCCGAAACGCTTCCAAGGACGCTCACTAAGATTTCGCCAATTACCTCGCCCGCGCATCCAGCGATCAAGAATCTGTCTTGCGCATTGCTCCACCCCAACGACCCCTCTTGTATGCGGACATATGTATCGTACTGGATCCAGGCTTTTCCGAAGGTCGCCCGCTTCTTCGCCATAATCTTGACAGCACTCAGCATCACGCGTTACAGAGCCTTCATTGACTCTCCAGTGGCCGCGCTTAACAAGCTAGCGAAGAGCATCCTCCGCATGTCCATCTTCATCTCAGGCGCCATTGGAACAAGCTGGGGATCCATCTGCCTCTTCCAACATATCTTCCCCCGAAACTTTCTTCCAACCCAGCGATGGTTTCTTGGAGGCTTCTTGGGCGGCATGTGGGCCTTTCTCGAGCGCAAGCATGGGCGCGGAAACTTCTTGTACTCCGCGCGGATGTCGATCGATTCCCTGTGGAAGGTCGGCGTTAAGCGCGGCTGGTGGCGAGGCATCAAGAACGGAGATGTACTTCTCTTCGTCCTGAGCCTGGCTACAGTAAACGCCCTCTATGAAATGTCTCCGCGGTCCATCAACAGTGGTGTTGCGAGGAAGGGCCTGGGGGTTTTAAGAGGCGAAGGATGGGTTGACAGAGCGGCTTTGCCACGGGAAGAAAAGGGAAAGGCGTCCGATGACAATGAATAGGCCTAACAAGACCACCTATTATGAGCGTACGAATGAGTGTATAATGTTGTTTAACGACCGAACATGTCTAATGAGGAGGATTGTTACTTTAGTAATCGATTGCCATTCTGTAAATTTCACACACTATTCACCCGCGCCTTTCCCTAGTATGACTATGGATGCTCGAACATTATTGAACACCCAAATGCACGTCTTCGACGCTCGGGGCCAGCACGTGTTGGTCCCGTTCCCTCGGCGATTATCGCGGAGATTGATAGGTGGGGCAGCCTCACACGAAACGCGCAAGCTCCCCAACCTCAACTTTTGCGCGAATTTTTTCATCAATACATCTACAAATTCATCTAGCGCATCTATAGTGCATTCCAGAATGGCAGCCAAACCAGAAGAAGTCGATGTCGTGACTGTCGACTCCGTATCTGAACCTGCTGCAAAGCAACCCGAAACGGCAGCGGCTCCCGAGAAGGCCGAAGAGAAGAAAGTCCAAGAGCCTCCAACAGCAGAGATGAAGAACCTGAACGTCTCAGAAAAGGAAACCGAAGGAGCAACCGCCGCCGTTGCCATAGCATCCGCCCCCATCGCAGCATCAACCAGCCCCTCAACATCATCTCAAAAACCTACCCCAGCCTCAGGAGAACCCATCTGGCCCGAAACCCCTGCCGATCACCCCCTCTCGCAGTTCTACAACACCTTCGAAGAGCTCGTCAAAGAAGCCTCCCACTCCGAAGTCTACGGCATCACGCTCTCCAAAACGTCTCCCTTCCACACCAAGCTTATCCTGCAAAAGTTCCTGCGCGCCAACGCGAATGATCTCGCCAAGGCGAAAGAGCAGCTCCTCGAGACGTTGAAGTGGCGGAAAGAGTTTGACCCCGTGAAGGCTGCGCAAGAGACGTTTGCGCGGGAGCGGTTTGAAGGGCTGGGCTGGATTTTGCAGGTTGAGGGCGTGCCGGAGAGCGTGAATAAGAAGGACGTTGTTACTTTTAATGTCTATGGGAAGGTCAAGGATAATAGGAAGACGTTTGGCGATTTGGAGAGGTGAGTTGTATTTCTATCTATCCATCCCCGGCCTTGGGCGATATCACGTGCGAACCGTGGCGGTGGGCGCGCATTTATACTAGCTGGCGGATACAAGTCCCCCTTACGAAGCCGCCCTTCCACCCGCACAAGCCCGCTAACACCTACCCAGCTTCCTCCGCTGGCGCGTCGCCCTCATGGAACGCTCCATCCAGCACCTTGCGCTCCCCTCCGCCGCTGCTCCCATCCCCAACTACGGCGAAGGTCCGGACCCCTACCAAGGCATCCAAGTGCACGACTATCTGTCCGTCTCCTTCCTGCGGCAAGACCCGCTCGTCAAAGCGTCTAGCAAGAAAACCATTGAAATACTCGGACGCTACTACCCTGAGACGCTATCACGGAAATTCTTCGTCAATGTGCCCGTTGTTATGGGCTGGCTGTTTGCAGCGATGAAGCTCTTTGTGGCCAAGGAGACGGTCAAGAAGTTTACGGTGCTGAGTTATGGGAACCAGCTGGCAGATGAGTTGGGATCGGGGGTGCCGAAGGAGTATGGTGGGGACAATGGGAGCTTGGAGGAAGTGGGGGAGGGGATGAAGTTGGATGGGTAGACGGACTGATGCAAGAGCACGATGGCTGGTATTCTGGCTGAGGGCTTCGCAGGAGAGGAGCGGTCGATGCTGAGGCGTGATGGGTCCTCTAGTCTGGGCGATCTGTCCACCGATGCCGATGTTGAGAGGAGGGATGGGTGAAGTGGTGGAGCAGGTACCGTCAGGCGAGAAGCGCTGTTCTAGAGACATTTTTGGGTAACACTTTGTAGCTTACAAGCACGTACATACTTTGTAGATATACCCCGCTCAAAAGAGACCACTCATTTTTATGTATCCGTTTATTGACTATATGCAAAACTTCATTGGCGACTGCATCAGGTATTAAGAACTGGGCTTGATATGTATCTACGGATCAGGCTCTGCCCAGGCAAGGTGTGCATGTTGGTTGTCTCACGATGCTTAATACGATTGAACCCTACTCGTTGCAATGACCATTATGACAGGCCATGGAAACCCTTTCCCACACCGTGTATGATCTTCTTCGTCCAGCTGTGCCTGAATGCATTCGTCGGCGACGAGATTTTTTTTAAAATTTTTTTACGTGATGTACGAGCAGATATAGCGAGGACGGGGAGCCCAAGTGTCTGACGTCTAAGTCCCGCTGAACAGAGGTCAGCCAGGGCGTCGAGCCTCAAAACGGGTCCAAACGGAAGGTGAAGGGTAGCATCAGTCGAAAGATGAAAAGCGTTATATTTTATCCAGCATCAGGGGAGAACCCTTCAGTGCTAGCATGGAATATAATTTCGTCATCATTGCGGGTGAAAGGAAAGGGCACCATACACGTACCTGGGGCCAGTGTAGTTGCAGTCCTTGCTGCTTGTAGGTGGAGGCGCAATGCCTAGATCTATGACGTTTCAGCGATGATCGCGTACAAGTGCGGAACGTCTCGAAGATCGAATATGAGGCTTTTCAGGTAATCGAACTGTTGGATCCCCACGGTGTGGTCGGTATTTGATCGTACAAAAGGTTGCTCATCTTATAAGGCCATTGAGTAGGGCTTGAATGACTGACCTGATGATACCCTGAGAGCGCGACAGAGCCTAACGCGTCTAAGGTTCGCCTCAGAGTGACTGCGCTGTATCAATCTTATGGAGACCGACGCCGGCAACGGCGAAGCTTGCGCTGAGGTGACATCGAGCTACCGAGACCGCCGAGAAGACTCATTCGGGCGGATGAACGATTAAACGGCGGTTTAGGAGATTGTGTCGCCGTGCGAGCCTAGGTGGTACATCTTCTATTTCTACGTGGGTCAGCGCGTGTTCCCTTCTCGATATCATGATAATGACGAGACAGTGTGCGAATCTGCAAAAATCAGAGAATCCCGTTTGGCATGGGGGTCAATCACCATCGTAAATATGATAGGGGCGACACGAAAGCTCATCCTGGAAGGTGGAGAGGAACAGGAGGAATTGCGACTTACCAGCATTGGCGTTGAAACGCGATGGAGGAGAAAAGTTCACGATGAAATTTTAGCCCCGCGGCGAGGGTTTCCCCGACGCCGAAACGACGCTAGTGCGAGCTCCGTGGCGGCGGTCCGTGCGCCTTCTCCGTCGACGCGCCCCAGCACGTAGAACATCTGTGCCCCGGCCCACACGAAATCTCTCCCTGCCCACACCACCACGACCCTCTTTCGATAGCCCAACAGCATCCCTGTTCACCATGGCAGGAAACGTATCCTTTGCCGATTTTGTCAAGAAGACTCGCGACCAGAAGCAGAAGGAGGCTCTCGCGCAAGATTTCCTGGGCAGCCGTGGGCGCAAAGCGAATGGCTCCGGCGCCGGCGCACTCCCCAATGCCCGTCCTAACCCGCAGAAACCGAGCCTTGCGAGTCGCATCAGTGGTGGTGTCCAGAAGCGCTCGTCTTCGGCGAAACCAGCCGGTGGTAGTATCGACGGGAAATGGCAGCACGACCTGCACAAGCTCAACAACCCCAATGGACCAGCACCCAAGCGACTCAACCGCACCGCTTCGGCTTCGCTGATCGACCGCAATACACGCACCTTCGACAAGTTCGCACCCGTCGTGAGCAGGAATGCGCGGAACAACGACACCAACGACTCGGCCGGATTCAACATTAGAGGTGTCGCTACCGGACAAGGTCCGTACACCGTCGTCGCCAGCAACTTCGCGCCGGGCACAACATCAGCCGACATCGAGGCCGTTGTGGCTCCGCATGGAGGAGAAGTGCTCAGCTGCCGGGTGGTCACTGCCGCTCCCACGGTTATGGCCGAACTCATCTTTGCAACGAAGGAGGGCGCGGACAATGTTATTGCGACCTTCAACAACAAGAAGGTTTGTGTGAGAAGCCCATGTGCCTTTGTGCCCTCAACTGACATCAGTACAGGCTGACGGTAGACTTCTCTATGTATACTTGAAGACGCCCCCTGGCACATCACTCGCCCACCAGCGACCCACAGGCCGCGCTGCGCAATCGTCCTTCGACGATATGGACATAGACACGAATGGCGGGGCTCGTGCTGGTAGCTTCCAGGATGGACGATACGGCTTCAATGAGAATAGGCGAGGGGACATTCCGCGAGGTCCGCGTAGGCGGTATTGAGCCGTAGAGCGGCGTTCATTCGTTATTCAAGTACGATACCCTTTCACGATTCAATGGCTACGATCCGGCTCTGTCGAGGTAATCGAAAGACTTGCGAGTAGAGGATATGGACACTGACTTGTCCTGCGCAGGAGCGGATCGTTCTTTAGTATGCATAGCCCGGAGTAATGCGGTTATGAGGATTCAAATAGCGGTCAACGCGGGCTGATAGGTATTCGGTATGCGCTAGGCTAGCCTCGAAAAATAGACCATGCAATCCGACGAAGCTCCTGCAGTCCGTGAGCACGGTCATTCGTGAGCGAACAGTGACTATTCGACTGATTCGCATTGTGGGTCCTCTTGTTGATGCCCACGGCACTGATCAAATAGAACTCTTCACCATGACAACACTTTGCTTATCGTACTGCGACGGGCGCAAGTGTTCATCTTGTTCGGGATGACTCCGCAACACTGACTTAGAAAGTTTGCGAGACTGTCGATCGCGTGTAATGTCGTTCCTATTTCTCGCCTCCACCCGCGACAAGTTGAACGAGCAAGAACAGCCCAATCGCCCACCAGTATCTGCGTGGACAGTTAGCATCGATGCCTAGACTATACATACACACGCGTGTGTAGAGTTAGGGCTCACTTCTGCAAGAACGTCTTCTCTGGCTCCTTGCTGTCCAACTTCCCCTCCGCATTCAACACAATCGGCTTATTCAACACAGGCTTCGGGCCCACTCCCCTTATCACAACCTCCACCTCCACCTCCTCTCCACTCTGGCCCTTCGCGCTGGTGCCGAATCCCACATGATACGGTTCTCCCTTCTCATCTACATGCACCACGAACTTCTTCTTGTACTCGTCCGCAAAACTAGCAGCCGATGTTACCACGCCGCGCCATGATCCGGATTTCGGGTCGTGTAGGCCGATGCGCAGGAGGTGCTCGGGGGAGTATGAGCCGTGGGGTGGTGTGTAGGAGGTTACGGTGCCAGTGGGCGTGGTGGTTGAGGTGTCGTATTCGATGTGAGCGAGGGGAATGGGGGAGGGGATTATGGAGGCGGTGCCGGTGGTGGGTGGGACCGAGTGGACGTAGATTGTGACGGAGGAGGCGACTGCAACAGGCAGCAGGAGCAGTTTGGAGAGCAGCATTTTGGCCGGGTTGGGGGTTTTGATGCTCGATCTCCTCGGGGTTGTTGTTGGAGGAAGCTTCGGAGGAAGGTGAGCTTGGTTTCGGAGTAAGGTTCAGCCGAACCAACTCTATCACTACACGTTCGTCCTTCTCCAAGCACCAGCACCCGCTTCGCTTCTATCTGGTATCGCCCTGATTATATGGGAAATAATTCCCTACGGTTACTGCGAATTGCTTACACAAGGCTGTGTTACGGCTGGGTCCTGAGAAGGCGGCTGAACAACTCGAGATCCAGAAGCCCTCAGCCCTACTTCAGCACCTCCAGCCACAGAGCCTAAGCGATTGTGGCCGTGCACAAGAATCCTTATGCCTTTTCTTTTTGCTGCGACCTTCCCACATCCAAATCCATGCCCACGCCCAGCTTCCACGCGCCACCCGAGTCCCTGCCGTGTGTTCCGACACCGCGCACTCCTGCCTAGGCATCCTATCGTTGCTTTGCGCGGCAAGATCTGCTGTCGAAAGCGCCAACAGCAGGTCGGGATCCCCAAAACAGTGGAGCCGAAGCTCACGATCTCCGCGCTGCGCCAGGAGCTACGGGCACGTTCAGGCGCCAATCCCACGAAAAGCGGACCTGGCCCAATTGCTTGACTATCAGGTTCACTAAGCAGGAGCTCTGCCCCGCCCCCCACCATGCTAAAGTTTTTGGGAGCTGAGATGAGCTCATCCCGCAGCCACAGCTTTGCTGTTCTCCTCAACACTATTTCCTAAGCTTTGAAGCGTGCTTTCCCTCGCTCTCTTCTCCCTCAACCTCTAATTCCCTTTCAATTGCACTCGGGTAAACCGTCAAAATGGCTACTTCACTTCCTCTGAGAAAGCCGTCGCGGCAGCTGTCCACCGATCCTCGCAATGAGCTTCATCCGCACGTTGACCACTACATCGGCATCGATGTGGGCACAGGCAGCGCCAGAGCCTGTATCATGAATGATCAGGGTGACATTGTAGGACTGGCATCGGAGAACATTGGCCTGTGGCAGCCACAGACTGGTTACTATGTATGCCGCCCTTAATGCAGCATATTTCTCGACGAGGCAGCGTGGGAGAACAAGGCTGAGAAAATGCCAGGAACAATCGACAACAGACATCTGGCACTGCATCTGCTCCTCGGTCCGCCGGGCAATCGACCAGCACGGCATTGACCGCAGCACCGTCCGCGGCATTGGCTTCGACGCTACCTGCTCTCTCGCCGTCTTCTCCCACGACACGGATGAGCCTGTCTGCGTGACCGGACCCAACTTCGAAAACAAGGACGGCAACGATCGCAACGTTATTCTATGGCTCGATCACCGTCCGGTGGAGGAGACCAACAAGATTAATGCGACCAACCACAACCTCCTTCGATACGTCGGAGGCAAGATGTCCATTGAGATGGAAATTCCGAAAGTGCTGTGGCTCAAGAACAATATGCCGAAGGAGCTCTTCGACCGCTGCAAGTTCTACGACTTGACCGATGCGCTTACTCACATTGCGACTGGAAGCGAGACGCGCAGCTTCTGCAGCGTGGTGTGCAAACAAGGCTTCGTCCCGGTCGGTGTAGACGGCAGTGTCAAAGGCTGGCAAGAGGATTTCCTCAAGGATATTGGTCTCGAGGACCTATGCGAAGATAACTTCAAGCGCATGGGCGGTGTCGATAATGTGGTGACGTTCTACTCTACCGTGGGCAGAATGCTCCGACTGACTGTTGGTAGAACGGACGTTACCTTACGGCCGGCGAGCTGGTCGGTACACTGAGCGAGAAGGCAGCATCGGACATGGGACTTCAGCCGGGAATTGCAGTAGGTAGCGGCGTCATCGATGCCTACGCAGGCTGGATTGGCACAGTTGGTGCGAAGGTTAAGCTGGACGAGGACACACTCGACTCGAGCCACCCGAAGAACGACGTCTCGCAAGCTTTCACGCGTCTTGCAGCCGTAGCCGGAACATCGACCTGCCACCTCGCCATGTCCCGTGAGCCTGTCTTCGTAAACGGCGTCTGGGGTCCATACCGCGACGTTCTGCTTCCAGGATACTGGATGGCCGAAGGTGGGCAATCCGCCACAGGTGAACTCCTCAAGCACGTTATTGAGACACATCCCGCCTTCCAAGAAGCTGCGACGGTAGCCGAGACCTTCAACACCAACATCTATGACTACCTAAACGAGCATCTTCGCGAGATGGCCGAGAAAGAGAGTGCACCGCACATTTCCTGGCTAGGTCGCCACTTCTTCTTCTACGGCGACCTGTTTGGAAACCGGTCCCCCGTCGCAGACCCTAATATGAAGGGCTCTGTTATCGGTCTGAGTTCCGATAAGAGCTTGGATGGACTGGCGCTGTACTACTACGCCACTATGGAGTTCATTGCGCTCCAAACGCACCAGATCGTCTCTGCGATGAACAAGTCGGGTCACGTCATCTCTTCGATCTTCATGTCTGGCTCTCAGTGCCAGAACGATATTCTCATGCAGCTTATCGCTGCTGCATGCGACGTGCCTGTTCTCATCCCGCGGTACGTGCACGCAGCAGTGGTTCATGGTGCGGCCATGCTGGGAGCGAAAGCCGCGAGCACAGACAAAGAAGGCAACAGCGAGCCGCTGTGGGATATCATGGACAGGCTCAGCAAAGCCGGGAAGATGGTGAAGCCGACGGCAGACAAGACGTTGAAGAAGCTGTTGGAGGCGAAGTACAAAGTCTTTCTGGAGCAGTGCGAGAGCCAACAGAAGTACAGGGCTGATGTCGATGAGGCTATCGAAGGGTGGTCGAAGGCTAAGTGAAGCAGTGCGAGTCGTTGCTGGGGGTTCGGTGACGGAAGAGCTACCAGAGAAGGAAATTTCCTAGGGTAGGCTGGCCAGTGTATAGACTAATACATTGCGATCTGACGTCGCGCGGATGTGCGTCACGATGTATGAAGAGCAGAAGATGCGGAGACTTTGTCTGCAGTGCGCACTTCCTTGACTTTGGTTATCGCATTCACATCTTATATAGACTTTCTACACCCTTTACCCACCCAACGATTTATCACTCTTCAAGCCATGGGTCGCACCTGCCCTCTACAATCCGAGTGCACGTCGATAAGACCCGTTTCTGACCTGTGGACTGCACTCATCGTCGGCACTAGGCACCTCGTCTGCTTTCACGCATTGAAACGAATCACGTCCTTTTCCTGTGTCACATCAAGCAAAAGCAAGCTTCGCGCAGCCTCTCCGACCTACGCCCTGGAACCGTCCCGCTGGAGTGACGCTAACTGCCCTGACACATGTTTCCGCAAGCAACGGCTACTGGGTGCCCGAAGCTTCCCTTTACTCTAACGAGATCCCCTCGCGAGCCGTATGGGACGTCTTTGCTTCGCCCAACGCTTCTTCAGCTCGCGGGATTTCCATTCCAGGCTAGAGGCTCGGTTGGTATCCGCTTTGGGGCTCGGAGGTCCCGAGGTCGCACGCAAAAGAGATGGGTTCGCGGTGCAACGTGCGAGCTTCCGATGGCGCGGCTGATATATAAAGAGTGGTGGGCTCGCTCTCGGTGCGCATTCCAGGTCCGCTCCTGCCAGGCTACAGTCGAGTAGACTAGACGCCAAATGCTCTTGTGCCATGCACGCGTCGAGGGACGGCCAGGTATGTCCTCTGCGAACTTGAGCAGACCTTCTAACGCTGCTGCCGCAGACACCATCAACACCCACCTCCACGACCAACGAGCGCACTTCTCTGGGATGCGTCCCTAGCGCTGTCGGAAGAGCCGCGCGCTGCCGCGACATTTCTCCCTAAGACCCACCTTCATCCGCAGCTGGCCACACCAACGTCGACGGCCAATGAGCAACTCGCGGGGGCAGCCATACCGAGACCTCCATAGCCCACCAAGCGCGAGTCGGGACTGGTGGATGCGGACGTAGTGGCCAGCTCCCCGAAACGCCAAGAGGGAGCAGGACAAGCTTTCGGGGTTGCTTCAGGGGGGGCCATGATTATCGGGGCGCGAAGCATTTTGCCAGAGCGTGGATTATCTCATCGCTGCTAGCAGAGGCGAGTCCGGCCAGAGAGTGCGGCGGTATTGGGCCCCGGGTCCCCAGAATGGCATCGGCTTGTGAGTGCGCAAGGCAGATTTGAGGTTGGGGGTGGGCCGATTTCGCGCAGGAGCCACCTGGGCACCGCCGTCAACCCAACCTTACCCGCGCCCCCGGTGCGCACCCCTGGGCCGTTAGAGGTCAGAACACTCGCTCCGCCACTTCGAGGCCGTCCACCGCATTATAAAGCGTCGAATGAGCCTCATCATGCATCCCACCGATCGAGACCATAATGGCAGCCAACGCCATGGACGAGCACAAGCTACGCCAGCTTGAACGCCAGTACAAGCTGCGCGTCAAGACGGGATGCGAGACGTGCAGGTAGGTGGCCATACTCTCCGCCGTCCGAAGCATGCAGGGAGATAACAATTCCGTGCCAGGGCCCGGCGCGTCAAATGCGATGAAGCAAAGCCGCGCTGCTTCCGATGCGTCTCTACCGGTCGTAAGTGTGACGGCTACAAGCATGTCCAGCAAGCCAGAGACCAGTCCCCCGCCGCTGCTGCCTCGTATCGGAATCCGTCCTTCCTGGTGGTACCTCAGAGGCCGTCATCAGCGAGCATCCCTCGGAACCCTTCGCGAAGCCTGTCGCCAGACTCCATGGAAAATCGCTCCTTCTTCTTCTTCCAGTCGCACACGCTTCCAAAGTGGACCGAGTTCTTCGACTCGGACCTCTGGAGTCAGAAAATCATGCAGTTGTGCCACGTCGAGCCAGCTATCAAACATGGCATTCTCGCCCTAAGCACCATGCACGAACGATTCGAGAGCGTCACCCCGATATTCAGCGCTAAGACAAACGACTTTGCCTTCGTGCAGTACATGCAGGCTGTCAAGCATTCCAACGATCTCCTGACCGCCCACCAGGAGGGAAAAGTGGACGTCGAGAAAGTCCTTATAGCCTGCATCATCTTCACTTGCTACGAGAATCTCGCAGGGAACTACAGGGCTGCGAACATGCACCTACGAAACGGACTGCGCATCCTGAATCAACACAAGCGGGACACAGTTATCGCGGCGCAAACAGCAGCACAAGAGTCCATCGCTAATGTCCTGTATCGCTTCGATCTGCAAGCGATGACCTTCTCCGATAACGCGTCACCATATGACTACGGGCTCGACAATCCCCCAGAGTGCCCCAGCGTTCCCGAAACCTACACAAAGAACTCCGCGGCTCGCAACGACCTGGTCGGACTATGGCGGTGCATGATGTGGATATCTGGAGTGGCTAACATCAACCCCCAGGCGCCAGAGCACCCTACGTGGCTCCGCGTCTACACGCAGCTGATGAGCGCTTTCGAGGCATGGGAAAGCACATTCGACGCGTATCAGAAGAATATACCACCGCAGGAGCAAGGCGATCCAAGGATCTACGCCGGGAACACCCTTTTGAAGATGTACTCTATCATGGCACGCACCATCATAGCCGCAGGTGCCGGGCATAGAACAGAAATGTCCTGGGATCCATTGGTCGATTCGTTCAAAACCACGATTGACCTTGCTGAAACACTGCCGGCGCTCACGAAACCTACCTCTCAGTCCTCGTCACGATCTTCAACGTCACCATCGCGCTCTGCACCAGGCACCCCGAAAGCGCAACCTCCACGGCACCGCGTAATCGCCCCCAACCCAGCAACCTCCACCCCTTCCCCACCTCCAGGTACCTCGACCCTAGTGTTCCTTTCAGAACCCACCCCGCCACCCAAAAGGCCGCAAACCGAATGCGAATACACTACCACTCCTGTGGCAAACCGAATGCCCTCTTCGTTCTCGCCCTCCTTCGAGCTATCACCCATCGTCCCTCTCTTCGTCACCGCCTGCCGTTGTCGAGACCCCGTCCTCCGAAGGCGCGCAATAGCTCTTCTTCTAAACTGTAGACGGCGGGAAGGAGTATGGGACTCATTCGGCGCAGGCATGGTAGCACTACAATGCGTAAAGCTTGAGGAAGGCATCGACCAGGTGATGGATCTAGGGTCGGAGAATTGGCTGCCCCTGACCCCGCGGTGCAAGCACAGCGCAGATGTACCGGAGAAGAGGAGGGTGCAGGACGTTTTCGTTTCGGTCAATATGGCGGAGCGGCAAATTGGCGTCAACTATCTGATGCGGAGTGGGGAGGCTCTTGATCGGTATGTTCGGTTCTAACCTTAGTCTTGATCGCTTTGTTTTGCATAGCATACGGCGGCATGATACACTAGGATTTGCATAGCGTTTATCTGATATGATACATTTAGCATCCTGACCTACAGTCTCGCATCTAACCTGTCTATGTTCAAATTGCCGTCCGATATTGACATCTGGAGTTGGAGTTGGCGTACGTGTTTTTAGTCACTCTCAATCTATCTTTCTGACCTTACCTAGACACTAGCCAGGTATAGTGGGTGGCCGCCTACCTTTGGATCCCGACAGGACGTACACCTATCAAACGGATTATAGAACGTGGGATTTGTTGGAATCCTCTGTAACATGCCTATCCCCCCTTGAACCCATAGCTCAACGAGCTACATGCACCGACAGAGTAGCTCGCTGCTCCGATCCAATGAGGTGGTAAACGGTGAAACCTTGGCTTTGGGGCTTCGTTCCGCGCACTGTCACAGCGGACCGGTATTAGGTCTAATGTTAGAACCTCCCGACACGATAGAAAGCCGCGCGAAGGATCATGCAAGAACGCGTAGATTGCTGAACAGAGGAGGACCGGAGTACTGATGGTCAGCTTTGCTCCTGCTCAATCCTGATTGGTGGTGCATTCACCCCACTTTCCCGTCTCGGCAGCACGCGAGTCAGACGGCTTCGCGTACAGAATCCCCTCTCCCCACTCTTCGACGCTTCCGTCGTTCAATTCACCTTCCAATGCCCGCCTGATCCTTCGTCATGATTTCTCTTCAGCCCGGAAGCCTTTCGAAGTGAGAAAGGCAGCGATGAAGACGACCTCGCGATGTTGCAACCATCGGTTCAAGATCCTCCGAGTAGCTTGTCCCGAATATATTGACCTGTTTGGATGTAGACACAAGCCCGCCATTCCCCCGCGAAACGGCAATATAAACGGAGCTTCTCGCTGGTTTCTTGATGCCCTTAGGCCACATTTCGTCGACGGAAGAACTCCTAGTACCTAATCGTCTAACATGATGAAGGGTGTGAGTTTTTCCTTTCGGTCCGAGGCTCTTCTCTATAGGCGGTGGTAGGGACGCAGGTTTTGTGTACTTTCTTACGCTCGCTCTTCTTGATTCTATAGGATTCGAGCTTGGAAACGTCTTGGACAACAAGCAAAATGCTGCCGATATCGACACTCCTGGGCGTGCTGGGCCTCGTGGCAACAGGAATTAGTGCGCCCAGTTCCCTCGTCTCTCGCGCCCAGACAGTCTATCTAGCAGGCGACTCCACCATGGCGAAAGCAACATCCAACATCCAAGGTCCGACCTTCTCACCCCTTCCTATACATGACTCCCTTCAAGCAACTAACACGCACCTAGGCTGGGGCGTCTATCTCCCGTACTCGCTCAGCCTCCCAGTGGTCAACAAAGCCATCGGCGGCCGCAGCGCGCGCTCCTTCACCGTAGAAGGCCGCTTCGACGAAATCGTCAAACTAGTCCAGCCCAACGATATCGTCGTCATTGAATTCGGACACAACGACGGCGGCAGCTTGTCTACCGACAACGGGCGCACGGACTGTCCCGGTGCCGGAAACGAGACATGCACAAGTAACTACAACGGCCAGACCGTCACCGTGCTGACGTACCCCGCGTATCTGGTGAATGCGGGCCGCGCCATGGTGGCGAAAGGTGCAAAGGTCATCATTAGCAGCCCGACCCCGAATAACCCCTGGGAGGGCGGCACGTTTACCTACAGCCCGAGCAGGTTTACGACGTATTCGAAAGATGCGGCGACGAAGATCGGGCCGAGTGCTATGTTTGTGGATCATGGCACGTATACGGCGAATATCTTCAAGTCGCTGGGCAAGGCCAAGGTCGATGTTATGTACCCTAACGATCACACGCATACGAGTCCAGCGGGCGCGGATGTTGTGGCCGGAGCTTTTGTTAAGGCGGTGTTGTGTGCAGGCGGGGGGTTCTTGAATGGGTTTATGAAGAATAGTACGGCGAGTGTAGCAGGGGCGTGTGTGTAGGGATGATGCTACGAAACCAATTTGTAAAGCGCCCAATTACTACACAGCGCTGCTCACATATGCCCAATTCTTCTAAGCCACTATGCTGTGTCTACGAGGTCTGTCACTGGTGCATGGTTTGTTCCTCATTTGGTATATCCCACTGGTCCAGTGTCAACAACTCTGCTAGACACTTCTCTCGGTATTCGGTGACCCGGTCTCTCCTCTCTCTTCTGTGTCATACCCATCCTCATCCTCGACATCGTCCATTTCCTCGCCCTCGTGCTCTCCTTCTTCCCTATCCTTCCTCTTCCCATATACATTCAAAAGCGTCGTCCACTGCGCGCGTTAGCACACTTGTATGCAACCAAATGGGGTCATCTACCTCATCACAGCACCACCCAGTCTTCTTCTCTGTCCATGTCCCCTCCTCATACACCACCTCATTATAGGGTGGCGCAGCATTAGTCGCACTGGAGCACGGCGCCCACTCGAACTCACCGTCCATGCCCCAGCCCCTCTCCTTCCTTTCCTCGAAGTCCTCACGCCTACCCCTAACATCGCCCTAATTATTCAGGAAGCACATGTCGATGTCCTCAACTCGCGCTAGTGTTTGCAACGCGTCGAGCTGCTCTCTATCCTTGTGGAAACGCCACATTGCTGTTTCGATGGTGATAGTGTGGAGGCAAGGAGGTGGCGTGACCTCGTGGAGAAGGTACTCTATTGCGTCGTAGAGTAGTTCGGGGATGTGCTCTGGTTCATCTGCGTGGTCGATATGCAGCTCCTCCAGAGACGGGGGCAAGAAATCGGCTAGCAGCCTTTACCTCTTTGGCATGTGTTGCAGTGAGTTCGTATCCGAAGATGAAGTCCGGTGCAATGCGTAGTCTCTTCAACCCCGGGAAATGCGACAAGCTTTTCATACCAGAAGAAGGATCCGCATCCCTGTAGAACTTAATGCCACTGTGCGGATACGTTATCCAGATGTTCTCCAATGTTTCCTTGTGCATGTCCAGCGCGTTGCGTATAGCCAAGAAGCTGATTCGACATTTCGCGATCGATCCGCATCCCAGCTCATAAATGAAGGGTTTCAGCGCTCTTGGAATGGCCACCATGCGTAGAAGAGCCGCATCATGAAAACGACAGTCCTTCAGTTCGAGGTGCGTGCAAGCAGAACTCCTAGGTTGCACACGAGCGAGCCGCTCGTCGGACCCGTCGCCCGCTTCAGTGCCTATCCGATGGAAGAACATATTTTGCAGCCCGGGCAGGACGAACCCGACTTCGGTCAACGTACCGCCGGTTTGGCCATGTTCGTGAGCCCAGAGAAAGGACCGCAACTTCGCAAGCACACCTGCATCTCCAAACGCCGCCTCTCTCAACCCAGCCCGGCGCACGACGCGCCCCACCCAAAACTCCGACGGCGGAGTAGCACCTGTCTCGATGTCCAGCTTCTCCAGATTCAGCAGCCGCGGCAAAAGCACGGCAGTCAAAGAATCCTCGACCGTAGCTTCCACCCGCCATCCCGCATGCTCCAGCTCATTCCGACTCAGCCCCGCTATACCCTCCTTAATCTCATATCCTACATTGCCCGTCAATTCCGACATCTCGCGCAGCGTCTTTTCGAGCCGGGCATGGAGATCACATGCCGTTAACTCCAAGAGACCCGGACGGATGTGGAAGTGGCGCACGAGCTTTGCGAGTAGGGGCTTGCGAAGCAGTAGGAGCATTCGCACTAGACTTTGGCCGAGGAAGTCCATGTCCGAGTCCTCTCTGGCCTTTGGTATACTTACGCACCGGCAGAGGTGCGCAATTGCGATGTCATGCCATTGCTTAGAGCAGAGGGCGGCGTTTGCTAACGTCGCCTTTGAACCGACGAAGCTCAGGATGTGATTGATGAGTTCGACTGGGAGGTGGGAACAAAATTGCTCATGGTGACGCGTCCGCATAGGCACCAGGCTGTGGTAGAAGCACTCGAAAGAGGCAAAAAGAAGGAACCCTGAGTTTTGATAAACAGCGCGAAGACGCGTGGTCATGGCTAGCTCGGAAGGGGTTAGTCTGTTTCATCTTCTGTCTCCCACCTGGGTACAAAATCAATCGTAGGAAATTTTAATTTGAAGGCAATGCACTTTCAAATTGGTATCGAGCAGAGTAGTCTGCTCAATAATTTACAATCATAGCGCGCCGATGAAGGTAGAAAATGTATTGGAAGAACAATACTAAGGGAGTTCCGGGGTATCCTGCTAACGAAAAAGACCATTACCAGAATAGTGCTATTAAAGAAAAGGAAGCCCTATTGCTCAATATCTCCGCCTCTGAAGATAAAATGGAACGCGCTCAGAACATGTCCTCGACGCTTACGGCCTTCCTCCCCACTCTTCCATTCATAGCATGGCGGCAATTACCTAGACCACCTTTCTCAACAACTTCCCACTCTCCCGCGATATCCCCAATGCCCGTGATCCACTCATTCACCTCCTCGTCATCACCATCATTGTAGCCTCCGCTCGAAATCCGATTCCGATCAGGCCGCAAGTCGTACGTAATATTACTCCTCAAGTCCCCAAGGAATCCAGTGATCGTCTTGTTGATGCGCACAACCCCGTTCGGATCTGTGACCTTGAAGCTCACAAAGGGCTGTTTGCGAGCCGCAAGTAGGCGTGACTGAGCTGCAAGCCGAGAGCGGGATGGCGTAAATGCTGCCTCTTGGGGCAGGCGTAGGTGATGCTTGCTTGCGTCAATATGGCAGGGGAACTCTGCCGTTATGGGCGAACTCATTGCAGAATCCGCGCGTGCGCTCGAGGTTGTCGGCCTTGACACGTCCGACGAAGTGTTCAAAGAGAAACGATCGAGCTCGATAGAAATGGAAGGGATGGACGGCGAGGAGTAGCGCGGGGGTGAGGTGAAGAAGGCGGAGTCTGAGGGAAGGAATGCCGTTGCCAGAGGTTTGCAGAGCGCTTGGAGTACTCCTTGGGGGTCGTGTGGAGCGCGAATCTTGCGAAGAGATGGGAAAAGTCCTTTTTTGATGCTAGAAGCTAAGATTGCTGTCGCGAGGCAGGAAATGGGCTCGTGGTTGATGAAGGGAAAGGGAGGCGAGTCCCCTGGCGCGAAGGTCGAGATCAGCGCAGGGGACGGACCAGCTTGAGAACGGAGCTCCCAGTGGATGTATTCTACTGAAGGGGAGTCGAAGTCTGGAAAAGAGATTCCGGATGGAAGCCTTGGAGCTTTGTGTTGGGATAGAGAGAGGCGTTTAAGTTGGGTCAAATGTGGGGATAGAAGATTCGATATCGTCGTCAACTGCGAAAGTTCGAGGTCAACAAGCGTAATGCTCTCCAACGACATCGCCAGACTGGAATTGGCGAACTTTTGGAGTCCTTTGTCGACGACTCCGGGAAGATTCTGCAAACGAAGAGAGTGGAGATTTGGTGGTAGCGAGTTTAGTGCGAGGTTTGTGAAGGACGTGGCCGAAAAACCGGATATCGAAAGTTGACGAAGGGCAGGGAATTGTCGTAAAGTGCCAATTATTGCACGGAAAGTCAATTCGTTTGCTGGCTGGCTTTGCTCCTGATGCAGAATAACCGTTGTAAGTCTGGGATGGTTAGAGTTGAGCTCGAGAAAACGCTCCATTGGGTCGCATGCGGCGTGATAATATCCGTCCGTAGGATCGTCTTCCTCATCTTCATCGAGTTCTACATCCGTGTTGGTCAACAACCAAACCCTTTCCTCCAATTTTGGCCTCGTGGAGAGCGCATGTGATAATCGGTCGAAGGAATGCGTGTACGGAATGTGAAAGCCAACCAGTCGCTCCAAATTCGGGCAAGCCATAACAAGCGAGGCCACTAGATTTACGATCTCTTCTCGTTCGATAGTTGCACTGCGATACAAAGCTTGGAACTCGGGCATATGCAATTCTCGAACATATCGGGCCAGGGCGTTGCGCTCGCGGAGCGTTCTTCGAAGGAGCTTCAGTCTGCTAGTTCCAGGTATCTTGAGCTTCGGCATCCTAGAATGTTCTTCATTTCCCAGCAGCCAGACTTTCCGATACCTAAGCCAACCGCAGTCAGTCAACGTTGATCAAACCAACAAGTGAAGGATTCGCCGCGCATTAGCCTAAGGAGCGGCCCGCAGACTGGGCTTACGAAGGAACGTCAATATATTGACCCTAGCTTCTCCGATGATCCTTTTGCACGACCATCTGAAACACGACGTTGTTTTGATGGGGGGCGGCAAACGCGTTGAGGATGCAAAGAAAGGAGAAGAGATAACGTACATCGGAACAGTGACTGCTTTGTCCCATGCTCGGCTCGTCAAGGACAAGTTGTAAAGGTCTTTCAGATAGCACGGTGGACAAGGCTGATCCTGTCCGAGGTGCAGTTTCTGCACTTGTTCCACAATGCAATCATATACCTCTCTCGGGAGATTTTTGAACATGCGCGCCGGAAAGGGATTCTCGGTCTTCGTTCGCCTCCATGCTGAGTTTCTCTTGCGGCGCTCCAGTTCCCACGGAGTCTTGATAAGATGCGGGACATCATAACATTCATAAGCCGATACTGAGGATTGCGTCGTCAAGGATGAGGCTCGGATAGAATGGCGGGCGCGGTCCCGATCATGAGACGGAACAACTGATGCAACCGAAGTCCGGTTCTCTACCTGGCTTGCGGCGAGCGATCGTGAAGCTTCAGACCTGTACATGGAGTTAGACGACCATTTATCGTACTGCCTGATAAATTACGAGACGGGCCATAACGTTGGTGCTAGTTGGCTGGACTGGGAGACAACAGAGGACCAACTAGACTACCTAGTGCTTGCTGCTCTGCTTCCAGGTGATGTTGATGCTTCTTTCGAGAAACAAATGAAGGATAGAATGTAGAAGACGAGAACTCACACGTCAATAGCGCGGATCGAAGAGAGTGAGTCTCTATGAGGATGGGGAGTCAGAAGCCGTAACATGATGTCGTATGACGAGCAAGTGTGAATGACAAGTGTGAATGACGAGAACGGCGGCTTCTACGGTTCTTCTAGAGGCGAGAGTAGAAGAAGGCTAAGATTGATCGAGCGAGATACAGGAGTGAGGGAGAGACAGTGGTGGATATGAATGTTCCAGCGCCGGGAGCTACCCTACGGGACGGCAAATATACCAAACCCTGGGGACTATCCGTGCTATCTTGTGCGGGAGCCGGGGCTGATCCAAGGGAATGACGACCTGGCAAACGCCTATCCTGGTTCGGGATCATCCCTACTAATCAGCCTGTGGCAGATATGCAAGCAATCAAGGTTCACATAGAAAGCCATTGAGCGAATTGGCAGCAGCAGCACTAGGCGAATGGCGGAACACTTGAAGTCGCCGGCGGAGATTTTCAGGTCGTGTTGGCCGGCAGGCAGGTGGCTTGGATGGCTTCGTGTCAATGCGCCACCCAAAGGCAGTGGATGCTGGGGAGCGGTGCCTGGCGGGTAGCGGCAGGGGGAAGCAACAGCTGAATAGACGACACAAAGCACAAGTCTGTGGTGGTTTTCGTGGTGCATGCACGCGCAACTCTGATGCATTCGGGCCAAGGTTGTGAGTGTCGCATGAGAGCGCCTTGTGCGACGCGAATGCTACGACGTCAACGGCGGAGAAGTCGCAGGTTGACGAGGCCGGAGTTGTGGTTCGGCTGGACCAGGTCGAAGCAGATTGGCGAGAGAGAGCGGGCGATGCGTGGCGAGACGCTGATGATCTCGCACGTCGCCGGCCAATCCTGTGGCACAACGGGACAACGACGGACGACGTCTCGTTGCCTCTGCGGCTTGCCGTGCGCTGTGGAGAGCTGGTGTTGTGCATCCCGCGTCGTTGCCGCCCTGACGCCTGTACATGTCCGGGAAGAAAGCCACGACGGGCATCTGAAATGGCCATGGTGTTGCTTCTTTCATCGCATCTCGTCTCGTATCGCGGACCAAATCGATCCTCCTGCTGGCTGACCCGCAACCGCCCAGGTCTCACCCTGCCAGCCCTGCCAGCCCTGCCAGCCTCCGGGCACGATCGCTGCTGTGACCCGCAGACCGCGAGCGCTCCGCGTTTGCGGAATGAGCTGAAGAAGAGCGTGTCGGCGGGACTGGCGCGGTCCAAGGGGAAGCTGTTTTCGCGCCGTCCAAGAGGCGCGTCAAGGGAGAGCGAGAGGGAGACGGACCCGCATGGCCGGGAGAAGGGCTGCCGCGAACCTGCCCGATCCGGCAGCCGTCGATGACTGGGCTAAAATGACATGAATACTTAGCGTGCCCTGTCTCGGAAGGAGCCCGACGGCGATCCTGCCGCCTGCCGAGCCGTCCACCGCGACTCTTCTCCCTCTCGTTCTCGACAGCATAGCCTGTCGTCTCAGAAACGTGCATGCTCAGAAAGGGCAACAAAGGCGAGCTCGTCCGTGTTGGAGCTACGTATCCACAGACACTCGCATGACTCTGCCGCTTCGGTGGGATCGCTAACACACAATCACTAGCCTCTAAGAAACCCCGAACCATTCATTCCGAACCACCCATGACTCGGACTTCCTCACTCAGCCAACCTGGCCAATCCAGTATCGTCTTCATCCGCCCAGACATCGTACCCAAACGTGTCCTTCATATTCACAAACCGCGTATGCCGTCCCCTGGCCACGCTCTCCACCACCTGGAAGTCCTCGTCGCTCAGCTCCGGAATCATCCAATTACTCTCGATCCTGCTGGGCGTTGAACTCTTCGGGAGGACGACGTATCCCCTCCTGAGCCCCCATGCCAGGAGCACTTGAGCTAGCGTGTGACGACTGCGCTCCGCCACTTCGTTCAGCGTAGCGTTTGTGCGCACCTTCTCCCCCGTGTTGGGCACTTGGTTCTGCGAGCCCAGCGGCGAATACGCTTCCGGCAGGATATCGTGCTGGAAGCAAAAGTCGATGAGCGGCGTATTGGGCAAGAACGGATGGCACTCGATCTGGTTGACGTGCGGCTTCACCTCTGCAAAGCTCATCAGCTGCTGCAACCCCGGAATCGTCCAGTTCGACACGCCAATCGCTCTCGCTTTCCGCTCCCGATAGACTTCCTCCACGGCTCGCCACGTCGGCTCCGGATTCTCCGTGAGTTCCCTCCTGATAACGTACTTCCCATCTTTACCCAGCTTCGGCATGCGCTTCTCGTCGCTCTCCGCTGCAATCGGCCAATGCACGAGGAATAAGTCGACGTAGTCCAGCCGCAGCTTCTCGAGGGAGTTCTGAAGACTCCATTTCACTTCGTCCGGCTCGTGGAGGTGGTTCCAGACTTTGGTGCAGATGAAGACATCTTCTCGCTTGACTTGTAGGTTTGCGGCGAGGAAGTCGTGCACGGCATCGCCGACTTCATCTTCGTTTTGGTAGAACCAGGCGCAGTCGAGATGCCGGTAGCCGGTTTCGAGAGCGTGCGTGACGGCGGCGTAGGTTTCGCCTTTAGCGCCTTCGTTGGCGAAGGTGCCGAAGCCGATGGCGGGGATTCGGATGCCGTTGGAGAGGGTGTAGGTTTCCTGGTTGGCGATGGGGGTGTAGCTGCCCATTTTGATGGAATGAGGCAGGTCGTTGGGAAAACAGCGCTGCAGGTAGAGTATAGAATGCTATAGAAATTGAGTCAGGGGCCCGAGTTCCTACTCAAGCAGCCGAGATGAGAATCGTAAAGAATTGAGTGTAGGCAGTATCCAGTGGGTCGCTCAAGCACATATATCATTCATTCTTCCCTTCCCTCGCCAAATCTTGCCATGTCTCGCAGCCCACTCATTCATTGCAAATACAGCCACCGCATGGCTCCGAAGTATCTTCGTACCACATCCCCCACACGCCGAAAATTCTCCATCATTCCCACAAAACCTCCACCCAACAGTTTCGGAAACTCGGTGTTGGCGATGGATGACATCACAGGGTGGATCGTGTCCACCACTGACCCGTTCTCATTCGCTGGAGATAAACCCCGTTCTAGAATCCTGCACCGTGTTCCCTGGGCAGGCAACGAGACGTCAAAGCCGGCCTCGGGATCCTCAGGAACGGGTGTGCGAGAAAAGTGGAGGCCGAAACTCGGTCGCGTCTGCCGACCCGCCGAGAAAGCCCACTGTTAACGTCACACAGACTTGCGGCTCTGCGGTGATGCGCGGCTGGTAGACGCCGGTTCTGCCTATCCTTTACCGTTGTGTCTGCATTATTGCGGTATGAGCGGATGCTGTGGATTCAAGCATTGATATCGCTGTGGGCTTCCCTTGCATGTGCACCACGACCCTGTGGCGAGTCGCGAGTTTGGCTGTGGATCGCGTTCGGCACCGTATCCGCCTTTCGTCATACCGTGGTATTACACGTGGTTCTCCCTGAAAGTTCGTTCTCGACAAAGGGCTTAGTGCCTGGAGTTCTGCAATAAGGGTTTTCACATGATGATGTAGCCTGTGGGGAGCCATGGTGGAGTCTTATCAGGTTAGAGGTTCCACAAGTGGGCGAGTACTCGGAGAGGTACGGGACGTTGAAAGCACGGTCGGAAGAACCTGAAGACGAGTTTGCAGAGGATGATGGGCGTGGAGGGGGGCTGGGTGTCTGCCTGCTGTTGTAGAAATGTTATATATCCTTCTAGGACCCTGAAAGACACTCACTCCCATCTATCCATTCCACCTAACTCGCTCCTCACACAAGTCTCAGTGACCACTTCCCTCGGACCTTTTGATCGCAGCGAGCTTTTATTCTCTGGTAACACCCACTGCCCTTCTTTTCAAAATGCCCGCTTTAGACGACTCGGACTTTGGCGTCCAAACTCCTCTATCGCCAGTCAAATCCCGCGACAGCAACCGCCTCCAACGCATATCCAGCCGCAACAGCGCCCAGCTCGCTGTTGGCAGCCATGGCACCATCAGCATCCCCGCCGATGGCCTGCATTCAAACTCCATCGAGGTTCCCGCCACCAGATCCTCCATCTCAGATGCGCAAGCGTACATGCACTCCTTGAGCCTCTCCCCATCTATGAAGGAGCGCAGGGCCTCCCGGAACTCGTTCGGTGCCGCGCTGCCTATCCCACGGTCGAAGAGGCAGAGTAGGTTGTCGAGCGTGCATTACCCGGATGGCAGGCCGACGAGGCCGGGCATGCCGCCGGTCCAGCCTTCGAGAGATATCATCGCAGCGCAGATCCAGGATCTCTCAGGCGAAAAGGTGCGCGCTGCGAAGGACATGGCTTTTGTTTTCGATATCGATGGTGTGCTTGTCCACGGCGACCGTCTGATCCCCGAAGGTCGACGCGTGCTAGAGATCCTTAATGGAGACAACGAACTCGGGATCAAGATCCCGCACATTTTCCTCACGAACGGATCCGGAAAACCTGAAATGCCGCGCGTGCAGCAGCTGTCCAAGATCCTGCACTCACCTATTTCGACAGACCAATTCATCCAGTCGCACACTCCGATGCGGGCGTTGGCCGAGTACTACAAGACGGTGCTTGTCGTTGGCGGCGAGGGCTACAAGTGTCGTGAAGTAGCCGAGCAGTACGGTTTCGAGGATATCATTGTGCCGAATGACATCGTGGCCTGGGATCCCAGCATCGCTCCCTATCGCGTCTTCACTGAGGAAGAGCGCGCTACTTCTAGACCACGCGATTTCTCCAAGGTCAACATCGAAGCCATCATGGTCTTCTCTGATAGCCGTGACTATGCAACGGACATGCAGATCATCATGGATCTGCTGCGAAGCGAAAACGGCCGTCTGGGTACGGTCGCCAAGGACTCCGTCTCCCAGCGCATTCCCATCTACTTCTCGCAAGGCGATCTTCTCTGCCCGACCGAGCACCCCATCCCACGCATGTCACAAGGCACCTTCCGCATCGGCCTCGAGGCAATGTACAAGGCCTTGACCGGCGTGGACCTTGAGCGTGTCGTGTACGGAAAGCCTGAGCTGGCGACATACAAGTATGCGGACGAGGTGATTGCTAGCTGGATGGAGCAGATCCACAACGACGAGGTCCTGCCTTCTAATATCTATATGATCGGCGACAATCCCCAATCTGATATCATTGGAGGTAATATGTATGGATGGAATACGTGCCTGGTTAAAACTGGCGTCTATCAGGGCGAGGGTAACGACAAGGAGAACCCAGCCAGCTTTGGTGTCTTCAAGAATGTGCTGGAGGCTGTTCAGACAGCGATCAGGAAGGAGCTGGGCAAGGACTTCCGATTCGAGTTCGATGAGCGGATCAATCCCGTGCTCCACGGCAATGGCGTTTCGGCTATTGAGTAGATGATGAGTTGGATATTGGACATGCGCGGTGTTTGGCAACGATTATTCTAGGCGTTACTTGTTTGCTTCCTCCTGCATAGCCTGCGCTTGCATATAAGAACCACTATAGAAATTTGATGATTCTCATGGCTAGCTCAATGCCAAAAGCATTTCCGTTTTGCTCCCCTCTTCGTTTACTCGTGAACCGTCTCTCTCATGACAAGGCGTTTGTCCTGGTGATTCCCCTTCGTCGTCAGAATCAAGCAAGTTTCGACCAATGACTCTCCGATTATTTTGTCGATCTTGCACTGCGGTCAACACCTCGTCCGCTTCAGATCGGCTGTCAAACTGGCCAGATGGGATATTCGATATGATTCGCAAGGATACGGGAGTATCCAGTCCGTCCATTCATGTCGGCAAAAGACGATCCAACATTTCAAGATTCTCCTTTTCTTTTTGCGCCCTTGCACGGGTGGCAGCCTGGCGGTCGTCAATCGGTACCCTAGATAGAACGATGTCGGCAAAGTGGTCTCTAGTGAAATCCATGGCAATTTGCGCTTGGTCAAATTTCTCCTCCGCAAGAAGTTCATGGGCGACTCCCAAGCATAGCCGCACCAAAAATTGTCGTCTGCTCGTGCTAGAGGCGGCGTAGAGCAAAGCCCCTGGACTTTGAATGAGAGAAAAACCTGGATGAGCGGTAGGTTTCGTGGGATGGTACAAGTAGAGCATCGATTGGACAACTCTGCTCCACGCACCGAGCCAGTCCTGCGAGGACCGCAAGAACGACTCGTAGAGTGCAGGCGTACTCCACATCTGAGGCTGTGCAACAATGTGGTTGACGAGGCAGGCACCGGCCGGCTGTAGAATCTTTTTCGTCAACCCGCCTTCTCCTGCCTGCATCATGTCGAAAGCCCGCAGGAAAATGGCGAGAGCTTCGTCTCGGCTGCAGGTCTGCGAGGAGGAAACCATCTGCACCAAGACTTGCGTCCTGAAAGCTTGGATGCGAGGGGCGTCCAAGTCCGCCTTTTGTGCCAGCTGCTCAGGAGAACGGGTGAACCAATGCCAGAGAGGAGCTTGTTCACCCTCAGATAGTAGCTGCGGCACTAATCTGTTAATGAGTCTGCGGCGGGGCCCGTTGGGCAGTGCTGGTGGATCAAGGAACTCCTTGGAGGTGTCGAGGCCGCTCGAGCGTAACCATGCAGCGATCACAGCGCCCGGCTTTCGCTCGTCCTCCGCTTTGGCTAAGCTTCCCGGCTCAGCTCCGCTCTCCATCCTCTGCAGCACCTCCAAGCACATGTCCGCTTTTGGTATGTTAGCGGCTCCCGTCGCTATCTGGTCGAGGAACCAGCCCAACGGATCCTTGAGCACATCAACGGCGGCTGGCTCAGAGCCCCTCCGCTGCGGTCTCGTAGCAAGCAGAGGGTTCCTCAGGATAGAGTCGAGGTGGTGCGCGGCCGAGCTGTAGGATGAGTCGACGCGGATTGGTGGGGCATTCGTCCGCAGCTTCGGCGCTGCAGGCTTCCGGTCGAGACGAGTGTCTTCGGGCAGAGGAACGGGGTGTTCGCGGTCGAGGTGCGCTCTGAAGGAGGTCGTGAGGAGGTTGAGCAGCTGCTGGGACTCGCGCGGGGAAAGAGGCAGCTGCGGGTGGATCTTCGAGGCAAGGGCGCTGAAGGTGCGCCGGCTTGCAGTCGACTGCATCGCCATGCTCGAGAGAGGGCAGCGCCGTCGATTGGCGTGGGCGGGCTGAGGTCGCGCGGGCGTGCGTTGGGCGGTGGTGGAGCGAAACACGTCTCATGGGCCGCAGCGCAGCGGAAACGGCACGTGATGCTGAGCGCCCCGGCCTGCGCGCGACGCACCTGGGCAGCAGCACGGCGGCAAACTGCCCTTTGTCTGCATCCTCTCCAGCCCACCTCACCTTCGCATGCGAACCCACAAAACATCCCCAGCCAGCCTCGACCAGCGCGACCACCTGCGTCCTGCACGCCCTCGGAGCATTCGAGCGCCAAGCGTTTGCTTGCCCATTTAGCTGCACCCCGGCTTCACCTCCCTGCCTGCCTCTTCTCCACTCCCACACCCCCCCGCCCACACCGCAGTCCTGCAGAGGCCTACACCCACATCCCACAGTCCACATGTCTGAAGTACAGTCCCGGCCTGCGCGCGGCAGGAGCTCTGCGCGCGGCGGCAGAGGCGGACACGGCGCTCGAGGCCCGCGATCAAACAAACAGACAAACGGCGACCACACGGCGGCGCCCGCCATCGACACATCCGCAGACCAGGGCGAGCTAGGCGAGCTGAAGCGGCGCTACCAGTCGCAATTGACCACACTGAAGGAGCTGTTCCCGGACTGGACCGACGTCGATCTGCTCCTCACCGTTGAAGAATCTGATGGCGACCTGCAGGCGACCATCGAGAAGATCACCGAGGGTGAGCACCCTTGCATGCCTCTACACACGACTCATTTCCGACATTATTGCTTGCATTTGCCTGTCGCCATTGAGCTCTGCTGACTTTCGGTCCAGGCAATGTCTCCCAGTTCGCCGAAGTCAAGAAAGCAAAAGACCGATCCCGCTCCAAGGTGAAGGATGCGAGCGCGCCGACGGACGGCACGTCGACTGTGCGGGGAGGCCGTGGCGCTCGTGGCGGCGACAGTGCTCGTGGCCGTGGACGCGGCGCAGACCGTGGTCGTGGGGGGTTTCGCGGTGGCCGTGGAGGAGCGACAAACGGCACTCGCGGAGCGCCCTCGGTGCCGACCGTCGAGTCGCCGGCGTGGGAAATTCCTGCAGCCTCTGCCGAAGCAAAGGAAGATGGGCCGGCTAAAGCCAGCGAGCCGGCTGCTGCTGAGCCTGAGGGACCGAAGCATGCTGCTGCTGCAGCTCCGACAAAGAAGACATGGGCCAGCATGTTTGCGTCCAAGCCGGCGCCTGCTCCTCCGAAGCCGGTTGTGAAGCCTGCGCCGCCCCTAGAGGAGCCCGCCTCTACCCCCGCTGAGACGCCAGCCCACGACGTTGCGCAAGAGTCAGCAGTCGAAGCGGAGGAATTGCCGATACCGCCCTGTGCAGACGAAGTCGTGGAAGAACCCCCAATTGCAGACGAGGACACGTCCAAGTTGATGCCAGATAAGGAGGAGGAGGAGTCTACTACTCCCGACGTCACCCTCACGCCCTCGAAGGACGAGCTCACCAAGGACAATGTCGAGCATTTACCAGATGAGTCGCATCCAGTGGCCACGGAAACCGCTGCTAGCACTGTTGCTAGCTCAAAGGACATTGGAAGCATAGCCGGCGTTGCGACCCCGTTGAGCGCGTCCGCTCAAGCACCCATCGGCCGCCCCGCGATTGGGGGTTATGCGACTACCGCGCTCAAGGCGACCTCGGGCGCACATCGTAGCGCTAGCTTCCAGCGGAGGCTTATGGAACAACAAGAGGCCGTGGTCATGCCTGGAAATCATGCAGTGAACCAGGCCGCGGTCCAGTTTGGCAGCTTGGGATTGAATGGAGATGTAGATGCGGACGGTCTCGATGTTGACGAAGACAGGGAAGAAGCAGAGACAAGGACCCAACCTCCTCAGCATTCGCCGGTTGCCCAGCCGAGAGCTTCGTTACCTCCTGTCCCCCGCCAGGCTCCACCCGCTGAGCCGCAATCGCAAGAATCCCTGCCGACTCCGAAGCAGGCTCCTGGCCTGCCTCCCGCACCGCAGCAACAGCCCCTCTCGCAGCAATCCCCTTCCAATCCGCTCGTGGCGCAACAGATGCAGAATCAAGGCTCGCAAGGGAACCAGGCATATAACCAGTTTGGACGATACGCCCAGGGCGGTATGCAATCGGAAGCTGCGGCGCCCCCGCAGAAACAATATGATCCGTTCGGCCAGCAGGTGCCGCAGTCGAGCCAATATGACTACTCTAATCAACAGAGCCAGCAGCAACAGCAGCAGCAACAACAGCCCCAGACTGGCGCTTTCTCGTCAGCTCCTGACGCTTTCTCCTCTCAGTATCTTACTTCGGACCAGCAGCGTTCTGCATATCAGAACTACTACCAGAATTACAGCCAGCAGAATGCCCCGAGTCAGCAGGAAGCCGGCTCTGCGCAGCAGCGCACCGGCAGTGGTTTCGGCGCCGGTCCCGACTCGACCTTTCCCCAGAGTCAGCAACAGCAACAGGTAAGACCTATTCCCCATTGGCGGTTTCATTCTCCTCGGAGCGAGTCGAGGGCTCCGCACATGGAGCCTGTTCCGACGTCTTCTGTCGGGGGACTGCACGAGGTTATGTTCATGCGATCCCACGACGAAGATGCTCGGCAGACAGCGGCGAAGAGAGAGATCGATTTCTCAAGACGACGATCATCTGACAAACAACAACAGGCGCAGAGCCGTTACAACGAGGCTCAGAACAGCGGGCACACCACGCCGAACCCCGCATTGGGTGGACAGCACCCGACCGGGCCTGCTTCTCAGCAGACTCAGCATATGCAACAGCCTCATGCTCAACCCGGCCACACGGGCAACTACCCGTACAACCACCCGTACTATAACACGCCCTACTACAACTACATGAACCAATTTGGTGGCTATGGCCAGGGAGGCTACGGCGGATTTGGAAAGGGGATGTACGGCCAGCCCCATCACTACGGAATGTCTCCTCAGGCTTCTTTCGACCAGCACTCCTCGTCTCCCGCCAATGTGGGAGGCTTTGGGGCATCTTCCATGCATGGTCGTGACAGCGGGCTAGGTGGAGGACTCGGAGATTACGGCCGATCTGTATCAGGAGCATCGCAGAATCAGCACAATGCGACGGCCGGATCTGGTGGCTTTGGCGGTCTTCCCGACATGTTTGGACGACCCCAGGGCGGATATGGTGGCCAGAGCTCTTATGGCCAGCAGCAGGCAGGTCAACAGGGCGGCAATGAAGATTCTCTGAAGCCTTTTGGAGACACCAAGAGCGGTGGACCTAGCCCTTCTGCCCTCGGAGCTCAACCCGGTCGGCCTGGATCCGCAACGAACAACGCGCCCGGCCAGAGTGGACAAGGTCTTCCTCAGCAGTCGCACCAGCAAGGCTTTGGCGGCTACCCAGGTCACCTGAACCAGCTGCAGGGTGGACAGGGCAACCAGTACGGTGGTCTTGGTGGACTGGGTCACCAGGGCGCTGGAAGCCACCAAAGCGGCTACGGAAACTACGGCGGATTTGGAGGAGGCTATGGAAGCTACAACCGCGGCGGATGGGGCACCAACTACGGGCAGCATTAAGCCTGAGCCTTGATTGATTTGACCCGACTATGGTCCAGCCTTGTGAAGGAGCAGCGAAGAAGGTGCCAAGTCCAATCGGTTTCGAGCGAACGATTCGGCGAGGGGCTTTTCCTTTTCCGTTTCTATTTCTTTATATGTCTGAATTGATTAATGGTCAAAAGCATGTCCTTGCTCGGGCCCTCTCATCTTGTATTATGACGACTGAAACTGGGGTCATTATCTGGCTTGCGTTTTCACTCTACTCTGCTTGTTTTTCCTCTCCTCTTGCATCCTCTCACTTTCTTTACAACGGCGCAGAGCTGTGTGAAAGCAGTCTAGGGTTATCTTTGTTCTTCCAATTCTTGCGCAAGGGAGGGTATTCAAAGCATTCAAAAACTTGTCTTTTCCATTCTCGGTCATGTCTAATCTGAAGTCCATTTATTGGGACTCGGAGTTGGAGCAAGCTTTGGCGCTGAGAACAGAATGGGTATGGACGGGTGGACAGAGGAAGGTATGAATGGGCTGAGAGAGTCTGTAGCAAATGCAAATGGCATGCTAAGGCAAACGATGAGCCTTTTGTCTGAGCGGTGGCTGACTTGGTGATAGAGCGCGCTCACACACGCCCATGTTGCCGTTGACTAGAGATGCTTATGCGATGCCAGCGACGGAGTGTGAGTCTCACCGCTTCCCACCCAACATATGCATCATAACACTGAAACCCTACACAATGCCCGAGCCTCCTCCGACGGAAAATCTCGCAGCTTCATATGTATCTGCTGAGTCTCATCCGACCAGTGTTCGCAAATTCGGTCCGAGTGGGTCCCTCGGCGCCAGATTAGTCTTCCAGATCCACTTCGGTATCGGCGCGATGCACATGTAGGTACGTATCTCTCTTCGGCGCCGAAGAGGCATTTCGCGTTCTGATGACTTCAACAATTTCTCGTTTCCATCAGGACTTTGCGCCGACGCAACAGTAGCGCGCTCCGCACACAGCGCGAATTCACGCACCGGCATAGTCCCCGGTCCTCCCGTTGCCGCATATATTCCGCATCGAGCAGAAGTGACGGTTGGAGTGCGAAATCTTACTGTAAGGATTACTCACCTACTTCCCTCCTCTTTCACTCTTCCGCCCTGAGCCATCGTTTCTCTATTCCTCAGCCGAGTTTGGGATTACAAAATGTGAGACGAGGCCTATCTTCGCCAGATCTTACAAGCTTGCCTTTGCTGCTTACGCATTTTGACTATCGCAGCCTGGGCAGCATGGGCGGTGAGATGGCGAAGTCGGTTCCCGCCACTTCTTCCAGAAACGTCATCCGCGGCAGATCCACCGAAAGACGGGCTACTGCACGCCAGACTGCGATGCATCACCTCTAAACTATTCCAGGCCTAGCGCGACACGGCATGCATGGTGCAGCGACGTCCTAAACAGTTGATGAGCTTATCAGCACCATGATGGCCTCAGCCAGAACATCCCTGGCCAGTATGGTAGGAGTGGATGATTTAAAGGCGCGATGGCGCGCACTTCTCTTTGTCGACTTGATTTCGTGCGGGGAAATTTCTTGGGCCTTCAGGACGGCTTTGCTTTTCTTCGGTTGAGAGCAAGAGTGATTGGCGACACGTTTTGGGCGGGCTGAAGCCTCAGGTGCTGAGCTGAGCGATAGAGGGAGGAGTTGAGCAATAGAGAGCGGAGTTGAGGGCTCAGCTGGACGGCGAGGCGTGGGAGTTGGTGTGCGCCTGAACGTGTGAGTGGTTGCTTTTTTGGTGGAGAGTCTGGGTATTTAGCTAACAGTTGAGCAGGTCCTCTGGTGTTTTAGCCTCTCGACGAGTTAATTGCTCCTGAATTCCTTCGTCGAAACCATCCATCAATTGGTGTCCTTGGCACTTCAAGCAACATGGCGGAGCCCAACGTCCTGGCTTCACCACTACTACGCCTCCCACTTGAGATTAGACTCTTGATCTACGAATATCTCTTGCTTCCTTCGACCAGCCCATCGGCGGGACAGGGAACCTCGGTCACGAATCTACTCTCAGATTACCACACCTACCATTCGAGCGACACCAATAACTCACCCTTCACTCTTTCCGTGCGAACAATTGATCCCTATCTTGGAGCGCACAGCTCGCGGGCCTGGAGACGCCGCTCCACATACTATGTACGAACTGGTAAGCCCTGCCTTCCACCCCACCCAGCTCCTGCTATTCAGCATTGTACATGATTTTGATTCCATCAAAGGCATTCTAACCGGCGCCTCAGGCCCCTTCCTCACCACCACGACCCCGACAACCTACCGCGTCCTCCTGTCACCGTATTCTGCCCATCTCCGCCACACCGTCCCCAGCCTCCTTGCCATAAACCGCCAAATCCACGCCGAAGCCTCCAAAGTGCTCTACTCCACCTACACCTTCTCCTTCCACACCAGCATCGAAGCCGGCGTCCCCTTCCTCAGCGACCTAACCCCGCTCTCCCGCACACACATCCGCCACATCGGCCTCGCGAAAAAGGGCTTCCCGTACACCAAGGAATTCGACCGCGCCGAATGGTCCTCCCTCATGTCCTACCTCTCCTCCAACCTCTGCCTTCGCAGCCTCGATCTCAGCGTTGTAGCTGGCAGGCCTGGGGACGACGGTTGGGACGGTATTGCGCCTATCACGGCGAGTGACTTTGGGCTTATGCAGCGGATGAAGAGTGAGTGGGGGAGTGAGGTTGGCGGGCTGGATTTAGAATGGGTGGAGCAGCTTTTTGGGGTGAGGGGGCTGGAGAAAGTCAATGTTAGGGCGCTGGTGGAGCATTGCCCGCGGCCGATGAGCGAGATGATGGCTTTTTGGATTGCGTTTAGTAGGAGTGTGGAAGGTGGGTTTGGGGAGTGGGTCAGGGGGGTTATGGTGGGAAATTGAGTGAGGAAGGCTTTAGGCGTGTGTGCATGATTTAGGCAAAGGTTTCGCAGACGGAGGAAACGAATCGGAGTGGAATTAGTAAGAGGGGCTAGTGGAGGTCAGGTACTGGCAGTGTGTAACTCGGGTCCGCCAGCAGACTTGGAGCGGATGAGATGATGAGACAGAAATGCCGGCCGGAATTTGAACGCAGAAGCCGACGCTTCTAAAACGAGCGGGTCTATTGTCCTGTTTATCAAAGGAATCCATCTTTTCAACCTCGAGCATCAAGCTTTAGAATTGTTAAACCCTCGCGCTGTTCACTCGAGAGGGAGTAAAGGAGGCTAACCGCAAATGTCGACGAAAACATGACGCGACTGACCTTGCGGACATCGAGAGTGATATTTCGAACATAGACTCATTCTATCCACGACCCCGGGATTGTACGACTGCCCTTTTCGACACCAACCGCACCTAGTGTACCGGATTTTCTTAGCTTAGCGGCCATCTTCCTCTCCAAGCGCTCACTCCTCTTTTCGACCTTGGTCGTATCATGCGGCTCATCATATGCCCCCACAAACGGTCACTCAGAAGACGAGTTCCAAGCCAGGCCGTAGAACTCATCCACTAGTAGATCGGCCGAGGATAGATCCGAGGCCCATTCCCATCCCACCATATAGCCTCTCTCTTCCGAGTAGTCTGTCAGAATTATTCTGCCCATATCTTCTCCTGTCGCCGTAATCCGTGGAAACTGTCCCTCTTGGATGATGCGTCCGGGGTGTGCCTCTAGCTCGTGGGCAAGGTAAGCATCGACACTGATGCCGCACTCCGCGAGCGTGGCGAGCCACAAAGTGCCTAGCTCCCAATCAATTTCACTCGCGTGTTCAAAATCGTCGTCGATGTTGTAATCATGGAATGGGGGGAATAAGTCGTCCAGAAACAGGGCGTTGCATGAGACCAGGGCTCAAGTACTGCAGCAACCTTTCCTTTGCTTTATCCCGCTGTACTGGGAGATAGAGAGCGAGGCTCCTCAACCGAATTCTCAGGCAGACCTCTTCCCAGGCATCCATATCGACGGCGTAATCTGGCGCAGATTTCCGCATCCAATCGACTATATCTGAGCGCCACAAGATTCTGCCTTCAATCTGCGACCATGCGGAACTACCAAAATCGGGCTCTTGAGCCAGCGAGTGGAGGAGAAAGCGAAAAAGGTCGATTGAGGTTGAGGTGGGAAGCCAGTGGCATGAACGCGCTACGTTGATCAAGAGTGAGTTCCCATTATGCAATAGAGTCGGTTTGACTCCGTGAGAGACGAGTAAATGACACACATCCAGCCGGTGCGCGGCGATTGCACACTAGTGGTTCTGGTTAGCTCCGTACTAGTTCATGCTCTTTCCATGGGAATATTACATACATGTCGCAGGTTCTCACCATCTTGGTCTTGCATGAAGGGATGCAATTTCTGGGTAGCGAAGTCTAGCTGAATATCGGAGATGCTACCCGTTGCGATCAAAGACCACTCGTTGCGGAGGTCAGGAACAACGGGGTAAGTGCTGAGCGAGGGGAGTAGACTTCCGTACGGTTTGCGCTTGCTCAAACAAATTCCAAAGCCAAAATATCGAGATGCCCAATTATAGATGTGCTGTTCGTAGAGCGGCTGTTCTTGCCATCGTGGTGCATCTACGCGGCTCCGCGTTGTGGTTGAAGTACGAAGGGCGCGTACTATCCTGTGCTGATGAATTCCGAAGCTTGCTAGATAAGAAAGAACGGAGTCTTGTCGATCTGCGAATCCGGGAAGAGAGAAGCTGGATTCCCCATTTGAAGCCTTGGTAACGGAAACGTCGGCTCTGGTAGTGCTGGTCAGAGAGTCATGACGGTGGTGTGATGGTCGTACAGGAGGTGTAAAAGTCGTTTTATCTGACTGATATAAAACCACAGCTCGTGGGTAGACTGGTGTGGGTTGGGCTTTCTGCGTGTTCTCCACATCGGGGGTCTCGAGAGATGAAAAATCATTGGATGACTGCTGTATCCCTGGACACCCTGGACCGTGCGACCACAACAGAAACATGGAGAAGCGTGCTATCATCAGCTCGAAGATATAATGAGAGCAGAATAGACCGGGCGCTCATGAAAGCTTCTCAGAGAAACGACTGGAGGTATCAAGGTTAAGTCCCACGTCAGTATTTCATTCTTTGCTTCCGGGTCGTGACCCCGGCTCTCTACCTCCATGGATCTGTCTAGCTTCTTCCCGGCTTCCTCTCACAATGCTTCTTGAAACTCCGCCAACACTCCGTCGTTCCAGTTCAGAAACTTCCCACTTAGCTCCGTCTTGCCTGAGACTGCTAACTTGGCAATCACGTGGCCCGGTTGCTCTGGCTTCAGTAAGCCGCCATCCTTCTTCAGTCCAAGGAACTTTGCTGCATCCTTCTCACTCATCGACTTGTTGTGCACCTCGCGAATCTCCCGCTGCATTTCAGTATCCACAACGCCTGGGCGAACAGAGATTGTCGTAACATCAGGTTCTTCGACCGCTAGAGTGAGCGCAATGTGGTTGAGCACGGCTTTGCTGGCACCGTAGCAACCCCAGCCTTGGTACGCATTAATAGCCGCACCCGAAGACGTCAAGATGATACGACCTCGGGTTTTGCGCAGAGAGGGAAGCACGGCTCGGATCTGCATCGATTGTTAGGGTCTTCACGCGACGCTCTTGCTCCCACTCACCAACGCCACGGCACTAGTCACATTGATATCAAATCCCTTTCTCCACTCTTCTGGGCTGCAATCCGCTATCTTCTTGACCGGATCCAGAGTTCCGTGATTCACGACGAGGGCGTCTAATCTGCCCCAACGGTCGTTGGCGATGTCGACGGCTTTAGCCGCTAAGGAGAAGTCGGACAGATCGCCGGCGAGCACTTCCACGCTATCAGATCCGTATTGATAGTGTAATTGGTCAAGGGCGGCGTGATTCCGGGATATGAGGACGAGTTTATGGCTTCGGGAGAGGAGATAGTGGGCAATTGCTTGGCCGATCCCTTCGCATTGTTAGAGAAAACCTAGGATATAGATAAGATGAGGTTGAGAAAAGTGCTGAGAGAAAGAATGAAGAGATCAGGATCGGGAGTTTTGGCTATGATGAGGCGTACGTGACGTCTTCCTTTGGGGATAGAATACATGTAAGAAGATAATGATAGAATGAGGGGCAGCGAGCGAAAATTTCCGAAACGCCCCCGATGGTTTACTCACCTCTTGAAGCTCCCGTTAGTATAATCACCATTTCTTGCGTTTCAGTCATTATGTGGTGCTTTCTGTCGAAAAGAGGACGGAGTTCAGTGTTGTCTGGGTCGACATCATTTTAGGCTGACCAGAATGGACTCATTAGTCATCGGGACTGCTCTCTACGACTAAAGTATGCATGTAGGCTTTCGTATCAGGCTAAGTGAATCATGCCGGAAAGGATAATATTTCTGAATACTGTCTAACATCATTTGTCGTGGTATGCGGCTTGTGAAATGCCGAGTTACACATGCATTATACAGCGAGCTGATGGAGACCTGCTGAGGTCATTGCTGCTTGCCCTTGAATCCCTAGCCAAGCAAGAATACTCCGGCTTCGAAGTACCTAGGTAACGACGGTATCTAGAAGCGTTCACTGACTTCGAATCATGCCTATTCAACCATTCGGAATGCACCCCCCTCCTTTCCGTTTGAGACATATCACCATAACGCCAAACTCCTCCAAAGATGTCACACTACAGGAACGGGCTTAGTTCCTTAGAGCCCGGAGCCGTTCTGTCAAACCTTCCTCTGCTTCTTCCGTAGGACCAACTTTCGTCTTCGCCGGGGTGGCTGCTTGAAGATCTGCCGACAGTTCGACGCCTGCCTTATCCGCCGCTTGGGCCATCAGTTGGTCCACAGCCTCCTGAGGAGTGCCTACTGCGGTCGCTGATTGTGTTATATCCTGGTAAAGCTCTGTGGCGGAATCTACATTTTCGAACTGCTTCTCGAAGTCAACCATGACGGCGGCGATCTATAACCACTGTTAGCATATATACTTCCTTTGTATATACGGGCATATTATTGCGATCCTCGATGGACAAACGTTACATACTCTCTCGGGGCTCATTTGCTTCAAGGCAACGTCCAGGCTCCGATTCACCTTCGCTATATTGCCCGTAAGCTGGCGCATGGTGTTTGCGGTCTGAACACGGCTAGCGACTGCATCGACGCGTGAGGCTAGTTGTAAGAGGTTCAGTTTCTCCTTCTGCTTGCGGACGGCGTTGCCAGCGTGGATGCGCGCGATGTCGTTCTGGCCTCGCTTCATCGCCTGGCCGGATGATTAGTTCGTGTCCTGCACCACACTAGAGATATGGGACAACACGTACCTGCTCCAAACTGGCTTTCTCTTTCTGTTCCGCTTTGCCGGCTTTGAGCGCGTCCTTGTTCAGCTGTCTCACGGTGAACTGCGACGTGTTAGCCGGGGATGCTGGAATGTGGAATGGGACGCTGGACCTTGAGCTGGAAGATGGAGTTGGCGAGGGGGTCGTTCTTCGCATTCATCGTGTTGAGGAGCCCGTCGGGATGGATAAGATAGAAGAGGATTTGTGAGTCGTAGTTGTAGTCAGGTAACGCGAAGGATGGGCGGCAAAGGCAGATGCGGTTGCGGCTGATATCCGGGCGTCAAGTGAAGGGTGGGGCTGGGCGCGGCCCAACCTCATTGGAACGGGCAACTCTAGCCTGGCTTGGCATGGCCTGCATCCACGTGGAAAGTCTCTCTAGCTCTATTTACCGAAGTGTAAAGCTTGATCATGGTTAAGCAGTATTTGGATTGTATTCGCTACGTTCGTCGGTGTCGTAGACTCCTATGCGCCCTTGATACCGTGCTGACCTGCCTCTGGCCATGCTGCATGAAACACCATGCTTCTACGCAGACCATATCTAGACGTGCGACCAACGTAAACCTATGCTAAAGCCAAGTGAAAGCCCAAAGACTGTGCACCAGAACACAAATGCCGTCGCGAGTATCCGGCCCCATGTGTACCAACGCCATATTGACCATAAAAAAATGGGCCGACGCCTTAACGCCGTGAAGCCTCCGTCCCATAGTCGTAAACCCAAGGCCCCCCTCAAGACTGCGGCTCGGCGTTGAATTTGTTGGTCGCAGAGCGGAAGAGTTCCTCCTGCGCTCGGATGAGTTCTTCCTCTGTCATACCGCTCTGCTCGATCTTGGTCTGCTTCTTTTCTCGATTCTGCCGCGCGTCAGCGAATAGATACATGACGCGGTATAGAAAGGAAGTACGTACCTGCTGTTGCTTCTTATAATCCGCCGCAACCTCGAGTATAGCTGGGACATAGTCGCCAAAGTCCAGCTCTTCCAGCGCTTGCTTGACGTGTTCACACGCTATTGTCTTCTTCGCGTCCTTCTCGGCGATCTCGTTGGCTTCCGACGATATCAGGGTTATAAACTCCACGCAGCATTCGATCAAGAGGTCGCGCGAGTCTTTCGCAAAGGTCATTCCTGGCTCGGAGTGCAGGATCTCAGAGACGATCTTCTGGACGGTTGCTGTGGCGCGCTTAGCTGCAGTTCAAAGCATCGTGGCCACAAACTTACCCTTTGGCAGCGACAGGTCGTCGTTGCCTCCAAATTCGCGGTCAGACATGGTGGGCGAACGCGCGGGGTGTGTTGCTATGCGCTGCGGCGGGCGAAGGTGTACATAGTCGAGTTCAGTAAAGCAAGGGTGCAAGGGTGCAAGGGTGCAAGGGTGCAAGGGTACAAGGGCAGGGAAAAACTAAAGCCCGCAGCCTAGCTCGCCAAGGGCAGGTGCGTCACTAGATCACCGCCCTGTGCCCGCGGCATCGTGCTGGTGAAAGGTCCCTACCTAGGGGAGCACCGCTGTCCTATCGCCGGCGCATCACCGGACCTTTTGGGCTGGTGATGACTGCGGAACAATTCCTCCCTGCCTCAGGCACTTCTACATTGAGGCGCAGGGCGCATCTGCTGATGATCAGCTGTAACCCACATTCACAAGATTGGGCGCTCTGGGTGAATGCATCTGGCTCTGCGAACACTCTGGAATGCCCATTCAGGCAGTCCCACTCGGGCGCATGCTCCTCCCTGCTATTGCAGCAATTTGTGGATCTGCTGTCTGCCGAAGCCATTGCTTGCAGCGCTCGGTCAGTAGCGGCGGACTCGCCCATTTGCCGCCGTGTGCGCGCCCGCTGATGGCAACAGCCCGTGCAGCCCTCCACTCAACGACGGGCGGCGTCGATGATTGGTAGCAATTGCGCGCTCCAGAGATCTTAGGCCAGGAACTGCATCGTGGCGGTCTGACAGCAGATCTCTGATCTATGACAGGTCTTCCGCGCTCAACACCGGGAGAGATTACAGAGGACGTCAGCGGGCGGGCGGCCTTGGCGGGTGCAGCGGGAAACAGGAATCCGGGACGGTTTGCTCGTTGCGGACACAGACTCGAGCAGATGACGAAGATGGCGGCGAAAATCCGGAGGAGGACACGCGGGCTGTTGCAGTGTGTTTCATCGGATGAGGAGACAGGCTCACCGATGGGGGGCACTCGCAGGAGGCACCGCCAGAGGAGTGTACATAGACATCATATCAGCTAGCTCTGCACCCCCCTAAACTCCCCGACGCCGGCGGGCGACACTTGCCCTGCAAAGCCCCGTCAAGTTGTTGTCTCTGCGGCTGCTGCTGACTCCAGCCTCGCACGCCGACTGACCATTCTCTATCTTCCCATCCTATTCACCGCGAGTGCGTCTTTCACCGCCGCGCGCGCGCCTCTGTCCGTCTGCCTGCCTGCCTGCCTGCCAGCCTGCCTGCCTGCCTAGGCTCGCTCGACGCACGACGCCTGCGCAGGGCCGACACAAGCAGAGTTTTCTCACTCCAGTGCAGCCGGCCTGTTTTCGGTTTAACGCCGCCTAGACACAGCCAGACAGGTCGGGCTTGATTATTATGACGCGCCCCGGAAGCCATGAGCGACCAGCACCAGCACCAGCACCAGCACCAGCTCCAGCTCCAGCTCCAGCTCCAGCACCACCCGCGCCAGCACCACCAGCCCTCTGCAGCAGCATCCTCGTTTCCTCCGCCCTCCGCCTCCCTCCGCTCCACGTTTGCGCACGCAAACATTCACCCGCTCGCCCTCCACCACTCTGCGAGCGCGGCCGCCGCCGATGGTCGCCCCAAGCGCCCTGCACTTGTGACTCGCGCTTCTGAAAACTCGCCGTCCTCGCCCGCCCGCCCTCGACCCCGGCCCCGCCGCTCGGTACTTTCCAAGTCCTCGAGCGCTGTGCCGACTCTCTCCACCACTTCCATCCCCAGGGCCCTCCCCACGTACTGGCTGCCCTCCACCATGACGACGGCGACCGGCGCCGGCTCGACGGCGGCGGACCTGCTGCGCCAGGCCATGATGCAGAGGTAAGCTCCCCTTTTGTTGCCTCCGCGCCGCGCCCCGCGACCTGGAAGCAGCCAGAAAGCGGCGTGCGGTTCCGTCGCTTAGGCTCCGAATCGGGAGCCAGGCAGGAGTGCGGTCGGTCCATGTCGACGTTACACACCATCTTCCTGGAATAGCTCCCGTTAGCCGCACCTACTTTGCTCTCGCCCCGGCTCACTCATCCTCACACCACCACACCTCCCCACCACCCACAAACATGCCGTTTTCGAGTGCACTCCTAACGCCCAGCAGAACGAGCAACGACGACGACCCCGACCAGATAGGCTCAAACAGCTCCACGCCGCCCGGTGCAGCCACTCCGCGCCCCGATCCGACGGACAAGCGACTGCCGGGTATTCTTCACAGCTACTTTGGCCAGGTTCGTGACTCTCTGATACCCCGACGAAAGTCTTCTGCGGTCAACAACCCTTCCCCCGCACCCTCTTCTCCTGCACAAGAGCGCCCCCAGGAGCCTGCACCGAAAGAGAAGGAGCCCGATCCCAGCCGCCTGCGCTCGCACACACTGCCCAGCCCTACACCCAGTGCATCTTCTGCCTCGCGACATCCCTCAACCTCGCAGTTGACTGGAGAAGCGGAGAAGCTAACGCAAGGCGACTTTGCGCCGCCGCGAAACCAGGCCACTCCCCCTCAGACTCCCCGCACACGCTCGCAAGAAGGCAAGCCGCCCACTTCGGGCTTGAGCCAGACGGCGCTCGCGTCGCACGCAAAGTCGAAGGAGGGCAAGGGCCCTAGCCCTGCGGTCGGACCGCCGAAAGGCAAGCTCTCCGTTTCCATCTCAGAAGGCCGCCGTCTGCGTCCCAGCGTAGACCCGTATGTGGTATGCCAGTTCCAATGGGCCGAGTACATCTCCGAAGGACCGAGAAACGAGGGGACAAAAAGGGCCGCCGGCGGCGATAAGCGGAAACCCGGTGGGCTCGCCATCAAACGGACCGACAGCGACTCGGGCAGACCAATGGCGATACCGATGCGGAGTCGGCAGAGTAGCAATAACGGCACCAGCTCAGACCCTCGCGAAGATGGCACGTTCAAGGACGTGACCGATCCCAAGTGGGAACACGAGGCAATCTTGTATGTATCTCCACGCTCGTTTTCGTCAAGACTCACTGATTTGATCCAGCGACGTTGTCGGCGACCACTCCGAAATCGACATTTCCGTGTACGACCGGAGTAACGGTGAGGCCTTCCTCGGCCACGTCCGCTTCTGCCCGAACCTCGTCGAGTACGAACACCCTTACGATGGCTGGTTCACACTCGAACCCCGCGATAACGAGGAGGACTATGTCACAGGAGAGATCCACCTACGGATCAACTTTCACAAGACGGATAAGAAGCACTACGGTCCTGAAGACTTTGAGATTCTCAAGCTCATCGGCAAAGGCACATTTGGCCAAGTTTTCCAGGTACGGAAGAGGGATACCCGTCGCATATACGCTATGAAGGTGCTCTCGAAGAAAGTTATCGTGCAGAAGAAAGAGGTGGCACACACCCTGGGCGAACGCAACATTCTCGTTCGGACAGCCATGGCAGAGTCACCATTCATTGTTGGCTTGAAGTTCTCTTTCCAAACCCCGTCCGATCTTTACCTGGTAACAGACTACATGTCTGGAGGCGAGCTATTTTGGCACCTTCAGAGGGAAGGCCGCTTCCAGGAAGCCCGCGCCAAGTTCTACATCGCCGAGCTCATTCTTGCTCTGCAACATCTCCACGAACACAACATTGTCTACCGCGACTTGAAACCAGAGAATATCCTGCTGGATGCCAAGGGCCATATTGCGCTGTGCGACTTTGGTCTTTCAAAGGCTAACCTCACGGAGAACGCCACCACGAATACCTTCTGTGGTACTACCGAGTATCTGGCTCCCGAGGTTCTCCTGGATGAGCATGGTTACACCAAGATGGTCGATTTCTGGTCTTTAGGAGTCTTAGTGTTCGAGATGTGCTGCGGCTGGAGCCCGTTTTATGCCGAGGACACGCAACAGATGTACAAGAATATCGCCTTCGGGAAGGTCAGATTCCCACGAGATGCGCTCAGCACCGAAGGTCGCAACTTCGTGAAAGGGCTTCTTAATCGGAATCCGAAGCACCGGCTTGGTGCAACCCGAGATGCGGAGGAGCTGAAGGCTCATCCTTTCTTTGCCGATATCGACTGGGACGCCTTAGCGAAGAAGAACGTCGTACCACCGTTCAAGCCGAAGCTGAAGGGGGAACTGGATGTTTCCAACTTCGACCCAGAGTTTACCAATGCCCTGAACGGGAATGGATCTTTGAATGCTCGTGCTGCTGCCTTGGCTTCGGGCGTCAATCCCGCGTCGACGCCGCTCTCGCCGACGATGCAGGCTAACTTCGCCGGCTTCACTTTCGTGGATGAGAGTACAATGGAGCAGCAGTTCAGGCATCGTGAAAACGATCTTGAACGGATGGAGGAGGACGACAAAGAGGATCCTGAGTGGGATAAGCCGGCTGGCCGCGGAGACCGCATGAGCGGCGTCATTCCCAGCAACGACCACGATATATTCAGTCACGGCAATTTCGACGTCTAAGGAGCATACTACCCACTGGACCGTTCGCCATTTCTATATTCATCATGGTCCGCTTAGCATCTCTGTATTTCGCGGTATCTCGGGAAAAGTGATTTCAGCTTCCTGTTATGAGTGTTACGAACTGTTCGACACACGGCGGTACGGCGGTCGCATTCATTTGTGTCTTTTCTGGATACCCTCAGCCTTTTTAGCCTGCGGGAGGCTCTAAATTGCCATCAAACCTTTCCCGCTAATCGTTGGCCCGAACGAGGCTGCCATAGCCTAGTCGTACAGGGCACACATTTCCTATTTGCGACAGACTTATGGACTAGCTATCGACGTCTGGACACACGAACCAACGGACGCCAGCATCAACTCAACAGTTGTCCAGCCTTGCTCTCGGGCAGTTACGGATGATGAGGGTCTGGATGTTCAGATCCATAGTAGTGTCAGGTATTGCTATTGCACGCCTGTGCCGCTCTCTCGGTCGATCATAATACGTCTGCGTCGCCTCAGAATGGGTTTTATCGTATGCGTTTCCACACCAGCACAGCACACATGGGAGTTAATCGTGGGGTACCGTAATGCATTGCGTGGGTGAGTATCTGGAGCATTCGGGTTTTGTCCTTTTAATATGGGTCCTGGCTCTGGATTCTGGGTTCTCGGTTCTGTTTCTGTGCTTTACGCATGCTTTCTCCTGAGCATAGTTATCCACCCAAACGCATCGCCTCGGTCTCATCTAGGGAGCTAATGAGGCTGGCTGGCACTGTACATATCAGATCAGCAATACGATAGTATCACCAAGCAACTCACCTCGCATGATTCCCCGCCAATGCGGCTGCAACGGTCATGCAGTATTGCGTCAATGTTCCTTCCACGCCAAGCCGGGTTGCTCTTTCCATACAACCACCCCCCACCTCTTCATCAACGACATCCCACGAACATTCTCCAAATGCATGCTTCAGAGTACATCCGACTTCGGGCCTGCGCATTCGACGCCTACGCCGGCACTAACTGTTTCTAGCCCTTGGCTTGGCTTGGCGATGCGCGTGCAATTCGACCTCGGTAAAGATCCTGGAGCTCCGCTGAGAGCTTCACAGCTGCGGGCCTTGATTGCCGCCCCGCGCATCAGCGACTTCCGCCGCATTTATATCTGACATTGCTTTCTCACACTCCCCATTAGCAGCATCACTTACAACACTAGCGGACTTCTTTAATCCCGTCATTGAGAAACAGATTGGTCAACTGATTCGAGATGGGCGAACAGGGACCTGGCGTTGGCTTTGAGTTCCCGCCCTTGGAGGTGTCGTGGATGAAGAGAGATTTGCTGCTTTTTGCCGCGAGTATTGGGGCTACGTATCCGGATGAGCTTCATTTTCTCTATGTGAGTGCCTTACTCCATGTTCCTACTTATTCAAAAGCTCTCAATTCCTGGCATAAGAACGCATTTCGAGCCCTAGACCCCGCCCACATCGTACAAATATCTGATGGCGGCCTAGGAACTCCACCCCCAATTCGCCGCCTTCCCCACCTACCCCATCATCCTCCCCTTCAAGCACACCGACCAGGAAGTCATCGACTTCTACGCACGATCCAGCTCCACGCCCATCACTGGCGTGCCCAAATTCGACAACAAGCATGTTCTAGACGGCGAGCGTAAGCTGCAGTTCTTGAAGCCCATCCCAGTGTCTTCGGAAGGAAGAAAGTTCGAGGTCAGGAGTAAGGTGCTTGGCGTGTACGATAAGGGGAAGCCGGGAACGGTGGTCGAGACGGAGCAGAGGCTTGTGGATGCGGAGACGGGGGAAACGTATACGAGGGCGGTGGGGAGTGGGTTTTATGTTGGGCAGGGAGGATGGGGTGGGCCGAAGGGTGAGTACCATAGCGAAGGGGGATGTGTGCTGGGGGATGCTGATGGCATGCATAGGTCCGAAGACGGTCAACTACCCACCACCATCCAACCGCGCCCCTAACGCAACCCGCACAACGCAAACAACTCTCGAGACGGCACTTCTCTACCGCCTCAATGGGGATTATAATCCTCTCCATGCTACTCCCGAACCCGGCGTCAAAATGGGCTTCGGCGGGCCCATCATCCACGGTCTCTTCTCCTGGAATACCGCCGCGCACGCAGTCCTACAAGCATTCGGCAGCTCAAAGCCAGAAAATATGAAGGAGTTTCAGGCGAGGTTTGCGGCGCCGGTGAAGCCGGGGGATAAGCTGATTACGGAGATGTGGAAGGCGGGCGAGAAGGATGGAGAGGGGTTTGAGGAGGTGAGGTTTATTGTAAGGGTCGAGGGCGGGAAGACGGTGTTGACGAATGGGAGGGCGCTGGTGAAGATGGAGGGCCAGGTCAAGGCGAAGTTGTAGCGGATAGAAGATAGGGCAGCGCGATAGGAATAGAAGGACTTAACGAAAGAGGGAGAGTTCTGAAGCCAGGATTCTGCTCTCGGTTAAAATACTCCCGTCAGCTGGCCTGGAATAGTACGGTTGCTGGCCTTCGTCGAATCTTTTCCCCCTTTTTCCCTCGATTCCTCCTCATTTAGTTTGAGCAACTTCACAGGCCCTTCATATATGGCGCCTACAACGCCATGGACATGAACAGGCTAGACAAATTCGAGTGTCTTTCCAGTTTCGGCCTCAAGAAGCACGAAACCATGCCCCTCGAGAAAGCTGCACAAACAGATCAATCGACTGCGTCAAACACCTTATCGAGAAACACGCGCAGACCCTAACCGCGTACGTATACATCCAGGCAGCCAGCCCATATACATAACGGTTGCACAACAAAACCGAAATGGTCCGGTACCTCGAAAACCACAACATCGACATCCACCTCGGAAGCGAACGATATGCGGCAAGCCCAACGGCGCTCTGGATGATCAGATTCCTCAAATCAATCGACAGCATCCGGCTTCTCCTCCAGCATGGCGGCCCGGTAGACCACATGGACGAAGATATCCGCAACGTAGACAAACCAAGAATGACAGCTATCCTGCGAGCCACCGGCGGTGACCGTGCACCAGTGCGCTTTGAAACGGAAGAGAACGCGAGGAAGCATCTTGTTTCCGCGCTGGCCGACTGCCAAGGAGGGGCAAGGAGCGAGGGAGTTGAATAGGAAAGCAGGAGTGAAGACGAATGATCTCGATGAGATGGATATAAGGCGGAAATTTGCGGCGTATCCGACGCTGTTGGAGAGGGAGAGGGTGTTGAATAATAGTGATGGTGAGCTGGCTCCGGAGTAGAAACCGGCGTTTGTTCCGGTGAGAAGGAAGGAAGATGAGTGAAGGGGTCAATCTACGCAAGCGTAGCTACGGGAGGAGTCACAATTAATCATTAACCATTACGTCTCGGTTCTTGTACCAAAGTCGTGTGATTACCTTCCCCTTCCCTTCCAATAGCCTCGTCATCAGAAAACTGTCTGAATCCAATCTCCTCCTCTACTAATCAAGCTCATCCGGGACGTTGAGGCTGCGGACTATACACCGCTGGCATCTCGCTCGGCGGATACCGTCCTCCCTGCATACCGGGCTGCATAGGCATCGGCTGCTGCATCCCTCCCATACCCACTCCAATTGGATTCCCTTGCCCTCCATTATTCAGCACGGGACTCGGTGGTCTGGGATACTGATAATGTCCCTGCTGTGGCTGTCCATACATCTGCTGCGGAGGCGGGCTGCCTCCCATCATGTGTGGACTCCCACCCATGGGCATCTGTGCACGGCCCATTGAATTGTGCTGCTGGATCTGCGGTGGTGGAGGTGAACCCATCGCCATCGGCGTAGCACCCATAGCCTGCTGCGGATACCCATACACCGGCGCCGGACTCGGCGTCCCATACTGCACCGGCGGCGTCTGTGTCATCTGGCTATATCTCGGAGCCGAAGAAGGCGGCGGAGGCGACATGGGGCCTGGTGCACCGACAGTATTCACCGTTGCACCTTTGAACTCGCCTCCTTGCGGCCCAACCGCTCCCGCCGCTCCTACGACTGCTCCCGCCGCCTCTGCCTTCTTGGCCTTGTGGCGGCGAATCAAGAAGCCCAAGCCAGCGGCAACGAAGGCCACACCGAGAGATACACCGACGCCTATCCCCGCTCTCGCGGCGCTGGCGAGACCCTTTCTCCGTCCGGAGCTGCCTCCCCCTCCTCCGCTGAGCTCGAAGTCAGTCTCTTCCGGGGAGGAGGGGATTGTTTCGCCGGGACGAAGCGTCAATGTCGTCGTACTTGTGACAGTTGTTTTCGCATTCAGAGCAGCAGTTCGTGTGGCAGTCGTTGTCGTCCAGTCAGTGCTGTACTCGGTCGACGTGCGGTAGACGGTCGTTTCGATGGTGGTGGTGATGTATGTAGTGCGGTATTCGGTGGTGGAGGACGTGTCCGTTCGCATGGTCTGACGCGGGAAGAGAAGGCCCCGGATTTGGATGTACCTGGGTGGGTCGGTAACGTCGGGCTTTAGCACCTCTTGATGCTCTTGCTGCTCAGCTGCGGGAGTAGCTGTGGCCATAGAGATCGTGGAGGACGGGAGTGGCATGGAGTGGCATGGAGCGTGGTGCTTCGCTGTCGGCTGAATTCCTCTCTTCCCGGCTTGAGCTGCGGTGCTTGTTACAGTCACCCATTCGGTCGAGGTATCCGCCTCTGTACTGATGGTTTTGTAGCTCGTGTACGTATACGTGGACCATACCGTCGTGCCCGCAATACTACTCGTATACGTCTCATAATCGGTGTAATAGTCCGTTTCCCACATGGTCGTAGTAGCCCATGACCTGTTGCATAGAGATCAGCATTCCCTCCCGATCCCCTTGTACATTTGGAGAGAGACATGCCACTTACACCTTATAAGTGCACTTCCCCAGCGTTCCCGTCCCCGGTCCGCACCCAGCAGTATTCGCACAACACCACCCATCCTGCGCATCGTTCGGATCCGGACAACAAATATCGCTCGAGTCAACGCATGTATACGGATCTCCCGTCACATACATTGTACACCCCGCTCTCTTGAACAGATTTACATACGCCAACGGATTCGAATTGACTCCATGAAGCCCGATTTCCCTCGTATCTTCGATCCCAAAAAGCGGACCAAGCTCGACGGACGTCGTTGCATTACCGATCTCGGGCGCAAGGCTGAGGACATCCTGAAAGTCCTGGTTGTCACCTTTGACAAGATCGGCTAAGGTGAGGATGTTTGATAGCTTCAGGAGCGCTAGGAAGGCAGACGCCCAGAGCGCTTTGGGCTTAGCAGCCACCATCGTCGCAACAACAGCAAACAGGCAGAAAGAGCTACAGCCTCGCTGTGGGCGCAGGACGCAGGACGCAGTTTACATAGGGCTTTCGGCTGCCTGTGCTGAACGGCTCTATCTTCGTATTCCAATGCGAGCGCATCCCTGTCCATCGTGAAGATCTTACCATATCGCCTGATGCAGTTAGAACGTGGCTGCAAGGCTTAGAGGTGATTGGAGAATAGACGATTCTCATAACACAACCAGTATAGTGTTTCTTGGTGTTTCTTGGGCCGCTGACCGGTACGTGGGATACGTGATTTTGGGGTGGCATCCCGAGGTGTCTGGGTCGATGGCTGAGCGGGATCCGGGTTCGGGTGGTATTTTGGGGTTGACGATTAGTCTATGCCGATGACGATCCGCTCGTGACATCTCGTTAAGCCGTAGGCTCGGGATAAGTCGTTCCTATTTTCGACTGTTAGATATTCGCCGAGCTCCACCTAAGTGATTTGCGAATGGGACATCAGCCTATCCAGCGTTGATTTCACGAAATAGAACAGGGATGTGATGCGCTTGAAGTGAGAATGCTGAATGCGGCTTGCCGCTGTTCTTAGAGCAAGGCAACTAGGGCAACCCTTCTCTGCTGCCAGCGTCGGGGTATCTCTAGCTAGAACACCTACTGTTCAATTCGGAGCGCATCCTGCTTCCCTTTCAACAGCTCCCTCCTCTCTTGCTTTCCCTTGCTCCTGGTGTCTCTAACCTCTCGACTCGGCGATGGTGGCCCAGCTTTTCTTTTCACCTGTCTGTACACCTCAACTTCAAGGAATGGCACTTTCCTCGTCCCCATACCACACCTCCATCATATCCAGCCACTCAAGCACAAACGCACTGACAATCTTACTCCAATCCCGCACGGTTTCCATATCCAAATTCTCTGCATTATCCTCCAAGCTATGCCACACATGTGGAAACGGACTCGGAATAATATGTAACGTCTCGACCCCTCTCGCAATGAACGGTAGATGGTCATCTGAAATTTGTCCTCTCGCCATTGTCATGTTGTGGTCGGGGAGGAAGGGGTCGGACGGTGAGGTCTCGAGGAGGTGGAGCGAGCGCATGCGGGATTCGACTTTGGAGAGGGACACGTAGGCCCAGTGTGTGGTGGGGAAGTAGGACGGCACCATAGGATTTGGAGCGCCGAGGAGGTCGAGGAGTAGGAAGAGGGAGATCTGGGAGAGGGGCGTACGGTATTTGTAGAATTTTTCGCTGGCTGGGTTGCGTTCGGTGGCCCATTGCTGTGCCAATGCCCTAGAACCTCCATTAGCACCCTTAACTCTCCTCTCACCCTCCGAGCTAGCAAAGGCGCATACCTGGAACCATATAGCGAATCCGTATCACTCCATTTCTCAAACGCTTCCTCTCCATCCAGAAACAGAATCTGAACCCCCATATCCATCTCCACACTCCCGCCCTCCCCGAGTTCCGCCATCTCATCATACATCTGGCTTACATACGTATCCACCACCTTCGCAACATGCATCAGCATCGCACATGGTGCTGCGCTATCGGTTGCGCCCACAAACCCTTTCGGCATGTACTTGCTATCGTAATGCGCAACCAGCGTAAGCAAGTTCGCTTGTCCTGGTTTCACCCACGGCGGCTCCCTCTTCACTATCAGATTCGCGAAAGGGATCTGGATGTGCCCGGATACGGGGGTCGTAGACGTGGAGTTCTGCCACGAGATGTCCCACTTGGGCAGCTCGCTGCGAAAGAAATTGAAGAGGTGTTGTTGCGCGACGGTTTGGCCTGGTGTCCCTGGGACGCGCGGGATGAGGAGGGGTGCGAGGAGAGAGCCATTTCGTGGATCTATGTCGTAGCCCGGTGAAGGTATTGCGCGGAGGAAGCTATCTGACAGCTCTTTGTACGCTGTACCCAAGCTCAACAACGATAGGACGGAAAGCCATAGAAACATAGCTCGAGAGGAACGTGACGAAGATGACATGTCGCTACGCGCCACAACAATTGCAAGCTCGCATGCTGTTAAGGAGCGTGAGCAGCCAGGAAAGGGAGTGCCGTCGTTGCCGACATCATGGAGGAGGTAGCCATTGTCGATGTTTCAAGACCTTCTTAGTCGAAACTCCGACAGTCGAGGCGGGAAACCAGGCCCGCAGATGTAGCAGCTATTGCCGTGTTTCCCGATGCCTTGGTCAAGACGTGCAGTGCAGAGTTTGTGTTTCATGAAGCGGCGAGACCCAAGAGATTCGTCAGGAGCGCTAGTGGGCACCTTAGGTAATCACGTGAACCTCCACAGTCGATGGATCCTTTTCTCTCCTCCAAAAGCCAGGGACTTGAGCCGCCTATCCCATCAACTTATCCGTCGTTCCCCTGAAGGCGCTTCAGCCTCGGAACTCCCTTCGGACCCGAAACCCAATCGCTTGACTCCACACAGTCACGTTCGCCCATAAATTCCAAGGTTGCCATCTAATCTTTCCTTTCTCCTTCCACGAGCTTAGGAGGCAAAAAGCATTCCGTTCTTTCCGCATGTCTCTTAGACTGATTGCGCCCGCACTCACTTTCCCTGGCGGAGTATGCGATGGCGCAGCCCAGGCATCAAGCTGAAGGCTGTTGCTGCAGCCTTTGGCGACACCATGGCCAATAAAGCGCGGGCTTTACTGCCATCGCTTCCAGCCCTGCTTATTTATACCTCAGCCTACCCCATAAGATAATAGACCACACCTTCAACCTCTTCAGCCTTGTTAGAGTTGAACTCCATTACATGCACTCATGGAGCCACTTTCTGCCCTCAGCATAGCGACAGCAGTAGTTCAATTCCTCGATTTCACAGGAACAATCGTGTCCGGAACATGGAAGATCTACAAGTCGAACCCCGGCGACTCCGAAGAACGGAATTCAGACATCAGAACGGTGACTGACAGCTTGATGAAATTGAATAAGGAACTCTGCGATGCCATCAACTATCCTAATCTCAAACCCTTCTCTTCCCAAGACCAGCAAATATCGAAACTTGGCGAAAGATGCAACGAGCTCGGCGAACAACTCATCTCCGCATTGAATCGTCTGAGATCACAGAACAAACATCAGCTCTGGGAAAGCTTTCGTCTGGCCCTGAGGACCATATGGAGTGAGAACGAAATTAGCACGCTGCAGCAAAGTCTGGAGAGCTATCGACAGCAGATTTCCATGCATATTCTTGTCTCATTGAGGTATCTAGCTCGCCGACTTGGTTGATATGAAGCTGTCATGACTGACTTATAACAGAGAACAGATCGCTGCTACGCACGAAAGCCAAAGACAACACGACTGGCAAACGCAGACAACACTTGATCAGACCCAGCGGCTTTGTAAAGAGATACTGAGGGAGATCGGCAACAGTAGCAGATGGCAGGGCGATGTTATTGAGGCAATCAAACGGAGTTATGGACGAGGCGTCGCGACTCCAGGCTCTACGGCGCCGCCCGCAAACATGCACGATATCTTGCAAACAAATGATTCCGATCGCATCAACCAACGGCTCCTTCATTTCCTACGATTCCAGGAGATTGACAATCGCTATGAGAGGATATCTCCGGCTTATCAGAAGACGTTCGAATGGGTCTTCCGGCCTTCATCCTCCAGCACCGCGAAGTGGGCAGACTTTACCCAATGGGTGCGGGGCGATGATCCTCTGTATTGGATCACTGGGAAGGCCGGTGCTGGCAAGTCTACTTTGATGAGGTTCATCTACGACCACAAGCGCACTGAACAGGGTCTGCAAGCCTGGGCTGCCGATCGACCGCTCGTCATGGCATATTTTTTCTTCTGGAATTCCGGATCCGAAATACAAATGTCCTACGAAGGACTCGTCCGGACCTTGCTTTATCAGATTCTCCAAACGTTGCCCCATCTCATTCCGGCCGTGTTTCCGTATCGAATGGAAGTGGGAATCTTGTTTGGCGAACATGTCTTCGAAAAGGAGTCATGGACTTGGGAAGAGTTGCTGAAGGCATTCCGCGTCTTAGTGTCAAAGGCTACGGACACGCATAAGCTTATGTTCTTCATCGATGGCATGGACGAATTCCAAGGCCAGCCGTCCGATCTTGTTGATTTTATTACAAGCCTGATCGCTCCGGGGGTCAAGATCTGTGCTTCGAGCCGCCCTTGGGTCGTCTTCGAGGACGCTTTCAGTCATCGCCCGCATCTCAGATTGGAAGACCTCACCTACGATGATATCAAACACTACGTTACGTCGAAGTTGACGGCCAATCCTGGGTTCAAAGTATTCCAGCAGTTTGACCCAAAGTTTTGCTCCGAACTCATCGAGAACGTTTGCGTCAAGTCATCTGGAGTGTTCCTGTGGATCTTTTTAGTGACGCAGTCCCTCCTCGACGGGCTTTCGGAAGGCGAAAGGCTTTCCGACTTACAGAACAGGCTAGATTCCCTTCCTGTCGATCTCGAAAACCTCTTCTGGAAGGTACTGGCTAGCCTGAGCTCGTTTCACTTTCGAAGGGCTTCCCAGCTGTTCCAGCTAGTACGAGCCTCTTTGTTTCCCTTGACACTGCTTGATATGTCCTTTGCAGACGAGGACGACCCAAGTTTCGCAATGAAAGCTCCCTGTGCGGTTCTTACCCTACAACAGGCCAATTCGCGAGCGGAGCTTATGCGGCGGCGAATCAATGCTTGCTGCAAAGGACTTCTCGAAGCGAACTCTGGTGCATTCAAATCCCTGCCTTCGACTCGCGTGGACTTCCTACATCGCACCGTCAAAGATTTCCTCGAACGCGGCGACATCTGGTCAAAAGTGTGTGCAGCAACCGACGAGAACTTCAATGCGAATCTGCGGCTGTGTAATTCCCGGATCATGTGGCTCAAAAGACAAGATCCGGCAAAGATCAGTGAGAAAAGCTTTTGGGATGCGATTACATATGGTATCGAGTATGCCGTTAGGTCGGATCCTGTCTTGACGACATATCAAGTCCCTCTTCTCAACGAGATCGACAGAACGGCAACGAGGGTAACGACTAAGTTGCTTCGACAGCAGTCCATTGTCCATCAAGCGGCGACCTGCAGTTCTGAAGAGATGGCCCCCTACTGGACTTGGACACGCGTCGAATGCCGTGAAGCCACCTCATTCCTCAGCTTCGCCGCGCAGTGTCAACTAGTCCAATACGTCGATTTGAAATTGCGAGCAATGCCCCCATCCAACGCGGCCGGATGCGCCTCAGAACTCCTGTATCTTGCCATAACACTGTACGAAGTGTTTCTGAACGAGAAAGACCGACCCGCCGTTTATCATAAAGAGCCGAGCAAAGAGCTCATATTTCTTCTCCTGAAGTACGGGGCAGATCCCAATTTCCAGACTAGACCAACCTTACCTACGGCCTGGGAGCAGTTGCTAGACAAGTGCGACATCATCGTACGCTATAACCGTCACGGTGAAAATTTTGGACTTCCAAACTGGGAAGATTTCATGAAAGAATTCCTATTACATGGTGCAGATCCTCGGAATCCTCGGCTTGAAACAGCTCTCGGCAATTTCTCTCATATGAGAGATCTGGTCAAACAGAAGAAGAGGGAAACAAGGTGGTCCCATTACGGTTCAAAATTGCGACGATCGAAGTGATGTCGGATGTTGCGAATGGCTACGATCCTGTGGGGCTGCATCACGAGAGCATCGGTTAACACAAGGGTTAGTAGAGTCATTGGCGACTCTTCGAGTATCGTTGCCAATTGGGACGGCCCAGTCATCCTATCAGTTTTGGATCGCTACAGGCCGAACTCAGGAACATCTTGTTTCTCAACACCTGCCAGGGTTCGATTATATCCAATCAGTCATGCGAATATCGCCAATCTTCTCGTCAACCTACAGGTTGCGCCTCATAGTATGGACTACGCGCCACAACACGAGCGATACAAATCCGAACCTCATTCGAACCAGCTCATCACCCATGTATTGCAGGGGTTCCGCGACCGAAGTGCGTATGCATGCTGCGCGCCAAAAAAAAAAAAAACAAGCCTCGAAGGGACATCGACCATCCTGATCCGTCCCACCAGGCGGCAGCTACATCTCATCTCCTGGAAATAATCGATTTCCAGGCCTCAGTTTCGGATGTCTTTAATGATCTGAAGGTTCCGATCGCGTATCGACGAGGCGGGGCTAGCCGAATCCCTGGCCTATCCGATGGGCATGTCATCGTCGCGGTGAATGTCCACATGGGTTTCAGAATTGTAGCTCAGCTGCTGTGGAAAAAAATATATATATTTTTTTTTGCAATTTTTTTTGGCTTTACGTGCCTTCGGACCCTTGTTCTCCTCCTGAAATTCCCTCCCTCTTGCTCGCTTGTCTTTTCTCCCTATGCTTTATTTCACGTATGTCGATTGGAAACGTAGTAAAATTACAATACCAAAGCGCACCTGACCTGGCAAAATTGTGCCCTGATATCATTTACTTGGATACACTAATGCCACCTTTTTCCTCCAATAACTCAAACACAACACCCAAAACGCCCTGTCCTACAGCCACCATACCATACCTACGCCCCCAAACTAAAAGAAAGCACACCAACCAATATACATTGCCGCTAAATTCCTCGGATCCCTCGCCTGTTGCACTAGCGCATCCACATAACCCTCCACACTCAATGGCACGCTCTCCCCCCGAATCAAGCCCGCCACCTTCTGCTTCACAACCTCTAGGACCTCCTGCGGCGTCTCCGGCACGCCTTGGATCTTCTTCTTGCGCTTCCCCCCCAAAAAGTCTGCTGTGGGATCGTGCACAAACGTTTCCAGGATAGTGATGAGCGTGTCTTCGTGCTGGCGGAGTAAGGAGTAAGTGAGTTCGGCTGCTTTCCGGAAGGGCCCCTCGACGGCTTGGGGCCCCATGGCGTCGACCATGTTGTGCGTTAGGCGGAAGGGGACAAGCTCGGGTTTTTCGAATGTGAGCCCTTTGTCGAAGAGGCAGTTGAAGTCGACGTGGAAGGTGCCTCCGTTTCCTTCTTCAAGCAATACATTCTCGCCATGTCTATCACCCAATCCCAACACATGTCCCACGATACTCATGACTGCGCAAGAGCGCGTGTAGCGCAGGCGGGCCGCAAACCAAGCTTCTGGCTCAGGAAACGTTTCGACGAACCATTCGTGCAGGACAGGCGGGAACTTTGCGAGGATCTTGTGGGTGAAGATAGGTGTTTTTGAGGGTTCGGAGCATGCTTCGTTGAGAAGCATGCGGATCTCGCCATAGTCGATGGCGATGTTCTTTTGGCGGTAGAGGCGGATGATGATGTCGCGCATGGGCTTGAGACCTTCGACCCATTCGATGGTTCCGCATTCTTCGTTCAACGGTGTCACGCCATAAGTCTTGATGTAGAGGCGACGCTTACTCGACTCGATATCTTTTCGCAGGGCACGATTGATCATGGCATTGAACTCCATAAGCCGCTGGTCCTTGCGGAGATCATCTTTCGGCTTGCAGAGCAGACCATAGGTCCGCCCATCGGAGCCTCGGACGGTGACTTTTCGTGGTCTCTGAAGCGAGGATAGAACCAGCACATCGTCTAAGAATGATTCAATTGTGATGGCTCCCTGAGGGAACGGATTGTGAAGCCGAATAAGCCTGCTGTCATTTCCGGTCGGTAGAGTGGGGATCATATTGGCCTCGATAGGTACGACGAGAGCGCATGGCGCGAGCTTGTGATTGAAGCCCAAATCTCTCGCCAAGCTCACATGGACGACCCTCTGTTCAATAGGAGCATTGCAAGCTGCCAGCAATGAATCGGTGAGACGCTGACCGTGTATGATCAAGCTCTTCAGGTCCAGAGCGCCGCCTTTGCGCTTCGAATGATCCTTCCGTTTATTAGCATACGTGTGAGCCTCGCCGGCCCGATCACTTACTCGGAGCTTTTGAAGGACCGAAGTACCGCGTACGCGTCGATCATCCTGCGTCGAGTGAATGACGGCCAGGAGACTCCATAGAGCTTGTTGCGGATATTGAGCGGCTACTTTGAGAATGATGATCAGCAGAACCTCCCACACGCTCTTGTTCGGATGACTGATGCGAGTTATGATCTGGGGGAACGCCGTATACCATGTAAATGCCGGCATGCGCTCAGTCGTATATCGCTTGAGGTACTTGTTCATATGGTCCAGGTAGTTAAGTTTGTGCTGATGCAGTTCCTTATCTTTCGGCAGCCTCGGTTGGGTGTTCATGACTTCCACGCCCATGTCGAGCCAGAGCGTGAGAACCTTTGGTATCGTCTGGTAATAGTGCTTGGTTCCATACACTGTGGAGCGAGTGTAGTTTTCGATCACCAATTTCGTCAACTCCCCAGCCAAGAAGCTGTCCGATCGTCTCCCTGGCGACAGCTGTTTCTCAGTCTCGAAGAGCTTGAGGTAGTAGCGTCCTAGATAGTAGTGTCCCTTATCCCATTTGGGAAACGTCATAATACCTCTGGCATAGGCCTCTTTCAACGCTGTAATCCCGGTTTGACCTGATCGATCCAGCCACTTGGCGAGAAGCAACTCCGCATGGCACTTGACCTTGTTCGTAGACAGAGACTGGTCAGCGGACGTGGCGACTGAGACTGAGACATCCATGGGCACTGCGTCTCGCGTCTGGAAAGAATTACTCATGAGGGCGCCGCGAATGTTCTGGATGGCTTTTCGGTGATGCCCTTCCTTCCATAGCATCTTCGAATACTCAATCTTAGCGGCATCATCGCCAAGTTGTTGTGCATGCAAGATTGAATTGAAAGCTGCCGAGGTGAAGTCTCCTTTCCGCGCTAGCCTCGCTGTCGTCAACCAGGCAGACGCAATATCAAGATTTGTGAACTCAATTCTGTAGAGGTTAGCGCATAACCGATAGTGTGGATGTTGCTTGCGCTTACCGAGACAGTTGCATCGCCGCACGGCGTATCCCAAGCACATACTGCTTATCTGCTGTGTATGAACCCAGTATATCCAGTCGGCGATCCAGATTCTCCAGGATAACATCGCGGTTAGGTGTGGTATAAGCGGCCATGCCGCTGATAGCCTCGATTTCGTAGAGAGTATGCAACTTTAGTAGATGGTCGTGGCAGGCGTGCAATGAAGCGGTCGTGGTAGGAGAGAGTCCCTTGGCCAAGGTCTGTCGTAGAGAGCCAACGATGTTCTTGAATTCAGCTTCCTCTTTGCGCCGCAATGCCAGCAAAGCTTTGCCGATCCCAACATTGAAATCTTGGGATGCGCTAGCGTCTGGTTCGGAATGGGCAGCGATGAGCTTCTCGAGCTGATCCCATCTACCTGAGGACCAAGCTGCTTCTGCGGCGAATGGCAGAGTGCTCGTCGAAACAGAATCGAAAGCGTGAAATCCCTCTACGTAGTTGAGGATGGCATCTCAGAGGCCGTTAGCAGTGATCGACGTTAAAGCATTCCACCACTCACCATATTGTCCGGATGCTTTGAGGCAAGTCAAAAGGTTGACTTGAGTGTCGGTATCGTTCGGCCGCTCGGCGAGCGCGAGCTCGTACCAGCTTTGGGCAGCTGTCCATCGTCCGGCTTTCCGATGCTCCATAATTTGCTGTTCTGAATTCAGCACTTGAAGATGAGCAGAGATACCTTCGATGCTGTCGGGCTCGTCGATCTGGGCATAGATGAACTGAAGATGTTGGAGCAGGTCATCCTTTGGGAAGAGGCCATCCGTCGCCTCCGCTTTGAGTTGCTCCTCGCGGTAATACTGCTCCCAGTGGAAGAGCGCTCGAGCATACGATCCACATTCTACGGCACGCGTGGAAATGACCTTCGCCGGGATCAGTTGTAACAGGCGCTCGACTGCACTGATTTGCTGAATGGATTCAAGTTCCTCCAGTTCCGAAATGCCTCGACCAGTCTTTCCGGCCATGATTCTATTATCCGACACATGTTTTCTCTTCTCCTGCAACCAGAGAGCGAGGTAATCCAACGTGTGGAAGACATTCTGCTAGCAGTAAGTATGGAGTGTTCTATGTAGTTAAAAGTGACTCACCTCGCTACATTGCTTGATATTCGTTGCATCAATGTGATCGGTTCCTTGGACATTGGTCTCAAGAATTGTCAACAACTCTTGCCCTATGTTGATTATGTCTTTTTCCTCGCCATCGACAAGCACGCTCAGCACGGCAAACGGCAGAATGAAAGAGGCGATGGAAAGGTCTTGATTTTTGATAACCCTGGCCACGGCTCGGAAAACCATCTTCGCATTGTACTCCTTTGCCTTGTATAACAGATCGTAGACGAACGTTCGAAGCCACGTGGCGTGGCTGACTTCGAGACTGAATATTGGGTATGGCTGAGACTGGTCTTCAGCGCCCGGTCGAATGTTAATCAGATATCTCGAGTTCAAGAAGGGGAAGAGCGTGTTGCGGATGGACTCCGGCATCTGATTCCAGCGTTGCATTGCGCGGCTGGGTTGCGACGAGCGCGGCCTCTGGGCCACGACCTCGTTGCTGAACCCGCAGGCCTTGCACAGTTCTTGCATGACATAGGCAAGAAATCCCTGTAACTTGGCGTTGCTCGTGGAAAGGAAGACCTTGATGAGGACCTCCTCGAGCATAAACGCGGCAAAGTCGGTGACATCTGCCGCTGACTTAAAATTGCTGAGCACGAGAATCTGTTTCTTCTCGCGCACCGTCTCCACACGGTACGGGTCAAGTCCACCGATAAGGCCTAGGCATTGAGCGCAGAGTACTGGAATGTCACCGTTGTTTTCGGCAAATCGGACGCATGCGTCAAGTAAGGAGCGACTGAGCGTGGTCAAAGCTGGAAGAGGTTTCTGGCCGATTGCAGACTGGTGTAGGAGTTTTTGGTTTTCCTCAAGGTAGGGAACAAGCTCCTTCAAGGCCTGTCGCACAACGATAGCGCTCTCGTCGCTACAGCGCTCACCAAAGATGTGGAAGAGCGTGACTTTGTCTTTCCCGGCTTTAAGGCGAGCGATTTCTGCCTCTAGCTTGGCCATCATTGGGATGGAAGCCAGAGAGGGGATATAGCCGATCCGGGCTTGCAGTAGCGGATTGTACTTCTGACGGAGAGTTTCAAGGGTTTTACAGGCCTTTTGGCGGGCGTTGTCCGAAAAGATGGGCCAGTTATGCACGATCAAAGCGAACGTCTGATCGATGACGAGTTCCAAGTCCTCTTCGTCAAGGACAGCAAGGAGAGCGGACCATAGGTCGAATGCCTGGTCGCAGAGATGGACATCGGACGTCGCGGACTGGAGGCAAGCCCTGAGCTAAGGTGTATGAGCTTCTAGAAGAATTGATATGACATGAAGGATTTGACGCACCTGTGGTAGCGCATAGCTGGTGTCACTTCCAGCAAGCGCGATCAGTTCTCTGATAGCACCTACGGCCCTCCTTCGCTCCGGGAGTGGATGAGCTCTTGAAGGATTTTCGATGATGTCGGAGAAGTGCGCCATGACTCCCAGGATGTGGTTCTGAATGAAAGACTCTAGTGCCTTTCTTTTCGTTGGTTCCTTTCGCTGTCCGTCGCTCTTCTCTGACAGCGCAGCAAGTCTATGGAAGCCCGCATGAAACTAGTCGAGTTAGCCAAGTTCCTCATCTTGGGAATAGTCCCTACGAGTTTTTTGTCCTTTCCGCCCTGCTCTGCTGCCAACTCCAACACCTCACATGCAATGAACACAGGTTCCTGCTTGACCAGATGATGCAGCTCTTGCCCGGGCTGCCGAAACCCCGGCGCCACCGCGCTCAGAGTATCCATAGCCCATCTTTCCACGTCAACTCCGTCCTGGCACAAGAGCATCGCAAGAATGCCGGCGAGATTCCTTCGCGGCTGAGAACAGATGTCCCCGATAGTCGTTCTTTTAGCGTCTGCGATGCATTGTAGGATGTCTTTTCGTTTGGTCAAGACCAAAATCGGGAGAACGTACCCGCGGAGGGTTATGAGTAGCTGATTCCTGGTATGTTCGATGAGGTCAGACACAAGAATTGCCTTTTGGGGTTTGCTGAGGACATCTTTTACGATTGTGAAGCCGATGCTTCTCCAGTAGGGCCGCAGCATTTCTAAAGGAGATGTCCCGAAGTCATCGGCAAGAGATGAGATCTAGATGTGTGAGCTTAAACGTGGAAAGCCAACAGAGCGCGCTCCGTACCTCGTTGTAGGCCATGCTAAGAATGACAGTGTTTGGGTGACCCAGATACTCGACAAGCCGATCTAGGATGATGGGTAGCTCGACTTCACCGCATACCCTTCGATCTAGTTAGCGTATTCAAGAGTCTCGCGCATCGGGGCTTACCGCGCAGCTTGGCCATAGGCCATGACTAGCATCTCCTGCTCCGAGAGTATGTTTCGCTTTGCAAGCTCATTGAAAAACTCCATCGTCGCCCTGCGATTCTTATCCCGGACAGAGTCGGTGATATCATCTCGAAGGAAGACCATGATTGATCGGCTACGGTGAGATTAGACCGGTTCACGTAAGGGATTATGTTAGACGTACGACGCTGTAATTCTGAGTTCTCGTAAAGACCTGGTCATTGACTTGATTAGCCACTGTCCCAATAAGCATATGTCCAGGTCCAGATAGTCGGGATCCGATATGTGGTTGAAAACGCGGCCAATAGCCAACGCCATCAGCACCCGAGGCTTTGACGATTTCTGGAACAATTCTTCCTCCGTGATCGCCAGTAGAGCATCGACAACTTCTTTCAACTCGTTAGAGATGTTATTATTCCAATACACAAACTCGCCGCGCTGCGGTGCATTTGTTGCGTCGCAAAGTCTGCAGGTGCAATCCTTCCAGTGGTCTTTATGCGCTAGCTTTGACTGGAGAGAGCGGGAACCTGCACAACCAATCTTGCCGAACGCTGCGAGTAGTTCGCATTGCTCTGTCTCCCATTTCGTTGGATCTTCGGACATTGTCGCGTATTTCGCCCTTTAATTGTAAGCAGGATTCCCACTCCGGGATAGAGAATCACTTACTTGACAATGTTGTGAATGTTGGATAGATCCAGCACTGGGGAGTCCGGCGAGCTGCCATTGAGCGCTACCATCAGTTGATTGTACACCGATAACTGCTCATCCTCTGGGGCCTCTGGAAAGGTTCTTCGTCGCTTTGTCGGCCTCTCCTCATCCGTAACGTTTAAATCCCGAAAAATTTTTATGATCGTGAACGACTCACGGCCGAGCCCATCGTCCGAAAAGCTTTGCGAGATATCTGTGCAGAGCACTGCCCGTAATTCAGTAACCTCGGCCGGCCAGTGGCCAGGAGAAGTCCATAAGCATAACGCGAGCTGTGTTTGTCAGTGATGAGGTTTTGTGAAGGACGTCGAGCTGTACCTACCTGCAAGTCCCGGTGCAGTCGGTTGAAGCTTGCCATATCTTGACAGATTCCAGATACTACCGGCTCCAAGTAATCTAAGACGAGTGATTTGAGGTTCTCGTGCCGACGAGATGAGAAAAGCCTTTGCTTTGAACTTTCCCCTAGTACAGTACGAAGACGAGTAAGCAAAGATGCGAGTCGGAGCTGATTCGCTTCGGAGAAGGGCGATGACGCGCAAGTTTGGAGCAAATCCACGAGACTGGAACTGAGCGACTGTGCAGATCTTGACGAGCACTCGAAGATAACTTCCGTCTCCTGATTTGGGAGAGTGAACGTTTCCAACAGCTGCATGGACATAGCCGCGATTTCGTGAAGAAGCGGGCCGCTTTCGCTGGAACCAATCCACAGCTTGAAGTTCAGCCACAATGTAAGGCAGCTATCTAGCGCCCATTGCCGCTGATGTTCACTGGCGGAGGAGTCGGCCACTCTTTGTCTGGAGTGGAGATTGGAGAGGATTATCGCGTGAAGAAGGTGAAAAGCAATATATGTCGCATGTGTTGGCGTTGTTATGGTTCGCTGGAGGTCGTGAGGCAATGCAACAAGCTGCTGGCTGTAGGGCCAGAACTCGCCTATGCTGCTCGGATACGGCAAGGCGACTTTGAATGAGGCAGGCGGCAATTCAGCTGTCTCATCGTCGATATCCAGGGCTAGGATGATATCTAAGTGCATCATTAGCTATAATTGTGGAAAATGTGGACAATACATACTGTCAACGCATCCCTTGTACACGTCCAGGATTGACTTTGCCCTGCGCAACGCGCTAGGCGACCGAGAAAATATCTCAAGGCATGTAGTCAATAAGCTCTGCACATCTCCATGAACATCCAGGATATTCTCTTGGGCCAACAGGCCCAAAAGCTTCGGAAACAACCAGATAAAGACAGGCGGTCCATCTTCTCCAATGTGGTCGAGAGAATGTCGCGCGACTGATAGTAGATAAGGCTTTTGTCGAAAGATGATCTTGAGCGCATCGAGGCAATGAATGGCTTGGTCCTTCAAATAGTCCAAAGCAAATGGATTTTCTCGGTAGAAGACATCTAAACCCCCTTCGGCGACAGTAGTGATGAAAGCGGCGCATGTAATATCTGGATCCTCGAGAGTAGGGCTTTGAAGGAAGAGCTTGATCTGTTCTAGGAAGGTTTGCTGGTCTCCAGGGCTCTGTTGAGCGTTGGCCTTGGAGGCATTGTGGACGATCTGAGCGGGAATCGTAGATGGCGGCGGGAGTCCGTTGAAACTCGCGTTCCCATTCGTCACAGGCTGAGGCGCCTGCCGTTGAGTGGAATTCCCGCCTCTGCGGGCCATGGCGAATGTTTACCTCTTGGTCATTGCGAGAGCAAGAGTTGAAGAGAAGAGGTCCTATATCCGGAGAGAGCGATAGGGCGGGGTTGCGAGTGAAGGGAGCCCGATCTGAGATCTTTGCTTTCGCGACCGGGCAACGCAACGCACGGGCGAAGCTGGACAGATGCCGTGCCGTAACGGGGAAACATAAACCCAGAGCCGTAGTTGCGTTCCGGCGTAGTGATGTGTGCTTCAGATGGGCGGCAGGTGGGGCTGTCGGTGAAAGAATCCTGGCCTGGTATGAGCTGAGACGTCTCCTTCTCGAGGGAGCAACGCGATGCGTTCGAATTTTCCGTAAGACCCTGTGTTGTGGGGCGAGGTCGCAAGACCGTGGGTTCATGCGTGTTTAGACGTAGCGATGCCTGCTCAAGGCGAAGATGCGCGTCGAACAAAAACACGACATCCCGTGACTTTGCCAAGCCACTAATTATCTGCTCCGCATCGATCATGCCACAAGATCACGGAGCTTCCTCGTCCACGTTGGACACCAAACGGTGTTTTGTTGCAAGTACCTTAAGACTAGCCCGGAGGAAGAGGAGGATACTATTGGTCTTCAATTGGGACAGGCATCACAAGCCGACGGGCGCTTCTTTCGCCCGCCTTCCGCAAAACCCACAACTCGAAGAGCTTCCGCTTCAACGCCTTCCGCTCCTCTCCTGTAGATCGACACCTCTCCGATCCAACCTACGGAGTACTCCCGTATTCACCGCACACCCTCGCCGCCATGCCCGGACCCTTCACATCGCGCTCCTTCAGCGCCACGCTCCCCAACACCTTCGCCTCTAAATACCGCAAAGCCCTGCAAAAGCACCCCTTCCTACTCTTCGGACTGCCCTTCGTCACTACAATAGTAGCCGGCTCCTTCATGCTCACGCCCGCCACCGCCCTCCGGTACGAGCGCTACGATCGCAAGAACCAGCAGATGAGCCACGAGGAGGCCATGGGCTTGGGGCAGAACAGGAGGAAGGTGGATATGCGGGATGAATATTATGTGAGTATACCTTTGCTCTCGGATGGGGCGGAAGGAGGAGAGGAGAAGACTTAAGATGCTGACTGTGACGCAGAGACTGCAGGCTAAAGATCTAGAGAACTGGGAGCAGAGGCGGGTGAAGAGGCTACCGGGCGAGGTGGATGGCATCTTGGAATGAGCCCCGTAATTACATAACTGTGCGGCATAGACACGGCGTTCTCCGAATCAGGCTCAACATTGGGACATCCAAGGCGTTTGGTAGATGTTGCTGGAAGCAGGCAGATACCTCTCCTCTCAATTAGCGAGTCCGTTCTCTCTTATACGGGGGGGATCGTAGATGGGCACCAAGAGAACTGCACTGTCTCTCGCTCCCTGGGGTAGCGAATATCCAAGATTGAATTGACCTTGGGTTTTGAATGCCACGTAAGGCAGATATTAAATAAGACAACTAAGCACATAGTGGCTGTTATCTCTAGATACCCAATCCATCATTAACTATGCCCCATGTCATTGGTTCCATCCATCGTCTAAACATCATAGCACGCCCATGCTCCCGAAGCCTACACCCGCGGTGAGACAGAACGGTAGAGATCTAAAGGCTCCAAATGGTATAAAGATGTTGCAGCTGACGAGACTCTATGACGAATCGTGAGTGACTCCCGCAAATGCTCAGAATGCAACAAACTAGAGAACTGATAATTGACGGTTGCACCGGTTGCTGTGCTCTACTGCTTAATCTCGTAGAATCGTCGGAACATGCCGTCAATGTTCGTGAGGTAATACGTGCCGGGGAACATGTGCTCGGTGCTTCCCTCAGGGGTGTACTCTTTCTTGAGGTGAGCTCGCTCGCGGAGGTTGCACATCTGGCCATAATCAGTCACGTGACTTTCACTAACAATACTAAGCGCTTGAAAGTACTTACATCGTCATATACCTGGGGAGGAACAGTGCGTCGGGATTCCAGACGGGAGTGGATGTCCAGCTGCTTCTGGATTTCGGCAACGCTTCCCTTCACCTTGAGGGAGAACATAGAGGAAGCAAGACCGCTTCCATAGCTGAAGATTCCAATGCGCTTGCCTTGCGCGGTCTGGTTGTCAACGTTGGCAAGCAGGCTGCACAAGCTGCCGTAGACACTGCCACAGTACATGTTCCCGCACATGGTCGGCACCTGAATGCCGGGCTGCACGCGGGCAGCGAATCGCTTCTTTGCGAGCGCCATGAAGGTCTTCTCTACCGCCTTATCTGTGATGGAGGCGGCATAATCAAGATCCCTGAGTTCAGCAGGGACCTCGGCGAACAGCGGGTTCGATGGGTTCACCAGGAAGTCATTGTAGAGCAGGCGCGCGTACGATTTGGATACGAGCTTGCAGGTGGGGGCGTGGAAGCACATGTAGTCGAATCGGTCTAGGGGCGTCTCCTGCTCCTGCTCCTGCTCCTGCTCCTGCTCCTGAGAGTGACCATTGACTCCGTTCGCGACGCCATTTGCCCGAGCCTTCAGGCTCTCCTGGCGGGCGTTGTATGCTTTGTAGCAGGCGTCGACCGCCTCGGTGTAGCATCGGATGGAATAGTGGCCATCGACAACAGGGTATTCGCTCGTCAAATCGGGCTTGTAGAAATCGTAGGCGTGGGTGATGTAGGTGCCGCGTAGGCCTGGCTCCATGACGATGGGCGCATCAGGGCCGATCAGCATAGCCACACAGCCCGCTCCACCGGTCGGACGGGCGTTACCCTTCTTGTACAGGGCAATGTCGCCTGTCACGACGACCGCGTCACGCCCATCCCATGCCGAGGATTCTATCCAATTGACGCTGTTGAACAGCGCGTTCGTTCCGCCGTAGCACGCATTCACGGTATCCACGCCCTCGACGTTAAAGTTGCCGGATTCCTCGAACAATTGCATCAAGACGGTTTTGACCGACTTGGACTTGTCGAGCAGCGTCTCAGTGCCGACTTCCAAGCGGCCAATGGACTTGGGGTCGACGTTGTACTTGTTGAACAGCGAGGAGAGGGTTGTCAGGGCGAGAGAGTAGATGTCTGCGCAGAGTCCCAGTCAGTTCTTGCTCCTGTGTATTGCTTGTGCAGATTCTCGTATTTGCGACTTACCCTCACGGTCGTCGCAGAAGGACATCTTGGTCTGGCCGAGGCCAATCGTGTATTTGCCCTGGGAGACGCCATCGAACTTCTCGAGCTCGGCCTGGTCGACGCACTGCACAAATATTAGAGGCGTCGTCGAGGACGGGGCGCAGCAGCCAGAAAAACTGCAGACTGCGCTAGCGACTTGCCTGGCTGGGGAAGTACAGCTCAAGGGCCTTGATACCGATGTTCGTGGGACGGGCAGCCATGATTGCAGTGTCTCGAGGGGAAAGAGGAGAAAAGTCGAGAGGAAGAGTATCGTTGCGGGGGCGTACACCGCTGGTTAAGTACAGAGGGAGTCGTGACAAAGGCAAATTGCGGTCTGGGTAGCGGCGATCTTTATGTGGCAATTGGCGAGTTGAGCTTCCCGCAGCCGTTAGGTTCGACGAAAAGGAGTCTTTACTGCTTTCGGGCCGGGGATTTGGCCCTCAACAAACGCCAATTTCGCGTCGCTTGAAGGGATGCGCTGGTTGCTATGCGGAGTGTTTTGGGCAACTTTCTGCGGGGAGCGCGAGCACGTTGGCGGGGCAGACGCACTGCTGTTTACTATTGTTCTGTTTCCCTCTCACCGTCGACCTGTCCGCCCTTATTCCACCGTCTTCATATCTTTCACCGTTATCGGACCGCCGTGGCGCCGTACGTCTGCAGCACCAGGATGGGTCGCCAACAACACGAGCCTATCACAACAAACCTTGGCGAGCTGCAGGGCTTCTGTCGCGATTCCCAACGGGGCTAGCGCCAGGAACCAAGAGGTGAATGCCCAAGTGTTGGCCACCGTCAACCCTCCCACAACGCAGCTGAACATGGGACGCCACACTTGTACACGCAATCACTGATCAGAACAGCCCGCGGATGACGTCGCTCAGCCTGTGCACACGTGCGACACCACATAGTCTAGCTGACATCTAAACGTTTGGAGCAACACGCGAAGAGCGTTTGACGTTGACGTGCAGTCAGCAGCTGTCAACCGCCAACCATCGTGGACCGGCTCGAGTACCACACTCTGCCGAGTATCTCTCGTCACGGCTCAGTCTCTCTGTCTCTGTTCCAATGATAGTCTTTTCCCCATCCGTTTCATCCGTCGTCGAAGCCGTGCAAACAGGCTGACAGAATGTGTATTCGACCTCCAAACTCCCCCAAGACGAAGACGGTACCATCCAACCTGCGTGCACTCATGATCGCGAGGCGGAGTCTGGATTGCAGTCCAAGACGTTTCCGTTCCTATCGCAAGCAGAAAAATAGACAGACATGAAGAAACCGCGCGTCATAGGCCGGAGGGCTGGAAACCTCACCCCGCTCTTCGACCTCCAAGCAAGCGCATCGGGCGGAACGGTTCCGAATGGCATCACTGTTGCTTTCGATGAGCGATCTGCCACAGCATGTCATTCGTGGTCTTTTGTTGGAGGGGTTGAGTATAAAGGCGTGCCCGCGCGCATTCTATGTAGAGTGCTCAACCGTTCGAGACGGAGGCGGCTTCCGTAAGCGCATTTCTGGGGAAGCAATCTATTTCCTGGCAAATAAACGAGTTGCTTCGGTGTGAGAGTCACGATCGCGGCATGCGTGAACCATCGCCAGGAGGTTTGGAGGCTCACCGAAGCGGTTTCGCGTTTCGCGTTTCGCAAGGGCCTTCGAGAAAGATAGCGACCGGCGTTTTCGTGCAGAGGTGTCAGCCAGTTGCATCCACGAGCCCGCAAAGAGCAGGCCAAGGCACTCGAAGCGGCTTGGGGCAACGAGACTGGCGCGATATTAATGGGAGGGGAAAGGCGATCTGCCGTGGCACTGTACATGGCTAAATGTGAGGGCCCGCTCCCATGGGCGCAGGAAGGCTCCGAGCAGGCGCAGCGCCCTGCAACGATGCAGGAGAGTGGAAGAATTTTGTGCGCAGGCGTCGCCGCAATTGGCTCCGCAGGCGGGCAACCGGCCCTTTTGTTCAATGCGTGAGGCTGTTGATGTGGTGCCGACCCTGAAACGGCAGCGGTATTGAACTGGCGGCCCCCTGTCTAGCGCCCACTTTGGAAAGTGCCGTCGCGGGTCGCTGCTGGCTTCGAGACGGGCCCTGGCCTCCCGTCTCAAGCCTGCCCAGTTCGCTGCCAGCCTCTCCGCACCACCACGCCAACGACCCCGACGCCCTCCACGACCGCATCCATCGCCCGCGCGCCGACCATCGCCGTCGAGCGCGAACTGCCTCCATTGCCGCCACGAGCCACCGCCGCCGCGACCCACTGGCGGCCTTGTAAGGGGTGACCCAGCCCGTCTGGGCTGCTCAGGAACCGCACGACGCGATGGAGCGACGCAACAGCAAGGACGACTCTCCGCACCGGACGCCCCCCAATCCGAATGTGTTCGACGACGAGTATGCCCTGGATCCGGATGAGGAAGACTTCATGCCCGCTGTCTCTGACGGCTTTCGCCCCTCGAACGCGAGGGAGCGCCCCGATGGCGACGGGCAGGATCACGATCGGAACCCACCGCAGCGACCGCCCTTCACGACCACAAGGTCAGCAGAGACGGACCTACGAAGGACGGCGACGCGAAACAGCATAGCGAAGGTGCCATTTGGGCCGGAATCGAATGCTCACAATGGCAGGAATCCGGGCACCCACAGTCGAGGGCTCAGTTCGCAGGCGACGCCCCTACAGCATCGAGAATCGGTCAGCTCTACGGCATCCTTTGCTACCATGACTAGATCTGAAAGCGTCTTCGAGACGGGGCCGAGCCACCCGTACGGCATGTACCCGCAAAACACCATGGCGCGCAGCTCAAGCATTGCAACCACCTCAACACAGCAACAACCACAGCCACCCTCGTCGTTACAAGGCCCGACACATCCCTATGGCATGTACCCGCAGAACGTCATCGATGACGAACCGCCAATGCCGCCGGTGCAGACCGCAATCCCCGTGGGATTCCCAGGGATCAACACAGGATACCACAGACAGATAGGGCCAGACGGCGAAGAGCAAGACATCATTGGGCCCGACGGGCATATGGAGCAGCTACCTCCGTATTCAAGGTATCCAGAAGAAGGACCGACGAAGGCGGCCCTTGCCGCGGAAGCGAGCGCAACGCCAGCGGAGCCAGTGCCAAACCCGATGGCGAGCTCGAACGACGCCCTGTTAGCGAACGTCGCTCCTCCTTCTCCTATTTCCCCACCGCTATCGCCGCTCGCATCGGTAGCACCCGCTCGCCTCCCGCAGCGACGCCCAGAAACGCAGACCGGCAATGTGGCTGATCCCAGACCGGCTACCACCTCAGAGGCTGCCTCGCTGCTCCTGAACGATCCGGAGTTCTCAGAGAAGGCGGAATCAGTCCGTAGTGTGAAGCGAAAGGGCTGGCGAACCAAGAGGCTCTGGGGCAATAGGATTCCTGTGATAGTTGTCGTGATCATCATTGTCCTGCTCTTAATATTTGGTATTGTCCTAGGTGCTGCCATTGGCACTTTCCTTGGGAAGAGCAAGGACAAGGATAAGGATAGCAAGGACAAGCCCAAACACGATGATCCGTATGTAATTCTTCGATATCGCTTGATCATCGCTAACATTCGCAGGGCACCCCAAGTCAGCGGCAATTCTTTATTCGATGCCACGCCCATATCAACACCTGCGTCACTACCTCCATTGCCTACCGGAGCCTTCTCTCTTCCCCTGGGTATTCCTCAAGAGAGCAGCCCTGGGTGTCTGACCCAAGGCAACCAGTACTCGGCCTGGTCGTGCAAGATGTCTTTCGCTCCTCTCATGCTTACCATCAATGCCAGCAGCAACAACCAACCACCAATGGCTACACTGGAGGCGATAATCGCACCTGATGGAACTATCCAGTATGGCCTCCAGCCGCCTTCGGTTATAATTGAGCCTTTGCAACTCGTCCTCGACTTGGATCTCAAAGGCTATGGACCAGCATACCATTTCTCTACGAGGTACGACAAGATGGTGATCCTGATGCAGGAGGAATTTGCTGCTGGCTCTTCTCTGCGCAAACGCCAGGACGATAAGCCATTCCGGCATCGCTTCCAGGTGCAGCCTGGTGATACTCCGTGGATCTGCTTCTGGAATCAGACCTACATCGAAGGCTATATCTATGTCAAGGACAACTCTACAGCCGCTAGCATGACAGGCTTCCCGCCGGGACCCACCGATCCTTTTGCTCCCGTGGCTTCCAGTTCTACCGTCTCCGGAATAACCGCAGCGCCAACAACTCCCTCTGCTGTCTCGTCACCGACGCCGGCTCCCTCCAACGTCCAACGACGTGTCCAACGGCGCGATGACGGCTCCTTTCCCCGTGTACCGCCATATCCCCGCATCGTCAAGATAGAAGAAAGACGCGTTCCTGGATCGCCCCAACCGTTCTGCCAGAAAATGCAATTGCTCGACGACGGACGGCTATCCCAAGCTTCAAGTGGCAATGGTGGGCCCATTCTGGTATGGCTCCAAGAACAGGACCCTACGTTCGAAGAGTTCTTTGCCGGTGACAACCCGCCGAGCTCTTCGGCATCCGCTTCGCCTACGAGTGCCTCACAGCGCAAGAGACGGGAACTGGATAAGCGGACAGATCCCTCGGACGCTTGCCATTGCCAATGGATGTTCCAGTAAAAGGTTAGTCGGCGTCGCAATTGCATTTGACAGCATTTACACGGTTCGGGAACGTTTCATCATCGCAAATACCACAGGATTTGGGTCTCTATGTGCACGGCTATCTACGGAAAGAAATGTCTGGAGTTCTTTTTGGTGTATCTGGAGTTTTGTTTTGTCTTGGTTATTCGGGATCTCGACGCATATTTCTCGATCGGCATCTTATCATGTCTCTTATGTACGCGCGTCAACCTTTTGACAGCGCCTATTCACTATTTTTATTGGCGGGAGCCCCCGGAAGCCCTGCGCGACCACCAATTGGAGGATACCGCGATGTAATGTTTTGGCGCGGTTTGGAATGGAGCATATAGGTGGTCGGAATAGAGACATGATGGAAAATCTTGCTTGGAAAGGATTTGGATAGCGATGTAGAGAGTCTGTGCGGCGAGCTATACAGCCCCAAACTAGTAGTTTTCTTAGCTAGGAATACATCTCAGTCTAAGATGCAACTTGCGTTCCGTCCACTGCCATCGCATTATCCTTTTGCGGTTCCACCATCCCTCTATGAGTTTCTGCATAAGAGGAACTGATCGTAGCCAATTCGGCGAATCTGAACTCCATGCATAACGACGCTGATGAGAGTGGGACGGCTGTTACTCTTCATCGGCTAACTAGATGCAGCGGTGTATACTGATAGGGAAACTAAACTCCCGAGCGAGCGAGTACGGATGGAGCAGTGCTGCCCGCACCCCTGCCTCCCACGCTAGAGTTTCCCGACGTTAGCAGACTCAATGCAGGTCCCTTCCGTACGCGATTTGAGTTAAGTTGACTAATAGGCAGTCGTCCATGGCCGTTGGCCGCCGGACGCCCCTGCGCCTGCGCTCGTTTCCCCTTTCCTTCCTACGATGTGTGTGGGCAGGTATGTAGGTAGTAGGTAGGTACTTGAGGTAAGGTTAAAGCTTAGCGACGCTGGCTTGATGTGCGTTTCGTCCTCGCTGTTTTCGTGCGCAACAGCAGGTTAGGGAAATCAAACCAGATCAAACTAAACTAAAGTGTTTGATGAAGGCCAGCGTGGGATGGAGAAAGAGGGAGAGAGGTGATTGTGGTGTGGGGTTGAGGTTGTTTACAGGTGAAAGGAGTGGCTGGGTGCATGTGAGAAGCACCAGTTAGAGGGAGGAAGCGTTCGTTGACTGTTCTTGTTTGGGCTACTATGCTGTTGTAAATTTGAAGGTGGTATTATTACTATTCTTTTATAAGTCTGATGTGCCACTGGTCAACCGATCGAGCATCCTCCGATATCGCCGAGAAACCTGTTGTGTTCAACGCGAGAGTGATGAGCCCATCCGAGCTTAGACAACGGTGGCCACAGAAACTCTCGAGTGGATGCTTCTCGCAGCACTACTAACGTGCGATGTCCTCCTCATCGCTATCATCTCCATCGCCGTTGACCGGGAGATAGCCGAGTAGACGTGAATCTGCGAGTGCCCGAAGTTGCATATCGGACTTCTCCTCACCTGCTCCCCCCTTTGTTCTATACATCTTCCTTAGCACGCATCCCTTGACAGGCACAAATCCGGCATAATCGCACCTTTCCTTCTCTTCCTTTGTCAAGCCCCAATTGACGCACGCCACTCGCTCTGGGATCGCAGCAATAAGGCCACTCATAGCGCTGCGATAGTATTCCATGCTAGCCCAGCAGCGATGAACGACCTGAGCCTGGAATGGCGCGAGCTCTATGGATTGGAACGTGGCGAAGATTTGGAGAGATGTCAGGGCTGTCATTCTGCGGAAGGAACTCCATCTGATGGCGCGGGGTTGATGTGCCTGGGAGTAGTCGTGTAAGCCAAACTGGATCTCGATGCGCAGATGTTGAATCAAGGAAATATCGATACCACTAGGGAACCAACTGCCGAATGGTCTTCCTTGTTCGTCCAAGGAAACGATGGCACCGAACGTGTTCTCCGAATAAAGAACGTGTTGGCTCTCTCTGTGCATCTGACGGCAGACGGCTAAGATACTCGTTTCTCGCAATGGGAGTGAGCCGTACAGGTTTCGCGCAAGGCGAGATTGCATAACGCCAGTCTTGTTCAAGAGATGGTATTTCTTCGAGAGGCCGGCTCCTTTCCTGGCTCTGTATTGCTCGGTGCGCTCGGCGTACCTCTGATCGATGCGACGGCGCTCTATTCTGCGGGTCACATCGTTGACAAGGATCACTCTATCGATCTGCTCGTAAAAGTACGACATGCTGCCATCTATGTGGTGTATGTAGAAACCGCGTTCTTCACGATTATCGGTGAGTACGTAACCGTAAATTTTGTTGCGCAGCTCCGCTGGTAATCTGAGGAATGGGAAGGGCTTCGCCGTTGCAAGGTCCGCGGAGCTATTCGCACTGTAAGAGAGACAGTCAGTACAGAGACAATAGAGATTGCTGGCATGGGCTCTTCCCTTTTGCTCTTTCCTGCGGACTCCCCTTCCTGTGGCCCCAGCCCCCGAATCGGTAGCGGCCGCTGGTAGAACTCTTGCGGCGAGACGCCGCTGTCCTCCATGTTGCTGGGAGAGGATGTTGACGGGTTCGGGGGTTGGTGTGTTATTGCAGGTGGCGGTAGACGGAATGTAGGCGGGGTAGTGAGTGAAGAAAGAGGAGGCAAGAGCGGTCGACGTCGGCACAGAGGCGGCAGGTGCTCCACACGTGACTAGCCCCGCCGACCGGGAAAGTTTTCGCGAGAAGCTAATGGCGATGGGAAACAAGAGGGCGATGCAAGCACAGTATACAGTATCAAGGGAATGAAGAGCGGCCCAGGTGAGCGCACCCAAGACATCACTGTCTGAATACGCGATGAAGAACATCTAGAAACAAGTCACGACCGACGAAGGAAAACAATCGTATGCTGAGGGGTATCTATACTGCAACGTAAATGAACGTAACTCTCAAGTAGGGTTGGGAGACGGCGTTTTCGGTGCGTGGATGTCCATGGGAAGAATCTCCGTCTTCAGCTCCCGCGTCTTCTTCTGCTTCGGCTCGGGTGCTTTCTCATTCTCCTGGACGTAGAACTTTCGTAGCAACATGATAGCCTCTTCTCTGAAGATGCCGCCGTGGACGGGATATGGCTTGTCGACGCTGGGGCTGCAGGGAGTCAACATCTTGCTCTTTCCCTAAGGGAAGAGTTGCACTCACTCCGAATGGATGTTTAGCACCCCTCCAGTGCCCCCAAAGCGCTCGTTCCAGCACCCAAAGTACACGGCCCGAATCCCATACTGCCGCAACATGCTGGCGCACATAACACACGGCTCGACCGTAACATAGAGATCCGTCTCCTTCAGCACGGTAATCGGATTCGTCGACAGAATACTCGCCAGTGCAACAAACTCGGCGTGTCTCGTGCCATTCAGTGTGCGGTTCGTCTCGTTCATGCCCCGTCCGATGATTTCGCCATCCTTCACAAAGACGCAGCCCACTGGCGTCTCGTCGCTCTTCAGCGCAAGCTCGGCCTGTTTTTGGTTTGATGAGTCAGCCAGGTGCTGCGGATGCGAAGGCGAGAGCCGGCCGTAGCGGGTGATTCACCATGTTTATGGCGTCGCGCATGAAGCGCTCATGATACGCTTTTTCCTCCGCGTTCATGGCGCTGGGGTCGTGATCTGCAGATGCGGCTTGGCAGGGCTGGTCATCCTCGTTGATGGCGGAGGTTGTGGAAGCGAACCTTGGAAGAGGGCTGAGCTGAGAAGATCTGTTGAGGCAAACACTTGCGAGGTGCACTTTCTCTTCTCTTCCCAGAGATAGTTGCGAGGAAGCTGACACCAAAAATAAACGGCCCAAACGTAAGCCACACTGGTGCTGCTGCCGAGACTCTTTGCGGTAAGAGCCGCCGCAAGTTACGTGGAACTTTGGAAGCCGACACCTCCGATCAAGACCACCGCATCACCGAACAGCCAGGCAACAGGAAAACATTCACAACAATCGACTGTTTCCATTGCACCGCCACTCGCCTTACGCATACGCTGCGTCGCCTTCGCGATTTGTCCGGAGCACGATAGACCGCCGCCCCCGATCGCCTGATTTGTTTGGCGTAGGGCTGAGCTTAAGAACGCCGACAAAGCTATTGACAACGAGCTTCGAACACCCCCTTTTCGAGCTACAGACACTGCGCATACCGATTTCAAGGGCTTGAGAGAGCTTGAACGGCAAAGATGACGCTCGCCGAGGAGTTTAGGTCGCGGAATTTCAGTAAGGAGACCCGCTGAACAAGCTGTTTGAGCCGTTGCTGACCTGGCCTCTTCCGCAGGTATCTATGGTCAATGGTCAGTCGCCCATATGTCATTTCCTCCATGGATCCAAGGATGCCTGCGCAGCTGCTTTGCGGCATTACAGGCCTACAGTCATGGCGACGGCTGAGGGTCGCGATGCGGATATCGGCCAGCCCCGGACATCTATGCGCAACAAACAACGGGCGTTGTGGACGAGGCAGCTGCAACGGAGAAGAAGTACTAAATGCAGCTTGATGCTAACTTCGTGCATAGGACCGGAGTGCTCTGCATATTCCTCTGCTTCGCGCTCGGAGTCGCAAACATCTTCCACGTCGGCTTCGTCATCGCCTTCAGTATCATATGCTTGTATGTGCCATACCTCGCAGTATCACCCGTGACCCCTTGTCTGACAATTCCCAGAGTATGCGCATTCCTCATCATATTCATCGAGATCCCGCTCCTCCTCCGCATCTGCCCGACTTCCCCAAAGTTCGACGCCTTCATCCGCCGATTCGAAACAAACTTTATGCGCGCCGCCATCTACGGCGTCATGAGTCTTGTGCAATGGCTCAGCCTCTTGGCTAAGCCCCGGCCGACGAGCTTGATCGCCGCTGCCATCTTCCTAATGTTCGCGGCTGCCTTCTACGCGCTTGCTGGTATCAAGGGACAGGCGTTCCAGGGCAGCAAGACGCTGGGTGGCCAGGGCGTCGCGCAGATGATCATATAGCGGGGAGAAGAAGGAGCAAGACGGAATGTGGAAAGCATTGCAGGAGAGATGAGGGTGCCGGAACTGCAGAGGAGACGGAAGTTTGACGTTGATGGGTCACAATTCCATATGAGCGACTACCATTGCAGTTCGTCAACGCGGTCGAATACTCTACCTTCCGCGAGGGTTTGAAGGAATACTATTATTGAAGGCGAGGGTTCATCTTCTTGTATCATCAACGATCAGCTAGGCGTTCGATAGGCAGGGTTCCAATGTTCTTGAAAAGAATGGGCTTGGTTGGGTTCTGCGGTTCTGTGCAGGAGCTTGATGGGTCAATGGATTGATTCGATGAATATCATTGTTATTATTCGCTCTCGGTAGTCTCAGAAGCGATGTCCTTTTCGCGTGGCAGAGATACGTAATATGGGCCTGTACACATGCCACATCATGGATGGTATGACGGAATCGACGGGTGCGCACCAATTGCTTGGAACTTCAGAGCCTCATGATATGGTACGACCTCAGCACATTTTTAGTCAACCGTTTACTTCATATACCATATTCAACCAGAGATGACCTGGGTCTAACGTGATATTCACCCAGCAGACTAGCATGCCCACCACTCCACAAGCCTTCGCTTCGTTTAGATAGAGCACGCTGTCTGGACAACTGGCAAAAGATGTCTACGGCGGAACTGACGATGTCACCTGGGCACCCGAGCCAGCTTCAAGACGACGATGGATGGCTGGATCGGCGCAGGAACGGCTTGCCTGCCAGGTGATCATTCGCGGGGAACACTAAAGACGTAGCGTGGCGTAGCGTGCATGCAGCCGCGGTGAAGAATCTGCGCAGTATTGATCTAGAATTGCCGCAGGCCAAGAGGAAAGCGTACGGAGATGCGAGCAGCTTCAGGTAACTTCGGACTACGGGTAAAGAAGCACAAGAGGTGGGAGCTGTTCCATGCGACGGTCTGTCGTGCAGTGCTCGATGCGGTCTAGCGGCTGGGCGGCGAGCAGCCCTGGAGCTGGAGCTGCCCAGGTGGAGACTCGATGGAAATGCGCGACGCGGTATTGGCGCTTGTATCATTCGCCCCGAGAGGCAATTCCATACAGCTTCGGCGAGACATTCCTGTGTCAAAGCCAGGGTAGGCGGGGCCTTTCAGGTTTTCAGGGCGTGCATGTCTGCACGCAAAACGCCAGGGCCTAGCTTTTGCATCACTGCGGGTCCCCAGCTATCCATACTTAAACGCCTCGATCTGCCTCCGTCTGCTCCACTGGTTTGCGCCTTTTACCTGGCCGACACCCTGATCTCTCCCTCTTGATCTATTCATACTCGAGCAGCGCCCGATTGCGCATAACTGGGGTGAGTGCCTGGCCAAGCGCGGCTTTGTCTCTGCAGCTTCATTTTGCCCTCAATCGGCGCGGCGCTCATTGGCTGGCTGTCCGGCAGCTGCGTCGTGGTTGCCGAGCAGCTCGTGCAGCTGTTGAGACACTTTTCTCTCAGGCCATCATTGCGAGCTTCCATTCGCTCGATCCTGCCGCTTATCTCACGTTTCCCGTTTCACGCATTGAGTGGACGAGCTGCGTCACTGACATCCGCATGCGAAACAGCTATCTCGTCGACATCTTTTCTCCCCACCACGTCCGCACGCTCACCCCAGACACAATGGCCGCCCCGCCGTCGATACCGCCGCGCCCAGCGCGAGCCCAGAACAGCTCCGCGAGCTCAAATCTCATGGACGTGCCCAAGATCCCTCCGCGCCCGAGGCGCGGCGCCGACCGCTCCGTCTCTCCCCACCGCGACACGTATGCCCGCTCGCCGCTGAACGACCCCTCCTTCATACACAATGGCCAGCACAAGGAGAGCCATCTCAGCGCTGAGGTGCCGCCCCGCCCGCCGAGCGTTAGCCTGCCCTCGCTCGGCGAGGAAGGCATGGAGTACGCCAGCCTGGAAGACCTCTCCCGCACGCTCACGAACCAGAGCGAGAGCTACCCGCAGCAGACTAAGCAGGTGGCAGGCGACCTGCCTCTGTACGCCCCCACAGCTTCCGTTCCGAGCTCCACCGCGAAGAGTAGAATTCAAACGGTGACGCGCACCGACTCCTCGCAGGCTGCGGCCGCCGGCCTCGGGAAGCTGATGCCAGACGAGAAGTCTGTCTACACAGACTCTGGCCGCTCCGTCTCCTCCCATGGCGGAAATACTCGTCCCAGCTCAGTGTACAAGGACAAGGACGAGGACGAACACGGCATCCCGGAAATCGGCGTTCAGGTGCCCATGTACCCGAACGCGGGAGATGTACAAGCGCCGACTCCCTCGCCCTACGAGCAGAATAGGGCAAGCAGCGGCATCGGATTCTTCAACAAGGAGGGACAGCCCACTTCCCGCCATCACGGACGTACCAAGAGCGGCCGGGAGATCTTCCACGGTCCTCCCGGCAGCTATGGCCGCCATGGCCATGGCGTCATCCCGAAGGACGAGTTCGAGCAGCAGTGGTACGCGAAGCACCCGGATGACCTTAAGCGCGAGAAGGCCGGCGAGTACGGTCCGCATATTCAAGAGAACCGCAAGGACTACCACTGGCAATCGGAGAAGCTTGAGAAGCTGGTCCACGTTGCAGGCGCCCAGGGAATTGGAATGGGTACGCTAATGATGGCAGTTGTGCCAATCTGTGGCTGATACTAATTATGCACTGCAGGTACTTCCAGGGAAGCTATTGGAACTCCTGACGAGCAGATCGGCTATATGGCCAGCGAAGAGTTTGCCTCCAGGATGGCGTCTCCGCGACCCCAGTCCGGTCGCCCTGCATCCATAAGCGGCAAGAGCGCGAGCGCGCCCTCCATCCAATCTCCTCTCAGCCAGGCGAATTTCCCCGCTGATGCTCTTAAGAAGCAGGACACTCAGGAGGACGAGGACGAGGAGGTGATCCACATTGACCCTCCATCGCGCCGTGAGAGCAAGATTCATGGTGGTGGCTATGACCCGCCCACGGAAGACCTCGGCCCCAAGGGAGGAAACACAGAAGAGGAAGGTGGATGGGTGTCAGAGCGTGGCTATGGTGTTCCCATCCTTGCTTCTGATGAAATCGAGAAGCATCCCGAAGCCGAGTACAGGCTGCCTGCTGTCTCGCCGGAGCTGGAGCGTAGCCGAAGCGGCGAATATACCGTGAATGAGGATGGCACTCCTCAATATATTACGAAGCCGCGAGCCCATAGCAGGGACTCCAGCAGGAATAACAGTATGTCGGGCGTGCAACGATTCATTCCGAGTCCAGCTCAATTCGACAAGAGTGGCACTCCTCTGGAGTCCACAAAGGAGTACGAGCCACTGTTCCCTGAGGATGAAGCTCCCAAGAAAGCCAAGTCGTCCGTCGACAAGCTCAAGCGCCCGGATCTTGCCCGCCACCACTTCCCTAGCCAAGATGTTTGGGAAGATTCTCCCAGTAGCCACCACCTCGAGACCACCGTTGAGACTCCTCAAGCTCCTGAAGAGCCGGGGACTCCTGGCGATGTCGGCCCTGCCAAGGTATTTGAGAAACCAGAGAGCGAGCAAGCACGCAAAGAGTGTATCACAAAAGAAGACCAACAGTCCTTCCTTCCTGAGCACACGAAGCGATTCGCCAATAAGAATCTCAACAAAGAGCATCTTGCTGCACTCACTCGCCCGGGCATGCAACAACGCTTTCCGAGTCAAGATATCTGGGAGGATGCTCCTGAGTCACACTCCAGGTTAGAGACCATTGTTACCACACCCCAGATGGAAGAAACGGGGGAACACGCCGATGATTCACCGGTCGTCGAGAAGCCTACAATCCCAGCTCGACCTAGCATTCCGGCGAGACCCGCGAAAGCGAAAGAGATATCCCCCGTGGAGAAGAAAGGACCCGTTCTTCCCGAAAGACCTAAACCGCAGGTTCCCTCGCGGCCTAGCAAACCTCTCACCAAGTCATCCGAAAAGGTCCCCACATTAGACTCACAGGAGAATACCGAGACCGCACCTCAACCTAAAGCGAAACCCCCAGTGCCATCTCGCCCAGCTGGCTCCAAGATCGCTGCCCTGCAAGCTGGTTTCTTGAAGGATCTCAACAACAAACTTGGTCTTGGCCCTCAAGCGCCAAAAGTCAAGGAACCTGAGCCGGAGAAGGAGGAAGAGCCACCGAAACCACTGCAAGATGCGCGAAAAGGTAGGGCTAAGGGCCCACAGCGGAGGAAACCGACCAGCTCACCATCTCCGGCGGCCGCGGCGACCGTGACAGCAGAGGTTGCGGTGCCTAGACAGAAGCTGGAGATTGCTCCGATCACTACTGTATTCAGCATCGGCGACGATCTTGAGGTGGATGTCCCGGCTGCGCAGATGGCTGCCAAGTTGCATGCGGTACTAATGCCTTCTGAGGAAAAGGAAGAACCAAAGGCGTCTGAAGACGTTCTCGAGAGGGAAGTTCATGTTGACCCCGGCGAAGCCGATCTGGAAAAGACTACCATCAAGGAGGCTGAACCGAGCTCAGCAGACGTACCCAAGGAGGCGCTGGATGAGCCTATCGAAGGCCAAACGGCTGGCAAATCAGAGCCCATCACCGCTGATCCGGCTGAGGTGGAGGTAGAGGTTGAGGATAAGGTGGAGGGTGGGGTCTCATTATCGGAGAAGAAGGAGCTAGAGGAAGAGATTAGAGCCGAGGCCTCGGAGAAGCTGGAGAAGGGCGGTGGTGAGGAGGCTGCTAAGGATGCTACACCAGCGTAGAGGTTCTGCGAATGGCTGTACAAAGGTGTAGGAAAATGGTGAGGATATTGGCCTTGCCAGTGCTATTCTGGGACAGGATAGCAGATCAGTAGTCTAGATATCATTCCGTGTCTTGCTTTCGTGTAGTGCAGACGTCGGCTTAAACTGCTTTTCCAGGCGTTCAGAACGCGTGACATCGGCTTAAGCCGAACTGCAAATACCCTAGGCAAGCTTCTCAAGGGTCGAAGCATGTTGAGGAAGGACGGGTGGGTCGCGCTAATCCTCCTGCGCGCTAGCGGCGCTATCTCAGTCTGCCCGATCTGTCGCCTCACCTCTCTTCCTCTAAACCGGAAAGCAAATTCAGAGTTAGTCCCGACCTCGAAATCCGACCTCATCCGGCTTTACGATGCTGAATATACGCCAAGATGTTCTGCCAATACCAATATTCCCCGCACCCCGCGCCAGCTGAGCATGATGTCTCACTCCACCTCGCATTCCCACAGCCACAAAGCCCCAAGATCCCCATGTAGAAACATGGTCCCTGATGTATGCTTTGTAGACTGGAGGCCACTGGTATGCACATCAGGAGATCTAAGGCAGCCCTTCAAGGCGAGAGCCAACGACGATGCTGTTCACCTCAATACGTTTCAGCCTTCGGCACTTGGGCGCCCCTCCCGCTTTCGAGATCTATCATCCTCATCGGCGAGTATAGCGATCAGATGGCAACGTTCGCTTGCGTTTCCGCGCATCGCCGTTGTTCGAACAGCTGACAATACCTCGTACTCCGCGATCTCCTCACGAGGCGGGAACATCCACGTGCAACCAAGAACTACAATATCTCAGTCGTTTTCGCCGCTATTTATACATTGCTCGTATTTCGAGCAGTTGCGTTCCGGGTATAGAACCGTTACATCATGTCCTTGACTTTGCTATCCATTTCAGCAGCTCCACTATCGAATGGCTGCGAATACGATCCCGATTCCCGGCTTGGATTACGCAGGGCTTGGACCTTCGTCCAACGACTTCTCGATTGCAGCGTATACAGGTCCACAAGCCAATATTGTGCGATCATGAGATGCTCTTACTCAAATCTTGCTCGTATTCAGTCTCTGCCGGATGTCGCTATTCGCGTGTATCGCTAATACCCTATCTTGAACTGTCCGCGGGATCTAGTGCTCGACTGAAGATATTTAAGGCGGATCCCTTCGCTATACCAGGATATTTCAAAGTTTTATCAACAACATCAATCAAAAAACCTATTGAGACCAGATACACACTATCACATCATCTTCATCAACACAATCAACACAATGCTTCTCTCAGCTCTGCTCCTCCTACCACTCCTAGGGCATGCGAAGCCCGTCGAAAAGCGCGCTTGCGCCGTCGAATACCCAACGTACACGACGACGATTTCGTCCTTGACACCAGACTTTAACTCGAACCCCATCGGCAACAACCCCGCCTCCTTCGCCGTCAAAAACCAAACCTTCAACGCCATCGACACCATCTTCCAGTTCAACATCCCGCCCGGCAGCTGGGGTTGCCAACTCGAGCTCTTCTTCGACAAGGACTACTACCTCGTGCTGCCGTACTTCAACGGGCCGATGAAGGCGGACGTGTTCAATGTCGAGGGCAGCGCGCCGTATACTGTCACGTGGAACAGTGCGCCAAGGACTGGAAGTCTGTTTGGGACGACGGGCGAGCTGCCGAGGGTGCCAGATCCTAGCGCGAGCATTGGGTATAAGGAGCCCGTCAAGCGCGTCATCAACTCGGCTGCCTGCAGAAATACGATGACGTACAGGATGAAGGTGCCTGCGGAAGTGGGCGTGGGTGGAGTCCAGTTTTATCAGTACAATCCGCCGCTGTATAACCCGCCGTTTGGAGGATGGAGGATGGTGCATAACTGCTAGACGTGAGGGATGATGGAGGAGTAGATGGACTGGGGAAATAGGAAAGAGGGATGTGATGCTGAATTGCTTTCGAAGTTACTCATTCTCTATCATTGGCGTTAAGATCGAAACATGGAGGAAAGACACGAGAAGACAGATCCTAACGGGATTTGACGCGGAGTAAATATACACATAGTAAATGCCTCAGGTTCAAGAAATACATGTCCAAATGCCACCCCATCATTCTTCCTCGCAGTTGGGGACAACCGTCAGCGAAGATCAAAGCGGTTTGAAAGCCCGGAAAATCGTTCTATAGCGCGTCGAATGAGTCTGTATTATAGGGTTCGGGATCTTTTCAAGGTTACCTGTTCCTCGCCCAGACGACGTCCAAGGGCTAAAAAGACGCTAGGACGTCGAAGGACTGGTGTTTTCTAAATGCGGCTGGCGCATCGGGCCCCTGAGTGACGAGGCGAGAGCCACAATCGATACTTTGCTCGCCAACCTCTGCCACACAATCTCCACAACGGAGGCTTTAGTTGTCAATTCTGCTCCATCATCACGAATCTAGACGCTTCAGTCTCACGCGAGAATGTTTCCGCTACAGGGCAGACGTCTCGCTCTCTTAGCCTTCGCCTTATGGTAGCTTTTGCTATCTTGGCCCAGCTATTGATTTCTTGTATTCAACCGATCGCTAATAAGCACCGCGTAGGGTAGCAGACGCTTCCGGGGATCATGCAATATGCATTTTCTGTGGAAAGGCCAGAACGCATATCATCTTCTTTAAATGTTTTCAGGTCGCCCTATGCATGGAGCTCATCGACTACGCTCATTTCGACACTTCCTTCACAGTCATTCATTATGAGGTCCTATCCGCTCTTTATCGCACTAGGCCCCGCGACCACCTTCGCGGCAATCATTCCAAGGATCCTTCCTCCGGCATCTGACCTTCCCTCAGGCTGGTCGTACTCTGGATGCTATGTCGACAGTGTCTCGACTAGAGCACTCAATCTTGCCTCCTACGCCGACGGAGCGCAGACAGTGGAGACCTGCATCGCCTTCTGCAGCCCAAAAGGCTATTCTGTAGCCGGGGCCGAGTTTGGGTCAGAATGTTTCTGTGGTCTCGCGATCCCTTCTCAAGTTGCCGAGGATGGCTGCAACATGGCTTTTGCGGGTGACTCTTCGGAAGTCTGTAGCGGACCTGACCGTCTCTCCGTGTACACCTCCGGCTCAACTGTCTCCGTCAACCCGGGCCCAGATGGATGGCACTCGCTCGGGTGCTACACTGATTCGGTTCATGCTCGTACATTCACCTACGGTGCGGCCACTCCCGGTGGTTTTGACGCTCAAACGGTTGCTGTCTGTACTTCAACCTGCGGCTCTTTGGGCTACAAGTTGGCTGGCGTGGAATTCTCCGGCGAGTGTTTCTGCTCAAACGGTATCGAAAACGGCGGCGTACCAGCGACAGACGAATGCAACATGCCCTGCAAAGGGAATTTGACCGAGTTCTGTGGAGGCCCAGATCGCCTGAACGTATATGAGGTCAATGCTCCGACACCTGTAAGTATCCATCTCACTCGCTCTGGGAGCTGCTTAGAGCCACATAGCTGACCCGATAAAGCCTACTCCATCTTGCGTGCCCACAATCGAAACGGGCGGTAGGATCGACAACGGAGGTTTCGAGACGGGCGGCGCAGCACCATGGACCTTCTCCGCCAGTTACGCAATGGGCACCGCGCTTCATGGAGAAGCTTTCGAAGGCTGCTGGGCCTGGGACTTCCAGCCCTACATGGGCACTAACACTCCCCGCGTAGCATATCTCATCTCCGAAAACAAGGTGACGCCCAACAAGAAGCACAAGCTTACGTTCTATCTCGGGCGCCGATCCTCCGCCACACCCACGGGTACTGCTAAGGTGAAAGTCACAGTCGGAGATGACTATTCGGAGACGTTTACGGTGTGTGGAGGGAGCTGGTGCGGTAGGGATGGCGCGGGTGGCAGCGTGTGGAAGAGGCATAAGGCGGAGGATATTGAGATTCGGCCGGGGAATCCAAAGCCGGTATTGTTTACGGTGACTTGGACGGGCACGACGAAGAATGATAGGAGTGATGATGTGTTGCTTGATGGGGTGCTGCTGGAGCGGGATTAACTGAGGCTCATGGCGTAGGGGATGCAGATAATGTGTAATGGAGGGATATCGTCACGACCATGCACTCAACGGCATTTGAATGCCCTTATAATTTATGTGAGTATGAGAATCGCAAGACGGCCGAGAAACAGGGTGTGCTCAAAAGGGTTAGTGCGAAGCTAAAGCGCCTGGGGTAGTCAGAGCGTCTTCTCCACCTCCAGCCCTGCCACCCTCCGCATCTCTGGGAAGAAGTATGTAGGCCAGTGTTCATCCACCACGGCTACCGCCAGTTATCTTGCATGAATGATGATACCTCATTTGACGCTTCGGCCCGTCACAGCCGCACAACGGCTCCCACAACCTCTAGCGCAGTCCGATAGGCTGACGATCCGTTCCGTAGAATGCGCTACCAAACGAGGGTTCTTCCGTCTAAAAGACGATTGACTATGCGTTAACCGCAAGTCTATCCAGATGCGCCAATGGCAGGTCGTTCCTTGCTTGCTAAAATTGTCGCGCAGCGAACGATATGCGAGCCCCTCCCCCAGCCTCGTATCGATAAGCACTATATAGAGCAACTCCTCATTACCTACGTTCGCTGCGTTCTTCGAACAGCATTGTGCAATTGCTGGGACCATGACTGTCTCCGAGTATCTCTCACATGTCAGCAAGCTGGAAGCTTTCGGAGCGTTGTTGGCTGCATACCTGCTTTACGGCATTTGCCTCGCGATCTACCGTCTCTACCTATCGCCCATATCCAAGTTTCCAGGGCCAAAGCTCGCAGCCTATACACTGTGGTACGAGTTCTACTACGATGTCGTTAAGCGAGGAAGATTTGCTTGGGAGATCAAGAGGATGCATGAAGTATATGGCGCGTGTCCTCCCCCTCCAGTTTCCCCCTTCTCCACCTGACATCGCAGTCCAGGTCCCGTAGTCAGGATAAACCCCTACGAACTGCATGTCAGCGACCCGGACTTCTACGAGGAACTCTACGCTGGCCATAACCGGAAGCGCAATAAATGGGCTTGGTCTGCGGACATGTTCGGCGTGCCTGGTTCCATGCTGGCTACTGTCGACCATGATTTGCATCGCCGCCGACGAGCGCCGATAGCGCCTTACTTCTCGCAGCAGGCAATTAGGCGCTTCGATCCGGTGATTCGGGAGAAGCTTGACGTCTTGTATGCAAAGTTTGAGGAGTATGAGAAGAGCGGACAGCCGGTCAATCTCGATGCTGCGTTCACCGCGCTAACGACGGATATCATTACTGAGTATGCGTTTGGCATCTCGTATGGGCATCTGGAGGCTGAAGGTTTCAATCCCGAGTGGGTGCCGCTGCTGATGAGTGCGAGTGAGAACTCGCTGCTGCATAAACAGATCCCTTGGATTACGGGGGTGATGAGAAAGATCCCGCTTTCGCTCCTCCTCAAGATCAAGCCTGAGATGGGGAACTTCGTCGTCTTTCAGGAAGTACGTTGCCGAAACTTTTCTGCGTCATAATGCCCCCTCTAAACGAGTTCACAGGGTATCCACAACCGTCTGGAAGAGATCCGCAGCGGCAAGAACCCCGTGGACCCCACCAGCGACAAAGCCACCATCTTCCACGGCATCCTCTCAAGCGACCTGCCAGCCTCGGAACTCACGCCCCTGCGGCTGCAAGGCGAAGGCCAGACCATAGTAGCAGCTGGCACCCTCACCACCGCGCACTACCTCAAGTCCACGATGTACCACATCCTCTCGAACCCGGCCATACTCCAGAAACTACGAGCAGAACTCGAAGGCGCCATGCCGAACCTCGCCGTTCTACCTCCGTATCGAGAGCTAGACAGGTTGGAGTATTTGAACGCGGTGATTAACGAAGGCTTCCGCCTCAGCCACGGCATCATCCAGCGCCTCACTCGCATCGCGCCGGACGAAGCGCTGCAGGTTGCTGGCTACACCATCCCACCAAATACTCCAATCAGCATGTCGTCCTGGGACCTGCACCTCAATCCGACGCTCTTCCCCTCGCCACACAACTTCAAGCCTGAGCGCTGGCTCGAGCCCGGCGCCGACGCGTTGAAGAAGTACCTTGTGAATTTCACGAAGGGGAGTCGCATGTGTCTTGGTAAGGATCTCGCAAGAACGGAGATTGTGTATACGTTGAGTCTACTAGTGAGAAGGTGGGGCGGGGACGTGGACGGGGGAATGAAGCTGTGGGAGACGGATAGGAGCGATGTGGAGATTGAGCATGATTTCTTTAATCCGTTTCCGCGGTTTGAGAGTAAGGGCGTGAGGGTGGCATTTGGGTAGCCGCCGGTGAGGTTAGGTCTTTGGGGATGCTAGGTGAGTGAAGGCAGGTCAAGTCATGGTGGCTTTTTTTTCTTCCTCGACTTTCCGGCAGCGCCAGAAGGGTCAATGAAAAAAATGGTAAAAAGGTGTCATGCTCGACAAAGACCAAATGAGCTGACACCTGAGTGAGACTAAGCCTCTTGTTTTTAAGAAGGTGGTAGAAAAATTCCCTCAGTGAGGAGCAGCCCAGCGGTCGCGACTCAGACAGTTCTTCACTGCCGCGACTCGCCGGTAAAGACCCAGATCCAGAAAGGTTGGGTCGGCGTCGTCGGTCGGTCGTTCGATCGGTCGCGTCGGCCAGGTTACAACTCCTCCACACCCCACCTAGTATCCTCCGCTCTCACCCGTCCAGGCGCCGTCGCCTCCGATGCCCACTTGCCAACCGGCCCTGCTCCGCCCATACTGTTCTACTCCTTGCCGTCTTTCCAGTGCGGGATCGACCCCGGACCACCAGTCAGACCCAAACCAGAAGACGCGCCCAGCAACCCGCATCAACAAGGAGGGAGGCCAACAGGCGTCATGTATGTCAGGGGACCAATCTCGGGTCACCACTCGCCGGTGGATCGCCTTTTCACGGAAGTGAGAGGCCATGAACATACCCCAGGCACGGCGACCCCACGCGGTAGGCCAGATGCGGAGACCCTCTACCACACAGCCGCGTGGGTGCCTACGTCTTCCAGAGTCCCAGAGTAGAGTGCAGCGCGGAACTTTTTGGAGGCTCACCTAGCCAGTGAGACCCCGGGCTTTGGACCAAGTCCGCGGCCCACCGTGCACTGGCCCAACAGTTGTCGTCGTCGGTCGTCGGTCGTCGGTCGGTACTCGTCGATGCTCGTAGGTGACAGGAGTGATTGAGGATCCCGTCAGAGCGAGGTGAGAATAGGTGAGAGAGAGAAAAAGGTGAGAGGCGGGCGGGCGGCCAGGCTTATATAGACTCTGTCGCCCTTGGCAGCAATTGGCAACAAGCGAACACGTGATTGTCGCGCTAGCTTGTTATCGGTTCTATTTGGCTCGAAGAGTTTCTGTTAATCAAGCTGTGACGTCAGTGAGAGAGATTGCGCGTTGGGTGCTGCTAGTTGAGGAAGGAGCGCGTGAAGTCGAAGTGAAGGACGAGGAACAACACCGCCACGACACCGCCCGAGGACCGCCATAAGGTGCGTGTTGAGACTGGCTGGTTTGTCTTGTCCTAAGATTTTCCCGTCGTCAGTCATTGTTTAGGTTGATCACCGTCCAGCGTGGGTGCTCTAGGATACTGGGAGTGAGAAGCTGAACGTCCGCGAACTGTAGGAACAACTCCCTGATCGGCTCTGCAGGAGCTGCTGTCATGCTCTATCTGTACTTCTCGTCGAGTTCCATGTCCGCAATAATCCAGTCGGTTTTGAGCCCCGTTCGTTGGAGCGCACCTTGATCAGAGGCGCATTTCAGGGCGCAAACCACGCTCTTCCTAAGCTCTTGTAGTGTTCTCATAATCACAAAGCGGCTGCATTAGAAGGAAAGATGCATGGCCATGTCCTTTGCTCAGATGTGTGAAAACAGGGTATGTTGCTGATGTCCGATCAAGCTTTAGAGGCGTCTACGCCGGCACCCGTCAATGCATCTCCTTCCAGCAGTAAACGGACAAACGGACAAACGGGCGCCATAGGAATGAAACACTACGTCTAAGCAGAGATGTACACCACGCGCGCGTAGTCTACAACTCCAGAAGCCCTCGTCTACGGCTGCATCCTTGGTGGATTAGTCATCGGGCACGTGATGACCATATGACCACCTGAAGACCGGGGGAGTGGTTGTCGGAAGCGGGGCGGGGATGCCGACAGAAACCGCCCAAAATCGTTTAGACGCTCACGGACCACCACCCCCGTCGCACGGGACAGTCTCGTGGCATACCGACTCATGAGCATCTCCGTAGCGCAGCATTTGTTGAGGACGGGGGCGACGGACTTGTTGTCGCTTCGCGTCCCCGGAAGCCCGGCCGGCTGGCTAAGTTTGTTTATCGATAGCGCGTGCGTGATGGGCCTCGCGTAAGCCTGAAACATGAAACGGCGGCGCTGCGCGGTACCGCCCCAGGGCGTCCCGCTGGCAATCCCCTGTGCTGATCCGCTCGAAATTTTAAACGTAAACGCAACTCACGTTGGCACGGTGTGATTTGCGGATTCGAGGAAATGAGGACTCGAGCCGCGCGCTACTGTGCGCGCCCGCACGTGGAAACTTCTAGCCTTGGAAGGCGCTTTTTCTGAGAAACGGGATGCTCCTGGGCACGGAGAAGGGCCTTCCACACACGACGAAGCGCCCGTGAAGGAAAGAATGGAGGACGAAGGCCGTGGCATGACCTTCAGAAGAGTCCGGTCCCGTGCGATACATAGAAACGAAACGGAGCGGATTTTGGAGTCTGCCAGTGCGGGGGGCGTATGCATGCACTCCTATGATGATGATGTCAGGCATTCCCGCAAACACATCCCTGCCAACTCTCTCCGTGTACCTACATTAGCGCGCGAGACTCTCCAGTCACCCACTACCCACGAGGACTCATTCGGAAATCACCAAGCCACGCCGCACGCCGACTCATGATCAAACCTTGGGGCTTACTGTAAGCGCGGTGTCTCCACTTAGATACATACAACAATGGCTGCGTACAAAAACCACCGCTCTGCCCTTCACACTGGGTTGTTTTTTTCCTCAACCTCAACGGTACACACTCATCAGTCGTTCCTTATCGATCCCTTAGTGGACAGTCACTCCTTTCGTATAGCTCTGGAGCTATTTGCAAACTACGCACCTTCATTCATTGCTCCATTGCTTCATTACCAAAAAAAGCCTTCATTCATTCTTCACTGCAGCTGAATCCCCCGTTCCAAAACCGTTCACATCTATCCACCCACCGTGCCCGCCATGTCCAAACTCCTCAACACCGGCGCTCTCCTCGCCGCCCTCCTCTCCACCGCCGCCGGCCACACCGCTGTCGAAGAATGGCAAGTCGGCGGCAAAACCTACCCCGGCTTCTACGCCGGCTCCAAGCAAGACCCGGGCAACGACTCACCCGCCTGGTGGACCAACCAAGGCTGGGGTTACCAGCCCGTCTACGGGGACCAGATCAACAACCCCGACATCATCGCGCACATGGACGCCTCCCCGTCACCCTACACGGCCAAGGCGCCCGCGGGTTCCAAAGTCACCTTCAAGTGGCACCACACGGGGACGTGCGACGGCGGCGAGGAGGGCTGGGACTGCAGCCACCACGGCTGGACGTCGACATACCTCGCCCCCTGCCCCGGCGACTGCGCCGACGTCGACAAGACGGCGCTCGAGTTCTTCAAGATCGACCAGTCGTCGCTGATCGACTACCGCGAGGGGCGCTACTCGCAGGGCGCGCCGCAGGAGCAGACGGGCTACTGGGGCACCGACGCGATTTTCTACGACAACGACAACGCGCAGAGCGTCACCATCCCGCAGGATATCCCGAGCGGGAACTACGTCCTGCGCACCGAGGTCGTGTCGATCCATAACAACGGCGACGTGGCGAATAGGCAGTTCTGGCCACAGGCCTTCAATATCAAGGTCACCGGCGGCGATGACAGTGCGCAGATGCCGGCGGGCAAGAAGGGTACTGAGCTCTACTCCGCGGACGATGAGCTGCTGCAGTGGGATCTGTACTGGCATGAGGCTGACAAGACGTTCGCTGATGCGCCGGGGCCTGCGCTTGCTGAGTGTGCGAGCATGGCTGCTGGCTCGAAGGCGCGCAGGAGCCATGCTAGGGACTTCTCGACCTAGCCTTTCCAAGTTCTCACTGGCGGCGATTGAGGGGGTCAAACTGCAGGGGTAAGGAGGAAAATTTTCGATTCATTGGGGACGTTTGTCATATCTTGCTCGTGACTGGTCTCACACTTTTTGAAGTTGTCATGACCGTTACGATTTTCTTCATGTACATACCTATATAGCCAAAACTTTGCATCCAATACGTGTTGCTCAAGTAACGCATCATCAAGCACTCGGTTCATGCGTGATAAACTCTGATTCGGTGATGCGTATACACCACATACGGCATTCGGAATTAAATTTAGTAATACAAGACTACGAAGAGAGTAAGATCAAGGACTTCCAGTGCCTAGAGTATATAGCCATCCGCGTCGCCAATATGTCGATGAAAGGGGTATCCCAAATTGTTCAAAGAGAGTAGACGAAGAGAACCGCAATCGCACACGATGGATTTCGTTGCATCGCATCAGCGAGACGTCTTCCAATTCATCATCATCCTGCTCAGTCTTTTCTTCTCCTCTGTAGCATCCATCTCATATACCGGCACTGCCGACATCTCAAACGCGCCATGTCCGTCGTTCAGCTCGCTATGTCTAAATTTCTCCTTCTCTTGCAATCGTGCCGAGGTACCAATCTCAACGCAAGTAAAATCGCCCTCTTTCTCGTGCCGGGGCAGGCCGTCTCTCTGGTGCTGGATCTTTGGGGGCGGCGGAGGTGGCTTGCGATTCCTCCGGTAGTAGCCCAGAATGTACCATATGAACCCAACGATGGCTGCAAGAGCGACTATACTGCCAACTGACGCGCCAGCAATAGCGGCTGTCGACGGCGTGGAACTTGGCGCTGAACCATTGCTCGGGCTTGGACTTATGGTGGATGTTGATGATGTTGAGGTATCTGACGGGAGTGAGGAGATTCGAGTCGGACAGCCGACCGTGGTCGGAGAGGACAGAGCGAATCCGTCGATAGGATGCGCGTACGCTTGGGCACCGGATACGCTTGCGCTGAAGATCTGACTGGCCGTGTCTCCCGCCTCATTGTACGCTATAACCGGATATGTTTGACTCACGCCAAAGTCGCTATAACATGTTCCTCCATATCCAGGGCGGCTCGTGTCAATCATCGTGTCTGGTGGATGGAATTGGTAACCGCTACCCACGGTCAGTATCAATCTTAAGAGGGGCCTATGGGCGCATTTACGATGGGCAGCAAGCCACGTAGTTGTTCGCTTTCGCGAACATTGTACAATAGTGATCCGGACAGACCAACGGACTCATAGCGGGAACGACTGACGAACCGACGGAGCCGGAGGACACTGATGTATACGCTTGCAGGAATTCGGAGGGGTAGCACGCTGTGGACGTCTGATTCTCCGCAGGAACAGGTTCGTTAGCCCATATCAGGTAAGTCGGGGGCTCCAGCATTGTGAGCAGATTTTGAGTGCATGTCGACGGAGGAATGAAGGCCGTCGTCAGCGGTATCGCTGTCGTTGGTTGAATGTACGATGTGGTGCTTGCCGAGATTAAGGTTGTCGATGGTAGAGAATCGGTACGCGGTTGCGATGATGCTGCATCTTGTCTTGCTTCCAGATTCTCTCTTGCCATTATGCGTCCTCCTGCTCGATTCCGACGGGCCGACATGGCGATGTGATCTCCGGAAAGTGAGCAGAACGGATGGGGCCTGGTCCGGCTCGTGAGTACTAGGGATGGGCGGACGTGATAAGCCTCTGCTGGCTTGAAAAGAGCGATCTTTCAAGCCTCCAGCGCTTTTATATTCGGACAAGTCAAAGCAACAATCGTGGAGAGGAAAAAAAAGAGAGCAGCGGAAAGCAAAGCGCGCCCTCACGCGAACACTGGGGATAGACCATGTATGGAGCCTGGCACGGACAATTAAAGGGCAACCAGCCCCCGCATCGGGGTGTGCTTTGCATGACGGTGGCTGATTCGCTGGATAGTCCGTCGCACCTCTCGCTAGTCCGGAGTGTGCATGAGAGCACAAACCCGACTACCAATCTCGTGACTGTTCCTTCGATCTCGAAACGCTTACAGGAGGGTGCTGATTGACCCATGATTTGCGAGGAATAGCGACGAACAGCGGCGCAAGGACTAACTCTGGGAAGCGGTGTCCTCGTGGAACGCAGAATCCGGGACAGGGCGACACTTCAGCGCCACGGACAGATGCCCAACATCGCTCCATGGCGTTCGGGATTCCTGGCTGTGAAGGATCGTAGGATCAAGAGACTAATATAAAGAGAAGTAGGAAGCATAGCCGCTCGGCCCCCAAGCTGCAACCCCGAAACTTGATTGAGAAGCAAGGGTGGTGTTGAGCTATGGAAAGCTCCGCGATGCCGGTAGCAGACCGTTCGATATGGACCGCGTTATCCTTACCTGAAACGTTGAGGTTATTGAAGGAACGCCAAAGGATTATGTCAATGAACCCAACAGCCGAGCATCTCGACGGCTATCAAGAAGACCAGGGCATCGTACAGCGCCTGCGGATACGAGCAGAGAAGGGGGAAGCCAGGTAGCAGATCTCTAAAATGGGCGAGGAATCGCATTGTGCTGGCCACTGCGAGTCGGCCCCAGGAGCAATCTGGACCCCGGTGACGGCTGGGGACAACGAAGGGCTATTCAGAACGTTGGATGTTCTAGCCAGTTCATGTATGGCTCTCGGAGATGCCGCGATGTCGCACTGTTGGACGGTCAGGCACGTTGCGGTGGAGAGAGAAAACGCCGGGGCGTCCGGAAAGGACCAGGACCAACGCCAAGACCAACGGTCGATCTCGAGGAGGAAAAACTCCTATTGGCCAGAATTCTCTCACGCATATTCCGCAATCACGATCCTTCCACCAACCGTCCAACACGTACCGTCGTGCACAACGTTTGTCTGCTCTCACTATCATCGACAACGACAACTGAGCGCCTCAATACCACACATTGTTGGCTTTCACCGTCTCTCCCTATGTCGAATGCGGTGCGTCGGTAGAGGAGACGCGTCCCGGAATGTCTCGCCTCTGGGACGCTTCCCGTAATGCTTCAGGGCATCACTATTTGAAAAGCGCTGAAAAAGAGCATGGCTATACAATCTACCCAGTTTGACGCGATTGGATCATGTGCCTTCTCTTTTCGGAGTCATTCGGCTGTGCTTGTATTAGTCATTTTCAATCTCCCACTCCCACTCCCACTCCCACTCCTGCCTATGCACCGTCAAAATTCTTGCAGACTTGCAGTTCGCTCTTTGGCTTTGCCCTCGCCCTCTCATAGCCCGGAGATTCAAAGAGTTATTGGCGAATTACATCATCATGATGGACGGTTCAAGAAAGAAGCAGAGAAATTGGGGCCACTAAAGAAGAGCAAAGTTAGGCATTGTAGGTTTCCTACAAGCCAGAGCTTGTGAGACTCAAAAGAGATAAAGAAGGCCTTTATCTTGCACAAGCTAGGCAACCCTTGTCCAATCCACCCGCTCTTACAAAGTTACCGACGAGATATCTTCTGCACATTTCGCCCGCAGACGCTCCACCTATCAGGACTTCCGCAACACCGACAACAAACGAGCACAGCAACAACCACCACAACCAAAAGGGTAGCGTACTCGCGCTGTCCACATAGCAATTTGCTCCAGGAGAGTGCATTAGAGTGAAACCGCACCACTACTCGACTTCGGTGATGGCTGGGAACCAGCCCATGGGCCCGTACCGACGACATTGTTCACCTTCCCTTTCACTCCGACACAACGCGCACAACACACGCGCAAACACGTCGAGGCGGAAGTTAAAATTTGCTGCCTGGCAAATCTGTTCCCCAGACACCCAACATCGCCCACCGACTCTGTATCCACCATCTCCCGTCTGCAGCCTCTGCACACAGGTGAACTCGGCCTCGGCGATATCTCCAGCGACATCACGCATTATCGGCTGACAAGCGATCTCTCAAATAAGGTGGGTAAACTCTACAATCCCTCTTCCTGACCGCGGTGGCTGCCACCCTCTGCGGGCAGGACTTGACCTAACTTGCGAGCAATCGCAACACACGCAACAACACACAGCAGCTGAACTCCCATCCGCTCACGAAATACGCGATCCTGCTCGAACGGTTAGTCGAAAAAGGGTGGGTGACAACCCCTTCTTATTCCTCCTCCCCGAGCGTGGTGGCTGCCAACCACTCTTCGCAAAGGACTTTGCCACCTAACCCGCGAGCAGCCCAATCCAGTCCAACCACACCCGGATCACATTTCAGCAGCGCAACCTTGGAACCCTCGACCATAGGCAAAATACGCGACCTGCACCCTGCAAACCCCCATCATATGCCCCTGTGTCCACTCTTCCACAAGAAGAAAGCCACTGCAACAATGCCTCGCCAAAACAAATCCGCATCCCCTCCAAGCGATGAACGTCGCCGCCTCCCCGCCAGCATCATCTTCACCCCGACCGAGCTCAAGCACTACCGCCGCTGGCAGCGCCAAACCACGTCTCTCAAGCCGCAGGACCAAGGGCTCCTCCCCTCCGCGTTCGAGTACGCCGACTTCAAGGCCTGGCTTGCAAGGCGCGACTCGGGATGCTTCACCAACTCGCCCTTCGACGACATCGCAGCGCACGTCAGAGCCGCTCTCTATCCGAACACAGGAAAGGATGAGGTTGCGGTCGCTACCAAGTGTCGGCATGTGCTGCATCCAGCCGCTCAGGATGAAGAAGTGGACAGATGCCCCGTGTGCACCATCGAAGCGCACATGCGCTACATGAACGTGCTCACCCGCGCACTCGAGTTCGCTGAAGAAATCCCGCGCGATGACCGCCCAAAGGACGATGTCTACTGCCAGGCCTGGTACGCCGGGAAGCTCAAGCTCGTGCAGGAAGTCTGTCGTCTCGAAAATCGCGCTGCCGAGGAGGCCGATTGGATGGATAAGAATCCGGGACACCCGATCGTGGGATCAAAGACTGCTACCCAGGCCTTGCGCATGTACTGGGCGAGTATCGAGTATTCCGGTGCGAAGTGGCGGCCAGCCGGACGAGGAGTGAAGGAGAAGCGGAGTGTGAGTTTCGGCGAGGATACGAGCTTCACCCAGGGTCGGGATCTACTGTACTTCTGCCGGAGGTCGCCGCGCTATGAGGCTGGCAAGTACGCGATTGAGGGCGAGGAAGATGCTGATGATGAGGATGAGGAGGTGGGTGAAGAGGTGGATAACCAGTCGAAGGTCTCCTGGATGAGCTTTGCGGAGGAGAGCGAGTACGAAGATGATAGCGATGATGAGTGGGAGAGTGTGGAAGATGAGGACAGCTTCGAGGAAGTGGAGGGTGCGGAGTTCATCGTCTTTGAGTGACAGCCGTCTGAAGGCGTCCAGGATGGCTTTTGCCAATCTCAAGTTTCTATGTACAAGTAGATACCCAGCAACGCGGTAGTTGCAATGAATATGGTCCATATGATATTCCCTCGCTCCCGTAAAGGTCCTAAGCCCTTCAGGTTCCCTCATGCACTAACCCTCTCCGCGTCTTGCCACAACAAACTTTCACAGGCCATTAGTCACTGTCCATTTCTTCCGTGGCAACCTCTCCCAAAGTATCATTCCGAGAGTAATTCACCTCAGTCATTTCTAGGCAGCGCTTGTCCTCCTATGTTCCCACCATGCCCTCTCGTTCAAAACAACAACACCGTCAAGCCGAACCCAACCGCTACACACAACTGCTATACCCCACCATAGACTCTCGAAACAGCACATTAGAATCGAAGGAACGTCCCGAGCTCGATAGAAATAAGCGCCACTTTAATACTAGACCCGTTTCTACGAGCATCGCAACCTTGGAAAGTCCGCTAGGATGGCGACTAGACCCAACATCAGCGCCAGCACGCTGTTCGGCGAGAAAGAGATGAAGCTGTTCATCCGCTGGCAATACCTACAGCCGCACATGACGCAAGAGCGCTACTTCACGCTTCCGACCGCCTTCGAATACGAAGACTACCTCCACTGGCGCGACCACGAACGCGCCCGCTACCTGCCAAACAACTGTCTCCGCTCCGACGAGCCCCTCGCTCCCACGGAACCAGAATACGTCCCCTCGGATCGAGGGTTCACGCTCGCCGAGAAGTGCGGGCATCCTCTTCACCCCGCGCATCCTGGTGTGCGCGGGAAGTCAGAAGCGAAGACGTGTGAGGAAGAGAAGGAGGGGAGCGAAGTGCAAGACGAGATACTAGTACTGCGCTGTCCTTGCTGCGTGCTCAAAGCGCATCTACGGCTCCTAGTCGCGCTGTCCGAGAAATGGACCGATGTAGGCGGACCATGGCGACAGTTCGACCAAGGCAGCGTCGATGCATCGCTGTACGGGGACTCGAATCGCGCATTCCATCGCGCAAAACTGGGTCTTATCAATTCCGCGATTCGGTTCGAGACGTGGGCGGATGCGGAGGCGGGATGGGAAGCAGAAAACCTGGATAGCGATGTGGACGCAGTGAGACAGTATAGTGCGGGGAGGGCATGGGATCTGTATCAGAAGGGAATAAGCTTTCCGGCGCATTTGGTGCCTGCCGAGACGTTCAAGTTGATCGAGAAGCAGGAGAAGCAGAAGGAGGAGCCTGCGACGCCGACGACGAAGAAGCGGAAGCAACTTTCTTTCTCGCCGGATACACCCGAGGATACCAAACATCGCCCGAATCTGCTCTTTAGTCGCGGGTGTCCGTATTACAACCCAGAGTCACCTCACAAATGCCCGGACCAAGATGGCTGGACCGATACTTCGTTTCTACGCGACTACCACTACGCCATATCCCAATGTCGCATCCTGCTCATCACGAACGATCCGTCCTTATCGTACCTGACATACCGCAATCTGAACGCCGGTCCAGACCGCGGTGACAACATCTATGTCACCCGTCTGCTAGAGCTGGTTGACAACTGGCTGGATACAATGACGCCAGAGAATCGTCAGGGATGGATGGATTACTTCTCTGGAGCGAGCGAAATCTTTGTCGTCTACAAGGCCGACGGCAAGCCTGGGGAGGACTTCGATGACTTCTATACAGTCGATTCGCTTGTTGGGACTGGGGTCGAGATCTATGCGCGGATTGTTGGGGACATTGACGAGGAGGAGTATGTGGCGAGGGCAAGGATAGCGCCGCAGGTAGCCGCGGAGACGCCGGAGGACTTTTTTGACCAGGTATCGTTGGCGTCGGATCCTGAGTCGGAGGAAGACGAACTCGAGGACCTAGTGGATCCGAAAGATCTCGAAGCTGATGACGACCATATGGAGGTTGATATAGTGGGCGGAACGAAGGGGGTCGATGTACAGAAGCTTGGCCTGGATCCTGTGTCCTGGAAGTAGAGGCAGGGATTTGTAAAAGCAGTTGTAATGTACGACAGTGAAATCAAGCCCCCACTCTTCTGAAAACGTTGCACTCCGATGACTCCGCATCAGATGCGATACCATTGAAATACCTGTTCCATACCCAAGTTGCGGTTCGAGGATGCTATAAACACCTCCTCGCGAAGGCAATATGTGCGCCTCCGTGAGCGTTCTCTACTAGCTAGTTGAGCGACTATGAACTAATTAACACGGGAGCGTATAGATCTTAAGAAACGTTCCATAATGATATGTCATATTGCATTTGAGATGCCGAGGGTGTGCAGGGTTATGTGATGCAATCTATATCAAAGGAAGCAACAAAACGCCAGATAGACAATATGATGCTTCCGAAGCATGTTCACATAACCACACAGCAGGAATTCTGCTTCTTCGCCTGTGAGCCAGCGGGTTAGTAAAACCTCCAAGAGTGGTGCCTAGTCTAGAGGATACGGACCTGAGTATAGAACATCTTGCTCTGTGCACTCAAGATATCGCTCTTCGCCACCAGGTCCTCGATCTTCTGCCCGCGCTCAACCAAGCTGTCAACGGTCTTGTAGACGACGTCCTTGGCCTCAGCCAGCTCCTTCTGGATCCTCATGATGGTGTCCGCCTGCTGCGGGTCTTGGTATTTCGCGAGGTAGTCCTTCAGCTCGGGCATGGGAAGAGGGTTCCAATGGTGGACCTTCGCGTATTGGTACGTGATGTCGGCGTAGGCGGAGCGCGGGTATTTTGTGACAAATTCGTCGCACACCTTGGAGAGCAGATCACTGGCGACGCGCTCCGGGTATTCCTGATCGGTGATTATTACGCCGCAGACGTCTTCATCACAGCGATGTTGTGAGTAGAAGAGATACCCTGTACACGAAGGTTTCAGTCAGCTCTTGATTCCCTAGGCACGGCGGGGGGCGATACGAATCACTCACCATCTTGTTCGTAGTGTAATGCCTTTCGTTCTTGTGTTGTTTTTTTTGCCATTTGGGTTGCTCCGAAGGTCACCTTCGCGGGCTGTTAGCCCGCGTGCTCCGCCTCGACACATATCCAGATCCGTCTGATAACAGCAAGCTTCGGATACGTACAACTTGGGCGACGGTGCCGCCGGTGAACTTGTTGTAGTAGCTCTTCACCGTGTCCTCGCCGCAAAGCTGAGTCGCTCCCCGCGACTCGTCCTTGGCTGCCTCCTTGGCTTCCTCCGGCCCGAACTTGAGGATCTAGTGGTCCTCATTAGCGATCTGAGTGAGGACTGGCGGTGAGCGCGGAGCTTACGCCGACGTAGAGGACCTTCATGGTGACGGTTAGTTCCGAGTATTTGCGGTGTGAGGAAGAAAGTAGAGGAGAGCGGAGGTATGGTGGCGGCTTGGACGGGATGATGCTCACACGCCGTCAAGTTTCAACTACGGTGAGTGGCTGTGGCGGTGCGGCTTATGTCACCAGCCGCCTCATTGCGGCGGGGCAGATCCAGCCGAAAGACCTCAAACCTCTGAAAATCTCGGTGACACAACGACACGGGCAGACAGGGCCGTGCACAAGAGGGAAAGACGTCCAGCGCTTCCTTGGAGCCTTAGGGGCGCCCAGGACACGATAGAAGCGAATCCACTCACCTCGAACATCTTCGCAACCATAACGACAATGTCGCCGTCCGTGGAGACCGCTCAGGCGCAATGGCTGGAACAACTGGCTGCTATGCGGAAGGCGATAGCGGAGTTGAACCTCCCGCCTGATGTTCAGAAGACGCCAGCGTACGGCGACGACCTTGGCCTCGACGATGACGACCTTTCGGGGACCGTTAGTGGCGAAGATATCTGGGACGTCATTAGCGATGGCTACGAAGACGAGTACAGCAGCGATCACCTCGATCAGTACGCCGACGGCCAGCCTGGTGGGAGCCTGTATGATCAGCAATGGCTGGCGGAAAGGTGCGCAGATGTTGCTCGAATGGGTTCCGGCCTAGACGCGGCCGCGTTGAAGGAGCAAATCTCCGCAATACTAGCGAGCGATAGCAATGGTGGGTGAAAGAGAGAGGGTTCGTTTGCAACCGGCCGCTGACTGAATGCAGATGATGAATTGCAGATGATGCTTGCCGATATCGTAGGCTATGAGGAACTGGACCTCGTGGCCGACCTCATTGCCCATCGACGGGACATTACGCGGTCCCTGCACGAGCTGCCTCCGCATGAAAGCGCTCTTGGCCACCTGCAGACAAGAGCAGAGCGCGAAGAAGCGCTTAGACGGCAAGACTGGGAACACAAGCATGCCGCTCTGGCGCCCGCTCTGGACCGCAAAGGGCCCCAGTACCCGCACGTATACCGGACCTACGAAGCGGGCAACAAGCTCTCCGCTTACGGGAAGAAATACGCTTTGCCTCTAAACTACGCCCACTATGACGATAAAGTCTATGAAGAGTACGCGATTCCTGCAGCGCCGGTCTGCACAATCGGCGCCGGGCGTAAACTTGTCGAAATCAAAGAGCTGGACGGCCTTTGCCAGCGAACATTCAAGGGGTACAAGTCGTTGAACCGCATGCAAAGCTTGGTCTACCCGGTTGCCTACTATACAAGCGAGAATATGCTTATCTGCGCCCCAACGGGTGCGGGTAAGACGGACGCCGCGATGCTCACGATCTTGAACGTTATAGCCAAATACACCATCCCGAATCCAATCGAAGAGCCTGAATCTACTGACTTCACTACTCTTTCCGAGGACTTCAAGATCATATATGTCGCTCCAATGAAAGCCCTCGCTGCCGAAGTCACGGAGAAGCTTGGGAAGCGCCTTGCGTGGCTCGGCATCAAAGCTCGCGAACTGACTGGAGATATGCATCTCACAAAAGCTGAGATTCTAGACACTCAAATCATTGTTACCACTCCCGAGAAATGGGATGTGGTCACAAGAAAGAGTACGGGAGACACAGAGCTCGTTCAGAAGGTCCGTCTGCTCATTATTGACGAGGTGCACATGCTGCACGACGAGCGAGGTGCGGTTCTCGAAAGTTTGGTTGCCAGGACCCAGAGGCAGGTCGAGGCTACTCAGTCTCTCATTCGAATTGTCGGGCTGTCTGCTACGCTGCCAAACTACGTCGACGTCGCCGACTTCCTTCGAGTAAACAAGATAGTCGGCATGTTCTACTTCGACGCTTCCTTCCGTCCAGTGCCTCTGGAGCAGCACTTCATCGGAGCAAAAGGGAAAGCCGGAACTGCGAATTCGAGAGAAAACCTCGAACACATAGCTTTCGATAAGGTTGTGGACATGCTCAAGCTAGGCCACCAAGTTATGGTGTTCGTGCATTCACGCAAAGACACGGTCAAAACCGCGAGACAACTATACGAGAAAGCAGTAGGTGCTCAGTGCACTGACCTTTTCGACCCCACACTACATCCGGGCTTCGACGCTGCTGTCCGCGATATGAAGCAATCAAAGGGCCGAGAAATTCGCGAACTGCTGAACAAAGGCATGGGCACCCATCACGCAGGTATGCCTCGCTCCGATCGAAACCTCATTGAGCGTCTCTTTGCGGAGGGAGTCATAAAGGTCCTTTGCTGCACGGCAACCCTAGCGTGGGGTGTCAACTTACCAGCCGCCGCAGTCCTGATCAAGGGAACGCAAGTTTACAATGCGCAAGAGGGAAAGTTCACGGACCTTGGCATCCTTGACGTCTTGCAGATCTTCGGTCGCGCCGGTCGCCCTCAGTTCCAGGACACTGGTATTGGCTTCATCTGCACGACGCACGATAGACTCGACCATTACCTCAAGGCTGTTACGGAGCAACAACCCATTGAATCGAGGTTCTCCGCAAAGCTTGTTGACAATCTTAACGCGGAGATCTCGCTGGGTACGGTTACAACGGTACAAGAGGCTGTGCAGTGGCTGGGCTACTCGTATCTATTTGTGCGAATGCAGAAGAGCCCATTGAACTACGGCATCGAATGGTCTGAGATTCGAGATGACCCGCAGCTCGTGCAGAGACGCCGAAAATTGATCATCGATGCCGCCCGAACACTACAAAAGAGCCAAATGATCATCTTTAATGAGAACACCGAAGACCTACGGTCGAAAGATGTCGGACGCATAGCAAGCCAATTCTACGTTCAGCAATCCAGTATTGAGATCTTCAATACAATGATGAATCCGCAAGCTTCTGATGCTGATGCGCTCGCTATGGTCAGTATGAGCGGGGAGTTTGACCAGATCCAGTCTCGCGATACCGAAGAGAAAGAGCTCTTTGCCTTGCAAGAAGAGGGCTTCGTGGTGACCGACGTGAAGGGCGGCGTGGGGACACCTCACGGGAAGACCAACATTCTTCTACAAGCCCACATCTCGAGAGCAAGGCTGGAAGACTTTACTCTCGTCTCAGACACGAACTACATCAGGCAGAATGCCGCGCGTATCGCACGCGCACTGTTCATGATTGCGCTCAATCGCCGCTGGGGCTATCAGTGTCTCGTGCTCCTCAGTCTCTGCCAGTCCATCGAACGCCAGGTCTGGGCCATCGAGCACCCTTTGCATCAGTTTGATCTGCCACAGCCCGTTTTGCGTCAATTGGATCACAAGTACACTTCTATAGAAGCCCTGCGCGATATGGAGCGCGCGGAAATCGGCGAGCTGGTTCACAACAAGAAGATGGGTAATGTCATTGCACGGATATTGGACAACTTCCCTACACTGAGCATCGAAAGCGAGATTGCGCCCCTTAACAGGGACGTGCTTCGCATTCGGCTCTGGCTTACGCCCGACTTCAAATGGAACGATCGCCACCACGGTACTTCTGAATCATTCTGGATCTGGGTTGAGAATTCCGAGTCCTCGGAAATCTACCACTACGAGTTCTTCATCCTCTCGCGCAAGAAGCTCTATGACGCACACGAGCTGAACTTCACAATTCCGCTGTCGGATCCTCTACCTTCGCAGATCTATGTGAGAGCTGTATCTGATAGGTGGCTGGGTGCGGAGACAGTACATCCTATCTCGTTCCAGCACCTCATTCGACCGGATACCGAGAGTGTGTATACAGACCTGCTTAATCTTCAGCCACTGCCCATCTCCGCGCTGAAGAATCCTTTGCTAGAAGAGCTTTACGGACAATGCTTCCAATACTTCAATCCTATGCAGACACAGATCTTCCACTGTTTGTATCATACGCCAGCCAACGTTCTCCTCGGCTCCCCCACCGGTAGTGGCAAGACTGTTGCGGCCGAGCTTGCCATGTGGTGGGCCTTCCGCGAGAAGCCCGGCTCCAAAGTGGTCTACGTCGCTCCCATGAAAGCGCTGGTGCGCGAGCGTGTGCAGGACTGGGCCAAGCGGCTCGCCGGTCCTATGCGTTTGAAGCTGGTCGAGCTGACGGGTGACAACACCCCAGATACGCGCACTATCCGCGACGCAGATATTATTATCACGACACCGGAGAAGTGGGATGGTATAAGTCGAAGCTGGCAGACGCGCGGGTATGTACGGCAGGTCAGCCTGGTCATCATCGACGAGATCCATCTTCTAGGTGGCGACCGTGGTCCAATTCTGGAGATCATCGTATCCAGGATGAATTACATCGCTTCACAGAGCAAGGGTTCCGTCCGCCTATTGGGCATGTCAACCGCGTGTGCTAATGCAACCGATCTCGGTAACTGGCTCGGTGTGAAGGAAGGCTTGTTCAACTTCCGTCATTCGGTCCGTCCTGTGCCGTTGGAGATCTTCATCGACGGCTTCTCCGAGCAGCGAGGGTTCTGCCCGCTCATGCAGTCGATGAACCGCCCGACCTTCTTAGCTATCAAATCACACTCGCCAGAGAAGCCAGTTATTGTGTTCGTCGCTTCGCGGCGACAGACAAGACTGACTGCTCGGGATCTGATCAACTTCTGTGGCATGGAAGATAACCCTCGACGGTTCCTGCGTATGTCCGAAGAGGATCTCAGTCTTAATCTCTCAAGAGTCAAAGACGATGCTCTCCGAGAAGCGTTGAGTTTTGGCATTGGTCTGCATCATGCCGGCCTCGTCGAGACCGATCGCCAGCTATCAGAAGAGCTGTTTGCAAACAACAAGATCCAAATCCTTGTCGCTACCAGCACGCTTGCGTGGGGTGTCAACCTTCCCGCCCACCTCGTGGTCGTCAAAGGCACGCAGTTCTTCGACGCGAAGACTGAAGGGTACAAAGACATGGACCTCACAGACGTGCTGCAGATGCTCGGTCGAGCAGGCCGCCCACAGTTCGATTCTTCTGGTATTGCTCGCATCTTCACGCAGGATTCGAAGAAGGAGTTCTACAAGCACTTCCTGCACACCGGTTTCCCAGTCGAGTCATCGCTGCACAAAGTCCTGGACAACCATTTGGGCGCTGAGATCTCTGCAGGTACCGTCGCCACGAAGCAGGATGCGCTCGACTATCTCACATGGACGTTCTTCTTCCGACGCTTACACAAAAACCCCTCGTTCTATGGTCTAGAGATCTCAGCTGCAGAGCACAACACTATCGCCGCGCAGCAAATGGCCAACGACTACATGATCAACCTTATCGAAGCCTCGCTCAATGAACTAGCAGAATCCTCCTGCATCGCACTACAAGGAACAGGCGACATCGATTCCACGCCCCTCGGCAAGATCATGAGCTATTACTACCTCTCCCATAAAACGATCCGCCAACTCGTCAAGCACGCCAAGCGCGACGCCAGCTTCTCGGACGTCCTTTCCTGGGTGAGCCATGCCACAGAATACGACGAGCTGCCCGTCCGCCACAACGAGGATCTAATCAATGCCGAACTCTCCAAAGCGCTGCCACTCAAGGCTGATAACTTTGGCCTCCCTATGTGGGATCCCCACGTCAAGGCTTTCCTGCTCCTACAAGCGCACTTCTCGCGGATTGATCTGCCAATCTCGGATTATGTGGGCGATTTGAATAGCGTACTGGATCAGAGTATACGTATTGTGCAGGCATCCATCGATGTGCTCACAGAGCTGGGATATCTCTCCTCTTGCGAGGTAATGATCATGCTACTGCAAGCTATCAAGTCTGCGCGCTGGCCGACCGACGGTCCTCTCGCGATCTTTCCCGGCGTGGGTGCGGACAAGGAGAAGAAGAGGTTGGAGCAATCACAGGCTAATCTAAAGACTCTCATCGAGGTTACCACGGCGCCACCGGCTGCCCTCGAGCGAGCCGCGAAGTCCGCAAGCGTTGCGCCGCCAATGGTCAGGAAGACTGTCGAGCCAGTCTCCCGTCTCCCTGTTCTCAAACCCGGCCTCCCCAATGTCAATGCAATAAACCTATCGCTCAACATTTCGCGCGTCAACCCTGCGCGAAGTGGCCCAGGTGGTGTTCGCATCTATGCACCGCGCTATCCCAAGCCGCAAACCGAAGGCTTCTTCGTCATCCTCTCATACTCCGGCACCGACGAGATCGTAGCCTTGAAGCGCGTAGGTTGGAATGCGCCGAGTAGAGGTGGTGCAGCTGGTGGGAGTAGACTACAGGTGAGCACAAAGATCAAACTGCCAGATGAGGCACAGGGGAAGAAGTTGGCTGTCAGCCTGCTGAGCGATGCGTATTTGGGTATGAAGTGGACCTTTGGGGACGTGGAAGTTCCTGTGGCTCCAACTGTGGAGGATGGGAAGGGTAAGGAGAAGCACTGAAGTCGTTGGAAAATAGAAGAGTGTGGATGAATTTGGAGGTCTTCGAGGCTTAGTAGAAAGCACGGAAGGCGATTAGCGTATACCGGTGCCTAGTGGGATTCAGTGCCTGATCACTGCCAGACACTGTATCATATTGAAGCATGGCCAAATTGAATGACTATGTTGAGAGGACTATTTCCTCATACAACGAAATCTAGACACCGCAAAAGACTTCCTAGAGGCTTTCAGAAGGACCTCAGTCCGCGAAGAGCATTAGACAGTGCTGTGTGGTGGAAACGGCAGCCTAGAGTGCTTCGAGATATGAAGTCCTGATGCTGAGCGGCAGAGTCTTAGACTTGTATTGCATGGATAATGGTTCCGCCGTACGTCATGTTTGAGGAGGGTTGAAAAAGGCCGACCAGCGACTGAATTGACTTCTGTCTAACGCGATGCTTCTATCTACAGTGCAGACAGATAGTCCAAACAATTTGCCAACGTCCATCCATCATGCAGACACCGCAACAGGAGCAGCCATGCGTATCTAGTTCTGCACAGATACATCATCGCCATCGAGAGACAATTCAATGGTAGACTTAGCTTCAGAACTCGACGCCGAAGCCAATGAAGATATGCGATCCTCCCCAGTCCTCTTCTCTTCCGGCTTTATCGAACCATCCGAGATTCCCTAGGCATCCTCATGCTCTTCTACAAGCAGCTCATGAGAGCCGCACTCTCCCTCTCGTTGTATCTCCTCCTGAATCTTCCGCAAACCATCTAAGAATATCTTCGCATCCGGATGATCCTCCCTAGTCTCCGTATACGCCTTCTTATACAATGCCAATGCCTCTTCGCGACGTCCTCGCTTGTGCACAGTGGTCGCCAGGGTATACACAGTCAAAGTTACATCCACCCAATCCCCCGGACCAAGCGGCTGCGACGTTTCCCCAAGGCGCTTCTCCTGGCCCGCAAGGCTTTACCGACAGAGGATTTCCGCTTCCTCTAGCTTATCCAACTTAGAGAGGATAGCCGATAGCTCCATCATTAGTAGAAGCGTTACTTCGCCTTCCTCTCCAAACTGTTTGCTATACCCGCCCAAAGCTTCTCTGTAGTAGTGCGCAGCTTCTTCAGCCTTCCCCTGCTCACCCAGCACCCGCGCGAGCCGACGGACACTTCCCTTGGTTGTTACATCATCTGCTCCAGGCAAACTCTGTTCCACTTCCACCGCCTCTCTGAACAGCACTTCAGCTTCCTCCATCTGCCCGTCAAGCTCAAAGTTCAATGCTATCATGGTCAAATTGGTGCACCACGTTTCGTCATGTTCCGGTCTACGTCCACCCTGCTGCCTCGCTTCGTACGCACGACGATACATAGCCTCAGCTTCGAAAAGTTGCCCGCTCCACCTTAGATATAGCGCCCGCGATTCGAGCGCGGATATCGTCTCGTGGTGTGTGGCACCGTACGTGCGTTCGCAGATTTCGAGGGCACGTTGCAGTATGGCACTGCTTTCGGCGTAGCGCTTTTGGTTGTGGAGGGTGTGGGCGAGTGTGTCCATGATGCGGAGCGTGTCTGGATGTGAGGGGCCGAGTGTTCTCTCGTGTGCTTCTAGTGCTTTTCTTCGCAGTTTGTCGGCTTCATCCTCCCTGCCAAGATAGTCGAGGGCATTGGCGCGGCTGATAAGAGTGCGCAGCGTTTGGGGACTGTCCGCGACCAAGGCCGTTTCGTACGCGTGGGTAGCGGCTCGATAGAATATCTCGGAGATGTCGTAGACAGCGCGTCGATTGGTGTACATGCCGAGCTTGTGCATTAGGGAGCCCCAGTCGCAGAGGGATCCTGTCGAGTTAGGTCGATATAGAATTGCGGAGACTGCGTGTGCGAAAAGCAATTCGCAGGAGCCTATGTCGTCGTCGGGTTCGGGATAGTGCGAGTTGAGGAGGGTGATGTATTTATTCGTCCACGGTTGTAATTCGCCATGCAACTCTAGCCATTTCTTCATGGTGAACTGCACAAGGCGATGCATCTCGAAATGATGTCCGTCTATATTAGTCTTGATAAAGGAGAAGTCCGTGAGTGTCGTCCAATCATCATCGAAATCGCATTGGATCTGCTTCAGCTTCGCTTCCTGCTGTTGAACTGTTTTCTGGCGCAATCGTCGACGTAGCCTGCGGAATGGGATGCATGAGGGAGCCGAAGGCGAAGGTGGAGGATCAGGTGCTATGATGACTTCTTGCCCGTATTGCCCCGCGAGAAGCGATTCCGGAATTCCCTGTCGATCGAACAGAGACATCAGCGACAGAAGCCTTGAGGCGGAGGGCTTGGTGCTGCGCACGTACTGGAAAGATATTTGCCAGGTAGCCACAATTGAACTCGACCTCTCCTTGTCTCGTCTCGCTTCAGGTATGTCTTCCTGTAGCAGCTTCGCACTGTCCTTGTCTCCCCCCTTCAGCTGCTTGAGATAAGGAGCGATAGTGACGCGAGGTGTCTTGTTGCTAATGTATGCGGCTGCTTGAGAGATAGCGAGCGGAATGCAGTCGAGCGCTTGCACGAGAGTTTTCATATCATCTTCGCTGCGGGTTCCGTCCAATTTGCTTTTGAGTAGAGTAATGGCCTCGGTTTCTGTCATAGGCTCCACCCGTAGTATGTGTTTGTAGTTTCCCGTCAAGTGGAAACCGACGTTGCGATTTCTCGTCGTAATCAACATCGCTCCTTTAGGAGAATGCGGCAGAAAGTCGAGCACTTTAGGTGCTGCTCGTTCGGCTGAAGTGCTAGTGCTCTTATGATTGGGCGGCGGACCGGTGAAGACATCCATGTCATCTGCGTTGTCGATAATCATGAGCCAGTGTCCATTGCTCTCTTTGCAGAGCCAATCGTGCACCATCCTTAAGAGGTCCGCGTTTTTCTCATCGGAACCAGGTATATGAAGAGCTTTCGCGATCTTCCGGTAATCCTCTTCAAATCTAGCGATGCTTCCAGCACGTACCCAAAAGACCCAAGTTTGTGGCGAACGATTGCGGACACGGTATCCATACTCGATGGCTATTTGCGATTTCCTGTGTAGCCAGTTAGCTGATATTGCGTCCAGGGGTTGACAATGCTTTTCTGCAAGCCTCGTCGCTGGAAGGAATTTACCCGATGCCCCCCAATCCCCAAAGCGCAAGCCTCGATCCAGGAAAACCTCTTCGTGAGATGACATCGGATAAGACCGTCCGTTCCACGAAGTCTGGGTCTTGCCAGAAAAGACAGATCATCTCGGGCGTAGGAGGTATGGGAGCTGTGGAGTATCCGTTAGGACAGAAATGACCTTCACACACAGCTTGTTCAACGCCAGTGTCGTCCAGGTTACATATCCGCCAGTCTATGAGCTCCGGGGATATATTGAATGGGGAAGTGGGACTTACCAGGAAGATTCCGTATACTTGATGAAACGACGCGGTCTAATGTCAACGTTTGGACATACTTTTGGAGCACGCTTTCCATCTGTTGAACTTCGTCTTCATAGCGGAAGCTTGCGATAGTCTTGTATCCCCGAACGAATCCATGGTTTCCTTCTTTCGGAAGCGCCTTCGCTACTATACGGTCGAGAGCCGTCAGTTGGTTGAGGCATTCCTCGACCAGGGGACGGAGGCCTCTCGAACTATCTTCCGGGATACTGCCAGCCTTTATGGCATCCCCAATCTTATTCAGAGCGTTGAGCAAGACGGGAAGCTGGACGGAGATGCTCCGGAACGTCTTAGGTAGATTGTTCGTCTTGTCACTGAAGTCGTTGTATCGATCAATCACCTTAAGGGTACCGTCAACAAGTTGAGCGATGTTCGCGATAATGCCGACGATCTCGAGCCCAGACATGACGACTAACTTTGAGGATAGAGTGGAAGGAAAGAAATGTACAGTATGAGATGAAAACTGGCGGAGGGTCGGGCTCGGCGCGTTATAATGTGCGCAGGCGGCACAGGTAAGGTCGGCACCCGGGGGTGGGTGGATCAGGGTACGATTGGAGCCCTGAGCGAGCGGATGTCTCACAAAACGCGCACGGCAGAAGGCAGGAGAACGATAATAGGCAACAGAAAAAGAGAGGCTGCAGCAGTTGATCTACAAATTGACTTGAAGTGGCTGTGTCTGATGCAAGCAGCCGTCCAAGGATGTCGACCACCGACGTTATCGCCATTCGAAGGTTGTCATCCATCAGAGCTTGCGGCATCCGCAGCTGAAAGTGGCTGAGAGAGACACAAAGACACTGAGGATCGATTTGTGGATCGCTGTTCATGTTCCCTGAAAGCTCCGACTCGCGACGGATCCGTGGCTCTTCCGCAGGTAAAACCACTTCCTACAGTGTCTTTTAGAGAGACGAAACGGGTCGTTGGGTTTAGGATGAAGCTACGCTAGTTCCCGGAGAAACCTTGGAAGAACCTTGGACAACTATAAAAGCTAGTCCTAAGAGGGAAAAGCGCCCAAGCCCAGTTTCACCATGGACACCTTTTCAACCTCTCTAACCTATTCTATGCGCTGCCTACGCCACCTGTTATTGATGGTTGGCGTGCGTGGCACTCGATCATAACCCTGATTAATCTAGGCCGATTCAGCCTCCCACGAGGACGTATGGGGCAGCCTGCCATGTCCTCTCTTTCCAAGGTACCATTTCCTCGAAGGAAGGATTTCAGCGCAGAGACGACTCATACGAATGCCCTTGAAGCTAAACTCCCCTTCAGCCTCAATCTTGTCTGTTCACTAGGATTGCACCGAAACCGGAACAGTTCTTCCATCTTTCGATGAAGTGCTTTATACGAAGAAGAGATAGCTCGTTGGACTCACGTTGTCCTACGTCTTCTCTCTCGCACTCATTGTGGACCGTATCGTCTCGTGCATATTTGCCGGAACAGTCACAACATGAAGCCTCTTCTATTGAGCGCTTTGCCATAGAATGGCACCGCGGTTTCTTACCCAGGCCATTGGTATCCGACGGTTTCTGTGGAGTAGAACGGCATAGAAGGGCGATCGATGGTTCGGAGAACGGATGCCCACGTACCGCTTTATCTATTCCTACTCAGCGTCGGCCACGCGTTACATAAGCCTTTTTTTTGCCAGCTATATCCAGCATGATATGTCTGATTAAGAAGCATCACGGGATTACGCGACCTGCTTCCAAAGTTGCGACTTTAATGAATCATGGCTCACACGTCATCGCACCGCGCAACAGTTTTACGACCACAGCGACACCATAGCCTCACTTCTTCTCGCCGGTTACTTTCCAACCCTCTCTCAACTCTTGTACCTGTGACCGTGTGCCTTGTTCGCAGCACCCGACTGATATATCCTTGTCATGCCGGCATTGGCTAAGTGCAGACTCAGCCATGCATCCTCGCTCGACGAGTTCGATCCAGAGTCCTGGGAGCCAGAGCCTCAAAGCGATTCAGACGAGGATTTTACGCCGTCGAAGAAACCGGCAAAGCGCGCTCGCTCTTCCGCCACAAAAAGGAAGAGCACTTGCAATCCGTCCGGTCAACGCACTACAACTTATTCTTCGACTCCTTCAGCTAGGAATGGGACGTCCAACGCAGTACTCGCAAAAACGGATCTTCAAGCACTAAGTAAAGCGGAGCTCGTCTCCCAATACCTCGCACTGCAAGATCAACTGAGACAAGCGGAGAAGAAGGCAGGGCGTGCGACACCGCAGCAGATCGAGGAGCAGGCGAGGAAACTGCGCTCGCTGCTGGATTCGGGGATCCAAACACTCATGACTGTAAGAAAGCCCAGCTCTGATCGAACGAACTCCGGGGTACTAACTCCAATCACAGTGGAAGCCCTCCTGCAACTGGGACAGCGCAAGGTTCAGCTACGAGGGCATGGTGTCATGCCCCGAAATATTCTACCGCGCCTTCGACATCCGGCCAGATGCGCGCTACAAAGAGACGGAACGCCTAGGGTGATGTGGGCCTTCGATGTGGTTGCTTTCTAGGAGGATGTACTCGGGTATAGATGTCGGCGACTTTATGGACTATTCAAACCTGTGCGCTACGCCACTCTGTACTTGGTAGGCAAGCTGGTCACGGTGCGGTGGGAGCCGGGGGAGAAGACGTTCACTGCGAGCGGGAAATATGGGAAGGGCAAGGGAAGCGGGAGGGTCATGTTCTGAGATATATGACCACATAGCGCGGAGTAGTGCGGTAGGGTTGGGGAGGGACTCCGAGAAGCTGGATGCGATGCGCGAGCAAGCAGGCGGTTGAACGTCAACAGTGCCTAGGTACCCCAAACAAGACTTCAATTACAATTCTACCCGTGCACGTACGTCTTTCGCCTTCACTCACCCCCTCTCACCACGCGCCTTTTTTTCCTTCCCTATATATACCAAACAAATCTCCAATCCCTCCAACAAAGTCCAAGAGCCGCTGGAATGCGACTTGGCCGGGGCTGCCTAAGAAGTAAAGCCTCGTGATAAACCCGGAAATGCCAGCGGACGCGCTTGGTAGTCCTAAAAAGGGTTTCGTAGCGGCTCATCCTATAGGACCGTCCGCGATCTTTTTGCTATCCTGTACCTGTTAGACCGCCGTCAATGTTTTGCTGTTTGAGAGTGGGAGGTGTTTGAGTATGTGGGGTGGAACTTTTTTTGCCTTTTTTTTGGTCCTGCGAAGGGTTGGAAGGTTGGAAGTTGGTCGGTAGGAAAGGAGTAGGGGGGTGGGAAGGTAGGCGGGTGCGGTAGGGTGGGGCACGTCTGGGGTAGATAGGGATACGATCCCGGAGGAAAAAATAGAGGAGGAAGATGGTGTGAGTGTTGCTCATCTCTAGGTGAGGCATAAGGAGTAAGATCGGGGGTGAGGTCTCACGTGACAACTAGCTTCTTAAGTATTTGCACACTAATTGAAGCGCGTTCGCACGAACGCACGCACCTTGTAATTACATTTCTGCAATACTAGCCCGCAAATTATATCATCTTATCTCGGCTGAAGTCTCCTGAAGATGAGCATGGCGCGCTTTTGCAACCCACTTACATACATATACTTACAAAGATGCCTTCCCAAACTCCTGCTTATGCAAGCCACACATGTATGCCAATATACCGCCCATGCTATATGCGCAACATGCAATCCATCTCTCTCTGACCCTCCGTCATGCCTTCACCATCAAGCCCCATCCCTTATAAAACACCCTCGCGGCGGCCAGAATCGCTCCGCTAGCCAGCAACATAACACCGCCATATACCCAAATATCATCGAACCCGTGCGCATCCAGGATAGCTCCGCCGATGGGAGTCCCTATGAGCAGACCGACCGCTACACAAGCAAAGCTCTGGCCCAACCGCGTGCCAATTTTGTCCCTTGCGTTCAAGCTCAGATGCACGATAATGGTCGGAGGCAGCGAGACAAAAGTACCCGAGAAGAAGCCGTAGAAACCAATGAGGACGATGATACCAGCGGAGGTAGTGGATACAATAAAGCAGAAACAGAGAATGCCGGTGATGACCGTACACGGAATGACGACATTAAAAGGCCCCAGCTTATCCGCGATGAAGTTCGGAATAATCCGGCCGAAGACTGAAGTGCTGTTCATAATGGGCAGGAGATAGAAGGCGAGGTCCTCATTCGTAATCTGGTCTTGGATAGCGTAGACCTGCGCGTAGAAAAACGGCATATACAGCCCCATGAAGCCGACGAAGAAGCCAAAGCACATGAGGCTGTACGCAGGGATGCAGAACGCGCGGAGGTCGAGCAGAGAGCGCGTCTTCGCAGGGAGCACGCGCACACGCATGCAGACGTTCGGGAGAGTCATCGTTCCTAGAATCATGAAGCCGATGATGCGCGTCGTCCAGGCGAAACCTACTCCAGGCAGGAGCTTGTGGAACATGATAGGGTAGATGACGCCGCCAAGGGAACTCCCACTCGCCGCAATACCCACCGCCGCGCCAATCCGTGTGGAGAAGTAAGTGGATAGGATGGCGACGGAGGGAATAAACAAGCAGCCGCAGCCGACGCCGATGCAAAAAGCCTGCGCGAGGAGGACTTGGTAGTACTCTTTGCAGAGGGAAAGCATCATCTGCCCGAGTACGAGGAGGATGGTGCCGACGATGAGGAGCGCACGGAAGTAGCCGCGGTCGTATAGAGGGCCGGTGAGAGCTCCGACGAGGAGCAACAGAAAGGCTTGGATGGAACCGATCCAGGAGATCGCAGAGGGGTTCGAGGATGTGAGGAGATTTGTTTCGTAATAGGTTTGGTAGGAGCCGAATGTGTTGATTATGCCCCTGCAAGAGTCGTCAGCACTCTATCAAACAAAATTTCTAGATTCCAGCGACTGGAATTGGAAGGAAGCAAAGAAGGGGGATCGAGATGAACATACCAACTATTAAAAAACAGAAAGAAAGCACCCAGCACTTGCAACCAAGCCCACAGCCCCCCATTCGGAATACTCGCCGCATCCCTCACACTCGGCTGCTTGCTCTTAACCTGCTCCAACTCGAAATCTCCCTCGCCCACCGCCTCTCTCTCGCCCTCATTCAAATCCGCCACAAGCTCTTCTTTCCCGCGTATCGCATCCACATCCTGCTGCTGACTTATCGACTCCCTCGATGACAACGACGACCGATCGCCCGGTTTCTCATCAAACGTTGCTGACGGCACATCGCTGGCTCTTGACTTGTCCTTGTCCTGATACCCCGCACTGTCCATCTCGCCGGGTGCAGCAGATTATCGAATCTTCCAATCGTGCAACGCTCAGCACGTGGCCTGGTTCGTTGTGTGTCGGCGCACGGCGCAAGTCTCGGTGGCAAGCGCTGCGTTGAACCCAGGAAGACGTCCTAGGTCTTACAAGCCCAGTAAAACGCCCTTGGAATCTCCAAATCGAACAAAAAGCGCCGAGGAAACAGGCGGTTGGAAAGGCGCAAAGGAACGAGCCGTGTACAAAGAAGGAGGGGCAAAGGAGCGACCAGGGCTCTATAAATGCGCCCAAGTTCCCCTCCAAGCGATCTGAATCCTCTGCTTCGGACATCTCCAAAGAGCGAGACTAACCCGGATCGATCGAAGCGGCGTGGCGCCGGCAGAAACATGGATTGTGAGCATCAACGATCCGGCTGAGAACTGCGGCTGTTAAACCCGGCTGTTTAAATCCGTCTCGTTTGTCGATCAAAACAGCCACATTGGCGGCCCTAAGGTTGATCATGCCCCCTTCGGGATATCGATACTGCCCAGATGGCTTAGAAAGCAGCTAGACACCAAGGTATTATAAACCACGCTTCCCTACCATGTCCGCGGAGAGGGCCAACATGAACGTCTCCGGTGCACTAACGGTCTCCGTGCCATGGTCCGTCATCTCCGACCGCTATTTCGATACCCGCAAAATGCATTCTTCACTGCCATGCAGTGCTATCTACGTAACTGTCAAACGCTTTCTCCGAGCTCAAGCAAAGAAATATCTCCGAGCTGCAAACAGAACTCGCAAGCACCCGGTGAATGCCGCTCATCCACGCTCGGCCGAACCTACTGCTTACTGATTTTGAGGGGTTCGACGCGGAATTCCGGGCGAGGAAACAAATGCCGGTGAAACGACGTAGAAAAGAAAGGGCATGTTCCATGCAAATGGTAATCTTGAAATGGAAAGTGGTATGCTCGTCGTGTCGTACTTTTGGTGGTGTTTATACCGAGAAGGTGCCTCCCGAAGGGAATACCGGTGAGACGCCTGCGCAAACGCCTTGGATGCCCGCTATGCTGTACAATCATGAAAGAGGAACGTCTTCAAGTCCAAAATCGATCCCGCCCAATTCCGAAAGTCAGATACCGCATTCGACCCAATATGCCCGTATATCTGCCAAGATCCTCGTTTACGTGATGATACACGACCTAGACTTGGTCGGCCGCGCGCGTCGCTGTCAGCTTGTGGCCTGAGGGGCGCTCCGAAGATGTTTCAACACGCTCTTCTCGGTAGAGATTCTCCAGAAGAGGCCTCGGTACGGTGCCATCAGGCGAAGGCCGAATCTTGCTCTTCAAAGCTTTCTGACGCCGTTTCTCACGCTCGCCCACTACATCGCGCATGATCTTCACCAGTCCACTCCAACCAAGTTGGTTGGCAGCTGCGGGATGCCTGAAGAGTCGGTCCAGCAAGGGAAGTGGGAGTGATAGAAGAACGCTGGAAAGGACCTGTGCCACGTAGCTGGGCTTCAGTTCGTCTTCTGGAGGCGCATCACCGAACCGAATCTTGCTCAGACGTGGGTTGTGTGCGGGCTGTCTGAGCTCAGCCAGGTGGGGCAGGCGCGGGTTGTCCTTCATTTCAGGCGCGCTTGTGTACAGTTTGAAATCGACTGGGAAGTGGTATGCGATGAAGTTGAGAGCATCATCTAGTAGGGATGCTGCGTACGTGTCGAAAATGCCTACACCTGCTCCAGGACCATCGGGACGGATAGCGGAGCTGCCCGCACGAAGCCCGAAGTGGATGACCTGGTCGAAAGTGTCCCATCGCAGAAGCGCCCTAGCGAGCTCGATGCCGCAAACATGCATGTCCGGAATTTGAAGGACCCTCCCCGCAGCAGCGTAGCTGAGAGACCAGTCCATGCGCTTGCGAGCGTCATTGAAGGTGGGGCTCGCTTCGCTATCACGGTCGTACGGTTTCAGACCGTAAAGCAACGACTGCACTGGTGGAAGCTGCGCACCATACAATAATTTGACAGCCTCATGCAAGGATGCCGACGTCACAAACCCGTCACTTGTTAGGATGTCGATAAGTCGCCGGGAATCTTTGAGTCGGGAGACGAGCGGGACGCTACGACGAATTGCTTCCGCAATGACCGGACTGTGAGCGACTACAATACCGTGAACGGGCAGAGAAAGAAGGGGACCTTCCCCTGAGCGGACGTGAAGAACGAAATCGGCGAGTTCGGGGTTACCAAGCTGGTGAGAAAAGTACTCTGCAAACTTAAGAAGCCACCCGTACGGCCTTTCCGCAGGCTGCGACAACATCCCATTCTGATAGAGAGCGCTATGTGACTCTTCTCCGTAGTTCGAGCTAGGCTTGGTATCGCCGAATTGTGATTTGATGGGTGATTGCGACTGAGACGTAACGGTGCCGTTCATGGCAACGGGCGCACGTTGTGGGGAGATCTGACCTTGGTGAGGTGTTTGGTATCCCACCGCTCCAGGTGGGTAGGAGTGCGGGTGGTACTCTTGTCCGTTTCCATATGTGCCATCTGGTGGTGGTGGTGGCACCGTGGTATACGGGGGAAACACCCAGGGCGCCGAAGGGTCAGAAGGATGGTGCGAATGGCCTGGATAGAACGGCGGGGCGAGCTGCGGGGCGAGCTGTGGGGGCGCAAACCCCGGTGGAGGGCGGGTCATGCCATGATGCGGCACGCGCACGTCCGGCTCCATCTCCTGTGGAGTTGAGGGCATTGCTGGGGACTCCTGGACTGTGCCGCCGAACACTAGACCTTCGACACTCGCCTTGTGTTGATGGACGGGAATATTCATCGGCGGAGGCTGGAAAGGAGCTTCCGCGCCGCCTTCTACGGTCGGCGTCTGGGGTATAGGCTTCCCTACAGGATGGAACTCTGGCGGCAGCTCAGCACATGGGGCCGACGGCGGGGGTTCGCCATTGACAACAGCGGGTTGGGGCTCAGCAGGCGGCATTGAGGGGGTATCATGGATAGCGGCTTCTTGCGTATTCGCCTCGGAGACTGTAGCTTGCCAGGTTAGAATCCGTTGGCTGCCAGGAACGGGACGATGGGACGTAGACAGACCTCGGGTATCCAGCGACTCCTCTACGTGGTCGTCTCCAGAGGCTGCTGGCGAGCTCGCCAGCGTGGGCTCCTCCACCGCGCCGCTGCTAACAGCAGATGCTCTGGAGGCTGGTGTGAGAGGCGTCTGGACACAAGCTGCGGCAGACTGCTCTTCACGCTCCTCCTCGACCGCTGGTTGCGGGTCTGGTGCGTGCGGAGCCACCGTCTCCTTCACTGGCTCTTCGGGCGTGATTGGGCGCGCAGAGGGCTGCGTCCGAGCGAATCTATGAGGGACGGCCGGCACAATGCGCGTTGGACGGCGGGCCTGCCTCTGGGGGGCGGCGGCGGTATCGGCGGCGTTCGGAGCCATTGTGGTTGCGCAGACGGGACGGCGCGAGGACAGGGCGTCAGCGGCTCCAAGATAATCGCGCGTGGCTGCGATGTTCCAATTACCTTGGAGCGCCCGGAAGCGGAGGGAGGCGAGGAAGGGCAGAGCAGTGGCTGGCGGGAGAGGGCGTTTGCGGGCGAGATGGAGTTCCGACATATGTGGGGAGTTTGGTGCAGATTTTAGCGTGCGTCATAGCTCCCCGCTGACTAACCACAGGCAATCGTCGACATTGGACAGCAGTCCATGCAGGCCTCCTCCGCGCAGAGACGTTGATGCTCTTGATGGTTCTGGCTGAACTAGTCGTCTATGCGCTCCATTGCGTGTGGGCATTTCGCCTGTTCTTCACCTCAGACTCCATTCAAGTCACCCCACACGCTCGGCCCGAACCCATCACAAAGGCCTCGAGGCTCTATGCTCATGCAGCAGTTATACCGGCGCAGAGACTCGAAAGACGGATACCCTCGCAGTCAGAACCCAAATGCCCTCATTATAGGCCTCTCTTGCGCTGCTTCGCCCTCAATTCCACGTTCTTCTGCTGGGCACTGCGCGATCACGAAGCACAACTCAGGCAGATGCATGTAGTATGCTTTCGTCTCTCTCTCCAGTCCGCAAAACATTCCTTTCGCCGTGTCTTCCATGCGTGCCCGTCGTTCCGCGCCGCTTCCATGGATCGCTCACGGCACTCTATTCTGACTCCTGCCACGCCGCTGACCATTGTGGAAGCTGCCCATGACACTCCGCACCTGGAGTACACGCAATTGCCGCCATGAATCTTTCCCCGCAGCATGATCTCTCGCTCTTCTCACGCTACATCCCCAATCTCGTCCCCTTTTGCACCTCTATCCCTAGATTGTATCCTACGTATTCCTCGAGCGGACGATAATGCGCCGTGTCTCTCTTCATGACCGGTTTGCTGGACGACAACGACCCTATTCGAGTCCCCGTCTCAGAGACACTCGCTGCCGCGAATGCCAGATGCAGGAGGCATCCCTGATTCCTGCAACGTGCCGAGAGGCATGCATTCACGAACGAGACTTTCCTCCCACGCGTAAGTCGAACACTTGATATCTGGGAGCCTTGACTCATAGTTCGACAGCCAACCGCTTCAGTATCCTTGCACAGCTTGACCAGTCGCCGACGCAGACCGAGTGGGCGTTTGATTTCATCCCGACATCAGAATCAGCTCCACGACGACGCGGAAAACGAGGTGGCAGGAGTAACAAGCTGAAGTTGGAGGCGCGGAGGTGCCGCGAAGCGCGAAAGAGCGAGGGCGTGGGAGAGTTGTGCGAGAAGTTGGCGGCACTGGGTCTGGACGTTGAGCCGTCAAACGCTACAACCGAAGGCGCACCCGTAGACCGCCAAAATGCAGTACCACGGAGCAACTTCAACCTTTCCACGGGTACGGTCAGACATCGTTGGATGCCGCAGTTCCGCACTAACCCAGACTCCTCTCTATCCTCAAATGTTGTCAAACCGATCACCCAAGAGAAAACGACGGTTCCCCAACCCCCGGAGCGCTGTCTGACAAAGGCCACAGCATCTCTTCCAGCCGAAGAAGCAGCAGAAACCCGGTGCAAAGAGTCACGTTTCTTTCCCCTTTCGGCGTTCCTTGCCAGCCCTCCAGCAGTGGCACGCCATTCAACATCGGCAAAACCTTCTCAGCCAGCCCCCACGCACCAAGATACAAAAGAGAAGCAGCTCGCCATCACACCCTCCACGGTTGCACAAAGAGCAGCAGCAAGAGCAGCTTGCCGCGCCCTTGCGTCGGGGGCTGCGAGCTCTGCTGGGCCGTGCGTCTCCTTGTCCACTCCCATCTCCTTAGGTACGCATACATCGGAATCAGCAATCCCTTTGCAATCTTCGCAGATTTCGAATCCCGCGCCTCTTCTTGCCATGCCCGAAAAATATAATCATCCGTCAATGGATCCCCCTTCGACTCCTCTTCCTATTACTCCTCCCCACACTACAACTCCAACACTAACGACATCTCCTGCAATACCAAGTCATCCGTATATGGCTCCTTCAGACTCTGTCATCTCGGCGCTGCCGGCTTCCCAGTCGCCAAATACACCACCACCACTGCCCCTAAGGCCGCAGGTCACATCAAGCACACCCCAGTCCTGGACAGCAGTGTCTGCTACAGGAAGTTCAGGGCCGACCTCTCCACTAGTACTCATAACAGCACCGGTGACCTCGCCGCATCCCTTCGTCACGCCGCCACGGCCTAACCCCACAGTCGTAGCCATTCCGGCTATGCCGAAACCCTTCGCCCCAGCCGTTCCGATCATACCAAAGAAGGATGTCGTCCCTACTATACCAAAGCAGCAGGAAATTGCTCCAACGAGCTCTGTGACTCAGACGGAACTGCAAGATTTCCTGGAAAGGGGTCACGCAGATCCATGCTGGTGCTCGCGACCATCTTCGACATTCTGTGGCCCTGCCTGCGCTACGAAGGTCCCCTCCTCACAAACCCAGAACAAGCTCACTATCCTGAGGAAACGGACGTTCAATGAGTTCGAACTGGACACCGAAATAGCTACCATGCTGGGGGCCACTTCCCTCTCACCCACGCCCCAAAGCACGGAATCCGAATTCGAGGATCTAGGCTATCACGGCGATAGTATCCTGACCCCGGCTAGCACCGATGAGGAGGACGATTGGGACGTGGTATCGGCCGCTGAGTGGTTCTCCAGACCGCGAGTATGCTCCATCGACACCTACCAACCGACTTTCGAGCCCGAGATCGTCGCTTCGCCGGCAAGTATCCTCACCTTCCCCTCACCACCCCTCACGCCCATCCTTACACCTCGTAGCCCTTCCCCTCCACGGCCACCGACGTCACCGATCGTACAATCAATAGCGGCCAAGGCGAACGATGGAGCGCAGGAGCCCAAGGTCTTCGGCAATCCCTGGGCGACATCACCACCTCAGCCCCCAGCGAAGGAGGCGAAATGTGCAGACTGCTCGACTTGCAAATGCGCCTGCACATCCGCCAATACGAGCGCAGTCGAGTGGCCCACGCTGCAGGAAGCTGTGAACATCAAGCGGACGAGGAGGGAGAAGACCAGGACGCGGAGCGATGCGAGTGATGGGAAGGCGTGGGAGGGGGGTGTGGATTGGTTCAACTAGGGCATGATACAATGTGTGCTGCGATGGATGGTATGGAGGGCTTTGGTGTGGTTGGGGTCCTCACGGCGAGATGGCTGCCGGGCAGGTGTATGACCCGCCGGGGGACTTTGTTGACATACTCTGGAAAGGGACAGGTTGAATAACGGTAGAGAGTAGGTGATACTGTTGCTACTGCTCGAGGCCCCTGTTCAATGCGGCGTTCTCTGCGTGTGTTGCCATTTCTTCAACCCCACCTTTGCAGCGACCTCCACTACTCTCATTCCTTTTGCTCACACTCTCCATGCATTGTGCACTACACGGGTAACATCTTGGCCCACTCCTTCTCTGTAGTGCTATCCTCAAGAATAGAAAATCAACTAAGAGAAAAAAGTGAATCAATGAAAACCGGAGAAACCTTGGACAAAAACACGTGCTATGGCGTCTCTATCCAGCTAACCTGTAAGAAAGACACTTCTGGGCATATAAAGCATATTCCTAGAAGTGCGCAGGCCATACCTCCCTGCTTACGCACAGTCAGTCCGTCCTCGAGGCAGCCATCACCCTGCTTCTCATTTCTGGCTCACTAATCGCACTTCCGTTCGCGCACCGAAAGCCTCCATCTAGGAGCAGCTTTCCAGAGCTCCAAATCAAGACATGCTGATATGTGCGTGTGCCGCGACGAGACTCTCATCACCACGCTTTCGTAGAATACGGAACAGCAACAACAGCAGAAAGGTTATCCAGAGCCAAACAGAGCTCCAGCTATTGAAGAAATTACCCGTTATATATTTAATAATTCAGCGTACTCTCAATTCAACATGGTAGTGGTACGTGTGCGCAATACTAGTCTAGGTCTAGTGCAAACCTCACTCCGCGACCGTGTTCGAATACCACCGACGTTTGAATCTAGGGTTCGTTGTGGGAGAGATGTAGCAACTAGCCAATGAGCTAGCTCTGCGAACTCTTTTTTGCATTTCGGGTTTAATTTTCTCTCTCTTCTTTTTCCAGAGAAGTGGCACCACTGGTAGTACACTTCACTACTCATTTGAAAATATTTGAACTCATTTGAACTCATTTGAACTCGTCAAGCCTGCCGAAAGAAAGGCAACACACAACTTCCAAACAAACTTGAACTCCAACCCAACTCCATCCGTATCCAAACCATCCCTACACAACGCCATATACACAAATCCATCATCTAGCTACCATTCCTTCCCCTATACAGTCTCTCCCGTGCATCAACGGCACAGGAATTCTACTCCTGCGCTCTCGCACCGCCCATCCTCTCAATGTTACTCAAGAGCCTGCTCTTCCCCCCACTCGTGCTCCGGTTGAGCCCCGGGGCGCCCTGATACCCAAAGCCGCCTGGAGCTCGCAGACCTGACGGCTTTGCAATCCCACTTCCCCTCTCACCACCCATAGCGCCTAATCGATCGCCCATCGCACTCCCTGGCCTACCACCTCCTAGAGCCGAGCCGGGACGCGCCGGACCGCCGCCAGCAAGGAATCCGGTACTACGGAATGCCTGTTCGGATGCCGGGGCCGTGGGCGGCCCACCGCCGAGTTGCGACTTGCGCAACTCCTCCTGCTGCATTTCCTCCATCTTCTCGCCGCAGAGAGCGAGCATTTGTTCTGCAGCAGCAACTAACTCACCCTTTTCAACCCGCTCGGCCTCCAGATCCTGCAACAGGCTATCGTGGGATTTGCGGAGGGACTGGAGTTCGGATTGTAGGCCTGCAAGCTTAGCCTTAAGGTTTTCCAGTTCGGATTTCTGGGCCTCAAGCAGCTTGAAGTCTTCGGGATTGGAGGTAGGAGTAGTAGAAGCGTCTTTGCCACACTTTCCGCATTTACCGCCATCGGTCTTGGAGGAGAGATCGGAGGGAATGACCTTGCTGAAGGTGTCGTCGCGTTTCTTCTCTGCTTCCTCAACCTGGCGCTCTAAGCGAATGATCTGGACGCGGAGCTCCTTGCACCGCTCATCCGCCTTCTTCTGGTAGTTGTCTTTGAGGGCCTTGATCTTCTTCTCGTGCTTCGCTTTGTATGCAGAATGTAAGTCTCGGGCAACTTCGTTGACCTTCTCCCCAATGGCGGTCTGGCACTCAGCTTCAGAGTAGATCTTTCGTCCATCCTCATCTGGGTTGACTAGGGTAGTCATATCGACGTTCTTGCTCTCAGCTTCAATGAGTTTAGTCTCGAGGTCGGATGAGCGAGTCTCTGCTTCTTCAGCGCGCTTCTCGGCTTCGTTAAGTCGTGCAAGGAGCTGTTCGCGCTCGGTGTCGTTGCGCGCTAGTTCAGACTGCACGTCCTGCAGCAGCTTCTGCACTTCCTCCCCCTTCGTCTTCCAGTCCGCCATCTGTGACTCGGCATATTCGCGAGCCGAGCGCTCTTCACGGAGCGTCTCGTGCGATTCACCTACGCGACGCTCAGCGTCGGATACTGCTTTGACCAAAGACTCTACCTGGGCTTCTTTGCCAGACAGGCTGGCGGTAAGTGAGGAAATTTGAGACTGGAAAGTGGATTTCAGGGATTCGAGTTCCCGGATCGTAACAGTTGGGACGGAGCGTGGTGTGGGCGGAGGAGGCAGTTCAAAGTCGAGAAGATTGAGCAGTTGGCGGTTCTGGCCTGGAGTAGCAGGGACGTATGTTGATCCCCCTTTAACGGGCGAGCGCTGGTTTTGGTAGAAGGAGAGAAGATTTGGTTCAGTGGTGGATTTGGTCGGAGACTGACGTCCACGCGAAGGTGATCCGCGGCGGGAGCTTGAGAAGGCCTCGAATTGCGCCGTGAAGTCTAGAAGTAGATGGGTGGTATCATTCTCGTTGCGCGTCGTGCGCGAGCGGCGCGGAGTCGGAGAGGGTGTTCGTTCGGTCCGACGGACAGTTGATGGGGTCATTTGGGCACGAACGCGAGGGGTGGCCTACGTAGGGATTAGCGCTAGAACATTGAAATAGGTGCGCATGCCTCACCTGGTCGAGCAGGCCATTCTTCGTTGGGCTGTTCCGCAACATAGCGAACTTGGTCATATCCACACCTGGCATCTCGGAGAACGCGCTGAAGCAGGTGTCATCGACGTCCAACGACGAAATCTCCGGTCCATCAGGATTAAATTCCGACTCTTCGATGCCGGTATCATCGAGCTCGAGGCCACTACTCTGCGACCGATGGGTGGTGAACACCTCATGGCTCTCACTGCGGTTCTCCATGATCCTCATTGCAACGGTCAAGCCCTCATTATCGCGCAAGACCGGGTCCATGTGTGACGAAGAAGGGCGGTTTGGCGGAGGCGGCATCAGCTCGTGCGCGGTGTTGTGGTGTGAGGCCGGAACGCGCTGAGCCGACTCGACAGAAGCGTTGCGAGACGACTTTGAGGGCGAGCGATTGCGCGAGCGATTGCTCATGGAGGATTCGGGTCGCTCCATTGCAGCAGGCTGCTTGATCGGAGAGCCCTTCTTTGGGCTCGCATGGCTTCCATTGCTCACTCTCAATGACCCATCTTCAGACTCGTCCATCAACTTCTTCGAAGGCGACAATTTTACAGGGCTCGTTCGCTCCTTCAGTCCAGACTTCTTTTCCGGCGAGACCTTAAACGCCGACTGAGGGATATTTTCGTCGAAACCAATCGATACCTTGGCAGGTGTAGCGACGAAGGTAACGGTAGGAGCGACGTTCTCCTGGTCTTCGTGGTCGATATGCGATATAAAGGGCGAGGACGGAGGGTCGTGCCAGGTCATATCGATGTCGTCATTAGGGATAGAGCTGGAAGCAGCATTAAGCTTCTCCGGGGAGAGGGTTGACATTGGCTCGGCCATGATAGCGATTGCGAATTGTCGATGCTGAAGTTAGTGTTGTGGTGAGGTGGGCAAAGCGGTCTCGTTTGTTGACATGTTTAGTTGTTTCCTAATCAGGCTTAGGGTTCGCGCTATTCCCCATCCGGCTCGCCCGTTTCACCGATCCAGGTCTCGACGTCGAAAACGACGCGCAACCAACATCAGATTCGCAACCTTGGAGTCCCAGCAGCCCAGGCCCGAAGATCTTGATAGGAGCCGTAATCAATATCTACAGCCCTGTGCACACGTGTCTGGGACAGCATTCGAAGCCATGCACACTGGCATTACTCAACGTGTGAATGCAAGTCTGCAGCCAGACTTTTCAATATTCCCTGAAAATGAGTTACACTATCTGCAAAATACCCTGTTAGTGGCGGAGCCATGAGAAACACCAGACTCCATTGGCATCTATATGTTCACTTCTAGATGGACGCGCCGTAAGCCCATACCAACGCCAATGCGATGCTTCCAATTCAGTAATTGATCGCGCCTCTTAGCGCCGCGGCCAATCTCTGATATTCCTTCAACAATTCATCAACCTCCTTCAGCTTCAAATCCTGCGCATCCTTAGCCTCCAAAAAGCGCTTCACAGGTGGTGTCGTCTTCCTCAGCACCTCAAGCGCCGCTACTGCTCTTGCTCCTTTCTCATCCACCTGAGGCACTTCGCCTGATCCAGACCGATTCGTCGGTGGCGTCGGTGGCAATTGCTTGCCCTGTTCTAAGCTCGGTGTGGCGGCCGCAGGGGTACTCGCACTGCTGCCGGTTGCACGACCAAACCTAGGTAGGACATTCATATTCGCGAAACGGTTTAGCGGGTTCAGGCTGTTGCCCATATTGCGGATGGAATCAACGGCAGACGTATTTGCCTGTGGATGGGGGTCGGTTTTCGTATATGCCAAGGTCGGCCTTTGATCATTTGACGAGGCCGTGAAGGCAACCCGTTTGCCGCCATTGCTGCCGCCAGACTGAGTCGAGTCCACACTACGGTCTCGAATCGGCCGTCTGCCGCCAAAAATGTCGGTCATCTTGGCACCCAGATCCTTGTGCTTATCATCGTGGCGATCCTCGTCCATGATCGAGCTCGCAGCGCTCACACTAGCGATGTCGTCTTCGCCATCGATACGAGGTGGCTGGTTGACCAGCTTCCTTGCGTCTTCCAGAGTCTTTGGCAGAGCAGGTTCCTGGACCGGGCTGTTTGGGTCCTTCTCCCTCATCCTGCCAAAAAGGAACTTGAAGCTGGTGTCCACTGTGTTGTTGATTCGGCCCAGAGCCTGCTCGGCAGAGTCAAGAATAGAATCGCGGACGGCATCTGAGGCAGCTTCGATACGGTTCGTCTGCGCTTGAATGAGGTTGCTCAAGCGGCGCTGAGCTTTTGTCGAAGGGCTTGGCGGCGGATTTCCCGCAGCGGTCTTCGTGACTGGTGTTGCCGGAGTTTGAGTGAAGTCCGGGACTTGAGCTAGGCCTAGTGGCATGGGAGTAATCTCTGACCTTGGAGTCGATGGTCGCGACGAAGGTCGTTCGGGGGCAACAGGCTCATCAGCCCTGAGTGATGAGAGGTCAACTGTCTCCAAGAAAGAAACGGCAGCTTCAAGGTTGACGAGGCAGTACGCCGTTTCGCCGTCCATGCGGCTGGAACCACGGAATCTTTGGATGAACTTTAGATCGCTGATCACGTTAAGGTCGGACGGAGGCAAGGTGATCAGGGTGAATATCAAGGTCGGTAGTATCTCGTCGGCTGACGAAGAGGCCGGGAAGATCTTCGACAGGGCTTCGACGATGGACTTATGTGCCGCTGTGAGATGATGTAGCTTTCCCAGGGGATATCTTTCTCCGTTCATCTTCTGAATGTCGTCTCTGGCAGAAGAGAGCCACTCCCTGATCTCGCCTTCCCTGTCCTTTGTTTTCTTGCGCTCCTCTTCCGTGAGTTCTTCCGCGCTCATCAAAAGCTCTTTCAGGCCGATCCCCACGAGCGACAAGGCAGCAGTGCGTGACCGAAGCTTGTGGTCCCTTTCCTCGTCGTCGGTGCTCCGATGCCGCCATATCCTGTAATACACTTTCTCGCAAACGGCCCGCTCCACCGCTTCTTCCAGGGCAGCACGCTTGACTTCCAGCAGTCTCCTCGCTTTCTTCCGGTCCACCATTTCTGTCGCACTGAGCATCTGCTGCTCGCCGGCTGGGTCGCTACCAGACCGTATCGAGGCTGGTCTGCTAGATGCCGCTGTCTTCTTGTACGTGTCACTAGTCAAGCGGGCAGACAAGGTAGCGATGTGGGTGTTGATCTTGGCCGAGGCACGATTGTAAAACTCTTGGAAGAGCTCTGAGAGGGCGTCGGCGGACAACGGGCTCGGGTGCACTTTGGCAGAGAGCCCCTCGAGGAACCTGCGGTCTCGTCAACTTTCCACTTCGCCGCCCTGAGGCCTAGGGTGAACCATGCGGTACCTCTCGGTCAAGCTCCGAATTTCTATGGGAAGCTCCTCGAAGCTATCTGGCGATCTCGGCTCTTGTACGGTCTCTCCCTCGTCATCTTCCTTTGATGCGAATACGTCGGCGCCGACTCGTCCATCTTCGTTTTCTGGGCTCAGCGTCTCCTTCAATGGGTCTAGTATGTCGGGGACTGGAGGTCCCTGAAGCGTGCTTGCACGACTGCGGGAAAGCGGGCTCTTTGCTTGGGTCGACTCGAGACGAGTAAACGACTTCGAGGTATGCAGGTTCCTAGGTCTTTCCGCCATCTTGCTTAGGGAGAATAGTGTAAGGAGAGGGAGTCTAAGAGGTCGTGTGTCCTCATCGGCCTTGCACTCCGTAAACAGCGACGTGGTACCCGCTGATGAGCTCGAGCCTTCAGCGTCATGCGGATGGTGCGGCGACGGTGGCTGCTGTGTCTCGAGCCCAGGGTCAGCTTAGCCAGAACACGTCCGCGCAATTCCGGATGATTGCGCGGTAAGCACGAGGAAGAGAGAGCGATACGTGACAAGCACACGGGCGCGTGAATTGCTCAGGTGAATGCCCCCCAGGGCTCTGGGATCCCCTATCGGGAGGCTAGCTGCTAGCGGCAAGCGCGACCCTCCTCTCCGCAATCATAGGCCGCGCAGCGCCGCGTGCGCCGCATGATCCCGTGAAGCAGCCACGCAGCGTCATCCATCCATCGCCCGCTGTCAACATCACCACCAACACCCTTGAGCATCGGCTCCTACGATCCCTCCGACTTCGTTTCTCCTTTGCGCTTTCAACATGCGACGACGACGTACTTGCGCCTCTCCGAGCCGCGTGACAGCATCTCTGCTGCTTTCATTCCTCGCCGTGTCCAGCGCCATAGAGCTGCCTCTCGTCCCACCCGCCCCGATCTCGCCAAAGCCCGACGGTGCCCCAGTGAAGGAGTTCTCTCTCAAGCACATATTCCACCATGGAACATACAAATATCCAGAGCTTCATCGGCGGCTCGATGTGCCCGAAAAGGCGCCCGTCTACATGGCCGGGGACGAAGATGCGCAGCGCGAACCCGTTCCCCCGCTACGTGCAAGGTCCGAGATCATGAGCATCCAGAGGCTGGCAGACAGAAGCAAGGAGACAATCGATGGTATTTTAGACTGGGGGCGAATGACTGGGAAGGCGGTGCAGCTAGCCGCTGAAGACTGGACGGTCGATGAGATAGCGGGGCCCAATGTGTCCGACAAGGAGACCGTGTTAAGCTTCGCACGGATGGCTTCAAACGCCTACATACTCGAGCCACATACTGGGGACTGGGAAGACGTAGGATGCGGATTCAACTATACTGAAGACTTTGGCTGGGAACAGGACGGGCTGCGCGGCCACATCTTTGCCGATACCACCAACTCCACTATCGTCATCGGCCTAAAGGGGACCTCGCCCGCCCTATTTGACGGCTCCGAGACGACCACGAATGACAAGCTTAATGACAATTTATTCTTCAGCTGCTGCTGTGGACAAGGCGGGCAGTACTTGTGGAGGCAGGTATGCGAGTGTCAGACAGCAGCGTATACCTGCAACTCCACCTGCTTAGTCGAAGCACTTCAAGCCAAGAACAGATACTATTATGCGGCACGAGACCTCTACCACAACGTCACCGGCCTCTATCCGAACGCGGAGGTATGGATGGCAGGACACTCTCTTGGAGGCGCCGTCTCTTCGTTCCTTAGCCTCACCTATGGGCACCCGACCCTCACTTTCGAAGCCGTCCCCGACGCCATGCCGGCATCGCGACTAGGCCTTCCAGTTCCGCCAGGCCACCAGGTCGGTGCGCTTCAAAAGCGCGAAATGACAGGAGGTTTCCATTTCGGACATACAGCTGATCCCGTCTACATGGGAACGTGCAACCAAGCGAGCAGTATGTGCACACTAGGTGGTTACGCCATGCAAAGCGTTTGTCACACCGGAAAGAAATGCGTCTATGACACCGTCAAGGATTTTGGCTGGCGTGTAGGCATTGGCACACACAAGATTGTCAGCGTTATCAAGGATGTGCTGGAAAAGTACGACGAGCCGGCGACATGTGAGCCATATGTCAACTGCACCGACTGCTATCCTTGGGAGTTCTTTGAAAGCAATGGTACGGATAGGACAACGTCCTCTATAGTTGCTACCTCGACGTCGACATTGACCAGGACACGGACCGAGACTTGCAAAACACCTGGTTGGTGGGGATGCCTCGATGAGTCAACTACCGGGGAGGCCTCGACGACGATGACGACGACGACGGCGACGGCGACGACGACGACGACGACAATGAGCACATCGACTTGCAAGACACCAGGATGGTTTGGCTGCAAGGACGATATCACAACTACAAACAAAGCAACCCCAGCGCCGGCTCCTGCACCCACAATTATAACAACAACCTCCTTGTCAACTCCATCGTCAACGTCCAACTGTAGGCATAGGGGTTGGTTCGGAGGCTGCAATGACCCTACTGATCCTCCTTCTACCTGCTCCACCCCGACTCCTTCTTCTACTTCAACATCGTGTACATCAAAGGCTTGGTGGGGGTTGATATGCTATGATGGCTCCAAGGACTCAAAGGCTAGCGAAGGGGCACCTGTCATAGAGAGGATTGAGATGTGATCAGACGTTTTGCACATTCGAATCGATATTTCCTCTCCAACTGAAACCTTTGATATAGCACTGGGTTAAGGTATGATCCGTACACGCATGATGTCTGGCGTTTGGATTCATGGGGCGCTTAACTGGCATGACCGGCGCCCTAGGTTGGAGCGAATCGCCGTAGCATAGCACAACGTATCCATATCACATGAGAGTCAATAGCCCAAATGGACATGTGGAAGGAGTACTGTGTCGTGACTTCCGGCCTGCAGCCAATCACAGCGCTTTGAGTTCCGGTAAGGTGGGGAACAACACAGCTCCCGCAAGCTTCCTAAGCTTCCCAGCCTGCCACCCTCCGCCCGCGTATGCCTGCAGATTCGCCCCAAAGCTTGCCCTTTGGTAGACATTCATTCAGCTGTTGCATGCCTCAGGTGTTACCGTCCAGCCTCGTCTCCTGACCCCGATTTCAGCCTCCTTGAACGCAAGGCTGCCTTCAGGTATGAGTCGGCGGGCTGGTCTACATCACTTACTGCGGGGTCTTTTGCAATCTTTCTGATTGCACCGGGTTTGGTTCTGTTGGTATCGATATCGCTATCAGGCTGTGGAAGCGTAAGGAAGCCAGGAATTGAGCATAAACGTGCAACTGGGTGAGTCTGGGTTCTCGTTTGACGGCACGTGGAACGCGTATTGGCGGCTCTGACAGTCTTCTCTTACTCTGAGCGGTACACGGGATGGGAGAAGAACCAGTATGATCCTTTCTCTTACCTCGCTCTTGCCAGGACTATCTTGGGTAGCGGGTATAGACGACTCGCCTGTCCTTCTCGCTGCGTTCCGCTTCGGACCCCACCAAGAAAAGACTGACATTACTACAAGGCATAGGATACCTCCTACACAGTATCGCCATGTCGCTAGTTAGTCTTCCCGCCGAGCTCGTACGCCAGATCCTCCACACCCTAGACCCCACGTCCTTCTACCTCTGCCTTCAGACCAGCAAGCTGTTCCGGGAACATGCCCTCGCCTCCAAGGCCCTCCTCTTCGATCAACTCCTGCGGATACCCGGGCCGCGCCTCAGAGAACCATACACCACTTATAGCGCAGAAAGCCTCATAAGGATATTCGGCATACGCGCTACGCAGCACCTAGCCATTGGCGCGCCATGGATGGCAGACCGGCACATATGGCGCGCGTCTCCTTGCATGGATAGAAAACTCAGTAAAATACTGCGCTGGAATTTGACCGAAGAAGACGAGCATTGGCTCGGTATAGAAAGAATTACCCCGGGGCCGCTTTCTCGGAACAGACTGATTTTTGCGGAGGTTGTAGCCTACGGGGCCGTGAACATCTTTTCAATCCGCAAATCTCACAAGGATGACCCGGGGGGCTATCGTCCCATGTTGGAGCACGCCATCTCCCAGGACAGTTTGACCCAGTATCTGCCGCCGTATGGATCGGGGTCGGATCTTGTCCACACCTACCGGGTCGTCAAGGTGGCTGGTTACAAGTCATCTCACCGCAATCCCCCGTTCGGCTCTAAACTGGCGGTTCTATACAGTCCAATATTGGGAATAGCCTCAGGGCTTCCCGGTGCCTCCTACTGGTCTAGGCTATTATGTTTCCGACTGGATTCCCAATTCGGCCCTGTGGTGATCGACACATTTGACATCGAAACCAACAAGGGGGAATCTGTGGCCGCAATGGCTGTCGATTCAGACGGTAATCCTGTTATAGCATTTCGCTGCTTCGAAAAAAGTATGGAGGGCTATAGGGTATATACGTACAAGAATGTCGAGGATGAACTCACGCTGGAACGACGCACCATGCGCAACCCTGAGGAAGTTGGGCCTCTCTACCCGCTAGCCCCGGAGCGCATAGCCGACATCTCTATCCAGGGAAAGGCTATCCATCTCCTTCCGAACACGATTCCAATGCCCCATTGGACAACGCACAGCCCTATCCCTCCGCAGGGCATCCTAGAAACCATGGCCCGCCGCGATACATATCTCCCAGACGTCGTCGACATATTTCCCAAGCAGCCCCTCGGCAGAACAATTGCCCACCACCATCACCACATGATCAAGGAACAGGATCTCAACGATGGGGAACCCACGTGCGTCAACGCAGCTCTCGAGCTTATGATCACGCGCGACGAACCGTACGGTCTTGCGAATCGTGTCGGCGCCTTCCTGCTCAAAGCACTGCATTACCCCGACGGCTGTAGCCACTTCAACCTCAGCGCAGACTACCCCACACTGCACCACGTCTTCGTCGCGTATCTCGCTGGTCTACCCGATTTGCACAACCTCTCGACCCTCGGGCTCATACTCGCCGTCTCCCCTGCTGCACACCGCATCGCCATCGCGAGCTGGAAAACGGTAAAAGTGTGGTCTTTAGACCCGCAAGCCTTTCTTGACCCCGAATATTCCTTGGCTGGTGGAGAGGGTGTCCCCGGCGACTACGCGTTTATTGAGGGGTGTGGGTGGCGGTATTATGATAGTGGCGCGTATGCGAGGGACTGTGTGGTGCTGGAGCCCGTCGAGTTACCGAGTGCTGGCGTGGTGTTTGGCCTAGATTTTCGAGATGAGGATGAACTTTGGGGGTGGTGTGAGCCGGGGCTTGTGAGGTGGAAGTTTGGGGTACATGCATGTGGGAGGAGGGATGAGGCAAAACTAGAGAGCGCCGGGATGGTGCAGACTTGAGCAGCTACGCTAATGGAGCGGTAATGGATAGAAGAGATCGAGAAGCGCTGCGGCGTTTTGGAAGCCCAAGGAAAGGGTATGTACGGCGCGCATTGGAATGCACTAGCAAAAAAGAGCCTACATTCTAAACTTCGCAACCAGAAGTGGTATCGGCAAAGGTCCAGCGGTTTTGAACACTAAGCAGTCATGACTAGCCTTACGTTGATTGCACGTTTGTAGATATCTATAAGTTCACACTTCCTAAAGCCTTCCAATGATTCATGTTAGGTCGAACTCCTTCAATTCTACTTAGATACCTATACGATGGGCGCAGTGAGCTATATTTCTTGAACCATACATCCTGCTACGACTATGACTGCCTAACCCGTTATTTCCTTGATTATGAGCCCAATTTATGGTACGCTGCTTCCAAGGTTTTCGAACCTTGGAAGTATGGGTCGCATCATTTGTTGAACGATTCCAACAAGGGTTGCACACCATTGAGCAAGTATGACTGCCTAACCCTTTATTTCTTCAAAGATTATGAGCCCAATTTATGGTACACCGCTTCTTCGAAGTATGGATCGCGTCATTCGTTGAACGTTTCCGACAAGGGTTGCACACAATTGAGCAAGTATGACCGCTCTTCCTCAACGTCCGCCACATCTAACCAAATTAACAGTCAGCAACCAGGAAACATTCCGCTCATAATTGGTTAGCTGAAAATTAGCTAAAGGTCACTCGCGCACAGTAGTATTTCTACTTCGCTCCGCATCCGTAGCTGTTACTTCCTCCGCTCCTATCAACTCCACGGGCTTTCAGCGCCTTCCTCATCCCAGTCTTGACTTCGCCTGCTAGAAGTTTCTCTGAGCCAGGAAACTGCTCCTCGTCTTTGTTTGTGGGAAGGTACATTCCCAGCATGGAGTCGACACCGCTGCTCTCCGGCTCTGATTCCTCTTCTCCCCCGTTTACCTCTCAGCCCGGCGGATCCATTCGTAAGACTACACACAATACCTCACAGCCATTACTACAGTCTCTTTCCAACTAGTCTCTTGCATACCGCCGCCCACGACAGCCCCCGGCGGAGCGTCCAGTCCCGCGATTCCCAGCGCCTTCCAGTATTCCACCCACTCAACCATCGAGTAGGAGATAGCCCCGCCACCAACTCCACTACTCGGCGGAATTCAGGTGAGGAAGCTATGCTTGCAACTCCCTATGAACTGGAACTAACCGCCACGAAAACGATTGCTCGGCGGAAAGCACTCGCGGACCCAAACCGCTGTACCTCCCCAAACCTTTTCCCAGCATTCATTGCCTCCGCCGGAGATCTCAGTAGTCAGCGGGGATCGGACTTCGCCATGGCTCCCTGCTTACCGTGCGGATTACCCGCCGACTATCGACGAACAGGCGGTCAACCTGCGAATTCTCAAGATGACGATGACGCTGGTTGTTGCTCTTTTCTATCTTGGTGTCGGAAGAAAACACCCGGCCGCCAATCACCGCCTCCGCGGCGGGACATTGAAGTTGAAGCCGGCCTCTCTGACGTACGGCTGGAGCATCATGTCGCTGGGTATGGGCACGACGTAAGCCTATACGGCCACAGGGTACAAGACAATATTGCTCATCAAAGCCGAAGGCACCAACTAAGACTAAAGCTCCTCGACCTCGGCGCCGGCCTCTTGAAGACCGTGGTGGGGTTTGGTACGTTGATTGCTGTCGTCAAGACTGTCGGGCCTGAGTTGAATAAGGGTGGCGCCGCAGCAGCAAATGCAGTTGGTATAGCCTATTTCGTTTTAGCATACTATCACTAATCAAAAACAGATAAAGGCAATGTTCCGTTCGTGACCGATTCCGCTGGGCGCGGCGAGCAATGGCGGACAACTGCGCTCCACGAGCACTTTTTGTTTGTGATTCTCCCGCCAATTGTCCTGGCCGTGGCGGCCCTCATCACAATCGCCCTTCATTTCTGTCGACGATGTAGACCATCCCGCCTATCCGCCATGGTTACGGCCCCCGGCGGGTCTAAGGGGGGTTTGCTTTCTGAAGTCGTCTGAAGTCTCCGCGATGGGGTTTCGTCCGCCAGCATCATTGACTTGAGGCGGACGGTGTCCCGGTCCAATTTTTTTTTCGTCCTTGTTTTAAGGCGTAGTCTCTTTAACGGCGCGTTCGATATTGGTATTGCTCGGTATTGCTCCTTTCGCTTGGGGCAGGTCTTTTGGCGGAGCCGCTTCTTACGTTCGTCTTCGGGTATCCTTATTCACACATTTATTCCCCCTCCACTTATGCTGCTACGCTGCGGCGCCAAGTGATTTCCGCTTCGTCCAAGGAGATTTGGCGGAGCAAATTTGTAGGGATTCGCCGAGCACTGAGCCCATATATACCTAGGTTGTCCAAGTTCCTTTCCTGCGCCATGACTTTGGGATTTCAATCCATGTCTCTTGCTCTCGCCCCGCCGCTCTCACAGCTGCCGGCGGATGGAAACGTCCGTACGCATCGCTTCTGGTTCTAATTTCCAAGTCTGACCTAGCCCGCTCATTTGCCTCGTTCCGCAAGGCCTAAGCTACATAATTGTCCATGTGAGTTCTGCGCCCGGACGAGGGAGTTCGATAACTCCGCCGCCCAACACTCCCCTTGGCGGACTGCAGGAGAGATACCTGATTACAAAATCCAGCCTACTCGTTGCTTTGAATACACACATCCATGCTCGAAGTGCTGCTTCAAGTAGACGCGACACCGAAGACGAAGACGAAGACGAAGACGAAGATTAGGGGTTTTAAAGTGAAGTTCTAGAGAGTGCAAAATAATGCAGACTTGAGCGACTACGCGAATAGAGCAGTGGTGGACAGAAGAGATTGAGAAGCGCCTCAACGTCTTGGAAGCTCAGGGGAAGAATATTCATGGTGCGCGTTGTAAATGTTCTTGCAAAAAGCTGCCTCTTGCGGTAGGGAATTCTCCAGATCTAAGGGCTCGCCGTACAAGTAAGTAAGATTAGCTCGTCTATTGTACGCACCCGCGAAGACCTCCAGGGTAGCCATTGCGCACGTCGTGCTATCGGGAGAATTCTACACCGTGAGAGGCTGCCTACATTCCAAACTTCGCAACCAAAACTAGTATCGGCAAAGTTTCAGCGATTTCGAACACTAAACGATTGGGAGGTTTGGAGTGAAGTTTTTCATTCAATGCTTTGCTTACGTGCATACCATGCTATAATAATCACAGACCCAGACCTAGAAGACCCATGCCAATCAATACCTTACGTTGTCTCCTTGTTTACCCCCAGCCCCCAGTACTTCATGCTATATTGCTAAACTAGTTGAAAACAATGTGTCGACGCCGAAACAAGTGTGTTGTGTATTAACGCCTTCCAATGACCTGCAATGCTGAAAGCGACTCCATTGCAATGCAATGCTACGCCCCTTTAATCCAACTCTCTTCGTGAAGGTAACCGCCATGTGCAGAAGGATACCCCAGGTTCGTTATGGTCCCGCCATTGTTCCAATGCTACTCATCCCGGGCTTCAGACCATCCACTAGCTCTTCAAAGCAGATGCCTACGCCGACTTCGGATACTGCTCAACCAACCACTCTAACACGCTCTCATAGCAGAGCACAAACTGCCTCAGACTCTGCACCATGCTCAGTCGCTGCAACCGGAAATCCTCCACGGTCTTCTCGATCAAATCTAGATCCTCTCGCGTAATCCAGCTCCCCTCCTCTCTTTCAGCTGTGCTGTCTTGACTGTCCGCACTGTCCGCGCTGCCCCGTCGCTTATCATCAGTCCTCATAGGTGACCCAATTTCGATATCCATTGGCGTGCTCTGTCGCACATTGCGAACCTGCCGTTGGCGCTTCAACATGTCGATAACGGAGTCGACGGTGCAGAAGGTGCCTGTGCGTCCACAGCCAGCGGAGCAGTGAACCAGCACGGGACGGCTGTTAGGTGGATCAGGGCGTGAGGGTGAGCCTCCGTTGACCTGTCTGCAGACAGCGTCGCATTGCTCGATGAGTCCTAACAGGTGAGTTGGGTGTGCAGGAGCACCGAAATCGGGCCAATTCGAGTATTGAAGCTGCGTGATCTCTCGCATCCGCTCAAAGGGCTCTGCGGAATTCGATAGTGTAAACTTCCGTACAGTGACGTAGGGTTGTTCAGAGCTGGGCGAGGATGAACTGGCTTGTCTGTCCAAATCTGCGGGCTTTGGCGGGTTCGTAGCTCTGCGTTGACCCAGCGCCGGTCTCCATTGCTCGCGATGCCTATAGATTTTGGAGGGCTCAAGAGACGCTCTACGCTCTCCGAGCGGGTTCAAATGCAAGTGGCCGTACTGCTTGCCTGACCAGTAGTTGTGCGCCTTAAGCTGGCCACCCTCCTGCTCGGCGGTAAGCATGACGATCACGCGAACGTCTTGTTGCCACACCACGTTCCAGAAATCCTGTTTGAAAGGTTAGCTATGGCCTGAATTCGAAGGCAAGGGTAGATTTACGTTAAAGGTGGCCGGTAGCGGGCCTTGTGTGGCAATGTATCGCTTATTCGAGTAAGATGCGTGAATGTGATTCGCGTTGACGTAATCGCATCCACCGTCATTAACACCCTGCAATTTGACCCGGGAATGCTCGTACGGCCAGATGCTATTGTAGCGATTCTTGGAACCCTTCTCGATGCCTGCAATCTGGATGCACTTGGCTGGATCCTGCCCAGTTGTTGGCGTGCCGTAGACGACCTTGTCAGACAGAGCTTCCTGCATTCGCTTCTGCTCGCGTTTCTCAATCTGCAGGAATTTGTCCGACACAAGCTTGCCGTTGTCCTTTGGGTTGACTGCTCTCTGTAGCCACGTGGGAAGCTCTTCCGCTAACTGCTGGGTCATGGTCGCCGGGTGTTTTATGGGCATCTGGCCCACACCACCAATCAGATCCATATTCTGGCGAATGTTGCCAAAGAACGGATTCGCTGCGTTCTGCGTTGTTGGCATAGGACATCCTCCGATAACGGGGGCAACCGAGGGAAGACCGGACTCAATCTGAATGGAGGATGGTGGAGAATTCGAAGGCTGAGTTGCTCCTTGGGTTATCCACGAAGGGAACTTCTCCGCAAATTCTTGGAAACCTCCTCGAACAATATAACAACCGCCTTTCCATCCTTCGCTGGTGAACTTCTTCAGAGTATTTATGCAGGTTGCGGCATCTTTGAGTTGCGAAGAATTAGCGTCGTAGACAACGATATGCTTGCTACTCCTCCATCGTTCGAACTTTTCCTTTTGCTCATCGTCCTTGAACGTATCGGCCAGTTTCTGTACGTTGAAAGATACGCGCTTGAGGAGGGTAGTGGGAATGCAAAGGCTCAGAGCGCCCGCTATGCGAGCCTTTGCATATTGCGTAGAGACGCGAAGATCTAGCAACAGGACTTCTTCCACCGCGGACTCGAGTATGTTGACGACATATTGCGGGGTCACCATGGCCGGTCCTTCGGACTTACTCTCATCGTTAAGATGTGCTGGGAGGGTTTCTGCCCTGTGATGAGATGAAGAAACGGGATTGGCCGACTTCTTAGGCGGTAATGATGGTCGGAAGTTTCTGTCCTCTGCGAACTCGGCCAACTCATCGGTTCGTCCATACCCCTCCTGATCCAGGAAGCTGGCAGGCGAATTCCGCCGGGGACGGTCAGGGAACAGGGGAGATTCCGTTGATAGCAGCCGCTTTGGTGAGCGCGGCTTCTCTGTGGTTTCGGTCACATCCTCCTTCTTGTCTTCGGACTGCTCCGTGGCACTTGCGGGTGTTGTCATGGACTGAGGAGACAGCGGGGGCTTCACGGTCCCGAATGGCGAGCCTTTGGGAGGTGGGAGGGCAGGTCTGGCAAAACCGAAGTTGCCTAATGCAAAGCCTCTATTGTTCTCCGACTGCCGCCTGAATTGCTCAAATTCCGGATTCTGGTCTACAGGAATGACTCGGGGGGACGCGGCGGCGGTTGAGCGCACATTCGAGGACGGGGGGCTCCAATTGCCGCGTATGTGCTGCGCAGCACTGGATGAGAAGACGTCGGCTCTCGGATCGACGGCCAGGCCAAAGTAGTTGGGGCTGGGGGTCCTCGGGTCCGGGTCGACATTGTTGGGCGTTTTGACCTCGTTCATGCGGCGTGTGGCTAGAGGAGCAGAGGAGACGGGGCTTCGCGATGCGCTGGGTCTTGTCTTCGGGGTGGGTCTCGAGCGGGACTGCGTCGAGCGCGAAGACTCGCGCGGTCTGGGAGAAAGCGCAGGCGTTGACATTGTTACGGCGCCCGGAGGTGTCAGCTGGAAGGGCGCAATGCCGGCGACGGCTGTATAGAGTCGGTAGGATATAGGGTCATGAAATGGAGGAGCTGTGGTGGCGTCGAGTCGCGTGAATATTGAGGAAGTGGTGGTTGTGTGGAGGCAGGGGGCCAGGGCCGTTACGCAGGTCAAAGAGAAAGCTGAGAGTATGATGTCACTGGGAGGCGCAAGACACAGGAGGGCGATGACAAACGCACAGAATGCAGCCACAACCACAACGGCAGAGCGTCAACTGCGGCCGAATGTTCGAGGAGTGCTGAGCGATGGCGATGGTGCCTCTGCCGTGGGCGCCGGCGTGTTTCGTGCGAGCAGCCACTTGCGCCGTGGGCTGGGCCGGTTGTCGTGAGCCCTGGGGGCTCGCTTCCGTTGCGAAAATGCAGGGACCGAAGCCAGCGGAACCAAGCGACGAGCACGGTGCCCTGGACGGACTTGGGTGCTTTGGGTGCGCTTGACGTGGGGAGAGGCGGATTATTCTGACAGTGCGAGGGAGGGGATCGAGAGGAGCAGGAGGATCGCAAAATTTGGACTGAGTGATCGCCGGCTCTCCGTGTCATCGCTCCGCCTTGTACTTGGACTGTATGGCGCAAAGGTCCAGACTGGAGTCATATCGGCAGCTTCGCCGTCTATCAAACCGCCGTCGCCCAGGTGTCGTGATGCGCCCCCAGCCCTGGAGTGCCCCCCTTGAGCCGTAGCTGATGTCAAGCCTGCTCTTCTCCGCGACGCCGGCGTGCGCTACCACGAGAACAGCACTGTCGTGGGTGGACAGCGCTCGGTGCCGGCTGACCAAAACCTGCTGTGGTGTTCCAAGAACCTGTTGCAAACCCGCTCAGCAGCAGCAGTGATGGCTTCCGAAGCCACCCCACCCTAGTCCGGACCCTGAATTTGATCTGCAATCTACCCGCCAGCACGCGGGACACGAGGAGCCTCCGTCTGCACTTTCACGCAGACAATCTCTGCTAAAAATGGCAGGTATATGAGAGAAAAGGAGCGAGAGGCATGGTTCCCTCTGCTCGTGGGAGGAGTTTGTGCATCCATCGCGTCCCAGCCTGCCGACGTTTCGAGAGACGAGCGTGCAGCCCCCGCTACACCGTAACTTCTAGGCACTTGTTGAGACACGCCATCCTGGAGCGGTTGCCAGCCAATGGCGGAGGCCTGGACACGAGGGCAGCTGACAGATAGAGTCAAGACAAGATAATGGCAGGACTCGGAAGCCGGCATTGAAGCGAGAGTGTCGTGACATCTTCCATACAGTAGCCATGGTGCGGCTATGCGGTCGGGTACAGTAGGTCTGCAGGCCAAGCCGTCACCCCCTGTCTCTGCATTCCAAGCTTGCTTGTCTTGCAGTCCCGACTTCTACCCGTGGACGTCCAATACTGCTCGAACGACTCTTAGCTTGCTTACAAGTCCAGCCCTACTGAAGAGTATGAATGGTCACGTGGGCTCGCGTGGTCGCGCCCGCGATCCCCAATCTTGGGAACCTTCCCCGCGCGCAAGTCGCAACTTTAATCCGACAACCTCAGCACATGCCTCCACCTCCACTCCCTTTCAACTTCTTCGTGAGGATCTAGGACATAGTTCATCATCTCAAAATCCACAATGCAACGCAACCGCGACGATTCTCCCCCGGCCGACGCCAACTATGACCACGCGCACCGCGCCTTCCTCCAGGCCTTCCTCTCGCAATCCGTCATGACCGTCGACGAGATAAGGCCCATTCTCGCGAAGATAATGACAGCGCATCGTACGTCCTTCCTTGTGCGGGCTAACCCCCTCAATTCCGCTTGCAAAAAACGCAAATTCCTAATCTCCCATCGAATGCTAACCTCCCAACACAGACCCCGACCGCCCCAGAATGGACGGCGACATAACCCAGCAAGCCATAACCTCCATGGTCCAAGCCGTCAACGCCAAAATCTCCCCTCTCGACTACGAAATTCGCTCAGCAAAAGATCAGCACACCAATAACACGCTGACCTACGCCCTCGTAAACACCACGTCTGACGCGCTCACACAGCTCGCAACGACCTTCACCGCCGACCAGATCGCATACATAAAACGCCTTCTCGACGCTATGTTCGATGAGAATAACACCAGGAAGAGGGAAGTCATGGCGGTTCGGTCGATGCGAGCGATACAGCTGGCCAAAGCACCGCGAAGAGACCGGCAGAGCCAGGCCGGCGGAGATGCAGACGCGACACAGCTGGAAGCCAACGTGAAAGGGATCTCGCAAATCGAAGCAGACACCGTCCTCGCGACGCTCGTATCGCAAGGCTTCTTCCACAAGTCGCGGCATGAATACTACTCTCTCGCGCCCCGCGCGCTTATGGAACTGCGTGCCTACCTCAAGGAAACGTACAACGACCCGCCGGCGGAGGACGATGACGAGGACTCCGAGCCCACTATACGCATCAGAGACTGCGAGGGATGCAGGGAGATCGTAACAGTGGGGCTAAGATGCAGTAACAGGAACTGCGACGTACGCTGGCACGACAGTTGCGCGACGCAGTATTTCAATAGCCAGCAGCGGAACGCAAGGAGATGTCCCAAATGCAAGGCAGATTGGACGGGCGACCAGTACGTCGGCGAGAGAGCGGATCGGACGCAGAGCAGGAGTAGCACAGGAGGCAGGAGTTCAGTCGCTCAGCGGATGAATGAAGACGAGGAGGATGATGAGGATGAGTAGAAAGAAATAGGCAGCTTGAGCAAGTAGGCGGGCGGCGGGCGACTTGGACCAGAAGATACCCAGCATTTCATATCCGATCCGAGCGCAGAGCGTCTCTATCCCGGAGCATTCAAATCCACAAATATCGCCCTGATAGCTCCGCGCCAGCTTCGTCTCGGATTTACCACCATCATCCCGTTCGCAAGCCCCTCCTCCCGTCTGGTTCTGCTCTCCTTCCTCAACCCGTTTCATCCGTTGCATCTTCGCCGACTCGGCGTTTCGTTTCGCCAAATAAGCACCGGACGCGGGTCCTTCCGAGTTAGAGTGCTCTAATTCCGACGAACCTTCCTAACCACGTGCTTGCTAAGACGAATTGTCCGATAAGAAACCCCTACTGTACGGCGGAGATATCTGTGCGGGGGACGCGGAGTTGGTGGGTCTGCAGGTGGAGGCCCTGCAGATATCTCGGGTTGGAAGCTCACGGAAACGATCAAATGCGAGATTAGCGAGAACAGAGGTCGAAGTGATACGCGGACAGAATCTCCATGGATGTTTGCTGAGATAAAATATTCTCGTTGTGACAAGGCGATGGTGATGGTGATCATCGTGCGATATTGATATTTGTGCACTATAAGAATAGAAAGCAATGCTTCGCTGAACGCCAAACGCAAGTCTAACCCCCGTGATGTCCGTTCATAAACCCAGGCACTATATCCAACCAGTGCGCTTTTGACCGATGCTGTAAGACGCCGATGCACCTCGTGATGCGAGTTATCAATTCCCATGTACGTTCCGGACATTGTTCATATAGCGCCCCTAGCACGTATACAAGAGCACTGCTATTACTAGCTCTAAAGTGGCTTTGCTAACCCTGAATACGGGGAGGTCACGGCAAGAAGTGCGAATAGTGACCTGGCACCCTCTGCCTGCACTTTTCGCAGTCATCTCGATACCCCATGCTGAAGCGGGGCATGCCCGTGAGTGCGCCGCTCCGTTTCCGGCCTCGAGTTGGCGTTGGGGCCGTCGGCTGTGCCATTTCTGCATCCATTCTATCAGACGACGTCACACTGAGACGTGATAGTTGCGACTGCGTAAGAGCGGTCGGCGTGTCTGGAATATCCTCGTCCTCAGAGATGGGCGATGGCATGCGACGGCTCCGATCCTGGTCCGCCTGGCTGCTCTGCTGCCGTACCGGTGGTGGCCTCGTCGCCGGTGTATTGCTGGACGGTGCTCCGAGATATCCATTGCTCATGCTCATGCCCCCCGCTAGGCCGCTGCCCGGATACCCTAGCCCGCTCATAGCACCTGTGTGGAAGTTGGGATATATGGGCGTCGGTATCCGACCAGTGTTGTTCGCGGCGGGGTCCCGGCTGAAGAGGTCTGCATTCAGTTTCGCTGGTCGGAAGTTGGTGGTAATGAAGGGCGAGTCTGGGGGCTGACTGGCGATCACATCCGGGTCGTCTTCGTCCATTTGCATCGCGTAGTCCATATCGTTCTGCGGCGAGAATAGAAGGGGCAGATCGTCATGAATGGAGGCGGGCGAGCCTGCTTCGCTGTGTTCCGACTCCTCAGGCGTCATTGCCCCCAGATTTGGCACCATCTGCGGTGGCGAGGGCGTGATGGAGGGCCGCAGAGGGAGGTGCGCACGCGAGGGATAGTGCGACTGTCCATTGTGTTGTTGGATGCTCCACGATCGAGATTTCTACAATGTTCGTCAGTCTCAGTCTCCATGTTTCCAAACGACTATCACCAAACGCACCTTCAGATAGCGCTCGTCTTCAGAATCTGAATCGTCCTCTCTACGCCGCTTCGTGTTCATGGTCTGAAACGCTAACATAGTCGAGTCGCGCTATAGCGGAGGATATGTGAAGGGCCCGCGTGCTCAACACGCTGAACAGGCTGAACGGAGAAAGGGCCAGGTCGGTCGAACAGATTGGTGGAAGATTGTTGTGAGTTGGAGGGTGCCGTCGAAGCGCGGTGTGCAAGTTGTTTTGTAACAGAGATGCAGGAGGGGAGCGGATCAGGGGAAGCCGCGACCAGCTCTGGCCGTTTCAGATGGCCGAGGCGGCGCACGAAATTCACGGCTAGCCGGCGAGTACCCGCGCGCCACAGCGTGTGCAGCCACCAGGTCGAGGCTCCGGTGCTGGAGAGCGTCTGCAGGTGAGATTGCGGAGGCCGACTGCGTGCAGTGATGCGGCGTGTTGGCCGAACTGCCGTGGTGTTGTGGCTGGAGACGGTCGACATCTCAGCCCTGGGCGACGAGGCTTGGTGTTTATCAAATGAGGGGGTCAGGCGGCCATTGGGCCGTACGAGCTCGCCCATGATAGAAGCATTGCTGCTATGTTTGATGCATGAACAAGTCGTCCAGAACCGGAGCGCGCGAGTCCCGTCTACGTGCAGGTGAAGAGCGTGACGTCTGGCGAACCAGACGCAAGCAGTTGTGCGTGAGGCATGGCCCTCTTGGCGAGATCCGGGATCACTAACATAGTAAGGCGGCCAGACGGGAGCCCCACGCAGCTTAAAATTATTGTGGTCGTCGATGACTGGACCGGGCAACAGTTGTTCTCCAGCTCTTTACATACGGCAACAACCCTCTTTTCTTCACGCACTTCTGGTACCTGAGTTACCTGCAATACTTCCGAAGCGATTGATTAATTGGCCACGCCGTCCGGTTCCTGCACGCAATTGACTCCGTAGAACTTGTACCCCTCATTCTTCCCTCTCCGTGGCGCGGCTTCGAGCACGAACTGTCCTCTCAGCCTGTAAGACTCACCGCAAATCAGAATCTGCCGGGGTACAGCAAGTACGTCACACAGGGGATCCGGCATGTCTTCGGAAGGGCGCGTACTAACGTGTTGCTATAAAAGTCTCGAGTCCTCACACCATGGCTCCATCGGCCGAGCCCACCACAACCAGCATGCCTTCCGCAGAGCCAAAACACGCCAGCGACGATGTGCGCGGTAAATCCTCTCTCCAAAGACACCAAGAAAGAGCGCCATGCTGATATGACTCCTACCAGTCCTCGGCTACGACCCATTGATCCCGCCTGCGCTCCTCTCCTCCGAAATCCCAATAACTCCCAAGTCGGAAAAGACAGTCCTGCAGGGCCGCAAAGAAGCCGTCCAGATCATCACCCAGAAAGATGACCGCCTCCTCGTCATGGTCGGGCCCTGCTCGATCCACGACCCCGAAATGGCCCTCGAGTACTGTCGGCGGCTGAAGGCCACAGCAGATAGACTGAACAAGGATCTCCTGATCATAATGCGCGCCTACCTCGAGAAGCCGCGGACGACGGTCGGCTGGAAGGGCCTCATCAACGACCCGGACATCAACGAGAGCTACCAGATCAACAAGGGCCTTCGCGTCTCGCGCAAGTTGTACAGCGACCTCACATCGCTCGGCATGCCCATTGCTTCCGAGATGCTGGATACTATCTCGCCGCAGTTCCTCGCTGATCTCATCTCGCTCGGTGCTATCGGTGCGCGCACTACGGAGTCACAGTTGCACCGGGAATTGGCCTCAGGTCTCTCTTTCCCGATTGGTTTCAAGAATGGTACGGATGGCGGCCTGACAGTGGCTGTGGATGCGATTGGAGCTGCAGCTGCGAAGCATCACTTCATGGGTGTGACAAAGCAGGGTCTTGCCGCAATCACCAGGACGAGCGGGAACGAGCATTGCTTTGTTATTCTCCGCGGCGGAACGAAAGGGACCAACTACGACAAGGACAGCATCAAGGCGGCCAGGGAAGCTTTGAGGAAGAAGGGCCAGGCCGAGGTCATGATGGTTGACTGCTCACATGGTACGTTTGTTCCACCCGGGTGCGTAGGAGGCTACTAAGAAAAGTATAGGCAACTCCAACAAGGACCACCGGAATCAGCCCAAGGTCGCCAAGACCGTCGCCGACCAAATCCGCGAAGGCGAGACCGGCATCGTCGGCCTCATGATCGAATCCAACATCAACGAGGGCAATCAGAAGGTACCCTCAGAGGGTCCAAGCGCTCTGAAGAAGGGCGTCTCCATCACAGACGCCTGCATAGATTGGGAAACGACTGTTACTGTTCTGGATGACCTGGCCGCTGCTGTTCGGGAACGAAGAGAAAAGAAGGGCACATCGAATGGTGTCCACTAAAGAGCGATAGAACAAAAAGTGTGAAAGTGCAAAGTTCGGCAAGACAAAAAGGAGCAAAAATATCACGACTAGCATACCGATCCGGCGGAGTTGGGCTAGGCTGATTGTAGATACCAGCATATTTCTTTCATGACGAATAACATTCTCTACTCTGCATTTGAAAGCTTTTCCATTCCGTATGGTCCGCCGAAGCCGCCGAGGAGAGCCACAACGCTCAATAGAACCCTAGACCAAATGTATGCCTTCGCTATAAAGAGTATAGAACGCCCACCACTTATCGGTAATCCAAAAACCAAAAGAATCATAAGGACCCACTCGCCGCTCCCCTCAGAATGCCGCATTTCCCGACTCATGCTCCTTAATATACTCCCCACCCTTCTCCATGAAGTCGGCCCTAGTGACGAAGTTCTGTCTACTCTCCTTCTTCGCTGCCCACTGCGCCGCACCCCTCCAAGCATCCAGCACACAATCCTTGGCTCTTCGTACCCTCAACTCCTGATCCGCTGGCAGCACCGCCCTCAGCTCTGAAGCTAGCCTCTCCTCGAAGCCTTGGAACATGGTGTTCCCGCCGGTCAGGAAGATGTCTTTGAGCACGTCGTCGCGATACGGCGAGTCGGCCAAACGCTCTGTGAGGATGTTGCATGCTATTTCGACGATGCCTGCTTGGTCAAGGCCGGCGATGGAAGGCTGGAAGACTACTTCGGGGACGCGGATGCGCTCGACATTGAGATGTAGTTGATGCGCTTCTTTCTGTGACTCTGGATCGAAGGGGTAGGGGCCGTGCAGGAAGGCGTGCAGAATGCTCTTCGTCCAGTCTGTCTGCGCCTCGCGCGTGGATTCTTCCGTGAACGTGGGATCGTGTTTGAGGAGCTGGGCTTCGATGTCCTTGAGTGCCTTATTTAGATCCTCTTCTTCCTCGTCGTCAGATTGCTCGCCAGTCGCGATCGTGCGGTACACGCCCCAATCCGCGTCGTCGGCACCAAACGTATCGTCATCTGCGCCGCCTCTCCGCCTCTTCTTCGTCGGGTTATCAGATGCGAGGTTCGCGATGGATTTCATGCGCATTTGGTTGGCGAGCGACTTTCTATTCCCAAGCTCAGCTTTTAGTCGCTCGCGGTCTTTGATCTTCTGGATGATGGCTTGGCGGGCGATGCGGCGCTCTGCGCTCCAGCCTTCGATGTCTGCTTCGCGGCGCTCGTCGTCGAGGCGCTGCTCTTCTGCTAGGCGGGCTTTTTCGCGCTCTTTTTCGGCTTTGGCGCGTTGGCGCGCTTCGTAGTTGGATTTCATGAGGCGCTGTTGGCGCTTTTGCTTGAGGCCTTCTTCGTCGAGCTGCTCGTCAGGGGTATCGAGGAGAGGGAAGGTGGGTTCTTCTTGCGCCTCTTCTTCGACGTCGCCGACGTCCTTGTTTCGTGCTTTTTTGATGGACTTTTCGAGTTCGCGGACTCGCTTTTCCAGCTGGGTCTCTTCGTCAAAGTCATTTGATTCCAGTATCCGTTTCGCCTCCTTCTTTGTCACCGTCTGTAGTTGTTCATGAAGCTGTTGATAATACTCCAGCTCCTCCTCTTTTCGCTTCAGCTTCTCGAGTCGCATCTTCGCCGCCTGCGCTTGTAACCTTCGCCCGCTTTCCTTGCGCTTCTCAGCAGCAATCGCGAGCTCTTCCTCCGTCTTCTGCACCACGACTTGCTCGGTGTAGGGAAACTGAACTATGTGGTCGCGGTCTTCGAGGCCTGTCCACTCTAGGTAACGGGATAGTTCCTGTTCGTAGTCCTTGCTTACATAGCAATGATCGCGCACGAGGTCCTCAGCTTGTGGATCGCTGATCTTGCCCGGGAAGGCGGGATACTTCAGTCGAAGGAGTTTGAGGAGGTATTCGGCGGATTGGAAACGGCCCCAGTTGAGGCGGGTGGTCTGCGAAAGCAGCGCCTTGGAGTCGACGACGGGTATCAGGTGGGTGGAGGTGTATGATGAGGAGACGACAAGACCGTTGCGCCCGCCGTTGTACGAGTAGGAGAAAAGGGAGTCGATGCCGTATGCAACGGAGGGTGCGCCGTAGCATTCGAAGAGGATCTCGGACATGGCTATAGCACTCAAACATTAGCGCTGGGTTCTAGATGTATGCGTCAAGTTCCTCGACGGCCAATGTAATCTGTACGTACTCTTTCTTGTGTAGCCCAGGTTCGCGACAGGCTCCGTCAAGACGATGGGTCTGTCTATGCCTCCTGTCCTGCCATCGACCCCCAGCTTGATGAAGCAGTAGTCTAGCACACCCTCCATCGCGTCCCAATTGTTCACTATGTTGCTCCCGGGCTCATATATGTTCTTCGCCTGCCCTCGCGCTGTGCCGTCTGAGTAGACGTCTGATCCGACAAACGTGAAGGTTCGATTGAGCTTGCGGTCGCGGTATCTAGCCATAAGCGGCGGCAGCGATAGTCGTGGCTTTGAGTCGAAGGACCACCCCACGCGGACTGCGGAAGAGCCTGGTCGCGCTGTCAGTATCTTCTGAAAGATGAGCGCTGAGGCGTGGACAATTACCATTGTCAATGACGATGGCAGTCTCGCGATTACTGCGCGCATATCCCTCCTTATCTATAGGCTTGAAGCCCAAAAAAGGCGGCTCATTCACGCTCCATATCTTCGCCGGCGGAGGTTTGGGAGAGTTGCGGCCAGACGGGAGAGGGATGTCGGCGGTCGCGGAGGGAGCCATGGTGAGGATCTTGTCGCTAGGCGAGAAGCTGAAGGCGGATTACTTATATCATATCGCAAGGTTTGAAGTGGCGGGACTGCGTCGTTAGCGCGGAGATTATTGAGGCGTGCTACATGGCTATTGTTCTGAGGTTTGCGGAGCATTACCGCGGTCCTGGCGCCATGCCGAAACGGGCAACTACCATCTTTGAGATGCGAAACGTAGCAACCGAGCGGAGTTTTGAACAATTATTTCATTATCATCATTCTGCTCGTGATTCATGCTGACATGTCTAGCGTCTCGTTCCCGTGCTCCTCGTTGATAAAAAAACAGTGCTTATGCTGTCCTTCCCAATGCACCAAGATTGAGGCCCATTTCCATACAGCGAAATAGACCCCGGCGGTGTTCACGCCTTGTCATAGTGTATGAGACAGCCCGAAGGCCTCCACCACTGTTTGCTGTTTCCCGAGCTCATCCAGCCTCCGTTCGCTCTCTGACAGTCTCGTCACGATACGAACCCAACTCGACACGCCCAAAAACCCACGTCCTTACGCTGGATCTTTCAGTCCATTGGTAGCTAGTTGACATCAGTTTAACTCACAGAAAGATGATTGCATACCTAATTCTTACCTTCGAGGTGGAAGAGCACATTAGACTGGTAGTTCTTGAACATTTGTGACGCAAGCTCTGTGTCCATGTTGGCGAGATTGATTTCTTGCAGATTCTTGTTCAACATCATGATAGCCTCGTTGAGCTTCTCCTGCATGAGAGTCAGCGATGCTCATTGCTCGTCCACGGCGCTTTCTGCATCACCAACCACGTTGACAATGATGCGGGAGAGCAGAAGGCTCTGCTGATGTTCGTGCGGGCTCTCCTATGTATACATCAGAACCTCGCGTCATTCAGCCTTCTGATGAGAGTTATACTCACCATGCTTGCGATGCTCGATTGTGGGGTGTTGATTGCACGTGTTGTCGTGGGGCGGACCAAAACAGCCAGAAGCGCCAAGATATGTAGGGCTGCCCGCGGTCTCTGGTGATCATCTTCGTCTACAACCTTCCTACGGGGAAGCAACCACCAACGCGATTACCCCAGCGGATTCACGAGGGCGACCATATCTAAGACGAGCATTCCCCGCCTTCCTCGCACTTCTCCAAAAGCTCCCCAGGGTACAGCTCCATCAACGACAGCTCAGCATGGCACCCTTAACCGCCGCCTCCGACGAAAAGACACATCAAGCGCTCCTCGACAAGCTCGACATCTACGCGATCCCCAAACCTTTCCGCAACCCGCACTGGAAGCCGCCGCAACGCCGCAATAAGAACGTCAAGCAGATCATCGCCGATGCCTCCCGCAAGGAAGCCTCCGTAATGGCAACCCAGAACAACAGCGGCGTCTCCACGCCCATTCTCCCACACTCCGAAGCCCTGACCGGCGGTGCCACAACTCCCGTTGGGGGCGCCAACCGTCCTCCGAATATCGCACAAGCTGCACAGAGTCTGAGCACGCTCGTCCTAGAGAGGAACACTAGGGCTGCTATGGGTAGCAATGGTGCTGCGGGGCCGGCGGCTACGTACACCAATATTGAGTCGGCACCGAGCTTCCATCCTAGCAGCCAGAGGAGGTATTGCGATATCACTGGGCTCCCCGCGCCGTATACCGATCCCAAGACACGATTGAGGTATCACAATAAGGAAGTTTTTGGGACGATTAGGACGATGCCTCAGAATGTTGTAGAGGGTTATCTGGGGGCGAGAGGAGCGCATACGGTCTTGAAGTGAGCTTCATGCGCATTTTCGAGGCTCTCACGCTTCCTCAGATGCTGATGCCGAGCGCAATAGTTGAACGAGTCAAGAGCATGGTTCGCCAATCGGCCGGAGCTACAATACATCTTGCGGCCGAGGTGGATTACGAAGAAGCAGCGCAGGGAGATATGTACGGCCAACAAAGTCAAGCCCCTTCCACCCACCGCAGCTCCTTTCGAAGCAGGGCTCAAGAAGGCGCTCCGGCTTAATCGTGGTCTGAGTTCTTCTTCGCCCATGACGGGATACCAGGATCTCGGGAAGAGGATTCCTAGTTACAGCAGCATATAGCGCACTGTGGTCGGGGCGGTTCTACTGTTTTATTCCTGAGTTACGCAAGACAGCGGGAAGCCGTACGAATATACAATACGTCAATTGCTCTTCTCTGCTCTTCCTTTCCATGTGCAATGGTACGAGGTATGAAGCTGCGCTAGAGTGCTTGTGGTGCCCAGGTCGAGGGCTGAGAGACAAGCTCCCAAAATCTGCAAACTCCCGTGGAACGGTCGCGCTAGACAGGGCTTAGTGCACGGACGCTCATCGCGACTTCCGCAGCACTCCAAGGGACACGAAACAAAAAAGTTCGGGAAACCAACAGACCGGCCTTCTACATGCCACATAATACTTGACCTCTAGGCAACAGCTTTTGCTTATATCCCCCCCATCTCGGTTCTTTCACCGTTGTCTCCGAATTCTACGGGCGCATTCCGCTCAGCTGTTCACGATGCCTACAATGTGGCTTTCAGATACCCAAAGTTCGTTTTACCCGTGGGCGCAGAAGTGATTGCGATAGATCAGGACAAGACACTAATGTATATGTACAGAGATCGGGGTCGCCTTCTGCTCGGGGGGTAGGTACGCACAATACGGCGCAACCGCACGACGGAGGGATGGAGAACGACTGACACGCGACACAGGCGGCTTCTTTTTATTAGGAGGAGTAATGATGTTTTTTGACCGGGCAATGTACTATTCCTCTCGCTAGTTCTCTCCCTCTATACTCACTAACTTTTTCATCTAGGCTGGCAATGGGCAACGTGCGACTCTCCCCTCATCTATCCCTCTCCGAACCCTCCCTGACCTCCCTCTCCAGATCCTCTTCATAATCGGCCTCACCCTCATAATCGGCTTCCAAAAGACACTTGCCTTCTTCGCGCGCCGCCAGAAATGGAAAGGCACAGCCGCCTTCGCTGCCGGAATCACGCTTATCCTGCTACGGTGGCCGTTCTTCGGCTTCTTGATCGAGGGCTATGGCATATTAGTGCTGTTTGGGGACTTCTTTGCAACGATTGCGGGCTTTGTGGGTAATGTGCCGGTCGTGGGGCCGTATATTGCGCAGGCGTTGGAGAAGATATCTGGGGGTAGGAGGAATGCGGATCTACCGGTGTAAGAGAGAGGCATAAAGAAGACGGATATTATTGGGAGCCATCCGGAGATTCCATTGGTGTATTCTGTAATGGCGTCAAGAGAGCTGGAAGTACGTCTCATGCATGACAAACAAGGTGCCTGGAGTTTGATTGGCATAGGCCGGCGTTCTACTATCATCGAATGCATTCACGTTTGTGGAGCGATTATAGCCTGCGCGAATACAGTCTGCATAGCTCTTGTCATCAGATGTGCTGTAGAATTGTTCTTCTGTTAACGTTCTTCTGCCTTGGCTAATGGAGTGGCCAACCTCATAATGAGCAGCACTAGCACTGATCGTCTTGACAGAATACCACACAGACACACGGTACTACTGATGGACGCCAATCGAAGTGGACTCCTGTGCAGCTTGTGTAACCGGGTTTTGGAAGCTCCCTAGCGTGTCCCATTCTCCCGATCTGTCTCTATGCAACCATATCTGGACGCACAAAGACATCAGACCCCTTGCGGGCTTCTTGTTCGCTATTCAACCCCTATCGTTTGTAGTCGCAAGAATACGATTTATTAGGATGTCACAGTATCTCAGCACATCGTTCGAGTTGATTTCTTTCTACTTCCTGGAGGCCTTCAGGCCTAGAAATGAGAAGCCACACTTCATATAGCAAAAGTACACATTTTATGTTCCTTCATTACTACATCCGCGATTCTAATTAAACATTACCATCCACTCACTACCACATCCACCTCCTAATCCCCATCCCCTCTACAACATCAAAAACAAAAAACCTCAGCACAAACCAACAGTCCACAATCTCATAAACTCACAGCTCGGCAAACACCAAGCCCATCAATCCGATAGCCCCCGCAATAAGCCCCATGCGTCCGGTTCCAAACTCCGGCGCCTCCACAGCGGCAGCAGCGCCTGTGAACTCTGGTCCTGACGGACTGGTAGGCTGGACAGGGCTGACGACTTGCGAGGTGATGGTTGTGGGCTCGCCGTTGGCACCCGTGGTCGGGATGAGTACTTCGGAAGTGGTGAGCGAGGGTTCGACGGGGATGGTGGGTTGGACCGGGGTGGTGGGTTGGACTGGGCTGCCGGTAGCGGTGGTGTTGCTGAAGGGGCCGCTCGTCGTGGAGAAGTTGGAGCTTCCGGTGCCGGTCGGAACGATGCCGGTGGAGATGGGGATGACGATGGTCGAGGTGGTCACGGTGACATTGGGAGGCGTCACGACGCGGCCCGGGTTGGGGCAGGTGCGCGCTTGGAAATCGTCATACTGAGCTACTTCCTCACGGCTGCATTCTTCTTCAATTTTGCCGCGGGCGCCGAGGCGGTCCAGCTCGATGCAGAGGCAGGGGAAGTTCCCTGGGTTGCATTGGCTGTCGGCGAGCAGGGGGAAGAGGACGCCTTGAGCACACTCTGAGAGACCTTCGATGGCGCTTGGAATGTCTGGCGGGCTCTGAGGGATGCCGGAAGTCAGAGTAACAAAGATGGTGATCGTCGACACGATCGCAGATGTGATGGTGGAAGGCATCTCGCTGGTGGAGGAACTTGGCTGGGTAGGAGCGACGCTGCTACTGATAGTTGTCGAAGTAGAGGAAGCAGTAACGACCGACGAAGTCGAGGACGGGCAGGGAGTTGAAGTAGAGGTATAAGTAGGAGTCGTCGAAGACGAAGATGGGCAGGGAGTTGAAGTGGAGGTATAAGGAGGAGTCGTCGAAGACGAAGACGGGCAGGGAGTAGTAGAGGAGGAAGAGGACGACGATGACGACGACGGGCAGGGAGTCGAAGTCGAAGTAGGAGTCGAAGAGGAAGTTGAGCAAGGAGTCGAAGAGATGGACGACGAGGAGCGGTGATGGTGATGCGACTTGGAGCTGTAGTAGATAGCTGAAGTCCGTGTATACCACCCTCTAATATCGAGACGCATCGCAAAGTTATAGAAAACGAGCGGCGGATTCCATTCGAAAGCAGAAGTGTGACGAAGCGCAGCGTGGGGGAGCCAGAAACATGCTGCTCGCAGGCTAGCATATTATATGCGAGAATTCTTGCCGTCGTTCCTGAGCCGTTTGCGACAAGCTCTGGTCGTGATGAAAGACACGGCTCATCAATCGGTCGTAAAAATAGAGGACCCCGCATCCGGATGGTCGTCTTTGTTCGAGCGTGAGATAGTTTGCGTGAGGTTTTTGTGAGGTCAGTCGAGGCCTCGGTTCCGCATCCGTCGCCAGCTCTGGAATGTAATTGCGGGAAGCTTCTTTCAACAACTGCAGATAGGATCAATGAATTGCCACCAGGAAAATTATTGGAGCTCGATCCTTTGAGAATACTGCGGGTAGGATCGGGTATCTTCCGGTTGGTTTGCTGTGTCGAGCTGTTGCTGAGTATTGCAAGTCTCTCCAGGGTGCTACTGTGCCTCTCTGTCGTCCAGCATTTGCACAATCATATTGATATGTTTTATCTCATAGTAGCATTCGTGGTGCTCCTTTGCGTATCGGATCGCACGAGATCTCGCATCTGTGGCATCTCGAGCCGGGTCGGGTTGGTTCGCCAGTAGGGTCTCGTGGTAGGCATTATTGCTTTCGCGCGGGCGCCTGGGCTTTTGCGCCATGTACTCCCGATACCTGTAAGCCAGGACGTAGGGATCCTTGCTTAGCGGAGGCAGAACTACCATGCCGTCGTATTGTTGGGTCAACCACCAGGTCGGTCCTCTGCGGATGGTCGGAAGAAGAGTACGTGCTGGTCACAAACCTTCAAACGAAAGAATGTTTGGTAGTTTGAGACATTCGTGTAGTCCAAGACGGCTGGGAAGAGCTTGGAGCTTGCACGGGTAAGCAATTGTTGGGATCGTCCTGCCCAGGTGCCAGAGCCTTCACAAGTACCAGCATTTTCTTTCATTTGCCTGGGATATGCGGCGCTTCAGAGTGTTCCGATTTGCGCTAGTCGTGTGAAGATGGAAACCTTGGAATACTATGCAGCTTTGTCCCATGTATTAAACAAAGACACGGGAGGTAGCGTGGTAGCTCCTCAACAGGCGTGCCCCCAGGACACATACGGTGGTGCATGTTTGAATTTGACCAAGACATATTGTCTGACAGAAGCATACTCAATAGCTTCCAGGGCTCGGGTGGCGCACGATTGCCGCACTGGGTGCCCATGGTCCAAGGACATGATCCGCTTTGTAGACGAATGGCCGCTTCTGAAAACGGGGTTCTTTAAAATATCTCTTTCCCAGCTTGCCAGCAATGTCAAAGTCGTCCTATTCGCCTGGCGGCGACCATACTCAGTGACAGATATGCGAAGCGATGGCCATGGGCCATGGTCTGAGTGTGACACGATCGAATGTAACGAATGTTGGGTTTTCTCTGAGGGCATTACCTGGAGGTAGAGAGTATGTTCTGATTTCAGTCGGACCCGGCACCTGGGCAGTCGGTGGCGAAAAGACAGCTAGTCCCAAGTAGGCTAGCGCTCGCGCTTCCACAGCTCGAAAATTGAAGTTTTCGAGATTCTGAGCTTCGTCTCGCAACGTTGCAGTTTCGACAATGGCGGGCACGAGGTAAGCAAGTTGTGAGCGCATTTAACATTGCAATCGCAATGGGGCATTCTTTCCAAGCTCACCTTACGCTTGCTCTCGCAGCACATCAACTGACTAGCGGCCAGCGTTCCAACCCAAAACGACGTCCTCGTTCCTGAGACGCTGCTGAAGAAGAGAAAGTCGCAAGAGAAGGCCCGCGAGGAGCGCGCTGCGGCAACAAAGGAAAAGAGAGGTACGAACATATCCGCGTTGGAGCTGGGGAGGGCGATTGCGATGATGATAATCTACCAACTTTATCGACTAGACCTCGGTCAATGCTGTCGAACCGTTAACCATCTTTCGGGACTGATGCAATCGCCTTCCTCGAGCGAATTACAACTACAAAATGAGTGGGACTGAGGGCTAATTCCGGGCAGAGAAGAACAAGAAGAAGCGGGCGGTCATTTTCACCCGCGCGGAGAAGTATGTGAAGGAATACCGCGACACTGAGGTATGGTCTTGCAAGGGCAAAGTGGGTAGGAGCATGCGCTGACTGCGATTAGAGGGAGAGGATTAGGCTCCATCGCGAAGCCAAGAAGAATGACAGCTTCTACGTTCCAGAAGAGCCAAAGCTGGCCTTTGTCGTCCGGATAAAGGGCATCAACAAGATTGATCCCAAGAAGCGGAAGACGCTCCAGCTGCTTCGTCTGCTCCAGATCAACAACGGTGTCTTTGTTAGGTTAACAAAGGCTACTCTGGAGATGCTGAAGAGTAAATCCGCACCTATTGATGAATCGTGCATGCTCGCTAATTGCTTAATACAGTTGTCGAACCTTTTGTCGCGTACGGCTATCCGAACCAGAAGTCCGTCCGCGAACTCATCTACAGTGAGTCTTCTTCGCTTGCATTGGTGGAATCGCTAACCATTTTCGCAGAGCGAGGATACGGCAAGGTTGACAAGCAACGCATTCCCCTCACGGATAACGAAATCATTGAACAACATCTCGGAAAATACGGGTAAGAGCCTCGCCTCGGGTTTGCTCATCTGGACGGCACTAATTTTATATAGCATGATCTGCATGGAGGACCTGATCCACGAGAGTAAGCTCTACTGCTGCGACATTGGGTATTACATGCTAATCCATGAGTAGTTTACACTGTCGGTCCAAACTTCAAGCAGGCCTCCAACTTCCTGTGGCCATTCAAACTCAACAACCCCAACGGTGGATTCCGCGCCCGGAAGTTTAAACATTATGTGCAAGGCGGAGACCTGGGCAACCGGGAGGACGCAATCAATAGCCTGATACGCCAGATGTGTTAAGAAGCAAGACCGGAACGAACGGAAGTGCGGTGTTTTGGGAACCGGAATTTCGTGCATGGGTCACTCTGGAATATACCATGGAGTCTTGCATTTGCAGCGGAGTCCGGCGTCTAGATCGGAAAAACCAATGATGCGTTCACGTGCGGGAGGGGTTTGATTGAAGGGACCCTGAATTGATTGCAAGCCCTCCTACGCTCTACGCCAATACCGCGTGACACCTACAGGTCAAGTAGACACTATGAATAGCGCATATGAACAGCGCAAATTGAAGAACGCGTGTCTTCACACTTCACGAGCCCCATGAAGCCTCGCGAATACGGTGTGGCCAAGCAATGCGAATCTATCTTTCGGTCTGCTGCCAGGACCAACAATCCGTGCCACCGTCAACGTGTGGCCTACGCAACGCATCCAGGCAACCGTTTTCCCGTCGTAAGATGGTTGGGCAGCGGATCAATACCACGTAACTACGGTAGTGACCATCTTGGGAGCCTGGACGAAGATCTAGGGTGACTGTTGCGAGAGCCAGTACGGGGGTGTTGGTCATTTTCGGGCGAGGGTCCAATAATGAAGTGCGGAGCAGCGGCTTGGTCGCCATCGAGGGGTTTGCGGCAGGCTGGAGTTTCCTTGTGCGAAAGGCATCAGTTGTTTTCTAGCGCATGCTTACGGCGCCGTGCGGTCCAGAAGAGCGTCCGAACGCCGAGGTTGCCACACCCACTCGTGGCGATGGTTTCTTCCGCGGGCAGAGGACGAGCAGGATGTGGAAGCCTGCCCAGGTGCGGATGGATGACGCTCACGAGCGTTCTGACGCAAACACTGGCTTTCTTTGCCGCCGATGGGCTTGTCCGCCTGCGATGTCGTTGGACTGTCAACTGCGATTTGCGGAGGAGAGCTGGATCGAGGTTCGCGCCATACGTTCATCACCCAATATGCAGCAGTGCATCCAGCCCACTACGTCCCAAGCCCGACAAAAACCCCTCGACCGCGGGCTGCGGGCAGTGACGGAGAGTCGCGCGCTCATGCGGACGTCGAGCTACATGGTGGATGCGCACGATGCGCACGATGAATAATTTTTTCGCGCAGCACGGGGCCGGCTGGCCGCCACCAGAAGAAATCATGGGCGAGAGTGAAACCATTTCCGCGTGCTCGCGTGGGCTCGCCGCTTATTGCAATATGTCTCTCGTCTACTACACGGACCGCGTCTATATTTACGGAGCGCTGGACTGGACACAGTCATCTTGACTCAAGAAGGGGGTCGGCGGGCGATGACAATTGTAGAGGCGGAGTCGCGCGCTGCAGAGATGCAGGTTGGGTTCCTAGCGACGCCGAAAGGGAATGGGGTCTCTGACGACCTCCTTGGCGGAGCGGCAGTGATGAAGGATGGAGCGGCAGCCGGCTCACGCTCACGCTTGCACGGCCCAGAGGCAGAGAGGAGACGCCGGCGACTGCCAGCGTGGCTCTCGCGGACGCAGTGAGATAGGGCCGTGAGTGGTGGGAGGGGGTGGGCGTGCGCTTCGTGAAGTGGTCCCTGACGCCGTTGGACTGTGCGATTGGGGGTTGGCTGCAGCGGTGGGACCCTCGTGCTGGAGCGATTTTTATTCAAGGGCAGCGATTTGTGCCTGACGACGCAGTGCTGCAGCGCTCAGGATGGACAGACGGCGCTGAATGGGCGACGCCGCGTTATTGCGGGCGTGGACAAAATATGTAAGGCTAGGCCGGACAGGGACGCGCTCCCCGTGGGCTGCTGTAAGAAATGATGACAGCTTCCCGAGGTCGTTATGGACGACGGGCTGCTTCTGCCAGAGCGAGGGTTCCGTCGTCGGTTCACGAGCATGCGATCGGGGGTTGGGTCGCAGCATTGTTTGATTGTGTCTCCCACAGAGCGCTCGCTCGCGTCGACGCATGCCAGAGGCACCAGGGACAACGGCGCGAGAGAGGCGGCGCCCCTAGGACGCCGTAATAAAGTGGTTTAAGATTACATGCCGTTGGTGCAGGTCCTGTCGGAGCAGGCGCGGCTTCGCTTCGTGGGCGGCCAAACTGGGACCGCCAGACCCCGTCCGTCACCACACCCACACCCGCTCACACATCGCCATCTCTCCCCATCCGCTCTCGCTCTCCGCTCCCCTCCCTCCTCACCCTCTCCGCCCTCCTCCTCCTCCTCGCCACCTTTGCAGCACTTCTTTGCCGGTTGCAGGCGTTGCCGCAGCGCCCTCCTCGCTCTCAGCCACTCGACGGTGCGGTAGTCAGTCACAGCCGGGCTGAGTGGCCACTGCTCTTCCTCGGGCAGCCAACTTCTGGCCTGGGTCCGCGACTCCAGCTGCGCGCGCCCGCCTCCCCGTGGACACCTTCACCACACCTGCGCTTTCCGCTGCACTCGTCCGCGGCCTCGTAACCGGTGCGGCTGCGCAGTGCTCATTTCGCACAAGAGTCGTCATCCGCAACGGCCTTCCCTGGGTCGCTAGGGCGCGTCTCCCCGGTGCTAGGCAGGGTTTGACTCTGACGGCTCCCGTCGCTGAGAAAAACATCGACTGCCTCATCCTCGTCCTCTTCCGTCCGTCTCCCTCGTGGCATAGTTTCGGCGCCGTTCTTGCATTTTCACATCTGCCTTTTGAGTTTCGCTTGGGCCGTGCTTGCCGTTTCTCCGCCCGGCTCCTCGCTTTCCTTCACCACCTAGACTCCGACCGCGCCACGACCGCGCTCCCAAACAGCGTGCAACCTTCAACATCCACCACGGGCGATCTATTCACTTAGGCCTCGTCCTGGTTCGCGTTTCCGTGGCTCTTCCGCCCCCCAGCCTGCTCTAACTGCCGGCGCACCCGCCTCTCCTAATACGGGTCTCAGCTGCGACGCGGTCTGAGCGACTCCTTCACCGGGCTGCGCTGTTCCATCGACAACGACCACATTGTCTGGCCGAGACAGCATTCTTACGACCTCTCGACGTTTCTCCGATTGCCTCAAACGAAAACACTCTCTTAAACGACAATCTCCTTTGTGCATGAGCGGATCCTATTAAGCCGTCGGTAGGCTCTCTACGGAGCGTACGCTCAACACTTCCTGCGGCCTGGAACTGAAGAAACTGTACGTTGCTCGCCATTCACCAATTCGCACGACGTGGCCGGACCGTCGTCACCACCACAAAAAAAGCTCGCAGCTAACACTGCCCGCAGGGTCTCCCACCGGTTGCTTCGTTCCTCTGCGACAGCACCTCTCCATCATGCCGTCCTTCTACCCGCGACACAACATGCCCCGGCAGCTGCCTCTCACGCCGCCCGAGTTCGTGCCAAACTATCACTCGGGATGCGGAGGCATGCCCTACCAGCAGCCCGCCTATTCCGGCCAGCCGGGCATTCGACAACAGGATGATGGCTACGACTTCGCAGACCGCTACGGCCAGCTCTCCATTGCGATGCCGCCTATGTATCCGCAAGCGGGTACCTATCTGAGCAACACAGCGCCGAGCCTTCCGCCGCCGAGCTCCTTCTACGAGCCTGTCGGTGCGCCCATTCTTCCGCCCATGCGTATGCAGAGCGGTCACTCGATGGCAGAGGCCAGCCTACAACAGCAGCGCGCACAAGAGCTCAATCAGCGTGCGACACAGCAGGCCAAAGACGAGAAGCCCGTTGGCGGCGTGTCCGCCAAGTTGGACTACGACATGGACGTCATGACCGACTTCGTTTGCGAGATGGCGCTGCAACTCATCACCCCCGGTCGGATGATGCCTCCGTCGTTCCGGAAATGGGTTCACCAAGTGCTGTGCGCGACAAGACTGCCATCGGCGACCATCCTGCTGAGCATGTTCTACCTCTCGACCCGCATGCCGATGCTGGCTGGAGTATCCAAGATCGACAGCCACCTATTCCGCCTCCTCACCATCGCGCTGGTGCTGGGTAGCAAATTTTTGGATGACAACACCTTCATCAACCGATCCTGGTCAGAGGTTAGCGGGATCCCCGTCGCAGACCTAAACCAGTTGGAGATGGAGTGGCTTGTGGCTATCGAGTTCAAGCTCCACCGCGATCCGACTGAACAGCAAGGCTGGATCTCTTGGTCCGACCACTGGAAGGACTACCAGAGCCATGCCACTGCGCGTGCGAACCGGTCCAGCAAGCTGAGCCCTATCGATACTTCGGTACAGCGACAACGTTCTATTAACCAGAACAAGCCTCTCCCGCCATTGCCGATGCAACAGAGCTTCAATTCGCCACCATACGAGTTCACCCCGAAGTCAGCGCAGACATCGTACAGCGCCGCGCCCAGCTTCTCCCAGTACGACCCATGGCGATCAGCGAATGACCACTCGCCTGCGTCTGCTCCGACCACAGGACCCACTACTCCAGAATACTATGGTCCCACGGGAACTTGGGCTCCGGAGGGCTACTCACGTCGCACCATGTTCGGCTTCCCATCCCTGTCTCAGCCCACTCCTCCCCCAACTCAGCAGCAACACCATCCATCCAATTACGGCCCGCCAGCCTACTCTGCACCGTACCAGCCTCCAGTCTGGAACAACCACGGCTTTAACTGTGGTTGCACCTACTGTGCTCAGAGGCACCCGCCGTACTTCATGGCCCCTGGCTTCGGCCCTCAGGCCGTTGCGGTCTAGGGTTTTGCTAGCCCCATGCTGCCGGCGCTTGGTCGGCTCAATGTCTGTTGAATACTCTGCAGACGCCCTAGCCTGTACCACTGGTTAAGTGAGTGGCTTGATTATGGGCCTACCCGTGGTCCTACAGCCATCAGCACTGCGATACCAGAGCGCGTCGACGATTTCGTCCCCCTTCACCTTACATATTCGACACCCGGTTCCATCTCAGCGATTCACCTTTCCAAAAGTTATTGTTTCTTCCTCCGGTCTCCTGGCTTGCTGCATTCCATTCATGCGTAGACCTGCATCGGTCGCTGGATGGGCCTATCTATCGATCATTCCTTGCTCGGACGTAAGCTTTCAACGACTTTCAACGAGCCGATCTGGATCGTCCACTCTGTCGAGGCGCACCTCCGTTCTCTTTCTTCCTGTCGCTATCTGTGACGCATATCGGCGCCACTCCGGATCTCACGAAAAGCACAAAGCTTGCGACCATTTTGCATGATAGATTTCCTTGGTTCATTTTCGCGGCTCCGGTCTTTTTGTTATTGTTCGTATTACGTATTAGACATTGGGGTTGTCACGGTTCACTGGGTTGCACTTCGAGCGAAATTGCGGGCTTACGGCGTTCTTGTTTCCTTGGCCTTTGTGTCACAGAGATGCCCACTTTCCGGTTTCCATGTTTCGTCGGCCGAGCTCCACGCTTCGAGCGTAGGATGTCTACGGCTTATTACGATTGCTTTTCTGCACCGCCACCAGGATGGCCCTTCGGGGGACGCAGCACACAGGGTAATGGTTTGTTTTAGAGGAGGATTGCGGCTGTTCTTGTTCCTGCGGACGTCTATTCTCGCGTTGTGGCTCCGAGTAGGGTCTTGTGTGTCTCATGGGTGTGCAGACCCAAGTTCGTGGACGCCTACCACCGCGTAGCCCGAGTCCGCACTTAACGTCCTGGCGATTACGACCTTATTCCCCTTCGATACCGTCTCCGCTTTCCGCCGTAGTCGGGTTGTAATTAATGGCATACGATGACGAGGGGCATCCACATTGTTTGTTTTGTTTCTTTGGGCGGAAAAGGCTCTTTTTTACTTTACGATTCCTATACCAAGATGGGCACAGAACTTAGGGTTTTCATTGGGTGGGAATAGGATTGATTAGTGCATTAGCCTGCGAAAAGACGTGCAGAGATTTCCTGGTAGTGGCATCAAAATGGAAAAAAAAGATTGGAGGGTAGTCGGAGGCTGCCCTGAAGTATCATTGAGTTGCCTTAGGCAGTGCACGTGCGAGCTGGTATCGTGAACTCTTGGAGCGGTGTGGATATCCTGAAGGTGTCTGCAAGACGCTGACTAGCTAAAGGCAATGTGACCAGCTTACCCCTCACCTACTGGGGTACCGCGGCACATATACATGAATGTATCGTGCCTCTTTTCATCCACCCCTCTAGCAAATCAGGAGCCATGCCCTTGTCCCGCAGCAGCTTCTGTCGCTGCTCTCCAAATTACCTTCGTCCGCTCTCCGCAAGACAGCGCAACGGAGTTCCGCACGGCACGGGCACCGCAAACACGTGCGATTACAAAATGCGACGACTTCTCCTTCCAAGGTTCGCATCGAGCAGCGTGTCGGCCCGGCAGCCGGACGAACTCAAGGCGCCGAGCCAACTCGGATTTAACGGACTCTGCTTTTGGCCCGATGCGGAATTGTCGTGTCGTCATTGGCCAATCATGAGCATTCGGCCGCGAGACGGACGACCCCGAGCTTGATACCTCCGTCTGCTGCGGGCGAAAAGGCGTATTTTGCCCATGTTTACCTGCGCTGCGAGGCTGCAGTCAGACGGCCCTCGGCGGTGTTATATAACGCGTGTTCGCTTTGCGCTGCGGGGTCTTGCTTGGTCCGATGTCTCTACCTCGTCTGTTCTTCTTCCGACGATTCACGACTTCTTCGAAAGCTCATCACCGGCACGGACAGTGCGGATATACGAATTCTACTCGGTGGCAGAAACCGCGGTTTGCGTTTACGGTTAAGATGAGTTCGGCTGGCGCTGCAGGTATTGGAGCCGCGGGGCTGTACGCTATCGTCAGCAACCCGGCACAGATAGGCGCGAGGCCTGAAGAGGCGGAGGAGAGGAGCCATCATTTGCAGAATGGGAAGGGGTTTGTGAATCCATGGGATAGCTTTCGCGATTTTAATCCTTTCAAGATTATGCTGAGTATGGTTTGGTAAGGGTTCTTTCTCTCTACCCACCACTTCCGCTTCGAGCTATGGTAGAGCTTTGCAGCGCATGGGAAGGAATGCATGTGCTGACAGAGGGACACAGGAGAAGACTATCAGGCCAAATGCACATGCCCGACACTACGCCTCCCACCGTCCCCATCCGCACGCCCGAGTTCTTGCCCTCCCGAGCAACGAAGAAGCTCCGCGCAACCTGGCTCGGCCACGCCTGCTACTACATCGAATTCCCCTCCGGCCTCCGCGTGCTCTTCGACCCCGTCTTCGAAGACTGCTGCGCGCCCATCAACCTCAAAAACCTCAAGCGCTACACCCCTCCCCCCTGCGAAATCGAAGACCTGCCCGTCGTCGACGCTGTCATCATCAGCCACAACCACTACGACCACCTCTCCTACCCGACCATAAAACGCATACATACGAAGTTCCCGAACGTGCATTTCTTCGCGCCCCTGGGCAATAAGAAGTGGTTTGAGAAGTGCGGGGTCAGGAACGTGACCGAGTTGGATTGGTGGGAGAGCAGGGATGTGCGGCTGGAGACGTATAAGGATAAGGAGGAGGGGGAGAGCGGGAGCGATGGGTTAAGTGTGACGAAGAGCGGGGAGGGGAATAAGGAGGAGGGCGGCATTACGGCGACGATTGGGGCTCTGCCATGTCAGCATGTCAGTGCCAGGACGCCGTTTGACAAGTGTAAAACATTGTGGGCGAGTTGGAGTCTGGAGTCTGGCGGCGCGAAGGTGTGGTTCGCTGGGTATGTGTTTTTTCGCCTTTTTATTTACCGCCCTGACTATCGCATACTGACGAATGATATAGAGACACAGGATACCGCTCTGTTCCCCACGTTCCTGCCGGTATCGATGACTACTCCGACGCCTATGCTCACCTGCCGCACTGCCCGGCCTTTGCGCAAATCGGCAAGCACCGGGGCCCCTTCGATCTCGGCCTCATCCCCATCGGCGCCTACGAGCCCCGCTGGATCATGTCGCCTATGCACGCGAATCCCAAAGACAGCGCGAATATCTTTCTGGATACAAAGTGCAGGAAAGCGCTGGGTATGCATTGGGGCACGTGGGTGCTCACGGAGGAGGCTGTTATGGAGCCCCCGAGGAAGCTGAGGGAGGCGCTAAAGGAGAAGGGCGTGGATGAGAGGGGGGTGTTTGATATTTGTGATATTGGGGAGAGTCGGGAGTTTGAGACATCGTGAGCTTATTAACGGGTATGGGCGGCATGGGGGCATGATTGTACCTTTTTTTGTAACACTATATATATATCCCTGGACGGCGATGCGACACGGATAGACGCAGGCAAGGAAGCCACTTTTTCCCAACCTTACTAGTAATTACGGCTAGACATCACCAGCTAATGGCACGTTTCAATCTCACCACCCCACCATCTCACTATGCCTGCCTCGTCTTCTCCAAAATTGTCCTAATCATCTCATTCCCCAGCTTCGTCGCCTCGGGGAACCTAGGCTCAAAGTACTTCTGAATCGTCTCGAACTTCTCGCGATAGGCGTCGAAATGGCCCAGGCTGACGCGGGAGCTCCAGTCGCGCGCCGCGAAGGTGAATTCGAGGTCGTCGGCGCGGAAGGTGTTGTCGTTGATGGCGGTTTCGATGGCGTCTTCGAGGAGGGTGTCGTTGCGGAAGAGGTACTCGGTGATGCCGAGCCACATGCGAAAGAGCTGGTGGAGTGTGTTAGAGACGGGGTCGAGTTGGGAGGGAACAACGTACAGGCGTAGAGCAGATCATGTGGTCGTAGGGAACGATGCCGAGTTTCCACCAGCAGTCCACGATCGCCAGAAGACTTAGGTGGTTGTTCTTGAGTCTCTCCTCTGGGATCTCGCCCAGGCTGAACCGATCCAGGACCTCGTCTCTGAGCAGTAATTCCCCCTTTTGCCTCCGGCCACCAAATACGGCTTCCCTCGCCTTCATGATCCTTTCTCTCAGCTCTTCTTTGTGCCCCGCGAGCATGAGCTTGTACAGCTCGGTTACAGATTCAGCGTACTGTTTGATCTGTTTTTGTGCGTCGGGGTTGAGAATCGCGAGGCCAGCGTAGACGTGCCATTTGTTCGCGTAGATGCGGAGCGTGATGTTGATCTTTACGTTCTCGATGCCGCCGATGTAGCGCGGTGTTTCCCAGGGGAACTGGTTGTTGGCCATCCAGGCGGCGCCCATGCTAAGGAAGGCGGCATGGGTCACGGCTTGTGTGTCTGCTGTGATGCGGTCGTGCTGCTCGCGGGTGAGGTAGACATGCTTGGATCCGAGGCATGACAGGGCTTTCTCGACGAAGGCGAATGCTTCGTCGGAGGCTCGATGCTTGATGAGGACTAAGGGCTGCCCTCTCGGATCCACGCCGGGGCCATGGAGGGAGTGGCATGAGACGATGCTGACGTCGCTGGGGAGATGCTTCTCGAATGCTGCGATTTCTGGGGCTTTGCAGGATGTTTGACCGCCGACGATGGCTCCAAGCTTCGTCGCTGATCAAGCACGAGGTTAGTAGGGAGATGAGAAATGGGCACATATAGGCATACAAGGACCAAACGCCTTGACAACAGAGTCGATGTTCTTGGCCTCGACGCTGTAGATGATATAGTCGCTGCACCTAGAGACGAGGTGACCGCTTCGCAGAATTTCAACTTTCGGCTGGTATACACTCAGCACAGCTCTATTGATAATGATACATAAAGGCCATCCTACTCTTCCCCGAAATTCCTCGACCAAAGCGTCGTACTTCTCTGGAAGATCACATGCGTTTACTCTGGGAATGGAAAAAGCTGTTAGTTTATGATAGCGAAGCTCGGTAATCTATGAGGCATCGGTCAGCAGTGCTCAACAAGATAACCTTGAAGAAGCAGAGAAGAGGGTGAACAGTTAATCAGAGTTGTAAAAGTTAGGTAGCGAGAAGTTTATTCATCGAACAGCGACATGACCGCTTCCTGCAACCAAGACGGGCACAGGATAGTCAAGCGCCATACTCGATCCAAATGCACTCACAGTCATCATAATAGGAAATACATAGAGAAGAAAGAGGAATCGACTTACCAGAACAGAGCTCCAAGTAGTGCGAGCTCTCAAGGGACAAGAGCAGCACTCACTTCCAGCCCGCATCGCTCAACCGCCGGGCGTACATCTTCCCCATATCCCCCATACCAATGATCCCGATGCTCTTGCCATCATCCATATTGACGGCGTGACGCGCAGGTAGGGTGTTGAGCTTCAGGGCATGGTGCGCGGTGAGGAAGAAAGGAAAGGGCCTGCAAAGCGACCGAAAGTTTTAGAGCTAGGCTAACGCTAGCGCGGCTGACTAATCTCCCACAACCGACCTCAATTTTACTCCACCAAAAGTTCGACTTCACCTAAGCGATCAATCGTTCATCACCACACCACCTAGCCGCACGTCAAAGCATATATCTCAGTCAAGATGCCGCCAAAGAAGAAGTAGGTCTTCATAACTTCAGAGAACCGTGATCTTTGGCTGACAAGAGATGAAGGGTCGAGCGCAAGGCCGAGGAGAACATCCAGGTAATTACTTACGCAGAGACGGACATAGAGAATGAGAAAAGGCTAACATGTCGCAGCTCGGTCCCCAAGTCCGCGAGGCACGTCGTCCTGGAACGCGAGCATGAGACCATGTATTGACCGTTCACACAGGGCGAGCTAGTCTTCGGCGTCGCACGCATTTTCGCCTCGTTCAACGATACCTTCGTCCACATCACCGATCTTTCGGGGAGAGAGGTATGCTCGATACCGCACACGGGGCTTGGGAGCAATAACGCTAATGAATGTAGACCATCAGCCGAGTCACGGGCGGAATGAAGGTCAAGGCCGATCGTGATGAGTCTTCTCCGTACGCCGCCATGTTGGCAGCCCAGGACGTCGCGGCTAGGTGCAAAGAGTTAGGCATCACCGCCCTACACGTCAAGATCCGAGCCACCGGCGGAAACGGCACCAAGACGCCCGGCCCCGGCGCTCAGTCGGCTCTGAGGGCTCTTGCTCGTGCGGGAATGCGTATTGGACGCATCGAGGACGTCACCCCGACACCATCTGACAGCACACGCCGTAAGGGAGGTCGCCGTGGTCGCCGTCTCTGAGCATATGCGCTATTTCTTTGGGGGTTTGTGGAGCATGGCATGGCCTGTCTCATGGGCCTCGTGATGAGAATCAAAATTACGCGGGGAACGGTTACGACCTGGTCTCCATGTTGAGCTTGGCTTATCGAACGATAACGTCGAGGTAATGCAACAGAATGTTCTCAGTCTGAATCGATGCCCTTGCCTTGCACTGGAATGCGTCCGTCCAACAATGTGACTATGCTTTTATACACTACAATATCTATGTCGGTGTCATGACTGCGGAACTCATATGTCCACGACTTGTGCAGTATTACCTAGTCGTCCTGTATTCCCGTACATCTGCGCGGCGTTTACCATGACTGTATGCGGGCCTTGCCCTCCCCATACTCGGTCCCAGATCAGTCCTCTCAAACCACGATATGCAACTCTTACAATACTCAACCAAAGCCACGGGTTCAAAAGCCCACATGCCCACCTCGGTTGGATGCTCATACCCTTCTCATATGCATCGTGACAGCCGTCCCACCAGACGACTTCGTGCCCTGCTCCCCAATGTACATGACCGAATATATGTAGTGTTGGTTTCACGCGCTTCACCTCCGTCGTAAGATGCTCGCAACCCATGCCATTTGGAAGCGCCAGATCCATGTGATATTTCGGTGGCGTGTGCGTAATGAGTATATCTGTATCCTCCGGCACTGTCTCCGACCAGGCATCTCGACCCCGCGGATACTGAAAAGCATGAACGCTCATCGGACCGCATGCCGGTATTTGCGGCGCGCCGTATAGTATTATTCTCCGATGCCGAGTCTCTCGCGCTAGTAGATGTGTTCTGGAATTGATTGAATCGGTATCTCTATCCCGGGGGTCGAATGCGATTGTGAGGCTCAGTCTGCGGTGCTGTAGGTAGTGGACTCGTTTCCAGTCAATTGTGCCAGTTCGCTGGTCTCCCGGAAGAGAAGGCCGGGTTCGTGGGTCGAGATAGGTGTCATGATTCCCGCTGATCACCACAATCTCTTTATGCGGCAGAGACGCTAGCCAATCCACCTGTTTCTGTATCTCCTCAATACTCCCATTGTTCGTCATGTCCCCTGCATGAATCAGGACATCCCCGCCCGGCACATGCTCTGGAATGTGGTTATGTGTGTCCGACATACATACTACTCGAATCGGACGTTCGGGCGGGGTGGGCGTAGAGCGGAGGAGGTTTATGACGTGGTACGTGTGATAGAGGAGGAGCTTCACTGGAGCTCGGAAGGCGAGCGCGAGGATAGGCGTTGGCTCGAAGGGATCAGGGGCTTTGGCGGGTGTGGAAGTCTCCCTGAGACGGCGCCATCCTGATAGGATCTGCAGGACCATCCCCAAGGGTGAGGCTGAGGCTCGTGAAAGAGGGTGGTGTGAGTTGGTGGAGGTTCAGATGGTCGCGGGAATTGTTGCAGGGGTGGTGTGGCTGTGCAGCCACCGTGGCTTGTGACGCCTTCGTTCCCGCTTCAACTCACCAGGTGTCACCTTTCTTACCGTCTTGATGAGACCCGTCCTCCCAGTAGAAGCCACTCACGCACCACATTGCGACCCAAAGGTGGACGTACAAAAAACTGCCCAGAAATCAATTCACCGGTCGTTCGCCTCAGCATCGCTTAAAGATTAGCCCCAGACATGCCTTGAGGCTGTGGAGGCTGAGCCCGGGGCAGACTGCGCGCTTGCACGACATGGGATGAAATAGGCCTTGCTAGGGCCTCATATGGTTTAAGTAGCTGCCTGTTTCCTATGTCGTTCGCAGCTTGGTTCATTTGCTTCCGTTATGTCGTTCTTCCTGTCCCACAGGATTGTTTGACAAGGCCTCAATATCGTTGTTTATCGAGCCTGTGATTTCTAGGTGTCTGCAGTCATGGCTGAAGTCAGCCTTGCTGTAGTGTCTTTGACCTTTCAGGTCTTTTCGGGGTGCATTCAGGGTACGTTGGTCTACGCTTCCCTTTTAGAGGATGTGCTAACTTGCTGTAGGCTATGAGCTTATAACCGATGCGCGTCACATGCCCTCCGACTGCCAGTACCTACGAGTACGATTGATGACCGAGAAATACCGACTCCTAGACTGGGCAGACGTTGTCAAACTAGATGAAACAGACGACAACCTCCTCATCAGCAATTCCAGCAAAGGCCTCCTTCTGGATGTGCTAGACCAGCAACGCCGTCTCCTTCACCAATTTGGGCGCCTCGACGAGAAGTACAAGAATTTATCCAAACCGCTTCTTGTAGACTACGCAGAAGAGAATGGCGTCCTCCCGGATCCGCCGGCTTACTCGCCAAACGAAGAAAGTCCGACTGCAGTTCACAGAGTGGACTCTGACTTTCAGCGCCGGTTCCCGCAGTCAGAGGTGCTGCTCAAGAAGAGCCTAGAATGGGCGAAGAAGTCGACGGGAATCCCCAGACGGTTGAAGTGGGCTACTTTTGACAGAGCGAAGATGGAGAACCTGGTTCTTAAGCTGGCGTCCTTCAACGACTTCATGCGGGAGATGCTCAACTCGCAACAACTGGAGAATCTAGCCATTAAGCAGACCCGCACGGAATTTCAGATCATGCAGCTGAATAGCACCATCCAAAACTTGGTCCAGATCTTCGAATCGACGGCATTGGGACCCAAGCGTAGGAGGAGAAGGTCACAACAACTGACCAACCCTGTTACGGCCTATATGCAAGCTCAGGGATTAGACGACGTGGATGACGAAACAGAGTCTGTGAAGCCGGCGTTCCAAGGCCTTGCCGCTCTCGCTCAGATCAAAGCTCTCAACTACGCCATCGAAGACCCTAGCATCTTTACCGACGAATTCACGAATGCGATCAAACTCCGACACACAGCCTCTGAGATCCGCTCCGTCGAGCTTTTGCGAAGCCACATACGCATCATCGACGAAGACTCCGACGAGAGCGGGGAAAGCCAGCGCGTGGAAGCGTACTACCATCCCCCGCACTCTCAGATGACGTCTGTCTGGATCGAATGGAAAAGCTACGAACCACCTCCCTTCCAACCTAGCGGTCCCGATCCGAAGATCCACGAGCGCGTCAAAGCCCTGGCCGCGCTGCTCAAAGAAAACAATTCCAAAGACCAATTCCGGGCGCCTCACTGCCTAGGTTACTTCCAAGACACCGACCCAGAAACTGGCGAAGACCACTGCCGCTTCGGCCTCGTCTTCGAGAAGCCACCTACGGCCCACCCAAACACACGTCCCATCTCCTTACGCGCCTTACTCACATCCGCCGACGTCGACATGCCCTCCCTCAGCGACCGCATCGAACTGATGAAGCTTCTCAGCGAGACCCTTGAGCGCCTCCACGCGGTAAACTGGCTGCACAAAGGCCTCCGCTCCTCAAATATCCTCTTCTTCAGCGACTGCGGACCACAAGAGATATCCTACGCCGACCCCTACATCTCGGGCTTCGACTACAGCCGGCCCGCCATGAACGACGACATGACGGAGAAGCCCCCGGAAAATGCCTCGTCAGACATCTACCGGCACCCGCTGGTCCAAGGATCCGGTGGGCGTGAAGGTTCCGGCGGCGGCTTCAAGAAATCCTACGACCTCTACGCGCTCGGCATTATCCTGCTCGAGATCGCATACTGGCAGCCCATCGACAAGATCCTAGGGATCCAGAACCTAGAGAAGGCGAAGCCGAGCGTGACGATCAGCGCGCGGGACAGGTTGCTGAAAGAGCAGAAATTTTTGAAGTATGTGCGGAGCCATTTGGGGGATAAAGTGATGCGGGTGGTGAAGGCGTGTTTGGAGGGACCGGGCGCGTTTGGGTTGAAGAAGAACGTTGATGAGAAGAAGGAGGTGGTGGGCGCGGAGCTGCAGAGGATGTTCTATGAGAAGGTGGTTAAGGAGTTTGTGCAGATGAGGATTTAGGGGGGATCTGGAGCTCTCCTCGGCGCTTTGAGTTTGAGGCTGTATTGTTAAAAGCTCGGAAGAGCTGGAAGGGGGCTGGTGCAGGATTTGTTGTAGGCTTGGGTTCGGAAGGTAGGTTTCTTTCGCGGCGCGATTGTCCATGTGTTCTGACCAACTGCTTCTTGATGTGCCTTTCCAAGTCTGTAGTATATGCCTCTCGTAGATCACTCATGGCTGCAAGCTCCCACCTAAGGCTTTACTTACCACGGTTATGATGATAGCTGTCAAAGCTGTCGCTGCCACTCTGACCCACGGGAACAGGCTGAACCTCGACGATCCATGTATTGATTTATTGATTTCGCTATGTTCAAGGGAATCCCCCCAAAAAAGCCATTCATCCATCATCACTCATTTCTATCGGTTTCCATCCAGAAGAGGCAGGCAGGCATCCCACGCCATCCACGACCCTCGCGAGAGGGCATGCAATTATTCCGTCCCATAAAATACACAACAGTCGCCGACGAGCGCTCAATAGCCCATCTTCTTGAGGTATTCGCCTAGTGCGGCGGCGTCGTTGAAGGCGACGGTTGTCTGGGTGTCGGCATTGTGGTGGCAGATGAGGAGCGCCTGTGTCGTCTTGACGCAGACGATGCCTTCTTTGCCCTGTTGGCCGTGTCAGTATGTCGTGCGGCGATACGCAGACGCGAGTGCTCGGCCGCGGTTTGGAGGGGATGTACCTTCTTGGCCTTGAGCTCGTCGTCCCCGGCCTCGATGGTCATGTACTTCTCGCCGCCGATCTTGATGCCGTTGGAAATGACCTGCTTTGGGTCGCTCGCGTCTGTGAAGGAGGATGCGATGGCCTGGCGCTCGGCATCGGTGACCTGGGAGGAGCATCAGTATGTCTAACGCGTGCCTTTCTGTGTCCATCAGGCACCGCCTTGTGAGTGTGCTCCCGGGTCCGAGGGGTATGAGCAGGGCGCGGTGGGTGCGAGAGGACGTACGGAGAAACCTGGGGATGTGGCCCAGACAGCGCTGCCGGCGGCGTCGCAGATCATGGCTCTGTCGATGTTGCCGGGGCCGAGGAGGCTGCGGGGAAACGGAGGTCAGAGCAGGTATCACGTAGACGTGGGTTTGGGATGTACCTCTGATCGATGTATGCTGGCGATGGGGTTAGCTTAAATGCTTCCTTCGGTGCGTGCGTGAGGCTCACCTTGCCAGGACATGTTTCGAGTGAGGAGTTGTGCGGACTGCTGGAGCTCGAGGGGTTGATCTAGGAGCGGTTTCTGTCGTAGAAGAGGTTCGGAAGCTTGGGCTCGATATAGAAGAGGCCTTGACTAAGCAGGAGTGAATGTGTGTGCGGTGGAAAGGTTGTTGGGCCCGCGACGAAGCAGAAGCAGTCAGTCAGACGCGGGTGGTGGGGCTGTCTTTTTGCAACCCCGCACCACCTGTTGCACACCCGTCGCCCACGACAACGCGCCATTCAAGCTATCATGTCACCCATGTCTCAGCCATGCTTGTGCTCAATCAAATCACGCCTGCCCTGATTTCGTGGCACTCCCGCCCCTTGCGCCATCATGCAGGCAACGGGCGTGGTGGGGGTTCTGTCTTACACTCACGGCGATGGGCCTGCTCACGCTTCACGAGCTGGCGAAGGTATTGAAGCACTTCAGGCCGCTGCATACGGCCTCGGAGCAGGGCTACGGCAGTCTGTATGGCGGCCCTCGCCGCATTTCCGCCTGGCTTTATGCGCTGTTGCCGATCCGGGATTCAACATCAGGGCTCTTCCATGAGGAGGCCTCGTGGGGTTGGGCGCCGGTCAACACAAGGCGTGATTGCCGGAATAGGCGCAATTTCAGAGACACCAGCAGTGTCAATTACGAACCTATCATGCCACTCGGCATACAGTATCAAACGAAGAAGACATCCTCGCTAGCTCAACAACCAATACCTAGGTACTCTATGAGTTCCCTCACGTTGGACTACGCTTGGAGGCTTTTTTGGCCGGATAACAGTATGATGCGGAATGATCTCCTGCGCCCTATGATATTGAAAGACCCTCTACGAGACGTGCTAGCTCTCGCGTCTTGCTTTCAAGCTGGGCATGGGTGGTCAAAAGAGAGGTTGCCGTTTGCGGAAATGGTCCAAGCCTGATGCGATTGGCTGGTGAAGGCGTCGCGTCACGTGAATCTTGCGCTAGGCTGCGGCCCGTGCCCGAGCTTCGAGCTCCAAAAGTTCAGGCGCGTTCATCAGACAAGCTCACCTCGACTCGGTGCTACCACACCCCATGCACTTCTCAACGCCCATGTGCTTCTGAACACTGTGCGACCGACCGCGCTCAGGAGCTCCCACTTGCGCGCAAGGTTTACGTCGCTGCCAGAGGTTGGTGCTACCCCAGTTACTCTGCCTTTCCTAGCGCTGTGGCTGCCACCACGCTGCGTGAGGACTCTTAACCGTGCAGCTTCGACCAGACAGAGGGCAAAGCGCTCAAAAATTAGCAACCATGCCTTCCGGTTCTCATTCCCCTTCGCCCTCGCCCGCGCGCGGCCGAAGTGTCTCTCGCGGCCGTTCACGCACGAGATCGCCTTCCAGACGCTCATACTCAGAACCGTCGAGGCCACTAAGGCGCTCTGTATCGCCCCGCGAATACTCGCCGTCGCGCTCACGATCGCGCAATCCGCTTCGGTCGCCTTCTCCGCGCCGCAATGGCCGACGCAGCTACACTCCGGATAGTCGATCACGGTCGCGGTCGCGAACTCCAAGGGGGCGAGGCAGAAGCTATACGCGGAGTCCCAGTCTGAGGAGCAGCTCGGCGGTCCCAAGGAGTGCCAAGGTATGTCTCTTCTCTTTGACATCTCACGAGGCGATTTTCGAGAGTCCGGCCTTGTCGTGAACAGCTTGCTAACTCTCTTTCAGATTGTCGTTGAGCAATTGACGAAGAACGTGAACGAAGGACACTTGCGCGAGATCTTTGGGAACTATGGACCGATCAAAGACCTCAAGCTTCCGCTGAACCCAGCTTGTAAGTACAAGTTCTGCTATGTGCCTGCGTTGCTAACCTTGTAGTCAACGTCAACCGTGGAACGGCGTACATCCTCTACGAAGAGATTAACGACGCCGAGAGAGCCATCGCAAAGATGCATGAAGCACAATTAGACGGTGCTAAGATCCTTGTCTCAATCGTGCTGCCCCGGCGCCGCTTCTCGCGTTCACCACCGCCAGTTCGTCGAGGTCCACCACCGCGAGACTTCGATTATCGGCCAGGAGGACCGCCGGGTGGGTACAGGCCACCGCCAATGGGTGGACCGCCACGATACCGCTCTCCGCGACGGTCCTCACGCTCACCGCCACCACGAGGATACGGAGGAAGGGGAGGTAGAGGAGGTGGCCGGGGAGGCAGAGATGATTACGGATACCGCCCCAGGCGATCGCCATCTCGATCCCGATCCCCAAGGCGCAGTCTTTCTAGATCACCATATTCATCCCGCTCACCTTCAAGGACTCCGCCGAGACGTGGAGGAGGCTATCGTAGGAGGGACTCCCCGCCACGAAGAGGAGGACGAGGCCGGAGGCGCCCGAGCTATAGCTCGTACGACAGTTACAGCGATCGCAGCCGAAGCAGGAGCAGGGGTCGAGGCCCTCCAGGTAGGAGGTAGAAACTCCAAAAAGCGAAGGCAGAGAGCGTGTTGCGGAGAAAGGTCTGGCGTTGGTTGGGTGGAATCGTGTAGTTTTCTTTTCGAAGGCTGGGACTTGGGATTGAAGCTTAGGGCTTGGAAAATGAAATACCCGGCGCAGGAATATGCTTCGCTTGCCCGTATTGTATAGTTATGGCAGATCAAAAGCTCAGTTTTCTGTAGCACACTGCCTTTTTCCGAGCTAAACCGGGGGATTCGTATCAGTGCGTAGATCAAAGACCCGTCCGTCAATGTCCTTTGCTTGTTACTGTCGCACATTCCTCAACCCACCCGTAGCTGAAACCCAGCCCCTGCCTGTTCCTCATCCCTAATGGCAAAGATGCCACTGAAATCGATGTTCTGAATGCCCGGCGCTTCCCCACGTTTCGGCGCATTGGGACTCGCTCTCCTTCTCCTCTTCTCCTGCCCCGCTTTACTCGGAAACGTAGGAAACATCTCCGGGGGCTTCGGTTTGGGCGCCTCTCTGAAGTACGGATGGTCGAGCATTTCCTGTGCCGTAGGTCTATGCTCTGGGTTTAGAGATAGTAAGGAGGTGAGCAAGTCTGCGCCGGCATTTGTCAAGAAGGGGAATTTTGTGCGGATTACACCAGCGCTGTTCCTGCCCGAGTCGCGCGGTATTTTCAGGCCTTTTGCGTTGGGCAGGCGCCAGAAGGCGGGCCATGTCTTGTCCGTGGGCAGGCCGCAGAGCGTGAAGATCAGACTGAGCTCGTCGACTTCGTTCTTGCCTTGCAGGATCGGTTCTTTCAATAGAAGTTCGCCGAATATGCAGCCCAGGCTCCACATGTCGATTTCTGTGCCGTAGCTCTCAGTGCCGAGGAGTAGTTCGGGCGCGCGGTACCATAGCGTGACGACGAGTTGGGTGAGTGGCGCGCTGGGAGGCGGTATGTACCGCGCCATGCCGAAGTCTGCGATTTTGAGATGCCCGCGGTTGTTGAGCAGGATGTTGGAGGTTTTGAGGTCCCGGTGGAGTATGTAGTGCCCGTGCAGGAAGCCGACGGCGGATGCCAATTGGCGTAGCAAAGTTTTGACTTCGCTCGCGAGGAAGGGCTCCGGCATGTCTTCCTGCAGCGTCTTGAGGTCGTGCTCGAGGAACTCCATGGCGAGGACTACTTCGTTGGGGGCAGAGCCGGCGAGGACTTCGCGCAGGTCGACGATGTTGGTGTGCCGCGCTTTTTGCAGGATGGCGATTTCGCGGAGGGCGGTGATGGGGAAGCCGTCTTGGTTTAAGTCCATTTTTACTTTCTTCAGTGCTACTATTTCGCCTGTGCCAATTTCTCGGGCGCGCGAGACCCAGCCGTAGGAGCCTTCTTCGATGTGGTTGAGTGTCTCGAAGTTGCTGGTGTGGCGGCAGGGCGCCCATCCTCCGGCGGCGAAGCGGAGCAGCTTTCGCTCGGATTCCTTCTCTTTTGGCGGTTCATCACTATCTGGAGCGTCTGTGGATAGTCGACGTCTCTTTGCGGGCCGCGACTCAGATCTTTGTGCTGCTCGGGCTGCTGCTACTGCTGCTGCTTCTTGCTCTGCCTGTTGTTTCTGGAGCTTCAGGCGCTTCTTTTCTTCCTTCTCTTTTTTGCGGCGCAAGTCCTCGGCTTTGTCCGCCTCGTCGTTTGCCCAGCGTGATGCCATGCTTCAATCCCTCTGTTTCACTTGTGTATCTTGAAGCTTATGATGCCGTGGTCGAGAGTGCCGGTCCAAGTAAGGTTCTAAGCACGTGGGAGGGTGATTTTAGCGGTGGTCATAGCTCCTGCGTCTCCGAGCTTCAACTTGTCGAATCCAAAGATAGACGTTATGGAACTTCGATAGCGACCTAGGATATGAGATCGAATTCTCTCACTTTGTTTAGGACGGCGGCACGTTGTGCTCGACCGTGCCCAACCTCATATCGAACAGCACAGTATGGTATCCGATGGTCCTCGAGCGGAGAGCGACAATGGTCCACTCCGCTGGCGAAGTCGCTCGCTGAAGCTATAACCGTAGGTTTCCCTTCTTAACAGTTGTCGCGGAGATCTAATATGCTTTCCAGACTACGGGCCCTATTTCCGTAGCGTCCTACATGCGGCAATGCCTTACTTCTCCCGAAGGCGGATACTACACACGCCAGACCACCGGTCACGACCAATTCGGCGCGAAAGGCGACTTCATAACGTCTCCGGAGATCAGTCAGATATTCGGAGAGCTGGTGGGCATATGGCTATATGCGGAGTGGCTGGCGCAGGGGAGAAAAGAGAAGGTACAAATTATCGAAGTTGGGCCGGGACGGGGAACGCTGATGGATGATGTGCTGAGGGTATGTTGGATATCAGGAAGGTAGATTCAAGAAGTAGGGAGGCTGATCAATGCCAGACTATTTCGAGCTTTAAGCCTTTCGTCCAGAGCATAGAAGCTATCTACCTCGTCGAGGCGTCCCCACATCTGAGGAATCAGCAAGCGCGACGTCTCGCCGATACCGAGGAGCCCAGCAAGTCAGACATTGGATGGACAGCGCCATGTAAACGCATCCCGGGCTGTAACATTATATGGTGCGAAGATATACGTTTCGTTCCAAAAGGTACCCTCGCACCCTTCCATCTCCCAAATGTAACCAAGCACACTAATGCTCAGGCAGACGAAACATCCACTCCCTTCATCCTCGCCCATGAATTCTTCGACGCCCTCCCCATCCACGTCTTCCAAAACATCCCCGAATCCAAGATCCCCGCGTCTTCCACAATCCTCACACCAACCGGCCCGATCAAGCCCACAACCGGCCCGCAGGCGCCGAAGAATAACTGGCACGAGCTTGTCGTAACGCCTACATCTTCTTCCTCCGACTCGAAAATCCCAGCTTCATCAACCAAGGAGCCCCGCCCAGAGTTCCAGCTCACGGTCTCTAAAACACCAACCCCACACTCGCTCTACCTCCCCAAAACGTCCCCACGCTACAAGAAACTCGAAAACACGCCCAACGCAATCATAGAAATCTCCCCCGAATCGCTATCCTACATCTCCGACTTCGCCGTCCGAATAGGCGGCAGCAACCCGCCAACTTCCCCAACTCCCCCTCTATGCACCACAACACCCACCATCTCCTCGCAATCCGCCCCCCTCAAAAAATCCACCACCTCCGGCGCAGCCCTAATCCTCGACTACGGCCCTTCCTCCACAATCCCCTCCAACACCCTCCGCGGCATCCGCTCACACAAACCCTGCTCCCCTTTCAGCAGCCCAGGGCTCGTCGATCTCTCAGCAGACGTCGACTTCCTGGCCCTCGCCGAGTCCGTTCTCAATGCTTCCCCGAACGTCGAGATCCACGGACCTGTCGAACAAGCTTTCTTCCTGGGCTCGATGGGCATCAAGGAGAGAGCTGAGAGATTACTCAGAGGCGCTAAAGATGAAGAGACGAGAAAAAGACTGGAAACCGGGTGGAAGAGGTTGGTTGATAGGGGCCCTGATGGAATGGGGAAGACGTATAAGGCTATGGCTATTGTGCCGTGGCAGGAGGGAAGGGTGAGACGGCCGGTTGGGTTTGGTGGAGATGTTGTGGGGTAGTAGTGTCTGCTTGTTAGATCATGATGTGTGTGTATAGGCATAGGATTGCACGGTACAATATCTGTATTATTTATTACCAAGAGGGCTCGAGTAGTCCCAAGCCGTTTCACGCTAGTAATGCAGAGTTCATGTCTCATCCAAGTCATCCAGAACGCCGTCATCTCCCAACTCATTGCTTATTGCCGTAGCGCAGTCTCGCCCCTGCCCCATAACTATTCCACTAGCCTCGTGTCTCCTCTTCAAAGCTCCTTCTTCCTCTCAGGACTCTTCTCCATCTCGCCCCTCTCAATCAACTCCTTCCCCACGGCAACGGTCTCCTTCCACCCCTGCTGCCTCGACCAAAACCTCGTCTCGGGCGTGCTCTCGTTCATACTGCCCCTGCGGGCGTCCTCCTCGAGACTCTCCCTCGTAATGCTGCCGCCAGCTCCTGCAGACATCTTTGGCATCTTCTGCAATTGACTCAGGTTCTCCTCAAAGTACTGCTTCCTGATAAGGAACCTCTCCCTACGCTCTTTCTGCAGACCTGGAGAATCAAGCTTGCTGATAGCCATCTCGACACCATAGCGCACGAGGAAGAACGCGTGTTCAGAGAGCATCATGCTGAGAAGGAGCGCCCAGCACTTGATGCTGGAAGGGTGGCCGTCAGGACCGAGGCCGTCGTTGCTGAAGAGATAGACGAGTGCGGAGGTTGTGAGGCTGCCCATCCACGTGAGGAAGCCGAGGGAGTCAAGCCAGGGGCCGATGGTGTCTGCGCGCCAGGGTGTGGGACGTTGCATCTCGACACAGATTTTGATGGCGTCAGCGCGCAGCTCGACCCAGTCGTTGACGAGGAAGGACACCGCTGTGAGGGGCCAGACGACGGAGAAGAGGGAAAGATAGCCGAACTGCAGGACCATTTCACGAAGGTCTGTAGTCACGTCGTAGACGTCGAGTTCGGCTTCTTGACGCACGCGCTTGAGGAATGCCGCATCCTCGGGTGCATCATTGGTCGCAGGAGATGGAGGAACACCGCCGTTCTTCGCAGCACGCTCGGACTGCATCTCCTTGTACTTGGAGAAGCCGCGACGTTTGAGATACGGCACCACGAGTTCCATCCCTAGATTGACGATTTGAGCTGTGACGGTGAAGTATATGACCTGCTTTCGCAGACGGTCAGGATTGATGGTCCAGCCTGGTTTAGCACCTTGCAGCTGCTTCTCGTTTTCCGCAAAAGGCCTGACTGTCAGACTAAAGACGTCGAGGTACGGTACGATGATGTTGCCGAATGGGACGTAGACGAAAGCTGTGAGGAAGATGCCTAGGTAGGAGGTGATGAAGTTGAGGACGAAGATCTTCTGCGTGAGGGCCTTTTCGTATGTTCCATGAGTCTCGTAGTTTTCGTATTGGGTGAGTTGCGTCGCAAACTTTGTCAGAATGCCGGTGAGAATGGGCATGACGGTGGTGAGGATGCCAGTGGGAATGAAGACCTAACACATCAGCAATGATCAAATTCATGGAAGAAAATTTCTCATACCAAGAGCCATTTAAGCGGCCCATCGTAGACCTCAGAGATAAAGACCTCAATGCCAAAGCAAGTCGCGATCAGACCGCCGAGCATTATGGCCGCACCAAGAGCAAACGGAACCTGAAGAAGCTGCCTTTGCAGCCTCTTAGTCCCGGGGAACATTCCAACCTTCTCCCCAGTGACTGGATCAGTGATCAGCTTCTCATGCCTGAAGTCCTTCTTCCTATGCTCGATGTTTGAGACGCCACGGACGCCCCAGCGCACCGCTAGATCGACTTCCTGGTGTTTCCACCACTCGGTGAAGACGGTACACCACAGAGCGTTTATAATACCGTAGATGGGAGAGAAGTGGCCAAGTAGGAGCCATGCGGTGGCACCGAAGGCAGCTGGGAAGATGAGGAAGGTAAAGTACGACTGCGTGAAGGCGAAGTAGAAAGCGATCTGTCCATGGTCAGCCGACGCCCTCTCTAGACCATTGTCACCCTTACCTTCTCGCCCAGACGATTCCTAATGTCATCTAGGTCTTCAGTCTTCAAGAAGTAGGATGAGGTCCATTTCTTGATCCAATCCTTATTGTATGCGTGATCATGCAGCGCGAAGATGGACTCCACACTCTCCCACTCGCCCTCCTTCGGCGTGATGCCAGCTCCACCCTCGGACACTGGGTTCGTGATCAGCTGGTATATGATGCGCAGTCGCTCGGCTTCATATAGCGGTTCTGCCTCGAGGGCTTCGCGTGTCTCCTTGGGCGGGGCAGCAGCACGGACGCCATGAATCCAGTCTCGAACTCTGCGCAAGTGTCAGCGCTGTCGGTTTGCTTGACGTATAGCGCAGTGCGTACCTTGACCTGTAGACCTCGCCAAACAAATGCTCGTCGGAAGCGACTCTCACGAAGAGCAGCACCGAATGTCTATCCCCATTGCGGGCCTCTGTCTGCAGTCCCACAGACGCAAGAGCCTCAACCAGCTTCTCAAACCTCGCAATCGCAGTAGCTTTGCCTGCGAGTCGCTCAGCATTGCCTCATCTCCCCGTTACCCTGCCATACTCACCCGTGTTTGCAAACCGGTAGCTGATCACGTAGTCGACGTCCATGTTCGTTTGGAGAGCCTGACTCTTCGACATGGCTGCGATATAGCCCGTAGCCGAGCGTTCAATCGTCCCTGAGGGTGTGTATCAGAAGAAGGGTGATCAGGGAGGAGGCCGTGTGCTTCCAGCAGCTTAAAAGGAATTCCAGGAAGCTGCATGCTGCACAAGCCAAGCTTTCCAACGACGCGAGCAACGTCATCGACGCGCCCAGTTCCAGATCCAGATCTGTGGTATCCCTGCGTCACATCACACCATCCACCTGGGACCATCTCCCCAAGACGACACAAGATCACAAATAACGAGCATCCATACTCGTAACAGCATACTCTTAACAGAAGCAAGGCTCAATGCTGCGACTCAACTAGAAAGGACAGCCACGCATCTTGGGGCCGTGACCATGCATATATAATGCTGCCCTACGAACCATACGAATAGTACATATCATACAGGTGCGTTTTCATCACGGCTTCACCACAGAAACTCCGCGTTACACATCCGTACCTCCTCAACATCCCTCCAAGTAACATGCTTCGAGCTCTTGCTTACAGGCAACGGTTTCCGATGCCACATGCGCGCAAACCTGCGAGCCGCATCCTCCTCTTCGAACTCAATGACCCAGCGATTGTACACCCGATTCATCACCATCTGATTGATTTGCATTGCGCTCTCATGCTCTCCATGCTGTGGCGGTGCCAGAAAACTGAGAGACGGATCATCGTTCGTGAGGTGATGCGAAAAGTGACGGTCCGGGTTCGCTGCTCGCGGGTTCGCCGAGGATACGGGGAGCATCCTAGACTTTAGGTTGACTATGTCGCGGAGTCGGTGGATCGCAGACTGTTCGTTATGGAATGGCCATTGTATGCCTCGGGCATGAGCATCTTGAGAGATTAATTGATACAGATCCGACTGAGAAGGCTCATAACCTTCAATGTGCATGAGCACTTTCCAAACCTGCGGACGTTCCTCGCCCGAGGAGGGCACGATGGGTCTATAACCGCCTTGGTCGACGAGGGTGCGGAGAGCAGCATTGTACGGCTGCATAACCATGTTTAGGCTCAGAGGTAGGCCTGTGGGCTTGAGCAGGTAGGAGGAGGTGGCGAGATTGATGTCTTCGCCATCTTCAAGGAAGCCTTTCGGCGGCGGTATCGCAGAGAAGATGTTGCTCGGTTGGTGTAACTGGCTTAGTTTGTGTAAACGGACGACGTTGTTCTGATATGCGAGAGCTGACTCTGGAGACTTAAACAGCAGGTAGTAGAAAGGAAGTCTTTCTAAGCTCAATGGATCGCGTCCGGGGATGATCTTATAGAATTCGCCGTCTCTTGCCCAAGATTCGATGTGCTGTCCCTTGGGGACGAGCCGGCGAAAGTCAGCTTCTGTGAGCTCGGTACTGCAGTGCAGGAGTTGGAGTGCCGTGACTTGTTCACTATGCTTTTGGAAAGACTCGATGACTTGGTCGCGTCGAGATTTGGGCGCATCGTATACCTGGCGTCGAATTACAGGAACGGCACTCGGCGGGTCGAGCTTGGGGTAAGGATTTCGTCTAGAGTAGTGCGGTTGAATGTAGCTGCTTGCTTCCGGAAAGAGCTCTTCTAGGAGTGATTGCTCGTTGACCTCGCCAGTCGCAGGAGCTGTGGGTTCCGCAGAGGACACATGTGCCGCGGAATTCTCTAATGATCCTCTTTCTGACGTAGCGATTTCAGAGCTTGATGATGTCGGGTTTGAGGGATCAAACGGCCTCATCAGGCTCGCTTGCGTGTGAATCTGTCTAATGAGCCTCTGGTTGTCACTTTTGTTTTCAAGTGTGGTCTCGTAAATGGCGGCGACATCGGACAGACCTGATTCTTTTGCGCTTTCCCTTTCTTCATTGGATATTGTTGGCGAGATGCTCTTAGTTTCTCCTGGGGTTCCATGCCATGGGCTTTGAGCCTTTGTTGGCGCAAATGGAATGAAGCTCGACTGTTGAACAGGGAAAGCCTCCCTCTCATTGGGCAGTGGATGTGGCAGGCTGGGGGATAATGAGCCGCTTTGTCCCGCCCGCTCACGAATATTCGACGGATTCTCAGTCTCTGAAGCTCTGGCGACGTTCCTTGCTTGTTGCAATGGTTCCGCTTCAGGACCAAGAGTTGTGGTACGGTAATATCGGAAGTAGCGAGGCACCTGCTGCCAGTCTTCTTCCATTTGCGTTCGTTGAGAAGATGGGTCGATCGTTGCCAAGCTCAAGCGGTGCTCAGGGAACGTTTCCCTCTGTGCTGGATTTTTCTTGGATGGCACCTCCGCCCTTTCTGATAGATAGGGCCCCTCGGATGATCGGGCGCCGTGGGACCCAGCATGCAACAGGTTGTGCTTGTGATATATTTCCAATACCTTCCGTAAGCGATAGTCATTTTTCAAATCCGCCTCGCTCTCTATCAGCTGCAACTGTTGGCGGATCCTGTCTGTAATCGACCTGATTCGGGGTGACGACATAGCGTCAAGGTCTTTGAGCGCTAGAACAAGAGCTTTCGTCGACATTCGATGTCGATTACTAGCATTCGCCAAGATATTACGGATTTTGCGCGCTAAAGAGTCCACGGCACTTGCCTGGCTCAAGTTGCTCGAAGTGCTCAATGCGGGCAGAGAACCCAGCTTTTCCTGCAAGAGCCTCACTTGCTCGGCTAATTGTTGTATCTGCTGCGTCAAGTTTACATCTCGATAGTCGGGCTTGGATATGTGGTTTGATAAAGTGGGCATGTTTGGATCTAGGTGTTGATCTGGAGTGAATGCCTCATCTGCACCGGTCTTGGGCGAGCCGCTGGCCGTGGGCTCGGTTGATCCACCCAGGGGCATGCTCCCATGTAGTTGAGGGTCCTTCGGGATGAATGATTCCTTGTACGTGAGGAACCGCTTGATTCTGAGCTTTGGACCCTGCCCATCCGTCGATTGCTGTCTGCTCTCGGGGACGGTACGTGGTAAGGATAGAACCTCGTCAGGATCTTTCTCTGCTTTGACATGCTTTCCATCACCAACTGAATCTTTTCGTTGTCGATCCCTTGTCCTCGCTTGCTTATTCTCAATCCTCATCTTGTATCTCTGGCTCGCAACGTCGGCTGCCTCCGAAGAAGGGAAGACAGCCGGACAGCACGGCGAGCTGTCCGATGAGACTATGTGGCGATGGAATTCAAGTTCGCTTTTGAACGTCTCTCCACAGACATTGCAGAAGCGGGCTTGCCGGGTCCTCGGGGCGGTTTCTGGGATCGATGTTCGCGACGTATTCTCGGAGCCGAGCGAAGGTTCCTTTGAGAGAAGGGAAGATACCGTGCTGACGACCGAACCCCACCAAGTAGTCCTTGTCTGCACGTGTGATTCCTGAGACTTGACAGCGGCCGCGTTCGCTTGCTGGTTCTGGGAGGAAGCTCCCGGGCCTGGGTACAGTTTGAGTTAGCCAGGGGCGAGTCCTAGATCTCCAACTGAGAGCGCCGCTTGCCTTGCGTTGTTGATTGCTGCGCATCATGCTGCGAGTTCGAGCGCACTGGAGGGTCACCGCGCAGCGTGTGCAGCTGGTCGAGGCGCCGGTCGGACACCCAGCGGGCCTGGAGAGAGCTCCATGGGGGATGACATGGCCGCAGAGATCGTAAGAGGCGCGGCGGTGGCATCAATTGCTTCGCCTGGTCACATTGCACGAGTCGAGGCTACAATCATGCGCATGGAGCCGAAAATCTGCAGCAGGTTTGAGCTTAGTCATCCACGATGCTTGGCATCTCTAGCTTTTTTCGCAGCGGACGAGTGCGCACCAGCACTTCCGCAGGGACAAGATCCAGTGCGTTGGGAAGCCGAACATCTTTAGCTGGCTCTCGAAACTATATTGCCTGCTATGACCGCAGCAACCGCCTTCGCGCTTCGTCCTCTGGAGGTACGTCTGATCCTCTGAACCGCGCCTGTCTTGGCATCTGGAAAACCGCTTGTGAGATCGTCAATCGGGTTTCCGCTCTCTTAGCCTTCGAGTTACTTGCTAATGTATGCCGCTATGCTCGCAGCGCGGCAGCAGTAACAATGGTCTGGAGGGAGCATTTCGCGTCCACCTCTCCGCCAAAGAACTCAAGAACCTCGGCCTCGTAAATGGAGATCTCATCCGGATGAACACTGCGAAAGGATTTCACGGCTTTGCTGTTGCATGGCTCGCTACTCAGACAAACCCAGGAAACAAACCAATAGCGAAGACGACAGACCTCTTGCGGGAGAAGTATGGGCTAGCATTGACCGATGCTGTTTTCATCGAAAATGCCAACGAGTGCTACAAGGCCATCCGGACTGTCAAGGTCAACTTCACAAAACCTTCAGATGTTCCGAGCAACTTTTCCACGGAAGAGTTAGCCTACAGGGTCAAGAGCGCTTTAGGTACGGCGACTATGGTGCTCCGGTCGTGCCTCCCTCAAGCTGACCGCAACCAGAGGACCTTGACCTAATATTCCCTGGATATACATTCGAGGTGCAACTGAAAGGCCCACGACCTCGCCAAAGGATGCCGAAATTCCGGTTGACAATCGACGAGGTCGAACCCCACCCGGAGGACGCCCATGCTTTCTACTTTGATATAGTCAGTTCTCAGGTCGCCGTTTTGAATACCGCCAGGGATGTGGACTTACAAGCTCAATCCAATTTGGCATTGCAAATCAAGAGCCACGGCATCGGAGGCATGTCAGATCACATCAACACTATCAACGGTTGCCTTACCTTTATGAGCGAGGTCATTCCCCACCGTTCAAATATGCGGCTCATTGGGCCTACTACTTTTCTAGTTCACGGCCCAGAAGGATGTGGGAAGACTCTGCTTCTCGAGAGACTATCCGACTGTCCATGGCGCAGAGTTTTTCGATTGGATCCGGATTGGCTCACTTCAAATCGAAAGGCACAGGCTGAGGCGATGTCTGACGAGATATTCTGCAAGGCCCGCGAGCACCAGCCCAGTTTGATTCTGATCGATCGCTTAGACAAGTTCCTCCAGAAAGCGGAGACTTTGGTAAGCCGGCTGGAGCTGGAATTAAAACGACTGCAAGGTACCCAAGTCGTCGTAGCGGCAACTGCCCGCAGCGTATATGACATCGACGCGAGTCTCCGAACGCCCTGGACTTTGAAGACGGAGCTAGAGATCTTTCCTCCGAATGTGAGACAACGAGAGGACATGCTACGGCAGATTATAGGTCCCGATCAACAGAACTCGACCGTCCGCTTCTCTTCCTTGGCCGAACGCTCACATGGCTTTGTGGGCCGAGATATCGATAAATTGTGCTGGCTAGCAGCAGATCATCACGCAAAGCAGGTCTTTGAATCACTAGCGGCCGAGCAGGTACGTTGTGGTATGCATATCGGCATGCCTTCTTTCTGGCTTCGCGCAGCAGGCCCTAGAGGCCTTCGACAGGTAGCGCAACCAAGACGCGATGCTACACTTGCGCCTCTCCCATTGTCGAAATCAAGGCATTTGCTAATGCGTACCGTCGCCTTCGCAGAAGTCTTCGCTTGACGACGTCCTTCCGAGCTTGAACTTGGTAACGCAGGAAGATTTCGATGCGGTCCTACATCAGGTCCAACCAACCGTCCTCAAAGACAGCATTCTCGAAGTGCCGAAGATCAGATGGACTGATATAGCTGGGGTGGACCATGTGAGAAAGTTGCTCGAAACCATCACAGTCCGCCCGTACAAGGTAGCTCCCCTATAGTTCGCGTCTTTAATGTAGCTCCATATTGACTATGTGCAGTATCCTGATCTCGACCTCAAGTTCGGAGGACGTCAGTCGCGCAAGAGCGTTCTACTCTACGGACCCCCTGGATGCGCAAAGACCTTGATCGCTCAAGCGGTTGCAACCGAATCTAATCAAAACTTCTTAGCTGTCAAGGGATCGGAACTCATCAAGATGTACGTCGGGGAGTCTGAGCGTGCAATACGAGACGTCTTTCGCCGAGCACGCGCAGCTAAACCATGCATCATCTTCTTTGATGAGATCGACTCGATTGGCAAGTCGCGGGAAAGGAGCCAAGACAGCGGGCTCAACGTTGTCACTACACTGCTAAATGAAATGGACGGCATTGAAGCCCTCAAAGAGGTCTTCATCATCGGAGCAACAAACAGGCCTGACATCCTAGACTCGGCACTTACCCGCGCAGGCCGCTTCGATGCTCATATCCATATTGGGCTGCCGAACGAAGAAGCCCGGAGACAGATTTGCGAGATCCACACAAGGAATGCGCCGCTTGCGGCGGATGTGGATCTGAGCATCCTCGCTTCGAGAACAGAGGGAAGCAGCGGGGCGGACATTAAGGGTCTGTGTGCCGTTGCAATCGAGAAGGCAAAGGAAGATTATCAGCTATCTCCCGAGAGTCAGCCTGAAATCCGCTGGTGTCACTTCGAGCAAGCGCTGGCCGAGCATGTCCCGAATACGTCACCAGAGGAAGCGCGGCGTTATGAAGGATGGAGGCCCGGAAAGTCGCTGTCCGCAGCAGACTGAAGCTCGTAAAGCTTGGCCTAGAGGCCTTCATCACCTTTTCGTCAGTCGACACTGCTCCCATGGTTGGAGCTCCGATGATTGGCGTCCTGCGGAAGAATTCTCGAAGGCAGCCGCATAAGAACAAGGAGGCGTCGAACACAAGATAGATTAGCCGCCTGTACGGCGCGAACATTCGCGATGTCTTCGAGCAGCTCACCACTTTATGCCTGGCTAAACTTCCGCTGTGCTGGCTCCCGCTGACATTCGACGAGCGCGTTGGGGCAATCTTGGATATTTGGACAGGGCTGTGGCTGAGTGGGATCCTGCGTTTCTTGCTTCATTTCCGGAGCGCGCCGGACGACGCGAGTGGGTCCACTGTTGTGTTTGTCGTTCACATTGCGCTCGAGAACGACGGCAAATCATGCTCAATCCCACTCCGGCCCTTTTGTTTGCGTGCCGCCGGTGGGGCCCAGGCTGAATTCATTTCAACGACGCAGCCAGTGTCTGTTGTTGGAGAGGATCCTTGGCACATCAGATAGCGAAATTGCGGGACTGGGGCAGTTGAAACCGGGCTCGTGCTCGCCACCTTGCTGCAGGAACAGCCGCCTTGTCGTTGCATCTCACGATGGCAGAACGCTTCGAGACAACGGCCCTGGCCTGGCGTCATGGTTCCCGCTGTCACGAACCTGCCGCCGCAGCCAATCCGCGCCCGCTCCGCCACCCAGCCCGCGTTGTGCTACATCCTTCGCCCACCTTTCTTCCGCGCGTACCCCATCTCGTGCAATCTGTCCCTGACATCCAGCGGGCGTACCGTACGGGGCTTAGTTACCGCTAATCCAGGCATGAAAGGCTCTTCGTAATCGGCAGGCATGTTGTTTCCCTGTCGACCGTTCGTCTCGCGCAACCCTCGCACATTTCATCATCATCCTCCCTCTGACTCCTGCATTTCCTCTGTTTGCGCAACTTCTGGCTCCGGGGAGAGCTGTCCATTCCTTCATCGTCGCTCCCTCCCACCTAGTCGCTCCTTATTTGAGAAATTTAGTTCCTGATACCCACTAGCACTCTTGAAACCGCCATGTCCAGGATACTGGGAAGATCGAGGTCGTTGCGCATGCTCAAAGGCGGCCAGAAGGAAACCCACCAACGGGAGACTGATAGCGCAACGCCGCAGCCCACTCTTTCGCAGGCGGACGTCGAAAGATTAAAGGCAGCATCACCTGTCGCAAGAGCAGACCGACGAGTTGAAACTCCCGATATGTTGCAACGGCCGAAGACATCAGGCGGGCCTGGCGATCGCTCGACTCTTTTCCACAAAAAAGTGACTCCTGTCCACGGCGAGAGTCGCGGCTTTGAATTTGCTCTCCCATCGCCGACGAAATCTACGACCGTCCTCTACGCCGCCGAAGTCGAAGAAAGGGAAGGAGTAATCGGCATCGCGCTTGGCAGTCCCAGCATGGCCTCACACTGGAACACCACGCCTCAGGCAACAGACTTCGTCACCAACAATCTCGGCACATTCACCCAAATCTCTTCACACAACAATTCTCCCAAGTCATTTCCGCAATCGATCGAGGCCCCCCAAGGGACGCCAAAGCCCAAGCTCAGCCGGTGGAAATCATTATTCAAAAAGACGGCGCCTCCTCCACCACAGCGGGAGAAGGACTCTTTCTACCAATTGGCGAAGTCAGTTGCCCCAGCGCGAGCTGATAGCCACCATGACAACGAGTCGCTGGACTCACGTTCCCTTGTGCACCAGGAGGACGACCCTCGCTCGGTATCACCACCGACATTCAGGCCCGAAATCAGAGAGTCTCGCAAATTGCCCAAAGCACACCCGCAAGCACAGCCAGCGGTAGACACAAGGCCGCGGGCTCTAACTATGGGGGTGAATCCGATTGGAAAACCGAAGCCATCGCTCCTACGCTCCGCTTCAAGTCCTAAACCTCTGGCCAAGGATGGCTTTGGCGATTCTCCGACAGTACCACGAGTGGTTGTCTCTGGTGGCTCCCACACTACCTCTCCACGAACGAACGGCGAGAAGCCACTACTTGATGTCGATATCCCGACGGTCCACATGGAGCGATACAGCGTCATGTTCAGCGGTCTGCTCCAAGGCAATTCGAATCGCCAATCGTCGCTCTTACAACGGCGACAAGGCAACTCAGAAAAACTGAAACCACTGAACGAGCTGTCGGTCAAGGTATGTGTTCCAAAAATAAATTTCGAAAAGCTTGTCTGACGGAACTAACAGAACGAGGAGGATGGGTCCCACAACCGGTCCCTGAAACCACAGCGGAGGGCGACATCGCCCTCATTCGCGCCAAAGTCACCTGGCCATTTGTCGCTCTTTCCTTCAGCCAACACTTCAAGGGCACCATCTCCACGAGCCGTGACGGTTAATCGACCGCGTCCATTGCAACGCTCAAAGACTGCACCAGCTGTTTCCCCGCACCGACAAACCTTCCCAAAACAAACCGAGGACGGGGCAAAGGATGCGTCTCAAGAGTCCAAAAAGGGTGAAACTCTAAAGCCAGGAACAGATGCTGAATCACGAGCGGCCACCCCTTCCTCAGACCGAAGCTTCGACTCTGACTCGGAAGAAATCACCATTGTAGTTGCCCAGGGAGCCCCAGGCCAGACCTGGCGACCGCGCCCGGAAGAGAAGGAGCCAGAATGGGAATTCGTCTCGAAACCAACAGCAATTACTAAGATGTCCGCGCTCTCGTCCCATCCCGCCACGCAGCCTTCCTCGGCGCCCCTGGCGCCATCACGCAAGAGGTCTGAAACGAATTTATCTCCTACCCCGCGATCGGCTGATCGGCCAGCTGCCGAGAGGAACCCTGACAACGCGCCTCAGGCGACTGTGGGCGTGGCCAGGTCGCTCTCGGTAACCCGTGCGAATAGGCCTGAGCTGTTGAGACCGACGCTGTCGCCGGGGAGATTTGTGGACAATAAGCCTCTTACGCCCACGCTGGTCGAGTTGAAGAACCGCAAGAGCCAGAGGGTGCAGCTCGTGGATGCATGAAATTTTCCTTTTCGTCTCTTTCTTATTCCCGTTTCGTCCACATGGCCTGTAGCGTCTGGAGTTTTCATTGAAGGTCCAGGATGTCGCCTTCTCACACCGTTTCCACTTCTCCGTTAGCGGGCGATCAGGAGTAGCCTTGGGAGCGTTCCGTTCTCGGGCGATAGGAGGCGAAACTTCGACAGTCCCAGACAGAGGGCTCGGATTATGCCGAGGTACCACCACTCTTCGGGTTCGGCTTTCTTTTCCTATGTTCAGGGTTGACCGCAGGGCGGAGTATGAATTGGGAGATTCAGGGACGGACTTAGATACCATTTGTTGCATTTTGATCGAGCAGTCGATAGAGGCACGGAAATTTAGGATGGCATTTGTAAGGCTGATGCACAGTGAGGACATGAGTGAAGTGTGATTAAGCTTGAGGCGATATCGATAGGCGCAAGCCGTGAGATGAGGACTGACTCAACGTGGTGGCTGACTCTTTGCCGAACTCTCGAGGTCCGAGAATGGGAGTCAGGGGTGTGGGACGCGAGGGCGGCAGGCGGCAGGCGGCCGTGACTTCCCTACACAGGCGAGCGGTGGCCTCAGGCTCCGCACCTGCGTCGTCGCCGTCGCACCAGTCCCACTCCATCTCGACGTCTGCGCAAGACTCCTGCGCGCCTTGCCCCGGCGGCAGTACCGGCAGCACCATCCACATCATCCTCACCGTCTACCAGCAACATGAGTTCGCAGTTCGCACCATCTCTCGCACAGGCCGGGTGTCTGCAGCCTCATAGCGACCGTGCCTCAGGCCCCAGCCTTCTGTCACCCTCTCCTGCGTATACTCCAAACGACGGAGCGCTTCCCGCGGAAAGGAATTCCGCATGCTTCTCTTTTGCGTCAAGCACCTTCTAGGAAATGCAATCCACGTATCTGCGCGTCCAGCAAGGCTTCGCCATCCCACAATCCAGCAAGGCTGCCGCGCTGCTGCGGTCGTGAATGCGGAAAGAAATGGTTGCCTCCCACACACAGCCATTGTCCTCGCAGACTAACTGGCAGCCACGTCTCCTCTCATTGGAAGATGCCAACTCCATCCTGCAACCATCGTACTCGAGCAGCACCGTCGCCTGCTCGCCGCTCGCGGCAGACCCCAAGGCTAACCTCAACGCAATGCCCGGTGTGCGTTGTCGCGTGCTGACAGTGGAGATGCAGGACGAGGCTGAGTACCAATGTCTCAGTAGATGGACATTTGAGCTTTTCTGAAAGTGTCTTGTCGTTTCTTCCTTCGATTCCTCCGGTTACGTGCTATCTTGTCTGTCGGACTTCACGCCTCGCACTAGAACTAGCGCGGTAAGTTACTAAGTGTTGGCTCTGAACGGACTTGAGCACAGGCAGGCTATACGATTGTCCTTTTGATCCTGCCTTGTCCAGAGCATTCTCTTCAAGTTCTCGTCTTCATTGCCGCTACCAGCCGTGAGGCCATAATGTCGAACCTTGAGGTACGCCAACCCCTCCTCGCGCAAGCTATCTTCTGTCCACGGGCGCCTCCCTTCCACACTGCGCCCAGGAAGAGCCCGCGTCAAGGCTCAACACTCGCATTCTTAACAACGCATCCTGTTCTTTTGTGTATCCACTGACCATCATACCATGTCCATAGGTTTTTGGAGCCGTTGCTACCCTCGTATCAGCGTTCCATGGCGGTGCCGAGCTGATTCCGCGGATAAAGACGAGGAAAGGGCGGCGCGGCAGCAAGACGCAGAACGAAGAATCTGAAAGAAAGCAGCTCCAAAAGTCTCTTGAGACAGCAGAATCCGAAATCGGCTCCCATTATGCTGCCCATATTGAGAGACTCGGGGACATGGTGAGGATTGGTGATGGTCTGTTCACACTTCCGAAGTCCGTTGACTAGCACCACCAATGCTGACAACATCGAACAGTCATCGCACGCGACCGCCTACTCCACATTGCTGTTGTAATCCAGACGGATATTATCATGAGTCTGCAGCTCGCAGTAAAATACGAGAATGCGCCACTAGACCTCAAGGCCCTTGATGAGGCGTCGACAACAAACAAGAAGGACGCAGTCGACGCCCTAGACGAGTTGAAACAGAGGATTCTGCTTAGGAGCCCGTGGCCACGGACATTTGCAGGCACGCCTGAAGATTCAAGTAACACGCGGGACTCGATCCAGTCTGTGCAAACATTACGGAGTCCTGCTTCCAGCCTCGCTGTAGACAGCCATGTCTCGAAAGGAGATTCGCAAGATGCAAAGACCGGCTTAGCCCGCTACTTTGCCATGAAACGGCGAAACGACAGTGTATCATCCATTACTTCTACCAAAGCCCCCCAGCCTCTTACCTCTGACGGTGCCAACTTCCATCCGGCGCTCAGTCACCTCTTGCAAGGCAAAACACCGGAGGAGCGGACGTCAGTCATGAAGGATATTGACGAAATTATCGCTGCGTACCAAGGGTTGCGGGTGGAAGGGGACCGGGCAGACGCTTTCGCTATACTGACTGGAAGTCATGATGGACCGAAACGGGATACGCTGGCCGTATTGATGGGCGGAGACAAGAGGGATACAGTGGGCTTGCACAAAGAGGCACTGCAGCTACTCAGGGATCTCCCTCCCACCCCTGGGGAACGACAGGAGAACTTTCAATACCCCGCCTACAACCATAATATTCTCAACGAGGACGACGGGCGCCGGTTGAGCCAATGGATAGAGAAGCGGAATGACGCACCCGCGCCGCCAGTACAGTCGCGATGGTCGACCACCTCAGCCTCAAGCTCAGTATACTCCCAGCGCACAGTAAATTCCGACCCTCCTTCCCTATATCACTGCGACTCTACATCCTCGCGTGGATCGCCAATCTCCCCCACCGAGCCGGAGACTCCTCACCCTTTCTTCTCCACCTACCGTAGTAACCCGGTGCAAGCCACCGTGCCTCCCGGGTTTTATGACAACACGCACCAGGCTCGAGAGTCATTACCCAGTCACATTGCCGCCCATCTCCGAACGCAGGGTCTGCCCATTGCACCTCCTGTACCCTCCCAAATGAACACACGTCCCGTCGCGCCATTCTCGACCCCGCTACGCACCCTTACACCTCCCAATGCGTCCTTCACAGTCCCACCGCGACCACGAACGCCAGTCAGGGACACACCAGTCTGGAACCCCAACAGCGGACTCCCAACAAGCAGCATGCGCCTGCCATTCGCCCCAGGGCAAGACCGCTCCAGCATAATCCCCTCTCCTCTCGCCCCAGCTCGCTCCAGTTCAGGCCCCAACCTCGCCATCACCACTAGCACCATCCTCGGCCCCACCGCCGACCAACAAAAGATGATGGACGGCCGTCCCTGCAAAAGCAACAACTACTGGGGCTTCTGCAAAGGCGCGTGGGCAGTCCGCGAAGATTTGAAGAAGGGCCTGGGTCTCGAAACGCGGCCCGAGGGTATGTACAATACCTCGCAAATTTGGACCTGTAAACACTGCTCCTTCTCTGGCGCTTCGTTCAGCACCCCGCACCCCACCAAGAAAAACAAGAAAGAGGTGGTTGTCGACCCGAATATCTACGTCTCCGCTGTTGGCATCCGCTACCGCTGGATTTTCCTCGCCAAGTCCCACGTCAAGAAGAGATCGCCCGCTTCCTCCGATCCTTCGGGCACGAAGTCCGTGGCGGCGAAGAAGGGGGCTATGGATGAGGGCTGCAACTACGGGTGCGTGATTTGCAGTGTCGAGGGCAATGTGACGGGCATCTTTGGCAATGTGGAAACACTGATGAATCATGTGTTTATGGAGCACGTGCGACCGGGCGGCATGAGCGAGAGCGCGCTGGCGAGAAGCAAGTGCGTCATGGGGAGGATGGCGGGCGCGGATGAGGAGTGGGATATCAATATTCCCGTGGAGAACGTGCTGCAGGTTTGAGATCGAAGCTCGTGCTTTCAACGGAGCAGATCTAGGGGTTCTTTTTCCTGTCAGGTTCCTTTCGTTGGACTATTTCTTTACTAGGCCGATCCTCTTTTTCTTTCCATCGTTCATCTGGTCTTGGCATGGCATGGCGTAGGGGTGGACGGCGACGCGAGATTGATACCCTCTTTTTTAGTTTGCGTAGATGCGACCGCATGCATGTACTACTATTACGTTCTAACGAAGCGCCATTCTTTCTTCTTGCTGAGGCTTGGGGAGTCGGAATCTCCTGCCGTGCAGATACAGATCAATATAGAAAGAGAGAAGTGGGGAAGATGTACCATTTACACACGCAGTTATCAGTTAGGTACCCAGTCTCAAAAGGGGATGCTTTAGAACCGTAAAGACACTTATCAACGCCGCACTATGCAAGTAAAGGCAAATGCAATCGTTTGCTCAAACCCCCGTTCATTATTCGTCCATTTGCCAGGCGTACTCCATCCTCTCAATGTTTGCTTTGCGGTTTCTTGATTTAAACCACTCGCTCTCGAACCCATTGCCCCTGTCCACACCATCCCACCTATGCCCCGGGCGGATACCATATCGATTCGGCTGGAATGCACCTTTGTAGAGCGGCTTCCCCGTGATACTCCGTCCAGCTTTCTTCCTGCGCAAGAAGCCCGCGGCGGGATCATTCCAGCGGCCCTGCTCCTTCAGCTCATCATTGAGCTCCGCATCGTCCGCATACCGCGCGATAGTCAAGCCCTTCGCATCCTGCAGCTGCTGCTTCCTTTTCGCCGCCTCCGCATTCTGCACGTCGCCCCGCGCCGCCTTCTCCTTCTCCAGCTTCTTGCGCTCCTCCTCCTCGGCCTTCTTCCGCGCCTCCGCGCGCTTCATCGCCACGTTAATCACCCGCCCGCTCGCGTCTCGATAGATGGTCTCCCCCGCGCCGCCCTCCTTCGCCACCTCCGCCGCTTTTTTCTTCTCCTCCTCATGCTTTTTTTTCATGGCCGCGGCTACCTGCGCGGCGGTCTGCAGGCCCGCTTTCGCGCCCGACTCCATGAATACGCCCTCCGTGTCTACCATTTCTGGAGCTTCGTCTTCGGCGGCCGCGGCGGCTTGCCGGTCCGCGGCGGTGGAGGATATGATTGCGTCGGCGGCGGCTTGGTCGGCGGCGAGTTGTTCGGCGTGCGAGGGCGGGGCGACGCCGACGGTTGTCCAGCCTGCGGCGGCGGTGTCGGCTGCTGGTTTGGACTTTTTCTTGGACTTTTTCGAGGAGATTGTCATGCCGGCTGCGGGGGGAGGAGTCAGCATACCTGATTTATGTAGAGAGAAGGGGAGGGTATGTGTACCGATTGTCGGCGCATCTTCGTCGTCGTCGTCTGCACCTTTGTTCCAGCCTGAGATGTCATCTTCGTCGATCTTGAGCCCGCCGTTGTGTTTCCGCTTGCGCTTTTTGGATTTCTTGTCTGAGTCGGCGGTGAGGTAGTTCTTTGCTAGGTAATCGGCGAGAGACATGGTTGGAGGTTTGGAGAAGGAAATGGGAAAGTTGCGAGCGCAACTAATTGCAGGTTATCGCATGGATTAGACGCTCCGCGATTGATGCTCTGTGCGTCGCTAGCGCGACGCTAAAAACTTGTAGAGAGAGATGGGGCGCGAGCAACTGCTAAAGAACAGCGGACCGCGGATAATTAACAGAATAGACGGAGAACTCACTGAAATCAATGGTAAATCTTTCACAAGCCTTGCAGTTACTTTTGTCGGCACACGGTGGAATTGAGCTCAAAGACCCGCCCAACTACGCCGCCACGCTCCTCCGTGCCATGCACAAACGGCTCGTCGAGTCGACTTTATATGATATTGCGCCAGCTTATCGCGAGGCTTCCTGCGGCCTTTTTTTTTGAACAATGTATTGCCTTGAAAATGCCTCAATTTTGCTCCAGTCTAGTTCAGAGGTGCCCACGCGCTTCCCGTCGTTTGCAATTTCAGCTAGAGCCGTCCCAACCCAGGTACGACATCTCCAATCTGAGTCCCCGTTGACGACTGGAAGATTCCGAAGAAGACTGATCAGACCTCCGTCGTGCTCGTCTTGGCACAGCGCACTGACACAGTTTGGCGTCCTTGAGCCGTACTCAAGAACCGTTTCCGCCTCCATAGCACACCATCGAATCGATTTTGTTGATACCCACTGTTCAGCTCCAAGCGCTCGGTCCTTACACTCAGTGTTTCAAATTATACCGTATAATCCACAACGACTAGTTGCAAAGCTTTTCTCTGCTGTTAAGTAACCGCTGTTGAACTAGCACGTCAAATGCTTCACGGCACAGTCCGCGCTTCACTAAAATTACATTCGAAAACGGTCATGAGTGTCTCAGTAGGTATCCATTGGACAGAGTCCTTGGATGCACGCGGCAGCGGCTCTATTAATTGGTGGAAGATGAGGAGAAGGATTTGATCTGATTGATTGCAGAAGTGAACAGTGGACACAGATCATGGCCATGAGGGGTAGCAAATAGTGGATAAAGAGTCCCTCGTTTCTTCGTTAGGTCAATCAGAATCTAACAGTTACTTAACGTTTATCCAATATTTCCTAAGCAATTGTCTATTTCCCGTTCCCGCACAAAGCAACGGTTTTTTTGAAGCTCTGGACAAACTCTCATTCACCATGTCCTCCATCAACAAGGTCATTTCGAAGAAGATCGTCTCCACTATCGTCAAAGACGGAAAGTCCGTCGTGGTCTCCACTGCGACCGAAACCTCACAGTGGAAGCGCCCTGACGCTGTGGCCGAAAAGTTGGCGGTGTTCTGGAGGAATCACTCGGAAGCTGGGGTGGTAAACTCCCCGGGGCCACAAAGGAGGTCTGCTCCAGGTAAGAGCGCTTTCTTATTAATGCTGCGACCCTGGAGGCTGATATTAGTATTCAGGGAGTCCGGCCATAAAAGCGACGCCGATAAGCGCGACCATATCACCGCAGTATCTTCGTCATCCTTCCACCACTCATCCTCTAGCAGCTCCTTTGCGGTAGGTCGATCCCTCCAGTCGAGCATCATGATCTTCCTAATGAAGTCCTTATCCTTCTTGATGACTTCCCTTTCAGTCGTCCGGGAAAATGGCGTAGTCTTTTCTTGAGGGATTTCTTGCATCAAATACAAGATCGAGTTAATGGTTTCTGGGCTAGTAACCTCCTCAAACTTCGCAGGGAATGGGGCAAAGTAGCGGAATTGTTCCTTGAGAACTTCCAGCAAGTATTCTTCGTGGTCTCGATCCACGCCTTTAGGTCGGAAAAGATTGAAGTCCCCGCCGTAGATCAAGCTTATGAGCTAGAATTGAGCGGTATGAGCAGATGTGTTGAGTAAGGAATGGCTGGACAAGGGAATAGTGGGAAAACGAATACGCACCACAGCACCGAATGACCATATATTTGTTGCCGTGTTCCATGGCATTTCTAAGATGACCTCCGGACTTGACCACATCGGCGCTCCGACCAGTGTTCCGGATGTGGCCCAATCCGAATCAACGGGGTAACATCCGCCTAGATCTCCAAGTTGGACGTCGGAAAATCGAATGTCACCTTCTCGGAAGTTGACAAAAACGTTGTCAGGTTTGAGATCTCCAGCCTGAATTAGCCGTGCATCTAGATAAAACATGGCGTAAAGTCATACCGGTATGCACATAACCATCCTCGTGGAGAACCTTTAATGCTTCTAGGATGCATCGAGAAACGTGCTTGAGCTCCTTTCGGTTCAAAGTTTTCTTGATCGATGCATCCAAAAGATCACTCTCCAGATACCTCAGGGCAATGGTTACAGGGGCAGAAGGCTCCTGGATCTCATCAACTAAGGGTCGAAGGCAGTGAGTACGATGTTGGAACCGTTTGAGGACGTCTCGTTCATTTTCTATTCTTGGATGATCTTGAACGCTTTTGATTACCACGGTTTCTTGCACTTGGTTTCTGATGACGATCAGTTTTCAGATAAATGAAATTCGCTTCTGATTCGGCTCACTTCGCAAACCAAACAGCCTCTTGCACCTCTTTCGTAATGGTGTACTTCCCAATTCTACCCTTAAGAACTTGCCCGATTCGAAAGAGAGACGACATGAGCATATATGAATGCCTTAAAAAGAGCAACGCCACCTAGTAAGATGATCAAAAGCTCTGAATAAGAAATAAGGGAATGGTGAGGGTTGTGACGTGAGGAGGCATGGTAGGAGGCACGACAGAAGGCAGTCGCGCCAAGACGCTAAAAGCTATGGCCGCATGCAGGCCTCAACCCAATTTCGTCGCCCTCATTGTAGCAGGCCAGCGGCGAGCCATGCGCTCAAAAATCGAAAATCTGCGTGCGAAGACTTTTTCCCGATAAATGATGCGCGGGGAGCGCTCCGACGAGGCGTGGGCGTGGTACTCGGCCGTGTATGAGGCCATCCAGGAAATCCCGTATGGCAAGGTCACTTCATACGGTCATATTGCGAGACTGCTGGGAAAGCGTAGGCATCTCTTCCTCTGCTCCAAGACAGGGATGGCCCACTGACGCCTTCTCGGGCTCCAGCTCAGTGCCCAAGGTACTTTATTTCGCACGCGTCGACCTGGAGAGCCTGAGCATGACATCGTCAAAGACAGGTCGGAGTGTGTCTAAAACACCTTCCCTCTCCTTCAACCGATCCCAGCAAGAAGAGCCCGACATGGCACAGCGATAACGTGCCATGGCAGCGCGTGATCAACGCCAAAGGCGGCATCAGTCCTAGGTCAGTCCTAAATCCTTTGATTTACTCTATCCTTTGTTGCCTGCGTTTGTTAACAGGACAAAGAGGGCCTTCCGGCGCGAGCCGTCAAGCAGCTGTCCTGAGAGCTGAAGGCGTCGAGGTGACGCAGGGCGCTTTGGGCGAGTTTACGGTGGACTTTGGGAGATATGGATGGTTCCCTTCCGTTCTGCCCAGCGAGGCTGGCTTGGTGGAGAGCAGCGACGAGGAAGACGAGGAGGCGGCTGCGTATCATACCTGAGGCAATCCAGGAACAGGTGTTTGCATCAGCCCTCCAAGGTACACTTGCTTAGCACGTTGGTGTTCACGACGAATGATTGACGGACGATTACGACCGTGACTGCGCCTAGTACCTTTGTCTGGAACCGGAAAGTAGCTTCTCCTTGGAGGTAAACAGCATCCCACCTGGTGGTGCTCCCGCGGCTAGCGATTACGTCGTTGTAGATAGGTATTTGCCGAAACAACCCGCCATGTTGAGGAACAGCGGACGAATCCGGGTACGGTCGAGTAAGGCGTGCTCGGACGCGGCCATGTCATAAGCGCAGTACAAACAATGGAGCGAGGGGCTTGTCGAGATGAATGCGTTCCAGCTGTGTGACTTTTGCCGTCTGGATGTCCGCAAATGCGGGGAGCGCGGAGGTTCACGATGTCGCGCAGCCGGGCCTCGATGGCCAGTGCAACACGAAACCAGCTCAGCCTCCAACCAGCACGCCCACGTTCGCGCAACCAAGGCGCATGATAGCTGCCGTCATGTCATCAGCGCCAAATGTCATCATCCGCCCTCAGCAGGCCGCCCGCTCGCTCCAACCGGCTTCCAAGGGCGAGCTTGGGGGCCTCGGCGAATCGGACCGCGTCTCACGTGGGAGCTTCCATCACTCTTATCGCCCGCCAGGCACAACAAAGGATGTGGGGAGGCGTCCACCTCCCAAGCTCATAAAGGGCCAGCTTCGCCGCAGCAGCGGTTACATCACACGCGCTTTCATAACCATATAACTTGTGCATCGCCACTCAGGTACTCCCTCATACCGTAGCTCGGACTGAGTCACCCCTCAGAGTCATATCCTAGACAGCTGCCAGTCACCAGTCACCCCTTCTCTCACCTCCGGGCTTATTAGTACCTTCTGTCATACCTCATTCACCTTCCACTCGCTACCTCCCCTTCATCCTCCTCTTCAAACAAGCTACCTATTTAATCTACCTAGCCTCCTATAGTCTCCCGACCCCTACACCTTTGAACTGTTCCCAACAAGCACCTCTCGACCAGTCAAGGAAGCTCCCAGCAGTGGCCATGGCGTCCGAGCAGGCCTTCACGAACGACCTCCGCAGCGGTGCCAAGGAGTTCAACCGCGATAAGACCAGCCGCGTCAAGTGGGCTCACGGTCAATCGTTCGGCCCAGGACGACGGGTTGAGGACAACCGACCTCGACCCGCCCGGGTGGTCCCCACCCCAAAGTCAGCCTCCCCAACTACTTCGAGTTATTTCAAGAGCTAACATGCCCAGGTCCACCTCCGGCTTCAACAAGGCCCGCACTGCTCTCAAGAACGACATCGCGTACGCCAGCGGGGACTCGTCCGCGGACGAAGACGTCGAGCACCCCTCCACCGCGCCTGCTCCCGATGCTGAGATAACCTACTCCTATGATGCGGAGCGCGGACCGAACCACGGCAGCCAGATCTTGGGGCTTGCCCTCGCGAAGGCCGTCGAGCGCTTCGAGGTCCGTCAGACAGACAAGCTGATCAAGGAAGAGTACGAGGTGCTGGATATCAATGCCGAAGCTCTGTCTCCGGGACCAAAGGTCAACAGGAAGCTTGTTGCGCCTGAGGACGAAGAGTACGAGTTCGTCGACGCTTGAGCTCCCCGCTCTGCGGTGATCTTCCCTTCCTTCCGGCACGACTTGTATATTCCGACATGAGCAACCTGGCATGTTTTCCATCGGCGTTTGTGCGGCATTCGCATCAGCATCGATCTGATACCACGGGTACTGTATTTTGGATTCTGGCATTGTAATGGTACATGGCAGCATCAATAGGCGAGCGTTCGGCGCTTTCTGAGGACTTGAGCAGCCCTTTACCGGCTTTCGGCCTACTTATGAGTATACTGCATTGGCTTTTTGATTAGCGGAGGGACGGATGGACTGGCGGGGACCTGGTCTTTATATGCCTGCTCGTTGGTTGACTTGGCCCTTTGCTTGTGGCATGCCCCGCGCCTCTTAGTAGTCGAATATTTTATCGATGAGATGCATGAATTCATGCATCTCGAAACCGAGCATACTTCCGAAGACAACGTGTATAGTCGTGAAGCAAGAGATCATTGCAAAGTACGCGTCATGTCCCAAAATAGAAGGAGGTACGGTGCCTTGGCGCCACCCGCCGCCGACGAAGCTGCTCTTGTTGATCGCCTACGTCATTCACAAGTCTACTTCATGTTTCATGGCGCCCACGATTTCTGGACCACACTGCCAAACCCAACTGACGTGCAGCTAAGGCCCGCCAATTCGCATCGTAACAAGGCTTCCCGACGCACGGCAACCCTCCGCCACCGAGTTGGCCTGTCACGAACATTCTCGACCCGTCAAAAAGAGCTGAGCCCCCTCCAGCTCAACACCCCTTTTCTCCTTCCATGGACTCAAGAACATAAGGACATAACATTCCGCAATTGGACCTGAAAGAGCAAAGGCACGCATCTCAGACACCATGCCCGGCAACCGTCCTCGATGGATGCTACACATACAAGCACAGTTCTGGCGCGTGCTCATGGGCATCGGCATGATGCTGCACAAGCTCGCCCGCCCTCTCCCGCCCTCGCCTTCCTTCCACAGACACGTCGACGCGACCGTATCGCCACTGAAAGGAAAATTTAAGCTCCATTTCTACGTTCCAAAGGATTATCACAAACAGAAGAAGCTGAAGGGCCACAAGAGATACCCGTGTGTTATCAACTTCCATGGCGGAGGCTTCACGCTGGGAACAGCACAGGATGATGCGCGCTGGGCAGGAGTGGTTGTTGAACAAGTGGGAGCAGTCGTCGTCAGCGTCGATTACCGGCTCGCGCCCGAATTCCCGTTTCCTACCGCTGTCGAAGATGGCGCCGATGCCATATTATACCTCTCGCGGAATGCGGACGAATTGAGGCTGGATCCGGAGCGTTTCGCTGTGTCGGGCTTCTCCTCGGGCGGCAACATGAGCTTCACGGTTCCGTTGTGTCTGCAGGGCGAATTGCTGGATAGAACACCCTCGGGGACGAAGATTCAAGACGGCCGGGCTGGCAGCATCCCGCAAGTTGTCCTACCTCCATCGCTTCCCACAGGTTCGGCCAACCATCTCGCGCCGAATTACACTCCCAATTCCTCACGTGTCCCTCTCGTCCGACAGAAGTCTCGCATCGACAGAATCGCTATGCTCCGCCAGACTGGCACGTCGACCCTCTCCCTCGTATCGTCATATAAGGATGGACCGGCAGTGTCTGTTGCAACTGAGGGCTCGAAAGCAGAGGCCAAAATCCGGGGCATTGTATCATTCTACCCGTCTACCGATTACACGCAGACGCGGGAACAGCGACGTGCAACTTGCACGAGGGCAGATCAGCAGCTCCCTGCTGTCTTCACGGAATTATTCGATGACTCGTATCTACAACCGCCGTCTTTGGACCTCACCCATCCCTGGTTGAGTCCGGGTGTAGCTCCCCATCACATGCTCGTCGCCTTACCCGACGACATCGTTCTCTTCTGCTGCGAATGGGACATGTTGCTCGCCGAGGGCGAGGCTTTCCGCGATAGGCTCGCAACAGACCTAGGCAAGAGAGTTCACTACCATTGCGTACCGGGCGTGCCTCATGGGTGGGACAAGGCACCAAATCCTCTTAGAGAGTCACCAGGGGCGAGAGAGCAATATACGGTTGCTTGTAAGGAGTTGAGGAGGATGTTTGAGCTCGACGATGATGAAGACGGGGAATAGATGGAAGAGGTGTTGTTTCGCTAGCGTACATCCTGGCTGCCATGATTCTCTTTAGCGTATATACTTTCAGATAGAGCTCTGGCGTTAGGCGTCGTCTCGGTTCTTAGTCGTGGCGTTCCGAGCATTTGAAACAGTCAGACGTTTGATCAGGTCTTTCTCCCGTGTAAATGCCTTAGTCTATGGGATGTTATCTTGAAGTAGATGTTGCCTTCGTGCCCTTTTTCCTCGTGATCTACTTTTTGGCTTTCCATTCGTTAGCCGCTGCTGCTTTTGGAACTGTCCCGCGGCGCCTTCCATAATAGCGGGTCCCGCCCCAACTGTTTCTTCTACTCCTCTCTTCCATCCATCCTACTTCGACGCCAATACATCTCTCATATCCTCTCTGGTCCCCGGAAGATGCGGCTTTGGTCGAATCGTGTTGAGCAGAGAAAAGCCACCCACGCCCTGTTCTTGGCGGCGGCTGCATCTCTAGGCAACGCAAGCAGGCTGAGGCTGAGTCGCCGACTTTGAAGAGCGCCCGGCGCGGAAACCAGGCTCGAGGATGTTTCTCAGCTTTCCTATCCTTTGATCCTCGTCAGCGGTCCCATCGCCCTTTGTTATCTGTTTGACCCGCGGTCTTCGGGTGGAAGATGAGTCCTGGGTCCAAGCACCAATGGCTGGGGCCATTGGAAAAGCTCCAAAGTCGCGCCTCATCACCCGGACAGAAATGTCTGGCTTTAGCAGTTGTTGCGTCAGAAAGAGGTAGCAATGCTGAGCGAGCTGTCGTTGAAACAGCACGAGATGATGATGCTCTATGCCACCGTTGCCGAGCCCTCGACCTCAAGTCTTACCTGGGCCCGCAGGCCTCCACCCCAAAAGGGGATATAGCGACGCTTACATGGGTATCACCTTGGACGAATTGCCATCTTTGTGTCCTGCTCGCTGCCCTCTTTCACGGGCCCGCAAATGGGAGGCAGTACGAGCGCCAGGGACCAACAGAGCTGATTCTGGGTTGTCGCTCAGAAAATACACCCCTAGGAAAGATCACCTACTTTGACCTCAAAGAGAACATATACGCGCGGCCATCATACTTTCTCTTTCCTATCACTGGGCCTGACCATCGACCTGGCCACACTGATAACGCTCCACCTGGTATAGGACGACGACTCGATCCGCAACGTCCAGACTTCGGTCTCGTAAAGCAGTGGCTAAATTCTTGTCGGACGCACCATGTGAAGACCTGTGGGCAGGCACCCGACCGGATCGCGACTGCTCTCAGGGTCATCGACTGCAAGACTCGCAAGCTATGCATGGCTCCACCTGGTTGCCCCTACATAGCTTTGAGTTATCTGTGGGGCAATACAGCTACGAGCGAAGAATCGCATCCACCGGAAGTCCTGCCCAGCCAGGTACCGAAGACGGTGGAGGGTGCCATTGCTGTCGCCCTTGCACTTGAAATACCCTATCTATGGGTCGATCGCTACTGTATCAACCAAAACGATGCGGACGAAAAGCACAGTCTCATCCGTGACATGGACAAGGTATATCAAGGCGCCGAAGTTACAATCATCGCTTCGGCAGGGGACAATCCCCACCACGGTCTTCCTGGAATCCGCCAGACTACGCGACGACCTCAACACATGGTGAAGATCGGGTCTTACTTCTTCATATCGTCAGAAGATCTTGGTAAACAAGTCAGAGATTCGACCTGGAACAGCCGCGGGTGGACATACCAAGAAATGTTGCTTTCTAGGCGCCGGCTGGTTTTTACGGAATCCCAGATGTACTTCCAATGCATGGAAATGAACTGCATGGAGGGATTGGAATCTGGTTATGTAACGGGGCATTTTTATTTCCATGGAGACTTACTGGCATTCCCGCGACATGGACTAGGGGCCGCTGCCTGGAGCATTTACTACCGACTGACGGAGTATTACCAAAGGAAGTTGTCATTTGATTCCGATATCTTAAATGGCATAGAAGGCGTCTTCGGTGCCTTGCAGCGGTCCAAGTCGACGCACTCCTGCATCAGTCACTTCTGGGGCATCCCGTTTTCCTTCCACCGAGAAGGTTCAGGAGCTGAAGGACATGCTTCATTCGCAGCCCAACTGGCATGGGCGGTGCGTCTAACTTTCTCACGAAAATCCAAAATAAAAGAACACGGTTCGGGGTTTCCGTCTTGGTCATGGGCTGCGGTCAAAGCGAGGTACGTCATGGAAAGGTCCGATGCCCTTGAAATGGACATCACTGGGCATGCCTTCCGCCGGAAACGCCCAGAAACCTCGAGAGATGTTAGCGTCGTTGTAACGCATCGATCTGGAGAACGGATGAACCTAATGGCGTATGCATCTCACGCAGACCACTACACACGCTTCTTCCCCTGGCTTGAGTTCAATAGCTGGAGTATCTGGTGCTCTCTCGATCCATTCAAGAAGTACCGCCAAAGCGACACTTCGGAGTGGCTAGAATTTGAGAACGTAAGAGACTGGGCCGGAGAAAAACTCCTAGCCATCTATCTAAATGGTTTCACAACGGTCGCAATTCCACCATTACGAGAGCATGCCCGGTTCGACACTGCGTGTCTGTTGGCTGGAGAAATCGAGCCTGGTGTGTTCTGCCGCGTAGGAATATGGATAGCTTATCGGTCGATGACGGAGCAGGATCGGTCGCTTGGAGTGGGGCAGCTTCTAGAACGGTTTACTGATTCTAAAGTTCCCGAGCTGATTGGGACATGGCGGAGGCGAACTGTGCGTCTGGTTTAGGGTTAAGAGTGCTGTCAGTGCTAGGTGTTCTTCTTCCTGTTGTTCTTGTTCTTGTTCTTCTTCTTATTTGCCTTCGAGTGACAAATCCCTAGACACATGGGGAAAAGGTTGAAAGCCAGGGCACTAAGACTTTCCACCAAGGTTCATACACTAGACTGGGGGTCCTTTAGATAGACATCCAGACGGTAGCATATGTTAATACGTCACTGGTGGCTCAGGTGACTGGTCTGGGACTTGAGCCATCTGTGGTGACAAAGGCTTTGACTACACATTTCTCCTACATGCATGTCCCACAGCGCGGAATGAAGGCCAAATCCAACAGCGTAGTCGGGAGACAGCGAGACGTAGCCGCATACGGCGGCACCTTGGGTCCATTAGTTGATCGGTCCAGATCGACCACCCCACGGCAAACTTCAAGTTGTTTTACAATGAGACACTAGATATCCTCATTGCTCTTCTCTACCCCACATTTTTACCCGTGGCTGCGTTAACACTCCAAATATGGAAGCCGCAACAGACAGGTACGTGGGGGTTTATTTTGTGTCTTTCTTTCAACCTCGTCATACATCCCCTGGGACTTCGTCTTCTCTCTTCCTCTTCCAGTCTGTATTCAAGTGATACTATCCAATCCAATCCATCCCATAACATGTGCTCTACAAGCGTCGACAACACTCCATCAAACAGCACCCTCTCACTCCCAGCAATACTCCCCACTGTCCACCGCGCATTTCTAGAGTACTCACGAAGAATCCAGATACATACATCCTTGAAATCACACCGAGGAAGAAGATCGTGGGCTGGGGTCATTTAGAACTGGATTTATAACGCCGCGAAAGCTGCGGTGGAAGCCTACCCGGACATCAAAGGCGCCACGGCCCTATGACAGAGCACCTGGCAGTTGGTTATGCGCGTCGTTGAGTCTGTGTGGAGGTGGTAGATACAACCGTGATATTGTCGGATGCCTACCTTAGCACTATGGCAGCCCAGACTTAAGGGTGTAGCCGTTCAGCCCGATCGTGCGGCCTGGATTTTGGTAGCTAGTTGCATATCACGACGCAGCAAAGGTGACTCGAGAATCGAGGGACGCGAACAGTCATTGGAGTGTATCAGGCCTACTGTAGAGAATCGCAAACCCCAGCTCCTTCTCGCTAGCACCTTGTACACAATTGGTGAGCGCCGATGAAATGTTATACTTACGCGTTCCGTCCCGGCCCTGGCCTGGGGGATCGATTCTAGCTGGTCGCTTTCAAAAGACCAAGGCGGTGACACACAGTTCCAACAAATGAGACGCTTTGCTTCCCTCCTCAAGCGCACGCTTACAGCATGGCACTCAATGAGAAAAGGCATCCCCAGAAGGAGAATTCCGAAGGTGCATCGTTAGAGCAGCGCTGCAATGCAGTCACCGTCCACTCCGGCCAGCTCCGAAGAGAATAAGATGTCTTGCCTGGCCCACACCGGGTGAAGGTTAGTGGTAAAGGTCGGAGTGCATATTGGTACCACGGATGAGAGCTACAGCAAGAGAAGAGAGGAAAATAAAGAAACTAGTGTCTGTCATGGAAGCTAGAGTACAGAAAGGTACCGGTGAGCCTTTGTTCGGTCCCTGGGAAATGGTCCTGGGGTCGTACGACCCTTTTTTTTTTTTTTTGGAAAATATAACGACCATGTTGGTCTTCTGGCGGATCAACAATATAGAAGGATCCTCCGTAGATCGATGAAGTACGGTTCCAGAACCCTCGGTCCTGAGGATCGAGACGAAACGAGTCGAACCATCGACACCGAATACCGGGAGATGTTGCCGAATACTTATATAAACACGAAAAGATGCAGACGGCCGAAGGCATATCTGTACGAAGTAAGCTCTACCTTGCCGCTTGCCTGTGCATCATAAAAAGCCTATCCACCAACGCCATTAGGGGTATACCGGTAACCATGATCGCCGAACGAGTTGTTGCCGCCGTGACCGCCGTAAGAATCCTAGGAAATACCTGTGCCGAAACGAAAATCTCGCTAATCATCCTGGATGACAATGATTTCCTGGGCCGGTTTCACGAAGGTATTGGGATGATCGTGGGGACCGAGCTCCGCGACGAGTCCCTGTTCGGTACTGCAACATGTGAGCAATCTTGTTGATAAATGAAACTGCGCAAAGGAAGTTCATCGCAGAGCATGGAGCAGACCAGCCCACATCAAATCCATGTGCTATGAACTTACTTGCCAGCCCGCATGCGCTTTCGCTGCACTTCATACGAGGTATAGTCCCCCGCGAAGAGAGCGCCGAGGATGCTGAAGTGGGAGTCTCCAGCGTTGCGGATTGCGTCCATTCGTTCTTTGAGCGCTCTGTGCGCACCGGCGAAGGCGTCGAACACTTGCTTGGCCTTGAACGAACCGCCAGAGATGTTGTTGTTCGGTCTGTTCGGATCTTGAATGGAAAGGCCATCGGGCTTTTCTTGGCGACCGTCGATCCCGGTATGACTCTGAGTATTGTTAGTTGATGGGCATAGATGCCTCAGTGTAGTTACTCACCTTATTGACCAGGGCTGGAGGATGCATAACGATCCTCTTTTGGCGAAGATCGAACTTGTTGCCATAGTAATCTAGGAAGTTCAGGAAGAGCTCTCCTAAATTGTCAGGCCTTGGCTGAAGCTGGATGAAGCTGACCACCAGACAAATGATACTGAAGCCGCCCAGCCCTCCGGTATTGACCTCGTTGAGGCCGCGCATGACAAGAAACTGTTTGACAAGGGCTACCAAGTACACCATGTCCGGGTAGTGGGCTTTCCACTGCTGGAAGATTGCCTGCGCGTAAACACCGCTGAGGTTTTCAAAGGATATGTCGACTTGGATGCCGGTTTCCTTGTCCACAAACTTGATGATAGGGACTCTAGCCTTTGCAATAACCACAATGTCCGCAGCGATGCCGTTATTCTCGAGTTTCTTGGCAACCTTGTACAGGCCACCCTTGACGCAGGAAATGACTGGCGGGCCACCTCCGCAATGCAGGTCGGAGACGTAGACTAGGTCCATATCGGCTGTTGGAAGGTACAGCCCGGCAGGAAATGACCCGAAGCAGCAGATACGACCAGAGTGTGGCGCGAAATACTGCCTTCCAATTGCGTTCTGAACTCGTGTGATCAGATTTCCGCGGACTTCATCTTCGTGCGCTAGGGGTCGGACGTAATCAAAGAAGTCAATGATCTCATTATGAAGCCTAGCACCAGTCAGCAAGGCGCCAAAGATGAGTGAGACTTTTTTCGGGGTCCTTACCACTTGCGTGGATCGTGGTTAAGATGCGCGTAGTGCTGATTCGTAGCCCACGGCGTGGGATGAGAATGGGGCTTAGGCAGCCATAACTCTATGACGCTGCCAACCCTACCTTCAGTCTCGCCGCGCTTGCGCTTGTGGATATTTCCTGGGCGAGGTAGTTTCTCTGGTAGACCTGCTGGGCTAGGTAGTTTCTCTGGTAGACCTGCTGGGCTAGGTGGTCTCTCTGGTAGACCTGCTGGGCGAGGCGGTTTCGCTGGTAGACCTGCTGCCCCAGCCGAGCGCTTGGTGGTATGAGTTGCGGAGGATAACGCTCCGATGGACGCTACCTCGTTCATTGAGCCTTGGAAAGATTGGCCACCAGACGACAGGTGCGCCCATGGGGCTGGTGGGGGAGCTCCCTTATTGATGACTAGGCCGGAGTCATCGTCGTTGTCCTCGCCGTCGCCGTCGCCAAATGAAATGAAGTCATCATTGGCCGCGACGGCGTTGTCCGTATTGGATTTCTCTGCGGCCTCGTTCTTGGCTTTGCGTATCAACTTCACAATGTCCCTCTTCGTGCCGGTAGTCTCCTCTGGTGGTGGAAGAACGGTGTACGGGTCAGGGTTGGACCACTTAGGTACCGCATTGCCATCAGTATGAGTGCTTAATTGCACACGAGCGATCTTGTGATTGCCGTTCTGGCCATTGGCCCCACTAGAATCACTGGACTGGTCGCTATCAATGTCCATGTCGACCTCTTCGTCGTCTGACAGATCTTCCAGGTTACGGAACTTGTTTGGGCCGTCCGGCACGCCGAGGGTGTGCTCGGTACTATCGTCGCGACTCTGGAGGAGAGCACGTTCATGGGGAGCTGGCTTGCGGTAGCCTCTCCCATAACCGTTGGGGTTGCGCCTGTTTGTGGGATGCGATGAATAGAACTCCCCGCCGCGCCAGGTATCGCGGTTGTTGGGCCCAGAGGCACCATGATTGCGGTTCCAAGGCGGAAATTGCGCTTGCTGCCCTGCAGTGTATGTGAATTCGGCATGGTTGGCAGCGCGACTGCCATTCTGCTGGAGACGCTGTTGATCACCAGGTCTGTAACTGTCTCCACCGCCAGCGCTGAACGTCATGCGGTCTACGAGCGGCGGCGGGCGGTCACGCGATGGACGATATGAGTCCCCCATCGCAATGGTAATCTCTTCGGGCTGGATGCAGTCAGCGTCTGTTTTGTGAAGTTGGTGAGAGGGAGGAGCGAGGGCGGCGAGAATTTGTGTTGACAAATTGCTTTGCCAAGCCCTTAGCGCGATCACGTGCAAGAGTTCGAGGAGCCCGGAGGGAAGGTGCAATCAGACCATTTGCAGCGCATCAGAGTGCAAGGGCTGCGCTAACGGGCCATCATTGTGCAACCAGATGCCGATTCAAGCTCTCAATAATACAGTAGATAGAACATGTCCGATCGACAAGAATACAGTACATACAGCTGAGAGTGGAGAAGCATAATGGAGGCTCTATGCCTCTTTCAGCATCCAAAAGCCAGTGCGATAATAGCACCTCTCAGTACAACAGTGCCAACAGTTCCAAACGCTATGCCAGAAACCGAAACGCCATCTCATGCATTGAAACGTCGGATTGCGGGTTGCAATCACTGGGAAATCCGGGTTACGGAGTGCGCATGCGCAAAGACTCGATAACGCGCTCCGCCCAGAGTGGTGGGTTTGCGATCGTCTGCGCAATGGATGCTTCATTCCTCCTTAGTCCATTTCGGCTTGAATCCTTCCCGCAGCTCACTCTCTCTTTCTGCCATCTGCTGGTATCCCCGTACTTCCCGTTCAATGCGCTCCCTTGCCCGCAATATCTTGCTCTGTAGGTAGAAGCTACCGCCCTTCTTCGGATCGTTGAGGTCAAATAACCGCTTGAACCGCTCCGTAACAAATTCGATGTCTATTTGCCCCATCTTTGACGGCCCGACATTGAGGATCTTGCACGCTTCCTCCATGGTGATGTTTGACGAGGTAAAGCCGCCTCCACTCTTCTGGTTGGCGGCAGCATATTTCTGCGTTGCGGCGGCTTGACGATAGGACTCGGCGACGGCGCGTCCTATTATTCGGGCGCCGGAGAAGACGACTTGTGTTATTATGCGATGAGCCTATGCACGTTAGCCGGGCATTTCGGGGGCAGGCCAATGGGCTTACCATTGCGGGATAGATGGACTTCGAAGAAAGGAAGAAAAGAGAGGGGCCAGTAGAGGAGACTCCACTCGTCGGCAAGCGACCTGCTCGATGACGGAATACTGCGTTCTAAGGTTGGGCGGCGGAAGGGATTCTCAAAATTTCTAGAGTCGCCTTCGCTCCCGAAGTTTCGGCGACATCCCAGAGCAGATCCACGTGACCTAGAAAGACGCAGCCAATCACGCAACGATCGCAAATGGCTTCGAGGAGCAACAGCGCTGAGAGAAAGCAAGACAGGCTGCTATGGTCTGCTGGAAATATCGAGAGACAGACCACTGCTAGTCGCATAGTTCTATCGATTTGAACAGAACGCTAGCACACTGGTGCTTTCCAAAGCTCTCGGCTCAAGTCATTCACATGTGCCAAAGCTCCCCGCCTCACAACCATTGACGACGGCGCGGTTTATCGACCTTACCCCTTCTACCTGAATACGCAACCTCGCCCTTGAGGATATCGAACCTTGTCGCGAGAAGCTTCAGAGTGTGGCTCGACTGCAAACGCGGCTCTCAGCCTCAAGGCGAATCCGAGCCCGCCGGCTATGACGCAGCACCTCTTCATGCATGGCAGCTTTTGGCGAGTAGCAACCACCAGCGACAGACTGTGGATAGCCACCACCAGCATGCTAATACTGCAGCAGATACTCCCTGGCTAGATCATATGTCCACCCCTTCACGCTCCGCCAACGATGCGTCGCCGCAGCCCACCGCCGACCCGAACCCGCCCACCTACGCTGCCTTCTCACCGTCCACCCTGGGGCAAGCTACTCCCCAGACGAAGCTTCGTTCCGCGATACTAGTGCATCAGAAATCGCCGCTGCTGGCTGCTACCCCTCCGCAAATTACGCGAGTCCTTGCGTATTCCCATCCGTTTATACTTCCGCTGAACAAGTTCGTCGGATTGCTAACATGGACGACTGGCGACCCGTGGGAGAGCTTCCTGTTGGTGGCCAGCTTTTGGGCGGTGGTGGTGTACGGAGACGTCATCACACGATACGCGGGGCCTATCATAGTAGTACTAGGTCTAATACTGGGCATGTATACGCGGAGATACTCCCCGCTTTCCTCGACCTCGTTCACTGGCGAGAAAGGGCAGAAGGGGCATAGCAGAGCGCAGTCAGAGAGCAGCATCAAACACCACAAGAGCTTGGAAGAGATTGTGGACACCTTGAAGCTGCTCACTTCGCGGTGCAATATCCTGCTTGATCCCTTTCTTCGCCTGACCGACTTTCTCTCGACGCAAAGGACTGCGACTTCGGCGACGACGAGGCCTGCGTTGACTCTCCTTTTCATCCGGATACTATTCGTCTTGCCGATATGGATCATTCTGACCCTTCCGCCTTTCTACATCCTTACGACGAAACGGGTAGTGCTCGCGGTTGGTACGGTAGTTCTCAGCTGGCACTCACGCCCAGCACGGGTGTCTCGTACAATCCTTTGGCGATCGAGGAATGTGCGGAGAATATGTGCCTTTATTACAGGGCTAAACTTTGGAGATGTGCAGCTGGAGACCCAAGATGGAGCCCCAGCTTTACCTCCTCGGAGAAAGAGCGCGCAGGAGATAGCTGCATCTCTCGCCGCGAAACGGCGGCCCGACTCACCTGGTGTACGCTTCACCTTCAGTATCTACGAGAATCAAAGACGATGGTTAGGCATTGGATGGACATCGTCTATGCTAGCCTACGAACGCGCGGCCTGGACTGATGAGCATTTGAATTCCGTGCCACCTAAGGATCAGTTTGAGCTTCCTGAAGTTGAAGGAGGCCAGGCAAGGTGGAGATGGGTCCAGGGAAGCGAGTGGAAAATTGAAGGCGCCGAGAAAGATGGAAAGGGGAAGGCGGCCTCTGACGGGGATGCTGGGTGGATATACTATGACAACAAGGTATGCCCATCTTCTTCGACGTCCCTGATGAGAAAGCTAACCTCAACGCAGTGGAGAGACGGCCGAAGAGGGCAAGATGGCTGGGGCCGCTACACCCGCCGACGAAAATGGTACCGCGATGCCGAGCTCGTCGAAGTAACTCCCTCCACGGAAGTCACACCCATCCCAACTCCCAAGCTAGACCCCGTCTCCGACCCAACAGAGCCATCAACTCCTACACCTCTAGCCAAAGTATCCTCCAACACAAGCACCGTTGCAAGCACCGACCCTACGCTCGCAAATGGCTCAGAGTATGCACCCTCTACAACATCTGATACAGACGCAGCCAGCACTAAGTCGAAGCGAGGCTGGTTCAAGAAGAAGCGAAGAAGTCGCAGTCGAGGAGGCAGCGATACTGCTGCTACAATAGCGAGCTCGACGAGCACAAATCTCAGCCGGAGGAGTGATGAGGACGATGTACATACGCCGCTAGAGAGAACGACTAGAGAGGACGAGTGGCGACTCAGCGACGATATTAGGATGCAGTTGGACATTTGATTTACAACGCTTACGGCGGCTCTGTGTTTTGCGTTATGTGTACAACTAACGGCGCCTTCACCGGATCATAGGCAGGCGTTCGGGAGTCAAGCGGGATGGGACAGTGCTGATCTTTGTGCTCAGGCCGCGGGATACATTGGGATGGGAACCCACTTTAGCTAATGTTTAGGCGATAGTTACTGTTCTTTCCCACGCTGCCTTTGATACCACGGACCTTTGTTGCATGTCTCATGACTGACAGCAATACTATCTCGAATGCTGCAGCGATATGTCACCGAGCCGTCCCTGGAAGCTGCATACGCATAAGCTAGGTCGGAGACTTAACTGACCTGTCCAGCAGAGCTAGCCGCTCACTGCTCACGCGGTTCCACCACGCAAATACGTCACAATAACAATGTCACCACCGCAATATCAGTGCTATGACACCGTGCAAAGTGCCATACGGGCTGTACACATACTCATGATGCAAGATACGTACTTGTGAACCCGGCTGATGGTGTTTGCTAGCATCCACTTCTCACGGTCCATCACAGTGCTCACGCTACTCCCACACTGCATCGCTACGACCTACTTCTTCAGGCATCCCGGTACCACATGTGTCTGCAAGGCGCATCACAGACAGTGCCCTTCTGATGGGTATTCTGATCTAGCTGACGCCTTTCGAGCTCTCCACGGAATCCTTTGGCACCTGCATGCCCTCGCGGGCGACACTAACACTATCTACCACATTGCAACGGCATGTCACCGAGCTACTTACACCAAAGGCTTATAGGACATGGGGGTACAAGTGTGAGTCTTAGGTAATGCACCCCGATAGCCAGGGCAGCATCTGACCACACACTATGCCCCTAAAGGGTGCTACCCAGCGCACACTGCATTCGCTTCATACCCCCTCAGGCATCCCGGCACAACCTCCCCACGTGCATTGTGCCACCGGGAAGGGATATCTCCGACTCTGCTTCATTGGCCGGAGCTCTCCGCTGGATGGAGTAATGCACCACTGCACCCTTACCTCGCCTCCACATCACATGTCCTGCATTCAGGCGTCCCCGAGCAAGTATTGCTTTTTAAAAGACGATACCTTCGCAGGCAGATGCTCCGAGCTGTGAAGGATGGATATGCTGTGCCACTGTGACCCCGCTGTTTCGTCCTCGCCCACCAGTGACGCCTGTCAGATAACGACGGGCTTGCACCACAGCTACAGGTCGGCGAATGGAGGACACGCGGTTATCCCACGTTCTTACCTTCCATGTACTGTACGTACTGATCTACATCTCGATGGTGTCCGTCTCTCTGCCATCATAGGTCCACATCGGCCCATTCTGGCCAGGGGGCTCCGCTTCGCTTCACTCGCTGTTGTCCAGACTCAGCGCCGTGCCCTCTAGCGATCTTCCCATGGCCACTTGTTTCAGCCCAATCCTTTGCCAGCTGATCCAGTTTAGGCCAGAGGAGCCTTCTGAGTTCTTTCTGCGAGTGGACAGCCGCCCCCTTCCCATCTTCCCACGTTATCCAATTCAGCACCCGCGGTTACCGCCTGGCTCTCCGGGCTGTATCGATACCTGAAGTAGCTTCCCCGCTCGACTTCGACGTAACGGGTGGGTGGGTGGCTCGGCTCGGATCGTGATTCGTAGGGTGCAGGCAGGGTGGGCCAGGGCGGGAACCTGCTGGTGTTGGTGCGATTACCGTATCGATATGTCACCTGTCAGGCGGTCTCGTATGTGCATGTCGTGTAGTGTGGGCTGGCAAGACGGAGGGTGGGGTCGAAGCAGGACAAGGAAAAGGGTATATATAGGCTTGCCGCCGGGCACCCTGATGTCCGTCCTCCTCAGCCCTAACGCGAACATTCTCACATCGACCCCAGCAAAACCAACTCGAAACCAACTCAAGCTTCCCAGCTACCAATCACTTCAACCAACATGTCTCCCTGGTACGTCGCTATCCTATCATCGCCGCTGGTCTGTTCCCCGATGCGCTATCGGGGATGAGCACCGTGATGGCCCAAGAGTACCTTGATGTCCTCCATGCAACTACCCGTGGACGTTACCAACACCACAGAATGCTGACGAGTCTATGATACAGTGACTGCCAGACTTGCGGCTGCTCCGGCGACTGCAGCTCCTGCGGCTGCGGCGCTTGCAGCCATTAAGCGTCTCACTTCGCACCCACTGAATCCTCAACTCGACTCCAACCAACCACTCAATCCCAGGATCACGGGTTAAAGTCCATGCATTTCGGAATGGCGAATGGGAGTCGGAGCAAGCTACTAGGGTTATGAAGGCAATCATGTAGGAATGGTATGGAATTAATGGACACTCCTTTGGACCCACACCCCTGGGCCCGGGGGTTTAAACGCATTTCTTGCCCACTACTGTGTTGACGTGTCGTTGTGATGTTATACATGTTGTACATGTGGTTCAGGATGCTACGTCCCGTGATCATGTCTCTCTGATGCGGCTTGCATTAGCTCTTTGCCGACGGCGAGCACCAGCTTGTCGTCGCCATATTGGCCGATGATTTGCATACCCGCACTCTCCTTAAAGCCCCCTTCCCTCACCTTAACATCCCTATCTTCGTCTGCAATAGAGACGGGGACGTTTATCGCAGGAAGTCCGGCCAAGCTCGCGGGAACAGTGAAGACGTCGTTCATGTACTCGTGGATCGGATCTTGATTCTCGATGTCGGTGAGGAGCGGAGCCAGAGTCGGGGCGGTTGGACAGAGCAGGATATCCACACCAGTCTCTTCCACAGCAAACGAGCGGGATACAAGCCGATTACAGGCCTTGAACACCTTGTCGAAGTCTTGCTGGACCAGTCTCCGGACTTTCTGAGCCTGAATGAAGTAATTATCGATTGCTTGCGCGCTCAGCGAGAAAGCGCCCAACAGAATCCGCCGTTGAACCTCGGGTCCGAAGCCCTGTCCCCGCGTCTTCGCGAAGAGCACGCTCTCAGGCGTACCATCACTGCCTTCGGCTCTGCTCCCATATCTTACGCCGTCATACTTTGCGAGGTTGCTAGATGCCTCCGCAGGAGCGAGAACATAGTATGCTGACAAGGCGTGCTGAGTTGCCGGTAGTCGGACGGGATGTAGTGTGTGCCCGCGCTCTTGTAGGAGGTCCAGGGAGCGAGTCCATGTTTTTCGGACCCCGGGATGTAAAGTTTCGATATTATATTCTAGCGGAATACCGACCCGGAGGGGACCCCACAAGCTCTTCTCCGAACTGAGACAAGATCGTGTTGATGGAAGGAGCGAGGTGGGATCCTGCGGGTCGTAGACGTTTAAGGTGTCTATGGCCCAAGAAATCAGTCAATCTTTCTCCATAGTGAGATTGAAGATAGACTTACCAAACACACCTTCAACTGTCTCGATATCACTGCCCAATACTCCCACTGTATCTAGCGAATTGGCGTACGCAATAACTCCCCATCTTGAAAGGAGGCCATAGCTCGGCTTGAACCCCACAACGCCGGTATACGCAGCAGGCAGTCGTACGGAACCGCCCGTGTCCGTCCCCAGAGCCCTATCCTCAATCAGCTTCGAAACTCCATGTCCGATCCAGCATACTGCACTCACGCCCAGCATTGCGCGGTAGCAACCGCAAGCGCACTACCCCCCGAACTCCCACCCGCACTCTTCTCTTGTCCCTCAAGACCTTCCATCTTCACACGGCCGAAGTACGAGTGCGCAGAATGCGATCCCATCCCGAACTCATCCATGTTCGTCTTTCCGGCAATGATGGCCCCGGCATCGCGGAGCCGCTCTACCACCGTTGCATCATACGGGCTGATGAATTTCTTCAGGATGCCCGATGCGGCCGTGGTGGGGAGATCAGCCGTGCATATATTGTCCTTGATGGCAACTAGTCTGCCATACGGGCTGTGCTTTCCTACATTGTGACCTTGAGGAGACGCGTCGGCGGATTCGGCGCGAGTGAGAATTGAGGCGCGGTCGGCGAGCGAGACGAAGGCATTGAGATGCTCGTACTTCAACTGGTTGGAGAGATGCTGTTTGGCATGTCTAAGGAGGGACATTGAGGGTGGGAGTCATCGTAGACGCGTGCGTCGTCCAGAAATTCTTGAGAGTTCCGAGGCCGAGACGTGAAATTCTCTCACGTGAGCTGGGCTGATGATTCACTGCAAGGCTGACGGCCCCGCCATACAAAATAACCCCCCACCAAACGAGATCCGAGTTCGACTCACACAACTACGCACGCGGCCAGTGCTGCCTCAATTGGACCCACTGAGGGTTGTAGCGCATATTTAAGGTTCACCCTGCCACCGAACATCTCCTTCCGCAATATACGGTCCCAACAACCATGGCTGAACCTGCCCCTGCCGCGTCAGGCTCAGGCGACCCTCCGGAGCAGCCATCCAAGAATGCGCTGAAGAAGGCACAGAAAGAGAAAGAGAAGGTATGCTCTCCTCTATTTATGAGCTAAAGTCTCTTCTGGTTTCCTACTGACACACTCCAGGCCGAAAAGAAGGCCGCAGCTAAAGCCCGCGAGCTCGCCGAGCGCCAGAAGAAAGACGCCGCCGACGCAGAAGATGTCTCGAAGGACTCGTATGGCGAACTGCCCATGATCGGATCGAAGGACTTCAAACCTACTGGCAAACCGCGCATCGACCTCTCTACCATCGCCGAGCACGAAGAAAAGGAAGTCACATTCAGATGCTGGGTCCAGAATGCGCGTGTACAATCTGCGAAGCTCGCTTTCTTGAATCTCCGCCAGGGTCTGACCACGGTGCAAGCTGTGGTCGCAGCGAGTGAGAAGATCAGCAAACAGATGGTCAAGTTCTGCGGGAGCCTGAACACCGAGACCACGCTCGCCGTTACTGGATTGGTCAAGCGAGTAAAGGAGCCCATCAAGAGCGCGACTGTGAAGGACTTCGAGCTGCATATCACCGCGGCTTTCGTGGAAGCAAAGGCCGATATCCTGCCTCTCCAGGTCGACGATGCGGAGCGGCCGCTTCCCAGTGAAGGTCTGGGAGACCAAGACGAACAGCAGACGGAAGGCGACGCAAGACCACTAGTGGGACTGAACACACGGTTGAATAACAGAACATTGGATCTGCGCGCTACGATCAATCATGCCATCTTCATTATCAAGAGCGGCGTGTGCCAATTGTTCCAAGAGTTCTTGAGTCAGAAAGGGTACGTACGGCGCGGACAGAGGTGCTATCCGCAATTGAGACATGCCGTCTTGTTCCGGATGCTTGCTCATTCCCCTCCCCGCATGCGTTGGACATGTACTAATATGTATCCCACGTTTAGTTTCGTCTTAATCCACACACCCAAGATCCTGGGCGCTGCCTCAGAAGGCGGTGCGAACGTATTCGAGGTCAAGTACTTCGACCGCCCAGCATATCTAGCCCAGTCGCCCCAGTTCTACAAGCAGATGCTCATCTCGTCGCGGTATGAGAAGGTCATGGAAATCGGCCCCGTGTTCCGTGCTGAGAACAGCAATACCGCGCGTCATGTATGTGACCTCTGGAGCCCTTCTGTGGATATTCTGCTGACTTATAATTCCTACGATTAGCTGACAGAGTTCACTGGCCTTGATCTGGAAATGGAGTTTCAAGAGAACTACCACGAGGTCATGAGTGTTCTAGAGGACCTCATGCTCTTCATCTTCAAAGAGCTCAACGCGCGGTACAAGAAAGAGACCGATCTCGTCCGTGGCGTATACCATGTCGAGGACTTCAAGATGCCAGAGTCCGGGAAGGTTCCCCGAATACCCTTCCAAGAGGGTATCAAGATGCTGCGCGAAGCTGGAGAAGAACTCGGAGACTACGATGACTTGACGACGCCACAAGAAAAGCACCTCGGCCGACTTGTCCTCGAGAAGTACAACTCCGACTTCTATATTCTTGACCAATTCCCTATCGTCCTACGCCCTGCCTACACTATGCCTTCACCGCACAACCCACTCCTCTCCAATTCCTACGACATGTTCATGCGCGGCCAGGAGATCCTCTCCGGCGCCCAGCGTATTCACGACGCTGATCTTCTCGCGGAGCAAATGCGTAAGCACGACCCGCCGATCGATCCCAATGGCCCAGGCACGAAGGAGTATGTGGATAGTTTCAGGTATGGATGTCCGCCGCATGGTGGTGGCGGGTTCGGTCTTGAGCGTATCGTGCAATTCTGGCTGGGCTTGCCCAATATTCGGATGACGAGTCTCTTCCCTAGGGACCCACAGAGAGTTACACCGTAATCGGGGAGGTTATAGAGGACACAAACGATTGACTGATCGAGTGAGTCGGGGTACTAGGATGCGGCAAGATGTGTCAGTACTGAATTCAAAATGTTCTGACTCGACTAGAGAATGTTATATTAGATTCTCTGATTGAGTGTTCTATGAGCGTTGGCATGGATGCCGGGTATCAAGTGTCTATCTCGCCATTCCCCCTACTTTCTGAGCAACCAGAGTCTCGTGCCCTTCCTCTTTCTTGCCACTCATCAGCTTCCACTTACACCACCCGCCCCACTGATAAACGCAGGACTCCAGTACTCATTTTCTCCGGCCTGCGTATCCACCCACACCAAACTATCTGCCAGCAGATCCTCCACCACGGCAATTGCCCGCGGCCGTTCCCACCCCAGGTTCAACTGCAACATGCTGATCGTCACATACCCAAGCAACTGTATCGCTTCCAACACCGTACACGTATCCGTGTTAAGTTCCTTGGGCACGCTACGGATCAAGCTCCGGTGCCCGATCTTCATAATGCTAAAGCAGGCGCCGAGCGGAGACAGGGACTCCACAGCGCGCTTGATGTCGTCGTCGGTGATGTTGGACAGCGCGCTGCCGATGGCATTGCTGCGGCCGGCGGAGAGACGCGCGCGCAGGTCTGAGACAGATATCAGGCCGCCGTTCTCACTCCTCGTCGCCCGACACTCCTCCACGATCAACACGCCCAGATTGAAGTAGAAATCATTCACACTCCCTCCCAGCAGCTGCGCCCATATACTCCCGGCATCCCCGCTGCCTTTCCCCTCCTTGCTGTCTTTGTGGTATGACGATGCGAGGAAGTCGATGTTCAGCGCGGAGCACATGCGCGCGAATTCGGCGCGGAACTCGGGGTTGGCGCGGATGTCCTTTGCGTGCGTGAGGGCGAAGTTGTGCAGGAGCGATTGGAAGACGGAGAGCTGGGTTTGCAGGGTTTCGGCGTTGCGCGTGCGCAGCGCGGTGCCGTGCGCGGTGTAGTGGTGGTTCTGCAGGCGCGAGGTTGTGAGGCTGGAGAGGCCCGGGGTGCGGCGGCGGTCCATGGTGGGTGGTGGATGTGTGGTGGAGGGAGGATTTGTAGGAGCGGTGGGGGAAGACGCCAGAGCCGGGGATGTTCGGCAGGGTTGGCGATGTGAGAGATGGTATACGGAGGCGGAGGAGTGGCCCGGAAGTGTCTTGCTTTTGCGGATGCTTGCGGCAGCGGGAAGAGCTTCGAGGTCCTGTGTCGAATGGCGGAGCCGGTTGCGCAGAGGACAGACGCACGCCGTTACACAGCCGTGTGTAGATCCATTCTAGACCCGTTAATCAGTTCTCGACAGTAGCAACCTCCAAGAGTCAAGAAGCAAGATAGTCCGACCTTGGAAGTAATCGTCAGCGGTAGAGGCAGGCTCGGAAGGCGGAGCGGAACAGTCTCGGCAAGGCAAGCCGCAAGTCAAATGACGTTGGGATGGTTCCGGCGCAGTTTGCTGGGTTGCGCCTCCAAGGTTCAGACACCCTTACAACATGGCCTCCACCGGCACCATGTCTGGCGCTTTGGGCCGGTGTGCGTACGAGTAGTTGGATTTGGCCTCGTAGGCGCTCTCACCAAACCTCCGTGCCTCGTTACCCTTCACGCAGCCCCTCGTTGCAAAATTCTCTACCCGCTCGCAAGGTTGAGGCTGCACCTCACGTGTCTGCGCGTTCCTGCCCTTTTCGGACATTTCTCATGATATAATTTCTTCGATATTCTACCAGAGTTCTGGAACCCTTCCTTCAACATTTTCCGCCACACGAGCTTCGAGGCGTTATTTCACGTCTCCAAAATGGATCCTGCGACGCAGACACACTGCGTGCTGCTACTAGACTTACCGCCTAATGCGCTGGGGGGCATTGATCTACTGTCCTTCACGACAACACCACGCTTCCATGGGGTGAAGCACGTACCCCCTGGTCTACACTTCGTCTTCGCCGCCAGTGACTCCTCACTTTCCGTGAGGCACGGCGCATGGTTCTATGTCTCTCCGGGATCAGGACCACCACAAGTCTTCGTCAAGAGATGGGATCCTGCCAACGAGGATTTAGTGGCCGAGACTTCGCAGACAAAAGTCCTGAAGTGGAAAGCTAATCTGGGGAGCATATGGAAGGACGGGCTGACGCCGTACCGACAGACAGTCAAGTCTGGAGACAGCGGCGAGGATGATGACGTGGCGGAGGAATCTACAGACTGGGCCCGACTTACCTCAAGAATCACCCCAACGCTGCTGTCACGCATCACTGGGCTCAGCCCGGATCACTGGAGTCTCACATCCGCTTCGTCTGCTGCGCAGGATTTAGAGACAATACCGGGTCTTGAAACGAGCAACAGCGTCCTGCATCCTGAGAAAGAACTGCGGTTTCTGCCTATCGATCTGAAGCGGACCTGGAGAGAAGGTGCGACGGGGCGAGAACGGACGGAAGCTGCGCAGGATCGATCTTGGGCTCTGGGTGAACTCATCGAGACGCATAGCCAGAGTACAGACTCCCGGAGCCGCGAGTTCGAGATCGTGGGAGAACTGCAGTTCGCATTCCTCATGGTCCTGACTCTCAACAACAACTCCTGCCTCGAGCAATGGAAGAGGTTGCTGGGCTTGCTATTGACCTGTCGGCAAGCGGTCAAGGACCGCTCTTCCCTGTTCCTGGAGCTATTGAAGACGCTACGCCTGCAACTGAGCCATTGCGGGGATATAGAAGCCGGCCTTTTCGACATGAACGAACAGGGCGGCGGATTCCTCAAACCACTTCTTCGTAAATTCCACAAAGGACTCGACGAGTTTGACGGAAAGTGGAAGTCTGATATTGTAGACGAGTTCGATGAGCTTCAAGACTTCCTTCGGGATGTGTTCGGGTGGGAACTTGACGATTCGTACGTCAAGCACGGCATGTTGGAGCTAGAGGATGGCGAGCGCGTCGAAATGGATGTGAACGGCGCCGATGAAGAGGACGAGACGGGCGAGTACGCTCCCACTATCGTCGAGTTGACTCCTGCCCAGCTCAAGGAGTTGAATGGAAGCGATATCGGCACTAGACGAGACGCTGAGGGGGTAATAGCCGACGAATCTGAGGAAGAGGCCGATCTTGACGATATGGACACCCGGTATTGAGTCTTCGATAGACCGTGCATGTCCGGTGAGTCGAAAGCGGTTGGCATGCACCCCTCAGGGTCGAGGCGACTTCAGCTCGCTTTTCGGCACTTCCGCCCAGCGTTGGCACACTCTCGGAACTCCGACATCAATGCCTTGGTGGAGAAAGCTTGCCGCCGTCGTCTATAAACTGTCTTTAAGAATCTGGACTCTCTGCAAGCGCTCGGCTGGAAATATGTACCGCTGGTCGTCCAGACCGTCGACCTTTTGAAGGTCTTCAAGCTTGGGTTGCTGCGACAGGGTCTGAACTCAATGCCGGCCCCTGCAGCGCCACATGCCTCAAAAATAGCAAGCGGGAAGGCTGCAGGAACCACCAATCATGCAAGGCCAACCGCAGACGCCATCCCCCAAATCCTCTAGCGCCAGCTCAGTTGCTGGCGGCGTGCTGATCCGTTCCTGCGCCAGCACAGCCTTACGAACGACGTCAATTCGAAACTGTCCTGTTCAAGCGTGGCCCCATGGTGAAGAGTGATGTAAGGGCGAGACACTGATGTGGGGATGCGCATGGGCGGGAGTCCGCATTCAATGCGAGGCGTTGTCTGGGCGCAGCCATGATACGAGGGCGCGCATGATACGAAGATGTGGTGGAAGACGAGCTCCAAAAAGAGAGCTGCGTTAAGCGGGAAGAGGAAATTGCGGCCTTGGCTCGCCAATCCTTGCCGCGCTATTTGTTAGCCCTGCAGCGACCCGAATCTCGAAATCTCTCCCACAGAGCGTGAGCTGAGGCTCAAGCGCCCTTCGGTGCCAGATCCGTGACTCTCTGTGACAATCTCGAGGCCGTATGATTGGCGCACACGCCTCAGCTGAGCTGTCGGCGTTTGCGAACGCGGGCCGTCGATTGTGGTGGGCCTATGGGAGCGCGGCGTTGTGGGCTGTGCTCTGCACCACCTTCACCTCGAGCTCCTTGGCCCCCAGCCGGTGCGCCTGAAGCCTTCGATAAAAAGCGACGCCTCGTCTCGACTTTGTGCGCCCTTCGATAGGACTGCAAATTTCAACTTCAGCCGCTTTCAGCTCTCGCACTCTCCTTTGTTCGTGGAGCCCCTTTGCGCGCATTCACTTCTCAAGCAGCCCATCCTCTACACGCGTTTTCCAAGCAATTTCGACTTCAGACAGACCGTCACAATGGAGAAGCAAGGTGGTAAGTGCTCCAGACTCGCATCTTTCCCGAATCTCCACGCGTTGAGCACGCGCTTTGCCCGACCCCAATCGCATGCGAATCTGCAAAGCTTCAGCCTTGTATGGGGCTCGCATCCGCTGGTGGCGCATTTGAAGCTGAACATTGGCTAACAACCGTATAAAGTCCCCATGAACCAATTCCCCCAGTCTCCGGACGTGACCCAAGGGCAGCAACCTCCCGTCTACCAGGACCCGAACCAGCACGCCCAGTTCCAGCAGAACCAGATGTATCAGCAGCCGCAGATGCAACAGTATGCGGGCTCACCGCCGCCCCAGCAGCCCCAGGGCGCCTACATGTCGCCTCAGCAGACGGGCCAGTTCCAGCAGCAGCCCATGAACCCCGGCATGCCTCCGCAGCAGCAGAGCGGTACCGTCTATCAGACCGCTACGCCCATTGCTTCGCTCAACCGATCCCCCGCGCCGGCGGACTGCCCTGCTTGTGGCCAGCGTGCCATGACCAACGTCTCATACGAGATTGGCAACACCACACAGTGAGTCACCTTGTCTTGGGCTTGGATTAGGAGGACGAAGACTGACAATTCCACAGCGCCTGGGCTCTCGGTCTCTGCTGCTTCGCCTGCTTGGGATGCATCCCCTACGTCATGAACTCGCTCAAGGACGTCCAGCATAAGTGCGGACGCTGCGGTGTCCTGCTCGCTACCTGGCATCGTAGCGGTACCACCGAGGTGCACATCCACTCCTAAGCGACCATGCCGAACTTTGACCGGCTTCACATGCACATGCACATGCACACGAAACATACAAAAGGGGATGGGTGCGGATATGAGATACCACTAGGGAGATGGGCGTCGAGGTTTACGCTGTCGGGCCAGTTCTGCTTCAGGCGTTTATACTTGATTGTAATCTTATAAGGGCGTGGCTGACACGAACGCACCTTCTTTACCGGAGTGCATCTTTTCCTATGTAGCTCCTGGGTCGGAGCATCATTTTCTAGAGGAGTATTGTAATGGAAACCGCAGCGTGCGATCCGCCAATGTTTCTTCCATGCCTGCCCTGACTGCAAGTGAAGATGCGTCCACAACCGGGCTGGCCTAGAGAGAGCCTCGTAGGATGATCGAGAACGGTGGGGTTAGGACTTACAGCGTCCGCGGGTTACTGTTGCACAAGGACACAGCTTCCTGCGGTATCTAGGTTAACGTGTAATTGTACAGTTCACGCAATGCCGGCTGACTGCATTCTGAGATATGGTCCCATCTCCGTGAAGAACCCGTGTGCAAGGCTACGACAGATCGTGTGGAGAACGATCTCAAGAGTCAGCTTGGATTAATTCACCGAGCACGGCTTATTGCCGACTCAAGGATGCTCACTCTTATGTCATACAGCATGGGAAAGTTGGTGAAGTTGCGATTTCGATGAGCCGGAACCGAGTTTGGGGTGCCGCACAGACGCAGGGTTGTTGTTAGGGAAGGCGTGACGTCACCCGCCCCTGAGCGCGCCAAACATGCGTTCCTGAGCATTCAGGCTCAGGACGAGCGTATCCAGACAGAATTCCAGCAAAACACAAGTTTCAAGGTCAATTTCGAGGCAGCAAGAGGCTTTCGATCCTCTCTGCATGGTTCATCTGATGCCCAGAGTCTGCCACCGTCGCCATCCCCAGCTAAGCTCTGAACAAGCTTCCACACCGCTCACTAAGCTTTGTGCCAACATTTCCTCCGCACCGTTTCGGCGCCTCAATCGAGAGCGATCAGCGCCAAACTTTCTTGACTCCTCACGAAAAGGGCAATCACCGCCTCGTCATGGGGTTCGCCAGGTCTGCGCGGATTGGCTGCCAGGATTCCAGCCTGTTTGTGGCTGGAGGCGTGAATGGACGGCGCAGGAAGATGATGTCGTGGGCATCGGGATCGTGAAATTAGACTCGAGTATATATGGCTGCGGGTAGGGTTTCGTCCCTTCAAGTCCTTCAAGTCCTTTGAGAATTTGGTATCACCGTGTACTATCGCTACGAGTGAGAGGTTGCTGCTTTGTTGGCGCGTCCGTCACGATCGTCCACGCCAGTTTGTTTGCTTGCTGCTTCCCCTTTGGATACCACCACGCCGCTACTACGTCAGTTCTATGCCTAACTCTTTGCTCACTTCAAAAGCTTTCTGCTCACCAATATAGTATCCTCTCTTGACACCAACCGACCTCCCACACCACAAAACCCATAATGGGATTCTTCAACCGGCGCGCTGCGCCCGCAGACGCAAACACCGCCAATGCAACTGGCCATCGCGAGAAGAGACCTGCTAAGCATCACGGTGTCCCGTCCCACAACACTCGCCCGACCTTTGGCCAGTGGATCAAGGCGACTTGGCTTGACATCCTCACCATGGCTATCATGGGTGCCATTGGATTGGGGGTGTATATGGCGCATCCGGCACCGAGTCGTAGCTTCCCTAGTAAGCTTTTTCCCGTCTGACCTTCATACATGAATATAGGTTGACGAGATGAACAGTCACTTTCATAGACGGCGAGATCGTGTACCCGGAATTCGCGTACCCTCTCCGCAACGAGATCGTCCCCATCTGGCTCGCTGCGTTGCTGGGATTCTTCATCCCCTTCATCGTCTTTCTCATCTGCCAAATACGCGTCCGCAGCTTCTGGGATGTGAACAATGCCACCATTGGCCTGCTGTACTCACTCATCACAGCGGCAGTGTTCCAGGTCTTTATCAAGTGGTTGATTGGAGGTACGTTCACTCCTCTATGTCCCTCTCCTGCACCCAACAGTGCGCAATCATCGAAGAATAGATAGACTGACATGTATCTACAGGACTCCGCCCCCACTTTCTCGCCGTCTGCAAGCCCGTCATCCCCGCAAACTTCATGCCCCACGGCAATGATGGCAATGGCTACCGCCAAGTCATGTTCGACCGCAGCATATGCACAGGCGACCAGAACGAGATCGATGACTCGTTGGAATCCATGCCGTCTGGCCACACGACCGCCGCTTTCGCCGGCTTCGTCTTCTTGTACCTCTACCTCAACGCTAAACTCAAGATCTGGGCGAACTACCATCCCGCCATGTGGAAACTCGTCGCCGTCTACGCCCCGATCTTGGGAGCGTGCCTCATTGGTGGCGCGCTCACGATCGACGAGTATCACAATTGGTATGACATCTTGGCGGGTGCCATTATTGGGACTGTGATGGCGTTCAGCGCCTACCGCATGGTCTACTCTTCTGTCTGGGACTTCCGCTGTAAGCCCCCCTCCCCTTCCCCACCCCACCACCTCTTCACTGTACTAAGCAAGCTCTAGTCAACCACATTCCCCTCACCCGCCACACACCCTTCATCTACGGATCAGGCCCCAACACCTTCGACGGCTTCCACGACGCTGTCTGGACACGCAAAGCCGGCTGGGGCACCCACGAGGGTAGTGCCTGGGGCGGCGCGCCCTCAGACGCCGCCGATGGCCCGCGTGGTACCATGGCCGCGGCTGCAGGTGCTGGCGCTGGCGTTGCAAATGCGGGGACTCATGGTGCTGCAAATGGACGTGGCACACATGGTGGTGTTGTTGGGAATGGTGGGCATACCATTGATCGTAGGCCCGTGAGTGGGAGTCGGTATGGAGAGCATATGGTCTAAGGATCTGCGCCGTACCCACCACTTCTGCTGGCACACAGGGCGCTCGGATAATACACGGGGTGTTGACCTGAGGGCTCCTTGAACCCCGCCAACGACCAAGCTTTGATCTCGAGGAACTGGTTCCTCTGCAGCGAGAGATTGACTCCGATTCCCCGTATGTACGATATTTGGTTATGACGGCGCACGTCTTTCCTTTTTCTACAGAGCGACATCGACATAGCGGCTTACATTTCCTAATTTCCTAATATGGTAATTGTACGAGGTAGTCACTTCAGAGATACCACATAATGAATGATACTGAATGCAACGCTATTTTCTCCTCGTGGACATTGATGCACCCTATCTAAGCACACGCATTCGTTCTGCATCTGCGTTTCCATTATCCATGACAAATGAAATGAAAACCAATTACGCCAGTCCATGAAACCCGCCCATCCCAGGAACTTGCAGGCAGCCAAGTGATGCGGCGGGTCAGATTAACAAACAATCTTATGCCTGAATAGCCCGTCCCAGCGCACCGCCCGTGAATTGTTGATTCCGTCCACCACCCATCCGCCCCGGGCCCCTCTGTCCACCGCCGCGTCCTCTTCCACCTCGTCCACCACGACCTCCTTGATGCTGCCTCTCGAAGGCATTCGCCGTGCCCTGCGTCCTCTGCTCGAGCGTCTTCTCGTTCGCCTCAATGAGACCAGATGCCTTGTCCGACAGGCTAAGCGCCATCGTCTGTAACCTAGACAGCTCGACACCCTTTCTGAAGATGATAGCCGAGTTGACCTGGTCAAGCGCCGCAGCCAGCTCCTCGTGCGAGATCATCTTGGAGACGACTGCTGACACCTTGCGCTCTGAAAGGTCGAACATCGATGCGAGAGTCGAGATGGCGAGCGTGTCGTAGAAGGGGGCGTAGGTGAAGAGGTATGTCCGCAGACCCTCTTCTTGGATCTGCGCTGATAGCATATCCTTGATCTTCGCTGAGTTGGCCATCAGCTCCCAGATCTTGATCGAGTTGATGAAGTCGGCTGCCTTTTTCCACTCGCCCGCCGACAGTGCCTTGGAGGCCTGCATGACGTGATCACGGGTGTTCTCGGGTGGACCGGTGAAGATCTGGCGCTCATGATACTCTAACAGACGGCGGTAGGTCTTGCTGATGACGCGCTTCTTGATGTCTGGGGACGAGCCAATCTGTGCGAGGAGAGGGATCTCGAGGAGCATAGAGCATGTGAGGTACACGCACTCCAGGAGCTCGAGATTGATGTGCATGTGGAAGGGAAGCTGCCGCTGGCGCTCGAGGCGTTCCTGTTCCGGTGAGATCTGTGAAAATCGCTGCAGCTGCAGACCCTGTGCGAGAAGCTCCTTTTGCCTGTTGCTGCCACAGATCTCCTGCAGAGAGGTTTGTGCCTCGTAGACCAGGCCGGCGCGGAATGCACAAAGACCGACCTGGACTAGAGCACGATTGAAGAGAATCTGGGTGTTGACATCGAAGTTGCTGATCGTGTCTTGGAGATGGGACATGAGCATCATGTCGCGAGCCTTGTAGTACTGGTCGTGCAGCGCAAAGAAGTAGACCTGGCACAGCATTGCCCTCGCTCGGATAATACCCTCGCTGAATTTGAAGAGGTACGTGCAGAGCCTCTGAACAAGCGAGGTGGTATCGTTAGAAATGGCGCGCGGTGTGATCTCGGAGTCAAGGTTCGACGGCATTGCTTTCCAGGTGTTCGACTCGAGGATGGTGACAACCTGGGAAGGCTGCATAAGTTAGCATTGGGGAGACAAATTGGCGCTGAACTGCATACCTTGAAGTAGACGTGCTCTAACCGCCGCATCATGACCCGGTTCAGAGACTCTTGTGGCAGTTCGAGATTAGGCTGCTTCTTCAGGCTCTCAACGTACACCAGGGTGCGGACCAGTGCGGAATAGAGGGACCCTTCATCGGTCAATCGGTCAATGTATTCCGAGGTGTGAGGGTCGATGTGCTGAAGCGAACGGGTGAGCTCATCGTCTAGCCTTTCGACGAACGACACGACACTGCCGGGAATCTTGAATGTCTCTCCAGGAATGATAGCGGGCAGCTTCTCGTCGTCTTCCCACTCCTCGGCGTTCTCGATGACGACAATATCCTTCGTGCCTTCAAGGATGTTCAGGAGCTGGTTGAACTCCTGCTGGGCCCTAGTCTCGGAGTTAGTGGCGGCGCACTGAAAGCGGGAAATGGACTCACAGTTTCCACTGCTCCTGCACCATCTGGCTGCCGGTGCCCGACGTCAAATCGAACCTCGTCGAGATGAGCGTCAAAAGCACCCGGACTCTCTGGTAGTCGTTGATCGCTACATCAAATAGCTTCTCCAGCGTCCGAATGTGCTCCATCCGATCGGTATTCTTGCGTCCTCTCTGCTCGACGATCGATCGCAAATGTTTGAGGATGCTCTCCGGAGTATACTGCACCGCTCTACCGCCAGCGCCAACCATTGTGAAGCCCTCATCATCAGCCTCGGCGACAGCGCCAGCATCGAGCGGCAGAATCTTTTGCTTCTTCTTTTTCTCCTTGGGCGTCTCCTCAACTTCCTCCTCGCGCATGAACTCATCCTTGTTCTCCCTGTAGGCATCGATGTCCTTGGCGTAGTCCTTGTTGTTCTTCCTGATACGCTGGCGGACGGCGTTGAGACCGCGTGTGTTAATGGCATTCATCTTCTTGGGCGTGACCTTCTGCTTCTCGATCGTCTCGAGCATAACCGTCTCGAGGTCGGCGATAGCCTGAATGTAGAGCTTGGGCACCTTTCCGTCATTCTGCTTGATCAGGGCGGGAATCTGGCGGTTCAGCTTGTCGAACTCTGTATATTACCTCGTTAGCATCAAGCGCTCAGGACCGCGTCAAACCGGCGCTGCCTCCTCGCCGCGCTGCAAAGCCTCGGGAGTAACTTACGCTCTGAAATGACAGCCCAGTCGTTGATCTTCTCGGCATTCTCAATACTCCTCACGGTCCCCTCCAACTCTTCAAACCGCTTATCCTTCGCGCTCTTGAGCACCTTCGCCCCATCCTCCTCGTCACTCTCGCTCTCACTGCTGGCGTCCCTCAAGAAACGGTTTGCACCGGTTTCATCGCCGGATGATTCCTCCTCCGACCCCTCCTCTGATTCTTCTTCGGACTCTTCCTCGTGGGATTCCTCCTCCTCGCCAGAGTAGAGCTCCTCATCCGAGGACTCCTCGCTCGAGCTGTCGCTAGCTGTGAAGAAGCGAGACATGTTCGCTGTGGTTTCTGCTCTTAGATTTGTGCGCTTCCGGGCGGTCGAGAGATGTGTAGCGGCGGTCACTGTGAGTATGTGAGAATTTCCGGACTCACGCTCGCGTTTGCGGTTCGCCTTTGAATTTTAAGTCTTGGCGTGAGTCAAAGTGGGATACCTGGTCCGAGCGCGCCTTCCTCACGTGCGGGGCAATTCACGGCGAATCCGGACGCACAACCATGGGAGATGGGGAGATGAGGACTCAGTAAGAGTCACACTTGCCTCATCCCCATTTCTCGTGGTACGGATGATGCGCTCTTTGGCATGGACGCGCTGTGAAATTCAGGGTCACTTGGCGTGGGCGTCGTCCTGGGACGCAGGCCACCACTTCTAGAGCATCCAAGTTAGGAAATCCTGATGAGATCCTGAAACCGTTGCCTATTCATTGACTTGAAAGGCGCACTGACCCTCTCAACGCCTCTCACCGCTCAAGTCAAGCAGACAAGACATTGCGAGACTTTGCCGTCGCGCAATGCAACGCGCCCATGCGATATCAATGCTACTAAAAGTACACTCGCCTTCCACTCTCTCGTGCGATTCATCACCTCAGTCATTTCAGTAAGCCGAGAGACCCCTTCCGTCAGCATCCAAGTCTCATATACTCCACCAACCCTTGAAACTGGGCATTCAACCATTTGGGGCCATTGAGTCATTTTGCTCAACATCCCTTTCCATCCTTTTCCATCCCACCCCGCCCGTCATGCTAAGCTGGCGGTCCGCCGTCAGGTCAAGAAAAATATAGGAACCACGAGTGGAACGAAAATGATGCAATTTGATCCCGGGTGAACGGACCATCCTTTGTCGAATGACTGTTTTCACCCCCGTGGCCGAGATCTGTGGGCCTATACATGCGACTCAATGGTGCCCATGTCCGAATCGGCGCCGAACCAAGAGTACGAAATCTGGGGGACTCTCGACTTGGTGACGGTGGAGGCCGCTTGTGTTGATGAAGAGCTTCCGTGGATCGACCGACCCAAGAAAAGATACAGAGCTTAAAGCTTGCCGCGTCATTGCCAATGCTGATTCATGAAACCCTCCTCGAGAGTCCTATCCTCCAAGTTCCGGATGAAATTCCTCGGTTCTCGCTGGCCATGCCCTCCGGCCCGGGAACCCCTTCTTCGGGCGCTGCTTGCACTTTCCGGTGCACCATCTGGTGGTGGCGGATAATACGCCGGAGATGGCTGCAGACGAATCGGTTGGTTCGGGTCCAGGTGACTTATGACCCTCTGCAATGCCGGAGGGATTCCAGATTGTTGTTGATCCATCGTAGATGCCCGTTGTCTTCCAGCGCGTGTTGTAGCTTGTGCATACAAATTCTGAGGCTGGTTGTACTGTCGTTGTTGTGGCTGCATCATCCCCATCTGCTGGCCATAGGTAGGCTGTGCGGGGTACGGTGGAGGGGCGCCCTGATGGTTCGGGCTGTACATGCTATTGTACATGTTTGGCGCTTGGGGGTGCGGACTCTGGGCGGCATACTGATTCATTTGCATATTAGCATACGCGGCAGTCTGTGCCGCCTGTTGTGCTTGCTGCTGTGCTGCGGCAGCTTGCTGCGCCTGTGCTCGTTGTTTGCTTAGGCCCTCGTACCGCTGCTGCTCCTGTACACCTGGAGCAGGAGATCTGCTGGATCCTGACCGCATCGTCATGGGCGGCACGAATGGCCCAGTGAACTTCTGCTGCGTGATGAACGGGTGTAATTTTGCTTGATTAGGAGTCCATCGCTCGAGCGGGTTGAGGTTCAGCAATCCTTGAGCGAAATCGATGAATGCTTGCCGATTTTGCATTTCTAGACTATGTCAGAACAGGATAGTATCGAAGTAGTTGTCTGGCTTACCTCGCTCAATCTCGTTTGCTTTCATGTTTTTCCGAGGCATTGGGTAGTTCTTAATGATCTCGGGCAGAGTGGTAGCAGAGAAGTACTTCTTGCTCGGTTGCTCCTTTGTCCCATGCTCTCTGGAGTACTGCTCCATCGACTTTAGGCGGTAGGTTCTTCGTCCGTATTCGTCGTGCGTTTTCTCGAAGAATTCGCCAGACTGCTTTCCCATTTCGAGCATCCATGTCGGCGGCAGACCAAGCATTTCCGTGATTCGAGCGACCTGGTTATATTCAGATGAGCCGGGAAAGAGCGGCAGGCCTAGGAACAGTTCGACCACGATGCAGCCGAGTGACCACATATCGATCGCTGCTGAGTATCTGAGCCTCACTTAGCTTGGTATTAGCAAAGGGTTCTGTTAGACTTACGGCAAACCCAATAGCACTTCGGGTGAACGGTAAAACCGCGATTGGATATACGTATATACCGTTTGTCGCTCGTCACACGCAGATCCGAAGTCGATAATCTTGATGATTGGACTTTCGAGGCTACGCGAAGGTTAGAAAGTTGGACGGAAAACCATGAGTGGGACTGACTTCTTGAGTAGGATGTTCTCGGGTTTCAGATCGCAGTGTATCAGTTTCGCTTTGCCCAGCAAAGCAAGGCCGTTAAGCAGCTGCTGTGCGAATACGCGGACCAAGGTCGTCGATAGCCCGCGGAACTGATTCTGCTTGATCAATTCGTACAGATTAACGCTGAGGAGTTCGAACACCAAGCAGAGATGCTGCCTGTGGATGAATGTGTCCTTCAGTCGCAGCAAGTGGTGATCGTCGTTCTTGTCCATCTGCTTGTTCAACTGCATAACCGTTAGCTACGCTACGACATTGGGACTGGAGCACGAACCAGGTCAAGAACCGACACTTCCATCATACTCTGGTTGAAGTATGCGGTCCTGTTCTTGATGACCTTAACCGCGACCACCTCTTGCGTCTTGAGATTCTGGCACTTCACGACCTGCCCAAAAGTACCTTGGCCGAGTACATCCAGTATCAAGTACCTGTTCTTATGCCCTGCGTCTTCTGAACCAAGGATGTCGTTGACGTAGAGGATGTAATCGCTGTCTTCGTTGTCGTACCCATCGTTCTTCACTCCTTTGCTCGGTTTCGTGAGGACTCGGCGCGGGTTGCGGGACGACTCGTACTTGAAGTTGGGATTGCATATCCTGTACGTTGCGGGCAGATGCGTCGTTAAGGCTTGCAGGGGCTAATTTACCACATGGTCAGCATATTCCTCCAAGGTCGAGGCAAGGCTACCCACGCTAATAAAGCCTCCTTCAGGATGAGCGCGGCGGAATGGCGGCTGTTGGTTGATTTGCGCATTCAGCTCGGCAGTGTTCGTGCACTTGTCGAACTTCGGGACGGGTCCCCGCCCTATCGGGGGCAGCTGCGGAGGATTTGGGTTCGTGGTGCGCGGTGACCGCGCCTCTCTGTTGTACACGGCGTTGAGTTGCGCAGTCGCTGATTGCGGGTAGAAGCTCTCGGGGCTCATGTTGGACTGGATGGGCGGTAGTTGGGGCGCGTGCGGCCGAGAAGCTGCAAGCATGTGAATCAGCATGTGGGCGCTTAATAACAGGGCCAAAGATGCTGGACAACCTACTTGGCGGAGAATAATAGCTGTTCGGCGGCGAGATGTAGGGGTTGTTCCTCGTCGGACTCTGCCGGTTGCTGCCCTGAGTCTGCGGCGAGAAGCTCGTGTAGTTCTGCCCGCCTTGCTGCGTGCTGCCGCTGTACGGTGACGTCGGCGACAGGTTCATGGGCGAATATCGCCGCGCGGCTGTGCTCTCCTCCTGTTGCACCTGCTGCAGAAACTGCTGCGAGTGCCTGTGCTGGTGGTTCGGACGCGTCGTGCCGTACTTGGGCTTGTACGGGTCTGCATCCTCCATGGGCACATCGCCGTCTCCGTCATTGTATTCTGGGCCGCGGGTGTGGGGCCCGCCGGGCGAGGCCAGCGCCATTGAGTTCGTCCGCGAGGGCGCCGCGGGGGAAGCATATGGGTCCTGCTTGATCTGCGGTGGTAGATTCGGGTCTCGCTGGTGTTGCTGGGGGGTGGTCATGTTGTGTGGAGCATACCGCGCCTGGCGGCTCGCAGCGGGCGGCTCGGAGTAGGTAGTCCACTGCTGATCCATGGCGCTGGGCGGTTTCTGGAGGAAACGGCGCGGAGGAGTCGAGGGGGTTGGTAAACAGCCGGCTCAGCTGTGACGCAGTTAATTCAAGCAGTGCATTCCGAATTGCGCCGCGGGTCGAGGAAGAGGGCAACGGCGAGGAGGAATCGGGGCGTAGATAGCGGAGACTGGTGAAAAGAGGGCGTCAGCGGTCGAGCGACAGCGCGAGACGTGCGTGCGTGGGACTCGAGAAGGTCTGGCGATGGGTGCATGTACGTCTGCGGGGGTTGAGGTTACCGTGCGTGCCACGAGCGGCGGCTGCGTCAGACTGCGGCGGAAACGTGAGGCGGCGGCAGGGCCGAGGAGCGAGAGATTGGCGCTGCACCGAAGCGTGCGCGGAGGGCGAGGAAGAAGCGTGAGAGGTGAGGAAAAATGTAGCGTCAGGTCGGTTTGGGCTGCTGCTGGTGCTGGCTGAGTGATGCGCCAACGACCACCTGAAAGCGGGCTATTCCGGATTCGGTCACCTTGCACTCGCACCCACGTCTCCACAGCCACACGCAGGACCTGTTGAATTACTGCCAATTCGCGCTCTTCACTGGTCTCATACGCAATATGCTCTGCGCGGCCAAAATGTTTATTGAGTCCCGCAGAAACAACGCTGGGCGACATCTAAGCCACACGGTCATTGGGCTCGCTCTGGATGCACCCAACGCCCGGCCGTGCAGACAGGAAGCAGTTGCCTTTACCTTCGCCTTCGTGTCTCTTGCGAGAGCGGACATGCGAGTAGACGCTTGGTCTCTTGGCAGGTCTCCTGGGAAGCGATGAGAGTTTGTCTTTAGCAGTGTAAACTGCGCGGCAACGAGGCTCTTCGCCAACCACCCCAGAGAGTACTTGACAGCATTGAATTATAAACACTACCGCTATAGACCACGGCTAGCATCTATACGTGCGCAAGGCATTATACTGAGTTTTAGGCCTCTGTGTGGCGGCGGCATCGACGGTTGCCGTCAGCTCAGGCTGTCGCTTTCAGCATCCCTCCGCAGCCTGGGGTTTCGGCTCTGCTCAAAACAGGCACTTCGGGCATGAGGCTCGAGAGAGGAATCGTCGGTGATTCATCGAACAAGGCGTAGAAACGTTTCAGGGGGACAGCTTCTTCATCACTGTTCCGTCTCGTCCAGCCTCTCTCCGGGACCGTTAACTAGCGTGACCCAACACACCACCTTCGAAACACCGTCTTCCAAAAACAGTCGAAAGTGAGAAGATACGGCTTGAGACAAGACAATGAGAAACTAGACAACCTACGCGCTCCCGCACCGCCACGTCCAACGGACCTTGCAGCTGACGTAGCACCGCAACGACATCCACGCCTAGTTACGCAGCTCCTCGTAACCCAGCGCATCAATCCCATCCCAATCCCCACTCTTCCCAAAGATAGATTTCACCATCTGGCCTGCGCGGGTAGCCAAAATGGAAAGCAGAGTATCGCTCAACTGCCGGAAATATGCGTTAGCGACGGAAATTGCATCTTGGATTAATAGATGGGGCAGAAACGTACGCCATGCGTGCTCTCGCAGCATCCCTGCAGCCATACTCCGGCGTCCTCGCTAACGTGCTTGTCCGCAAAGTGCACGCTGTAATCGCGCTGTACCTGCCATTTTGCGTCTTTCAAGTCGCCTCCCGGCATCAGGTGTCGAGCATCCTTCAGCAGCGTCTCGTGGAGGTCGCGATGGTAACCCGTGGCTACGAATACAGCGTCAACGTCCAAGATCTCTGATCCTTCTTGGGCATTCGGTGCATCGGACAGATACAGCGGACTTTGGTCCCTTACGAACAGACGGATGCCGCCTTTGACGACGGGCGAGTCCTGAACCTCGGTAACGCAGCGATGCGGCATGACTCGGTGTGGCCATTGCTCTTCTGCTTCCGGAGAGTTTCCATATCGGATCCTTTGAAGGTAAAGAGTCTCATATATGTGCTCGATCAGATTCAGACGCACGACACCGTAGTTCGTATTGCGATCTTCTTTGATGGTGCAGCTGCGGAGCTCGGGGTCGCGGTTAAAGGTGCTCTCCACCCTGCCCGGGTTGAAGATTTCATTGACGCTTAGAGCGTCAGTAATGCATTACATTGGCGACATGGCAAACTTACAAAGGCGAGTCGTCGCTGGGTCGAAGAGCGCCTCCTTTGATCAGCAACCAGGTCCGCGCATTCGGATAATGAGCGTGCAAGAAGTCGAAAATCTCTGCTGCGCTCTGCCCATTTCCAACTACAGCGACATTGTATGGACGCTGAAAATCCGGGAGTATCTCGGTCGATATGTACGAGAACTTTGAGGAGTGAATGACCTTTGGGTGGTTGCTAGGGAATGGCGGAGGGAGGTTCGGTCTACCTCCGGCCGCGATCACGACATGCTTCGTCCTTCGAGTCTCCATCTTGCCAGTCTGCAGATTCTGCGAAACAACCGTGAATGACGCGATCTCGCCGTCCCCGCTGGGTGACCTCTCTGGCATGACCTTCACGACTTCCTGGTCGTACTGGACCACCTCTTCAAACCAGCACGCGCACCACTTCATGTAATCTTCATATTCCACCCTCTGCGGCAGAAACGTGTTCAGGTTGGTAAATTCTACAAGTCGGTCTTTTTGGAAGAGATAGTTGAGGAAGGTGAATTCGCTACGCGGGTTCCGCAGAGTTGCCATGTCCTTCATAAATGTAATTTGCATCCTTGCTCCCGGGAGGAGCATTCCTGCATGCCATGCAAATTGGGGTTGCTTCTCTAGGAAGGCGACCCTCGGTGGCCGGTTCTGGAGACTAGGCATATCCAAAGACGGGTCCGTTCCGTCCAAAGCATCATGTAGCGCAACCGCGATGGCCAGCGACGCCGGACCGAATCCCACACAGACCAAGTCGTGCAGTTCATCTTCCGGTGTATATCGAAGGTGCGACCGGTTCCCGAAGCCGGGAATGTGGGTTTCGTCGAAACCATTTGTCGCGAAGCTTGTGAAGGCCTCTTGGACTGCGAGAGAGCGGCTGTCTGAGGTGTCCATTGGAGAGTCAGCGTGAGGTGTCATGGTTTCGAGAGGATATGGACGGGATGGGCTAGGAAGCCTGTGGCTGTTAGTAAACGCATGTCGGTCGTGGCACCTAGTGTTTGCTCACTCGCAGCCACGTTCTGAGCCCCGGATGACGAGGACAGCTGTCGATGGTCACTGTGATGGCGTGACGCCGCTGTGTCTGGATGAATAAAGACGCGCTCCACGGTCAAGGGCGAAATCTAAAGCAAACAGTTAGTGACTCGTTACATGGCTAATAATGACGTCCTGCAAGTAAGCTCTAAACAAACCCTAATCTGCAATAGTGAAATGTTGCGACTTACACGTGTCAACCCACGGTCAGTGAAAGAAGAGCGACGGGGAGTGGATGTAGCAGAGATATCAGCGGCCGCTCGCCAGACCTAAGTGGTGTTGATGGCGCTCGCTATTCTTGTAGCACGCCGGGAGGTCCCGAATCCTGTGCCCTCCACTACCGCTGCAAATATCTGTGCCATACTGCAGGGTTCTCAGGAGACGATGGTACGATAGTCCCTGACCTGGTCCCTGGCTTCCGTCTGATATGACCGCAACCGGCTCTCGCGTGCGCCAGCTGGGGATTGGCATGTAGGTCGACGTAGGGATCCTCAAATCTAATCACCGGATCTGATAGTGTCGTCGGCGCGAAAGACCGCCTGAGAGCGGGCGACGGAAGCAAAAATTTTCCAGCTGCCCCGCAACCCTTTGCTTTTGCTACAGCGCGAGGGCAGGATGATGTCGGAGGGGCCTTGGCGGTGGGGAAGCTGTCAGTCGTGATTGATCAGATTAGATTGACTTTTTCGAGCGATTTCGGAGCCGGCTCGGTTTTACAGGAGCAGCTCCACCACCCCAGGTGCCCAGGCAGGGCGTTGGCGGTGCTCCTGCCATGCACGGCTAGCACGCCTCACCGTTGATCCCACGGTGCAGATGAGATGATGATGCCTGTGGCTTCAGACCTTCCCGCGTGTTGCAGAAGCTTGGGACGGTAGCCGGCTGAGGCTTTTGCGGATGGAGTGGGTTCCATATATTTTCCGCGCTATCTTCCGGTGCTAAAGACAGAAAGCTAGCTTCTTGCAATAGAGTTCCAAGGTTGCCGGACAGGGTAAAGGGCTGGTGATACAGAATTGAACAGTTTCTGGTGAGGACGCCAATTGTGAACAGCGATGAGAAGGAGATGTTGCTTAAGGGTGTCATGGTGTCATGGTGTCATGGTGTCATGGTGTCATGGTGTCATGCTCTGCGGGAGCCGAGAGCCATACGGCAACTTGTCTAATCGTGGGATCCCGCTCGACAAGGATAGTCGTCGTTTCTGGGGGGTGATGTCCACAGCGGCCAGCTGCGGCTATTGACCTGCCCGTGCAAAGGATGGATTGAGTTATCTGATCCGTCGTGCCGCTCCGAGCGAGCTGGTGGTTGGCTGTGGGCTGCGATGCCTACAGGGTTCCAAGATTGCTGCATTATCAGATGGTCTGACTGTCCGAGGTGACGCTCGCGTCGCTAACAACGGGCTTCGAGCTGCGTCCGAAGTCGGCGGAGAAGACCGCTCTTGGAGCGCGGGGCGCGTCGACGGTGGACCGAGCTACAAACGACAACACCAGCGACGAGCTCTGACAAAGGAGAACTATTGGCGTGGGATGGTGCAGCGAGGGGCGGAAGAGTTGGGAGGCAGGCTGGATGAGGCATGGGCCGGCGTAGTCGTTATGCGAGTCATCGCGGCCATCGCACCTGCCATCCTCGCACCCGGGCAAGAGCAGAGCACGCGGAGACGCGCTTCGTCCCATCGGAGTCGGCGTCCATTTCTCGCACAGGTCAGTCCTGTCTTGTCGCTGTCCAACTCTCCTCCGCTAGCCATGTCTGCTCCGTCTCCATTACATAGTAGATCTGATAAGACGTACTTCCGGTCTAGCTTGGATTACGTCTCCATTCATGGCCTTCCGGCAGGAGCGCGAGGCGAACTACACCACCCCGGAAGCCGCAACAGACAGCTTCGTCGAACACACTCCCGCACCTACACGCCCGCTTGACCCTCGCTGTCGTCCAGCAGCCAACCATTACGCCCTGATGCCTTGCCTTTTGTCCGCCCACTTCGACTCTCCCACGCTGGCGGCCCGTACACGCCTTACCAGCCCTCGACCAACAACGACGCGCCATTCCAGGATATCGAGTTAACAGACCATCACGTGTACGCCTACCTCGTAAAAATCCGCTGCAAAAGCAAACCGTACACTGTTGTGGACCACCAGCCAATCAGTGAATCGCTGTTTCTCATCACTCGCTGGTCCCACGAGCATGCAATATCTGACAACCCCTGGGAGCGACCTGTATAGAGGCAGACATTCCTCCTCTCAAGCTGTTCTGGCACAAAGCGACGTCGGAAACACACCACAACTTCTCCTTGCGTCGTTTGCGACCTTCATCTGCATCTTACCGAATCGGAAATCGCGAAATGCTTCAAGATCGTGCAGCGATCCCTGGGCTGTCCATCCTCAACAGGCATCCCAAATCAATAGATGGACCTAATCTCCTGCATGAACTGGTCAGGCCTTCATCAGGGGGCACGGATACTGCCATCGATTTCCTGGAAGATGGATTAAAGAGGCGGAGGCTCACCTATGAGGCACTGCATGCTTCGAGCGACGTCCTCGCGGACACGATCGCTCAAGCCGTGGCAAGGCTGAAAGATGCCTCTGCCGTGGTACCGGTGCTACTACCACAATCTCCGGAACTCTACGTCTCCTTACTGGCCATCCTGAAGGCAGGCAGAGCATTCTGCCCCATAGGCTTGGATACTCCCGAGGATCGACTGGACTTCATCCTCAAAGATGTATCGGCAGACCTCATCATTACCAATGCCGCACACAAAGCGAAAATACCAGCAACAGCAGGCGTCCAAGTTATTCTCGCCGACCAGGAGCTACCGGAAGGCACCAGTTCCCCGCGCGAAAAGGGGCACCGTATACGCTCCTCCGATTTAGCCTACGTCCTATACACCTCGGGCTCGACTGGGCTACCAAAGGCTGTAGGTGTGTCTCACCGCGCCGTCACCCAAAGCCTGTTGGCTCACGACCGACATATACCACGCTTCGCTCGCTTTCTGCAATTCGCAGCTCCGACGTTCGATGTCTCTATCTTCGAAATCTTCTTTCCTCTCTACAGAGGATGTACTTTAGTTGGGTGCACACGTGCTGAGATGCTGGACGATTTACCCGGTGTCATCAATACGATGAGTGTCGATGGCGCTGAACTCACGCCCACGGTGGTCAGCAACTTGCTAAGGGGACGCGAGAGTGTACCTCGATTGAACCTTTTACTCACCATAGGCGAGATGCTTACTCGGCGCGTCATAGACGAGTTCGGCGGGAACTCATCCAGGGAGAGTGTCCTCTGGGGCATGTATGGGCCTACCGAAGCTGCGATTCATTGCACTCTGCAGCCCGCCTTCTCTAGTGAAGCTCCTGTGGGAAATATCGGATTCCCTTTGGACACCGTCTCAGTTCTGATTGTTGCTCCTACACTAGAAGGGAGCTCCTCGACAGCAATCAAAGTGTTACCCACCGGCGAAGACGGTGAACTTGTGCTTGGGGGCCTTCAAATTGCAGAAGGATATCTGAATCGCTCGGAGCTAACAGCATCATCGTTCATCGAGCATTCGGGATATGGTCGTCTCTATCGGACTGGCGACAAAGCTCGGCTGCGCTCGGACGGGACTTTGGAATGCTTGGGGCGTATCGTGTCCGGTCAAGTCAAAATCAGAGGTCAACGAGTTGAGCTTGGAGAGATTGAGTCAATTCTCGCGAAGCTGGACTCTTGTCAGGCCGTTGCTGTCATGGTAATTGACAACACCCTGGTGGCATTTTGTGCCGTCGGCTCTCACGACGTCTCGAGCCTAACGGTGACAGAGATCTGCAAGCGGTGGCTACCCACCTACATGGTACCGGCCGAAGTCGTATTCCTTCAGCAAATGCCACAGCTTGCATCTGGAAAGATTGATAAGAAAGCCTTAGAAGCGCTGCATCTGCATCAGCGACGCCAAAACAAGATTGCGGGGCCTCGACCAAGCGACAACGCTGATGTTTCCATCCTGAACGCCGTCCACGATAGTCTGGGCGGAGACTTATCGCTAGATACGAACCTTGGTTCCATGGGACTAGACTCATTGCGGTCTATCCACCTCGCTTCCTCGCTGCGTGAACAAGGCTACGTTGTTGGGGCCGTGGACGTCCTTTCTGCCTTGAACGTTAGGGAGCTCATCGCCCTATGCAAGAGCAAAGAGAAGCGGGATTTTTACAGGCCGAATGCAAGTCTGAAACTCCCTCAGCATTTCCACAAGGACATCCCCGTGTTTCTAGACGACAAAGTCGAAATTTCCGACATACTACCTTGTACTCCATTGCAGGAGGCAATGCTTGCGGAGACTACGGCTAGACCTAGTGCGTACTGCAACTGGGTTGAGGTTGAACTTCTGCAGCCGCACACACTCCAGCAGATTCGAGAGTTCTCGGACACTCTCGCTCAGAAGAATGAGACGCTGCGATCTGGCTTCTTCACCGTTACAGGGGCGTCCGAGTCCTTTGCTCAGGTCGTATGGAGAAGTCTCAGTCGCTCTGCAATTCAGGAGGTCACTAGCTTTTCGAAAGCATATTCTCTCGGCTCCGTTGAGTCCCTATTGCGGCCGTTAACTATTCAGGCGCTGACGAGAGGAAAAACAACACGACTTCTTTTCCAAATCCATCACGCTTTGTACGATGGTTGGTCCTTCGACCTACTTCTACGCGATCTCGCCGACCTAATCAACGGACGTGCACTCATACCTCGACCTCATTTCCGTAAGGTAGTAGAGTACTACCGTCGAACAAAGTGTGCACCAGAATCTGCAACAAGCAAAGCGTATTGGGCCGATCTGCTCCGCGACTACCATCCAACTCCACTACCAAACTTCAACGGCAGGACGGTAAGAACTGATGGTCTTTGCTCAATCCGGGGCAAATCCATAGTCGACGCCCGATCTCTGTTTGCATGCGCCAAGATACATACGGTCAATCCTCAGGTCTTTTTCCAGGCTGCCGTAGCTTACATTTGTGGCTTGTATCTTGGCTCCCCCGATGTGGTGATTGGAACCGTCACGTCGGGCAGAACCATTCCAGTCACCCATGTGGAACGCATCATTGGACCTTGTATAGTGTCTCTTCCATTTCGTCTAGATTTTTCAGAATGCTCCATCATTAGAGACATTCTGTACAAAACCCAAAAGGCAAACCGAGATATGCTACAGCACTGCAGTGTACCCTTGCGAGACATCACAAAAGTCTGTAATCTGCGTCCCAGAGAACGGCTTTTCGATGTACTCTTTGTCTGGCAGCAAACCCTTGTCTCTGCCGATGAATGGTCCTCTGCGGTGAGGATTGTGGACAGCGCGGATGACCTCGAGTCCAAGGTAACACTTGAATTCGAACCCGACCACGATGCAGTCAACTACCGGATAACTTACGATCCTTCTACCATCCCAGAAAGCCAGATCAGGCATCTCGCTCATCAAGTCGATCAGGTCGCTCGGCATTTTCTCCGTAATGTTGCTGGCAACGTGGTCGATATTGAAAGGTGCTTCAGCACGCCATCGCTCTCGATCGCGAATCCGACTCCAAAACAAGAGGGTGCCCGGCATGGCCCCTCTTATACTGTCGAGAAGTGGGCGTTGAACACCCCAGAAAGGGAGGCGTTGATCTTCGGTGCGCTAGTCGACGGAACCATGCGCCCTCAACGGAAGCTTACATACGGCTCATTGAATGCCCGCGCAAACCAGCTGGCCCGCGCCCTAGTCGAACATGGGGTAGGCCAGAACCAGCTCGTTTGTGTTCTCATGGACAAATCAATCGACCTCTATGTCTCGATACTCGCTGTTCTGAAAGTCGGCTCTGGCTATTTGCCTATTGCTCCGGATACGCCGCCTGACAGAGTGAAAAGGATACTAGTCGATGCAGAGGTGGCAGTCTGCATTAGCCAGTCTCTAACATCTACATCAATCCGGCAAGGGCTGTGGACCGTCCTCGAGCTTGACAGGCTGGATTTGTCACAACACTCGGATCAGAACCTGAGTATTCCATACGATGAGTCGTATCTCGCTTATGCCGTCTTCACCTCCGGCAGCACAGGAAAACCGAAGGGTGTTCTAGTCACACAGGGAAACCTTATGAGCAACCTCGAATACCTTTCTTCGGTGTATCCGGTTGCGGGCGACGCGCGAATGCTGCAAGCTTGTTCTCAGGCTTTCGATGTCTCGGTGTTTGAGATGTTTTTCTCCTGGTATGTCGGTATGTGCTTATGCACAGCAACGAAAGACGACCTTTTCTACAACTTCGAGGCTGCCATCGACTGCTTGGATATTACGCATCTGTCCTTAACGCCAACCGTCGCTGGCTTAGTTAATCCGAGCCGGGTGCCAAAGGTCAAGTTCCTGGTTACCGCTGGAGAGGCGCTTACTGAAAACGTGCGACGGAAATGGGTGGGGAAAGGGTTATTCCAAGGTATCCAAACCCCCGCCCCCCTCTGGCTGCTGCTTTTCACTGACAGCTGGATAGGGTACGGGCCCTCGGAAACCACGAATATTTGCACGATGCGTCCTTATGTGACAGCAGAGGATCTAATCAACAATATTGGACCGCCATTCAGTAATACCTCGGCCTTTGTGCTGAACCCTGGAAAGGACTCTATGGTACCTCGCGGTGCCATTGGCGAGCTTTGTTTCGGAGGGTCGCAGGTGTTCCGTGGCTACCTCAAGAGACCTGAGCTAAATGCCGAGAAATTCATCAACCATCCCACATACGGGCGCATTTACCGATCCGGCGATATGGGCGTTTTGCTTCCAGATGACTCGATCCTCTTCACCGGCCGACTTGATGATCAGGTCAAAGTTCGTGGTCAGCGGGTCGAACTTGGAGAGATTACGTCTATTGTGCTCGACAATACCGCAGTCCAGGACGCAGCTACCGTGCTGATTCAGTATGACCATAGCGCTCAGAGACTTGTCACCTTCTGGGTTCCGAAAAAGATTGCTTCGACAGAATTCAAGCCGGTGCCATCACAGGAAGTCCGGTCGATAATCCTTGAGCTTTTTGAGTCGCTCTCACTACAACTTCCGTCGTACACGGTTCCAACGCACCTCATACCTATCACGCGGATTCCCATGACTACTCAGGCAAAGACTGACAAGCATCTTCTTCGCACCACATTTGACGCATTCTCCAGAGAATACTTAGATTCTGCGGCATCCAGCTACGACACAGAGAGCGGTTCCAAAGCCTCCCCTGGATTGGAGCAGAAGCTAGCGGAAATCTTGGCACAAACACTGGACATACCAGTGCAAGGCATCGGACGAGCTTCGTCTTTCTTCAACCTAGGCCTCGATTCGGTTTCCGCAATACGCCTTGCAAAAGCGCTCCGAGATGCCGGTCAAGGACATGTACCTGTGTCTGCCATTCTTAAGCACCCTACTGTGGAGCGATTGTCTTCGGTCGTTGCAAGAGAATCACAACCTAACAATCCGCTAAGAGATGGCGAATTGGCTCGTACCAACGACTTCCGATCAGATCAGATAGCTCAGATCCGTTCAGAATTCAAGAGACGAGGCATGCGGCGGGTACTGAGAATCTTGCCCTGCACCCCGCTACAAGAAGCAATGCTGTCGAGCCCCTCATCCTCGGTATCATCCTACTGCAACACCATGGTATTCCAAATCAACGGTGATGTGTCTCGTCTGAAGGGTTGCTGGGCGTTGATGGTCGAACGGCATGATATATTGCGAACTGCTTTCGTGCCGACTAATGATCCGCGGTACGCCTTTGCCCAGGTCGTTCTCAGTCATGAAGCAGTGCAGTGGGATCAGTTAGAAGTGACGGAGAGTCCAACCACATATTCAAAAGAAGCACTCGCTGGTCTGATTAAGTCACATGAGCCTCCTATTCGGTTGGCGATCCAAGAGACGGGGACTGTGGCGAAGCTGATCTTCTGTTGCCATCACGCTCTCTACGATGGGATCGCAATCTCGACCCTACTCAATGAAATACAACAGATCTATGCTGGAAGCAAATTGCCACCTGTAGTACCGTATGGCCGCTTTCTACAACACTTGCTATCTCAGGATTTCCAGGCTGCCGATCGATTCTGGTCCACTTCCCTGGCTAACTTCGAACCCACCTTGTTCCCGAATCTCTCGGGTCAAACTCGCAGGTCCACCGGAAGGTCCTTTGCCACCGAAAGGGCATTAGAATCGACTCTCGGCGAAGCTCAAACCTTCTGCCAAGCGACGTCTATTTCACTCCTGTCATTGATCCATGCTTCCTGGGCGAAACTTTTGTCCTTATGCCTGGGAGAAGACGACATATGCTTTGGTAATGTGGTTAGCGGGCGCATTGTGTCTGAAGAAGACTTAGACCGCCTCGTCGCACCATGCTTCAATACTCTTCCGGTCCGCCTCGACTTCGACTTCGCAGCGACGAATTTCAGCCTCTGCAAGCGACTTCACTCTCACAACATTGATTCGTTACCCTTTCAGTTGACGCCTCTTCGGCGGATCCAAGCTAAGGCACTCAAAGATAAGGGGCGACTGTTCGATACACTGGTCATCCTTCAGCAGCCAAGCATGCCCCTCGATCCTTCGATCTGGCGCCTGGAGGAGGACACCGGCGAGATGGACTTTCCCGTCGTCTGCGAGATATTTCCAGGCGAAGGGAAGAACGACATAAGACTTGTCCTCCACTACCAAGACTCTATCCTCTTGAAAAGCGACGCGGATTCACTAGCAATTGTCTTCGACAACATCTTACGGTCTATCATATCCTTCCCTAATGCGCGTGCCAGAGACACTGTTAGCTTCCCTAGTGGGCTGCTCGCGCATTCCAACTTGTGCTTCAGCCAGCTCGCTTCATGTGCACCTGGGTTGTTACACTCTGGATTCGAACGTAACGCAGTTTTGCGGCCACACGGTCTTGCCCTTGACTTCCTCCACGCAGATCGTGAGAGGACTGCATTGACCTTCAAAGCCTTGAACGAGAGGGCAAACCAAATAGCTCATGCTCTCATCCAGCATGGTGTCAAACCTGAAGATATTGTCCCGATCCACATCGGAAAAAGCCCGGAGTTCTATGCAAGCGTTCTCGGCGTCCTCAAGGCCGGCGCAGCCTTCTCGCCCATGCACCCAGATCTACCAGAGGCAAGAAAGCGATTCATGCTCTCGGAGCTTCGTCCGAGAGCCATGCTTTGTATGGAGGATGCCTTGCACTGGTCTAAGGACATGTTTGTGCTCAATGTTGGCAATCTACCGCCTCACTCCAAGGACAACCCTGCTACTGAGACCCTACGACCAACAAACCTGGCTTATTGCCTTTATACGTCTGGCTCAACTGGCGTACCCAAAGCAGTCGGCATGGAGCACCGCTCCCCCATTCAGACAATCGAAAGTTCAAGGTCACTGATCCCATGGTCTCCTAATTCAAGGCTTCTGCAGTATGCCGCTATCAGTTTCGACATGTGCTACTACGACTGCTTCCTGGCTTGGAGCTTCGGCTTTGCACTATGCGCCGCGGAGCAGGAAATAATGCTGAACAATCTCACCGACGCCATCAATGTTCTCGACGCTGACCTTTTGGATCTTACGCCGTCGGTAGCCGCTTCCCTCTCCAAAGCCGACGTCCCAGGTGTCAAATGGTTGTACTGCATCGGTGAAGCGATGTCACCAGAAGTGGTCCAAGAATGGAATGGTGCGTGCGTGAACTCATACGGACCGACCGAGGCTGCGTTTTGCACCACCATCTTTCCTGTAAGGAAGGCTGTCAAGACTTCTGTCATTGGAAAACCGTTCCCTACAACATCTTTCGCGGTCTTCCCACCTCAAGGCGATCGACCTGTTCCCGTTCTTTGTGTCGGGGAGCTGTACATAGGTGGTGCACAGCTCGCTAGGGGTTACTTTGGAAAGGACGCGCTCACGGACGAGAGGTTCGTGCAAAAATGTGGGCAGAGGTTCTATAGAAGTGGTGACATGGTCCGTATGTTGAGTGACGGCAATTTCGAATTTCTCGGCCGAGCAGACGACCAAGTAAAGATTAGAGGGCTACGGGTCGAGTTGGGGGAGATAAGCCATGTGTTGCAGGCTTGCGATGACCGCGTTTCCGCTACGACCACGCAAATCCTGAGGACCGAGGGCAGCGCCAAAGACCAGCTTGTTTCTTTCCTGGCAACTCGAGGTCCAATTGATGAAGATGCGCGGTCTGAGCTGAGGGCCAAGGCAAAAGAAGCGGCAGTGAGCCAGCTGCCATCGTACATGGTGCCTCATTTCTACGTCTTCATCGACAAGATCCCAAAATCACTGGCCGGCAAAGTCGATAAGAAGGGTCTTGCAAAGATGTTCGCGGAATCGGAAGACAGCAGGATCGTGACAGACGAGGCCGCGCAAGAGGGTCTGAAGCACGTTTGGACCGAGATTGAAAGCACAGTCCGACATATCTTTTCGACGCTTTCGCAAGTTCCAGCCGAGGCCATATTACCGACTACTTCCATCTACCAGCTCGGCCTTGACAGCATCAGCGCGGTACAGATAGCGGGCGCTTTGCGTAGGCAAGATCTTCATGTCACTGCGTCAGATGTTATGAAGCACATGAATTGCAAAGATCTCGCAGCATACCTCGAAGAGCCTAGCACACTACGGCCGTCACGTGCTGCCGCTTTCGACTTTGAATCATTTGAGGGAAAACATAGGGCGGCTGTGATGAGTACCTGCAACCTCAAATACCAAGACGTTGAAGGGCTCCGACCTTGTACGCCTCTCCAGAACGGCATGCTCTCGCAGTTCGTTGCAAGGGATGGTGCTATGTACTTCAATTACCTCAGGTTGAGGCTGCAGCCTGGGATCGACATAGCACGACTAAGGGACGCGTGGTCCAAGGTTGTCCGGAAGCACCGTATATTACGCACTGGTTTCGCCCATGTCAAAGACAGCAACAACCCTTTCGTCATGATCCATTACGCTCCGGAAGCCGTTAGATTTTCATGGGATGCGGATGCACAGCCAAGTCTTACTGTCAAAGAGTGGCTCGAGACATCGCAGCAAAAGGCAGCAAAGCAACTACAACGGCCACCTTGGTGTATTAGGATTGTGGAGCAAGGTGACGCGGCATACCTGGACTTGGCTTTGCTACACGCTCTATTTGATGCGCAGAGCTTACGCCTTATCTTCAACGATATCACAGCTGCCTATGAGGACAATTTCCTCGGGACCGCAGCACCGTTGGATTCGGTTATTGCTACCATTATACGCTTCAGCACCGAAGAGGATGCCCAACGGAACGAATTCTGGAGGCGACTGGGAGAAGGTGTTACGATGACCAGGCTCCCCAATCTGTCACCGCTGCGATATGACCCAGAACCGGCCGTTGTCATTACTAAAGTGGCCTCGAAGGCTCTTGCAGATCTCGGCGCGGGATGCCGAAAAGCGAACATCAGTCTGCAGGCGGCCGGTATGGCCAGCTGGGCGGTGTTGCTCTCTGCCTACACGGGCGAGCCTTCGGCCACATTCGGAGTTGTGTTATCTGGGCGAAACTTCGATGCCGCAAAATCTGCGGTTTTCCCCTGCATCACCACCGTGCCTTTCATATGCAGGATCTCAGACGGCAAGGATGAGATTATAAGGCAAGTTCTGAAGCTGAACGCCGAAATCCAGCAGCATCAGTTCACGCCACTCAAGGAGATACAGCGACTGATAGGCCAGCCGAACGAGCCACTGTTTGATACCATATTCGCGTTTCAGAAGCTGGTTGGTGGTGGCAGCGAGAACGACATGTGGACCGTAGTTGATGAGAAAGCAACCATCGAGTACCCGATGTCGATTGAACTGGAGCCGAAGAATAGGAGGCTTGAGTATCGACTCACCTTCTTGCCACATATTGTGCCACAGGAGCAAGCGAAAATGATGCTTGATCAGCTCGATCATCTGCTTCAGTACATCATCTTCTCGGATGCCTCTTTTGCCGCCGATGTTTCCAATAGCCAGTCTCTCTATTCTGTTACACCAGCGAAGGAACCTATACTACCCTGCCAAACCGGATTGCTACACGAGCTAGTCGAGTTTACTGCACGCAAGCATCCTGATCGCGTAGCCCTCGAGTTTGCTACAGCGTTGCGCAATGACAATTCCACTATCAGCACGTGGACCTACGCTGAACTAGTCGAAGAAGGGAACAAAATCGCCCATCTCCTCATTTCTCACAGAGTCCAGCCCGGAGAATTAGTTGGAGTGTGCTTTGACAAGTGCCCCGAGGCCTCCTTTGCTATGTTAGGGATATTGAAGACCGGATGTGCATTTGTAGCACTCGATCCTGGGGCGCCAAGCGCACGTAAAGAGTTCATCATTCAAGATGCCAGCGCTAAAATTGTTCTGTCCATGAAGGCACAGTCGACCGACATCCAAAGAGACATCGTACGAGTCGTCAATCTAGACGAAACGAACTGGCGATCCGCACCTGCATCAGAACCTTCTTTGGAACGCGACATCAATACTCAGGATCGCAGCTATTGCCTTTACACATCTGGCACCACCGGCACGCCGAAAGGCTGTGAGCTCACCCATGAAAACGCAGTCCAGGCGCTTCTCTCGTTCCAACGCCTGTTCGCCGGACGCTGGGATGAGAACTCTCGCTGGCTCCAGTTCGCTTCCTTCCATTTCGATGTCTCAGTGCTCGAGCAGTATTGGAGCTGGTCAGTCGGGATCTGCGTCGTCTCCGCGCCACGAGATCTTATTTTTGAAGACCTTGCGACGTCAATTAGAAGGCTAGGCATCACTCATATCGATCTAACTCCGAGTCTGGCTCGCATCTTGCATCCCAATGATGCGCCCAATCTCTGCAAGGGTGTGTTCATTACCGGTGGTGAGAGCCTGAAGCAAGAGATTCTGGACGTTTGGGGCCCGAAAGGTGTCATCTACAATGGCTATGGCCCGACAGAAGCGACTATCGGGGTGACGATGTATCCTCGCGTTCCAGCGAACGGCAAGCCATCTAATATTGGTTCCCAGTTCGACAACGTAGGGTCGTACGTTCTGCAGCCGGGCTCGGATGTTCCAGTTTTAAGGGGAGGAGTAGGCGAGCTTTGTGTGTCTGGGAAGCTCGTCGGAAAGGGCTATCTGAACTGCCCTGACTTGACTTCGCAGCGCTTTCCTCATCTCGGCCGCTTTGATGAGAGAGTATATCGAACTGGGGATCTCGTGAGGATCTTGCACGACGGTACCTTCGAGTTCCTGGGACGAGTCGATGACCAAGTCAAACTGCGTGGGCAGCGGCTCGAGATCGGAGAAATAAACTCTGTCATCAAACAATCTGGACCCTTAGCAGACGTCGCCACACTGATCCTGAAACACCCGAAGCAACAGAAGGAACAACTGGTTTCTTTCATCGCGACCGAATCCGGAAAAAAACAATCCGAGATTGTGCTATCGCGGACGAGCGACATACAGAGAGCAAAGAATGCCTGTCTTGAGAAACTACCTCCTTACATGATACCATCTCACTTCGTCCCTCTCACTGCGATGCCACTGTCTGCCAACAATAAGGCTGATGGGAAAAGGCTCCGGGAGATGTACGCTACTCTGTCCGCTAATGATCTGCAACGACTCTCTGCATCCGGAGCGAAGTGTGAGAAGTGGTCAAAGCAGGAAGAGAAAATCAGGGATGTTCTCCAGGAGGCTTTGGAGATCGAAGTCGGCGTCAGCAAAGATACCAGCTTCTTCGAGTTGGGCATGGACTCTATCTCGGTCATTGGCGTATCGAGGGCGCTAAAGCAGGCCGGCTTTACGAAAGCTTCAGCCTCCGTGATCATGAATAACGCTACAATCCGCCGATTGGGCAAGGCCCTTTCCAGCAAAACCTCTGGTGTGAACGATCGCGCATCGATCGTAGTCGCGCAACAAGCGATTACCGCAGCTCAGCATCGCCACAGAAGAGCGGTCGCGGAAACGCTCTTCATCGACACGCGACAGATCGAAGCTCTTGCTCCTTGTACCCCACTTCAGCAGGGAATGATCGCGAGATCTCTCGAGAGCGACCGCGGTCTATACTTCAACACTTTCCGCTTTAAGCTGAGCAAAGACGTGGATCGGGACCGATTGCAAGACGCATGGGAACGTGTGTTTAGGTCAATTCAGATATTGCGAACCGTTTTTGTCAATACCGACGACGGTTTCATGCAGATCGCACTTCGTATAACGCGTCTCCACTTTGAGAACGTCGACCTCGAGCAGGACGACACGCTAGACCATTATCTGGTAAAGCGGAGGAAAGACTGGGTGCAGTCTAATCAGACGAATGTCCAGAGGCCTCTGGAGCTCATGCTGTTGGAGACCCCGAACCGCAAGATTATGGTTGTTCACCTCTTCCACGCGCTCTACGACGGCAACAGCGTTGGTCTGATATTCAAGTATGTTTGGAATTCGTACCACGACCGCGGCATTGATGCTGGTATACCCTTTCAGTCTGCTTTGTCGTTCGGCCCGCTTCGGCTGGTTGACGGCGCTAAAGAGTTTTGGCTGAAGCATCTTGCGGGAAATGCTTTCAGGCCATTTCCACCGCTCAACGATCGGTCAAATGATGCTTCGCCACCTCCGACCATCGCTCGTGAGGTCGGCGACCTGCAAGCTTTTGAAGCCGTCAGACGTAAACTCAATGTCACCGCGCAAGCGATCACACAAGCATGCTGGATGAGCGTTCTGCATAGACGACTAAAGAGCGCTATCACATTGGGCGTGGTAGTCTCGGGGCGCAGCATCGACTTCGAAGGCGCACATCGGGTTATTGGGCCTCTTTTCAATACGATACCCTACCATTGCCGCCCACAGCAGCGCGATACATGGGCTTCCCTAATTAAAAGGACCCACGACTTTAATGTCGCCGCCCATCCTTATCAACATACCCCACTCAGAGACATCATGAAGTGGTGCAACCGAGGCCGAAGTCAACCGCTGTTCGATGCTCTGTTTGTTTATCAGGCTACTGATGTCGAGGAAGAGTGGTTGAAGAACGATATCTGGGAGCTATTGGACGGAGTTGCTGACGCGGACTATCCGCTAGCCATCGAGGTCGAGCAGAGGCGTGCGACGTTGAAGCTGACATTAGTCGCCCAGGGGCATGTTTCAGACGAAGAGTCCTCGAACCAGTTGTTGAATTGTTATGAGCAAGCCCTACGAGAGGCATTGAATGACCCTGACGCAGTCCTTGAGACACAACTCGCGAATGGAGACGAACCCCCCGAAATCCCAACATACCGGGACGACGCCCCTACTTTGAGCTCTCTCGATGGTACCAAAGACTTCGAGTGGACTGGCCATGCCGACATCATAAGGCGCGAGATTGCCAGCCTTGCAGATGCCGATGTCGCCAATGTCAATGAAGATACGTCCATCTTTGAACTTGGCCTAGACAGCATCGACGCCATCAAGCTATCGTCAATGCTGAAGAAAAGAGGCGTTAACCTTCCCGTCAGCGGAATTGTCCGCGGTTTCGGCATCTCCAACATGATGCAGCACATTGTAAACGACAAGCCTAAGTGGTTCCAAGGGCACTCGGATATGATCTTCAAATCACACAAGAGAAGACTAGAAAGTTTCCTTCAGCGCCAGGGACTTACTGAAGGTGTTGAGAGAATTCTGCCGTTGACACCACTCCAAGAAGCGATGGTCGCAGAGATGAGAGCATCGGCATATACCAGATACTACAACCATGACGTCTTAAAGTTGGCCCTGGGCACCGACTTTGAGAAGCTGCGGAAGGCGTGGACTACGGTTGTTGCGAAGTCGCCGATCCTGAGGACGTCCTTCATTGAGGTCGACGATCCTGGATTCGATTTCTCATTTGCTCAGGTTATCCACCAGTCGCCACAAGCCTTCTGGAAGTCAATCGAACTTAATGTAGAGCCTGACTTCCCTACTATATTCGAAAGTATCCGCGAGGAAGCGACAAAGCAATCTATTGCTGCGCCGTTGTTCCACGTTCGTCTCATCGGATCACCGAGCCAGGCGTATATCGTGCTGTCGATCGCCCACGCCCTGTATGACGGATGGTCGCTAGGGCTCCTACACGCCGACGTCAACAAAGCGTACGCAGGACGTTTCAAGCCTCGTCCAGGGTACGAGCCCGCTCTTGTTGGAATTCTGTCAACATCTGGTTCAGACGCGACAGCCTTTTGGCGCGACTATCTGTCTGACGCGAAATCGAGCACTTTCCCACGACGCTCCCGTGCCGAAGCCGAGGATCAACAGGCTGTCCACCGGAAAGAGCAAGGAAGCATTATTGGCCTGCGTGACATCATCTCATTCGCCAGAAAGAACAATGTCACGCTTCAGACAATTGGCCAAACAGTGTACGCTTTGGTGCTGGCCTCATACACTCAGACGCTCGACGTGACCTTTGGGTCAGTACTTTCCGGCCGGGACGACGACGAAAGGGCCAAGATTCTCTTCCCAACAATGAACACCGTCGCTATCCGTACGATACTCCACGGGAATCTTCGGGATATGCTGCAATATGTACAGGAAAATCTCATGAACATCAAACTGTGGCAGCACTTCCCGCTTCGGAAAGCGCTTAGTTTAGCAGGTGTGCAAGGGCCATTATTTGAGAGCCTCTTCATCTACCAGAAGCGCATGGAGGACGGTCCAGGAGAGGAAGTGACATTGTATGAAAGCGTAGAAGGCCATAGCGATGTTGAGTATCCGGTTTGCGTGGAGATGGAAGTCGTAGGTGGAGAGCTGGTCTGGCGATGTGCCGTCAAAGAGGTCTTTGACGAAGGAGGAGCGCAAGAGCTGCTGGATAGGCTGGATCAGGTACTGGGGAGCGTTATGGATCAACCGGATACTCCGACTATCGCGTTCACCTCCGAAGGGACATCAATTTGCGGTTTACCGGCTTGTAAAAACGAACGGACCGAAGAACCGGATGGCGAATCTGAAAGCGAAACGGAGGCAACAACGCGCTTCGAGTCCCCGACGGCTAAGGCTATCCGCGAAGTGTTGGCCTTCGTCTCCAAAACTCCCAAAGGGGAGATCACAACTAGCATGACACTCTTCCATATAGGTCTTGATTCCATTAGCGCCATCAAGGTTTCCTCGCTTCTCCGCAAGGGTGGAATCATTCTCAGCGTCGGCGAGATGCTCAAGGCTGGCACTATTGAGAAGATGGCGCAAATGGTGGAGAGACGTGCTCCAAGCCTTGATGAAGACTCCGACGATACCACAGCCGTCCTTGAAGAGGCCGTGGTGGGAGTAGGCCGAGCGGAAATGCTGCGCAAGGCCGGTATCAACGAGTCGGATGTTGAGCGGATTCTACCTGCATCTGCCGGACAGGCCTACATGCTTTCGGTGTGGCTCAACTCAGGCGGCGCCCTCTTTTATCCGGAGTTCACTTACCAAGTCGACGGAGCTGTGTCCTTCGATACACTGCATAAGGCATGGCAAAAGCTTGTGGCCACGAACCCCATACTCCGTACCGCCTTTGTTGCTACACAGGAGAAGCGCATCCCCTACGTACAAGTGGTGCTACACATGACTAAAACGATAGTGCGGGAAGTCACTCACCGGGAAGGCGAACAGCTAGAGAAGGCCATGAGTGAACAAGCGTTGAAGCAACCTTATGCTCACCTCTTCATCGCCAAATCATCCACGGGGTGGTACTTGAGACTAAAGATCCATCACGCTCTCTACGACGGCGTCAGTCTCCCTCTCCTAATGCAGCAGCTGCAAGATTTCTGCAAGGGCGTAGATATCCCCCAATCTTCCAACACCTTCAGCAAACTCATAACCACCACCTGTGCCTCGTCGACCCTTGAGAAGCGCAAGGCATTCTGGAAAAACTACCTGAAGGGGGTTGAGCAACGTCACCTCCGTCAACCCACGTCACCACCAACATCCAAGATCGAAATCTTCAAACCAGGTCTCCTGCCCCACGTCTCCTCGCTCGACACAATTGCCCGCAAGCACGGCATAACCACGCAATCCCTCTTCCTCGCTGTCTACGCAAAGCACTATGCAGTCCTCACCTCCACGCCCACAGGCCAAGACGTCGTGATCTGTATCTACCTGGCCAACCGCTCGCTTCCCATCCATGGTATTGCTCAAGCCGCTATTCCCACCGTCAACGTCATTCCTCTACGTGTGTCAGCACCGCGCGAGACGGATATTATCGATGTTGCTGCTCAGATACAGTACGATATACAGGAGATTAGCAGCCTGGAAAATGCTTCAGTCAGCTTGTGGGAGGTAAAAGAGTGGGCGGGTGTGAAGATCGACACTTTTGTCAATTTCCTCAAGCTTCCGCATGCCGAACAGGAGCGAGCGTCCGATGATAATGCTATCAAATCCACTCAGACGGGGCAGTGGAGTGAAGAAGTCGGTAAAGTCACGGAGATGCAGCATGGCGGATTTGAAGCTCCAGAGGCGTTCGCGGATAAGATTATGGACGGAGCGTATCTGGTAAGTCTCGATCGCATTGGTTGGATTGATGGTGGATGAGCTAATGAAATTGTAGCACGCTGTCGACGTCGAAGCTGCGGTTCGGGATGGTGCATTGGATGTTGGAGTCTTTGCTCTTGAGGAGATGGTCAGTTTAGATGAGGGCGAGAAGTTGGTGGAGGATATTAGATTGGAGCTGGAGAGTCTAGTCAAGAGCATGGAATGAGATGAGCGACGGCGTAGCTCGTTACGGTTTAATACGGAGTTTGGAAGGTCTAGAGTGAGGTATTTGTACATTCCCATAGAATTAGGAGTTCCGGCGTGCGTTGGCGGAGTTCTCTGTTGTATTCAAGTTACATTCCGGCAGCATTCACCGATATATTTGGTGTGTTTCTTGTGTATGTGTTGCGCATATTGGAGCCTGAAGACCTTCAGCAGTCTCTTTCCGGTGCTGAATCTGATATGTGCTTTTTGTTATATATGCGGAAACATACGTCCAACTAACTTTGAAGAAGACGTGGGCAGTGGTTTGGCCAGAGCGGAAACCACGGTTTGGCCGACTCGAGGCAACCGCATGAAGCAAGCGGCATGCTAAAGCACAACGTACTTTTCGACTCAGCGCACCTAACGTTTGGCCCTGGAAAGATTCTCCGAAAAGCCTTCGTTCTTAACGTCCCTTACGCCCCCTAGCCTGTTCTGTGTTAGAGCGTGTACTCGCCTCAGCGGCCGTATTCCCTAGGTCTTGTCATTTGTTGAGAGGATTGAGATCGAGGCCTGGTATTCGGCGTGAATGTGAATAAGAGAAAGCAAGAAGATAGATAGAAGATTGGATGGAAAACCAACCTTTGTAGAATTTTAGGTTAACGTACTTTACAAGCGAACACCCTACACAAGCGAACACTCTAAAAATGCCAAGTAAGAGAAAAATTAATAAGTATTTCTTAAATAACTAAGCGAAACCTTAATATTTTTCTATAAAATTGTAGATATATATAGAACTATACTATATACACCTTCTATTAAATTTACGCTATAAATTTCTTATTACGTAAGCTAGAAGTAAGCCTTTTTCTAAAAGTAACTATTCTTAGATTTTAAATCTTAATAGTACTAGTAAACCTTAATAATAAACTATAAGACTTTAAAGATATATAATATACTATAGTATAAAGTCTTTTATAAAGTTTTATAGTATTTAGCTTAGTAATACTAGAGATATTAGCTTAAAGAGTCTCTAATAAGTAGTTTAGAGATTTCTTCTAGAAATAGATAGATATTACTAAGCTAGACGCTACTTAACCTTATAAAATACTTTATACTATACTATATAATATATATTTAAAGTTTTATAGTTTATTATATAGGTTTACTAGTACTTATAAGGTTTAAAGTCTAAGAATAGCTACTTTTAGAAAAAGACTTACTTCTAGCTTACGTAATAAGAAATATATAGTATAAATTTAATAGAAGGTGTATATAGTATAGTTCTATATATATTTAAAATTTTATAGAAAAGTTTTAAGGTTTCGCTTAGTTATTTAAGAAATACTTATTAATTTTTATACTTAGCATTTTTAAGATATTCGCTTGTGTAAGATGTTTACTTGTAAAGTACGTTAGAAGATATAACGTATTTTATAAGCGAACCGACTATACAAGCAAGCCGACTACCTTTCTCTTAGCAAGAAAATTAACGAAAATTAACTCGTTTTTCTTAAATAACTAAGCAAAACCTTAATATTTTTCTATAAAAATATTTATATATATTCTCTATAGTATATTATACCTTATAGTAAGGTTATACTAAGATATATTACGTAATTAAAAAGCTATACGTATTTAACTAACTTTTAAGAAAAATCTAGTTTACTTCTAGTTAGTACTATTATATCTCTATAATAATATATAAAACTTATTATATATAGTATTTATAAGTTAATAAAGATTTCTAGAAAACTTTTATAGAGCTAGCTCTTCTAGGTATAGCGTAATAAGAGATAGAAGTTTAAAAAAATCTTTTTAGAGTTTTCTTCTCTAACTATATATATATATATTAATAATTATAGTATAATAGTTTAACTTAGTACTATAGCTTCGCCTAAGTTATATAATCTTACCTAGCGTTTTAGTATAGATACTCTATATATATAGAGAGCTCTTAGAGTATTCTTCTACTTCTTACCTTTAGATAGCTAAATTTAACCTAACCTACTCTACTAGTATCTCTATTCTTATAGCTTATAAAGATAGCGCTACCTATAGCTAACTTACCTAGCTAGGTGTTCTAGAATACTTATAGTAGTAGAGACTATAAAGCTAGCTCTTATATTATTTAAAGGTTAATACCTCTTTAGCTAGAGATAGTAGTATAATATTAGGCTAAACTAAGTAGTTTTATAAGAAGTATTTACTAATAGCTATACTAAGAATTAGAGCTATAAGAGTCTAATTACTTACCTCTCTAGCGCTATATAAGACTACTAGTAGATCTAGTTAGTAGTAGAAAGATATATCTAGTAGTAAGCTAAAGAAAGCTATAAAAGCTCTATGTATAAGAGATATAATAGTCTAGCTTAGTATTTACTAGAGTTATATATAAGAGCTAGCTTTGTAATCTTTACTACTATAAGCGTTTTAAAACACCTAGCTAGGTAAGTTAGCTATAGGTAGTACTATCTCTATAAGCTATAAGAATAGAGTACTAGTAGAGTAGGTTAGATTAAATTTAGCTATCTAAAGGTAAGAAGTAGAAGAATACTCTAAGAGCTCTCTATATATAGAAAGCTAAGTGCTAAGACGCTAGGTAGAGTTATATAACTTAGATAAAGCTAAGTTAGACTATAGCGCTAAGTTAGACTATTATATTACTCTCTCTTATAGAGAGAGCTTATTCTTAAGCTCTAAGACTTTTACTTCTACTTAGTAACGCTTACGTATTACCTTTATATCTTCTACTCTTATAGATTTTAAATTCTCTACTATCTTCTCTAGAGTCTTCTCTTTTTTATACGCTTTAATCTAAGTATCTAATTATAATAGCGGCTCTAGCTTATCTAGATATACTATATAAAAGTCTCTTACCTTATAGAAAGTATTAATAAAGCCTATAGTATTATACTAGGTAGAGTTAGAATTATAAGTAACCTATATAGCGTAGTATTAAAAATAATTTTAATAAAGATAGCTATCTAGAATTTTATATATAGGCTATTCTAGATTACTATTAACTTTAATAGATAGCTACTTAGGCTCTATCTACTCTAGTAATAGCTTTAAGACTTTTCTTAGCTAATTAGTATAATAGTCTAGT